GTTTTGTACTAACAAAAATTATACTATTGGTTTGTGCAAAGTTAACATCACCACAATCTGGTGAATGGAGTAATCATCCATAATTCTCTTTTTCTTTTTTTTGGGAAAATAATTCGAAGTAGAAAGCCGTTATTTGACCAAATCGTTGTGTTGAATACTTCCAGTACTGTTCCACATCTTCATAAAAGAGCATTAACTACCAAGGAATACTAGGATCCATTTGACATGTTGAACGAATAACGCGAAGCCAATTATCTCCCGTTTTTATTATAAGACATTTAAATTTGTCATAAATTGTTAGTACATTCTTTTAATTTTCTAATTAAAAAATAAAATTTTAAAAATACTTTATAGTAGTAATTAGAAAAACACACAAAATCTGAACATACATTTTAAGGTTTTATTTTCAATAAAAAAAACATACTAAATAAAATTTAGAACAAATCAAAATGTCTTATGATAAAGACCGGAAAAAATTCCCCACAAGTATACCATTGTAACCAATTTTCACTAGTAGTATTCTTTGAAGTTTCGAAGCTGAAACTCATAATTACGATTTCTTATCTTTACTAACCATCCGAATACTTCTTCTCCTATAATAATTGTAATAATAGTTTGTACTTTTAGACATTTTGGCTGCCTCATCAAATACTGATGTTTCCATGGTTAAATAAAGAGCTTTACTTATAAAAAATACAATAATTTAAATTTAACAATGTTATATATTAAATTGCAATAATTTAATGTGGATCAATACTAGCGTGATCGAAGATATTGGTCGATCGGGCGATGGAACTTAGGCTTTGTTTGTTTCATTTTTCAAATTAATATATTAATAATTGTTCCATCCCAGCATATCTTTTTACATTTCCAATACATTTTTTTATATTTTAAATATAAAAAACTCCTAAAAACACACACTAAAAACTAAATAAACATACCCTTAGTATATATTGTGTTCCAAATTCCAAATGTTCATTTCTTTCATTAACCTGTATTCCTTAATCCCCATCAAGACTCGGAAAATAGTTTCATTACTTTTAGTTTTTAATCCCGACCTTTGATTTTTTTGTCAACTAATTAAAGATGGTAGAAAACTAGAAATGAGATCAATAACTACATAATTTAGTTTATTTTATCATAGAATACGGTGTAATAATGTAGGTACATTTATTTAATATAACAGTTATCCTTGAAGAAAAAAAAATCTGATATGATTGCAATATATTATTAGGGCACGGTTTCTCCCTACTATACGTTGCATGCATCAAAAGATACTTATTGACGGATATTGCACATTTTTTTTTTAAAAAAAAAACAAAAATTGTGATACGAAGCCAAAGTCATGTGACTCATATGAGGATGCATCTGAAATCCAATCCCAAAATGCATTCTTTGGTAATCACTATTTGGAATTGGATTGGTAGACTTTATAATTACTCCTATTAAAATAATGAAGAGCACGTGAGAGTGTGATTGAGTTGTAAGCTCCCATTCTCTCTCTCTCTCTCTCAAAAAAAAAAAAAAAAAAGAAGGTCATGTAACTCACTTCCATCATCTCCATTGATATATGGCGCATTATCCGCCATTTGTATGTTTCCAAACAACGAGGTTAACCCCTTTTTTGCCGCTTCACCTAAAACAACGGGTTTAAGAAAGGTAATCTTTGAAGGATTAAGGTTAATCAAGCCAAGCTAAGCTTCCCATCCATACTACTCCCTCTAGTCTTTATTATAAGGTATTTTGATTTCATCATAAATTTCACCTAAAATATATTTTTAATTAGAATAAAAACTTTAATATTTACGAATGAGGTGTTGGTTCAGTGGTAAAAACACCCTAACTCTCAAGATAAGGTCATGAGTTCAAATCCCCGCTCCAACAAGAGTGAGGGAATAATTCTAACTTTACCCATTAACGTCTCTATAGGGCTTGTTATGTCAAACCTCCCCAAATTCGTACCCTAACTTGTCAAGCAGGTTATTGCAAAAAAAAAAAAAAACTTTAATTTTCATTTGATCGTATGAAATACAGTTGATTTCTCCTTGACAAAATGAGCCACGTCACTATCGTCGTTAATTAATCACTAGGTTCAAACCTAAGATGAACTTAACTACTTGAGTGTAACCGTAAACATTTGTTCGGCGGGCGTTGGAAATGAGCCCAATGTGAGTTCGCTTTGTTTACGAATACAAGCAATTCTTTCCGGGTTTTTTTTTTAATAAAAAAAAACAATCTGTATATACGTAGGGCTAATAATAATGAGATTTGCTTGCTGCACAACAAACATCAATGTTCATCATCAAAATTGTCAACAGATAGAGGTGAGTTTTCAACTTTCAAGTTCAAATCTTCCCAAGCAATTTTATTTTATTTTTCATTTTCTTAGCGTTTTACAGTATTTTCTAATAATTGTCTAATATCAGAATGTTTGAATACAATGTGTTGATAAAATTTGGACATTGCATTGTTTTTTGCTTCTGCGTTATGGCATGTATAGATGTAGCTCTTTAGAGTTCTTCCACCTCAGGTTATGTGCAATAATTTTATTTGTAATTTAAAGTCACATTATCTTTAAAGTAATATTGTGATTCTATATGAGGAGGGAAAAAAATAAAAAAAAAAGTAAATTGCATTTATCATTTCGATCAAGTTTGGCAAAATTATCAAAACAAACAATCTGACTTAAAAAAGAAAAAAACTTAGGCCTTTTGACTTGTGAGCAAGTACAGAAGTGTTGGGCACCTTAACATTTCCCGGTGCGAATTAGTGGTAAAAAAAAATGATGACATTAAATATAAATTATTTATATTACTATAACTCAACATTGACATTTCTAAATTATTTACTCCCTCCGATCCTTAATATAAGGCATTTTAATTTGTCATAAGTTATACCTGATACGTATTTTTAATTGATGAAAAAACCTTTAAAATATTTCATATGTTCTCTTCTGAAAATATATTTTTAAGATTTTTTAATCCATCAAAAATATGTTTTAGGTGAAAATTAGAACAAATAACATATTTTATATTAAGGACCGGAGGGAGTATTTTAGACAATACTCCTTTATTCTTTGAAAAATTTTTTTACCGATCAAACAAATATAGAATGGCATTAATTCGAATGTGAATTCCGATTTGGCAACATATTTCAAGTAGTCGTGTGTTGTATCCATTTTTGCATCATGATTAATGCGTTACAGTTCGGAAGTTCCTCTTTTGGATCATTCAACAAAGATCCAAATCTGCCAAATTTAGTTTGTGTCCAAACAATCCTTTTGACTTTGAACATCAACAACATATACCGAGTACATGCGAATCAAAACGTTATTTTTTTGCTTTAACGAATCGAAATCAACCATGATAATTACAAAATCTAATTACATTAAATTTTTTTTTTGGCGAACTAGATGTTTGAATATATTAATGGACAAAAATCAAAACAACCTTCCATATAAGAATAACCATCTTCGCATTATCATTAAATGAATCATTTAATCACCGAGATTACAAATGAGATTACAAAGACAAAAAGAAAAGTCTTTATTTTTTTTTTTCACTAAGAAAAGGGGCAAAAGAAAATTATACTTTTTTTCCAAAAGAAAAAAAATGATGAATTAATTCGTTGTGAAACGTGCCAAACAATCCCTCGACCGGAAACGGCCGTCTCTCACGCAAATTCATCACTATGCTTACACGAGGCCTTGACTAATTTGTATTTTTTAAAATTTATTATCACGTCCATTAACTATTTACTAATTTTATTCTCACCCACCCCTAATTGATTTTTTGCTGGAAATGACGATTAATTAAATTCTGATTGTGTACCAAAATTAGATTTATATTTTACGTTAATCTGGGAAACTTTCATTACAAATCAGGCAGATACAGGGAAGTAACCTCGTTCTTTGTGATTTTCTCCTTTGTTTCTAAAAATACAAAAGAAATAGTACTACACACAAACCTTTAACATCACTTGTATCTCTTGTTCTTCCATGGCGGCCTGAACTTTGATTTTTCTGTTCAGACACAAACACTTACATAAAATAGAGAAAAGAGAAATATACAAGCTTTTACTTTTTCATTTCCATTGCTCTGTCCAGTTTCTGGAAATCATATATAAAGGTGAGTATTTTTTCTTCTTTCTAATTTCTTTGTAATTTATGTTTGAGGATTGTCGAACCATTTTCTTCTTTTTAATATACTGGTGTTTTTTTTTTTCCTTTTTTTTCCCCAAAATTTATATGGGATTATAGTGTAGCAGCATAAAGGTGTGAACTTGGTAGCTTTAATCACATGGGTTATGCTTGGATTTCTTCTAAGTTATTAGTTGGGTGATTTTTTTCTGGTTTATGCTTGATTTAAGCTCACTCTGGTGTTTCCAAGGTGGGATTGTACTGATCACTAGTATTATTGAAGTGAACCATGAGAAATTTATTTTCCAACATCTATTAAGCTCAGGTCAGATTCTGTTCATTTCTGGATGGGAGTTTAGATTCTGCGTCAAAGTTCACTCTTTCGATCACATATTCTTTCGGGTTCTACCAGGAATTTTGTGGTGTCTGATGTTATCACGGGAAGGGCTAAATATGGAAAAAAGGAGTTACTGAGCAGTATCTTTTACTCTCATGTGTCTTTCTGAGAAAAACTCTTGTGAGTTTGTATTTTGTAATGGTTTTAATGACGCTGGAACTGTATACACCTCCTTTGAATCACAGATATATAAAGTTGTAAAATTTTACAGTTCTATTGTTGATAAGATTGTTAATTAAGGATCTTAGTTGATATTCACAGTTGAAGTCGAATTTATGGAGCTTGTAGTAAAATTGAATTTGTGTTTTGGACTAAGTTATAGTGTGGCAGATTGTTTTTTGGGTTGAGGAAAATGTTTGATTTTTAGTTTTACATCATGCCTGTGGAAGAGTTTCACATCAAGGTTCTTACAATTTGTTGGTTTTCCTTTCATATATTCTTTGTAGTTGGGACTCAGTTTTGCCAATGGAGAACAATGAAGACACTGGTAGCCCTGGATGGGGTGCTTCATTCTTCATGCAGACAACTGAAGACGTTGCAAGGGCTGTTGCAGCAGCAGCAGCTGCTGCAGTTGCTGCTCGTTCACCACGCCCCTCGGTGGTGTATTCATCAAAGGATGAAAGTGGAAGCCAGCTTCAGAAACTTCAGAATCAAGTGTCTAGATTACTTAAAGGCTTGTCCAGTCCTCCTGAAGTAAAAAGTGGAAACTACAACCCTGAAATCCTAACCAGCCAAAAACGTCAATGGGCTAGCTTTCAGTTGCAGTCCCTGGTATGAGTTTCTTTTAAGATTTTATTTGGGCATATTCCCCAATATTGTTGATGTTGATGTTGGGAATATGTTAATGATATTCCGCAATGTTGTGCTTGTATCCCACTTTCCAACTTCTTACACAGTATTCCTTGCTGATTAGGATAATGTAGCGAGGAAGTACAACAAGAAATTTATTTGATCTATAATGTTTAATGAGTACATCCCTTTCAGGAACAAAGTGCCTATGAATGTTGTTACTTCTATTTTGATGATATGCTCAATAATCTTTAAGGCTGGATATTTCTCGACACTAATGAAATATGTGTTTGCAGGACCACAAAATTTGGAAAGAGCCATCTAGGCTGTTTGAGAGCATGGTTGTTGTCGGGCTTCATCCTCACTGTGACATTCAAGCCCTTCAAAATCTTTACTTTGCTAGAAAATTTGAAGGTTCGGGAAGATTTCGCAGTGCGCTCAATGGTCACCATCAATCCCGTGTCGAACCAAACCTAGAGCCGCAGGTGCAGTCTCTTACAGATGGATATCTAACTTGCTTGAAATATAGTCAAGAAGAAATATCATATCTGAGTTTGTTAAATAAACTTCAGGTTTTATTTGTCTATCCGCCGGAAAAGCAGCTGCCTCTGAAGTACAAGGATCTGTTATCTTTCTGCTTTCCTGCAGGAGTAGAGGTTTGTTTGCGATAGGGATTCTTCGTCTCTGGTTACATCCTTTGGTGACTGTTACTTTAAAAGTTTTCGGCTTGCCATTTGTAATTGGTTTGGTGAAGTGATTCATGACTGGGAGGTCCTTGTCCCCTTCACAAAATGTAAAAGGATATTTCTAGAGGATCTTTGGACACCTCAGCCTCATTATTTCTTATTAGTATTCCTTCGATTACATGCATGCGTGGAATAAAGTAGTTCGTTCAAGTTTCCTGTCTTTGAATGTATGAAACAAGAACACTTGTCCTTTTAGTGAAGTAACTAGCTAGCCCAAAAATTTTGCTTCTCTTTTCATCATCCTTGATATGTTTGAGGACTTGCTTCAGCTGTATGATGAGAAAAAAAGGAAAGCTTATTCCATCCAGCTCTTCCTATATTATTGTTAGTGGGTCTTTTTTAGGGATAACTGCTATAGACTCTTATCTCTGTTATACATGCTGTTCCCTGCCGGTTATCCTCTGCACAATTACCATTTCCACTAATTTGGATAAATTTGTCTTTTTGAGTCATAATGAAATGGTAATCAGAATATTTGTTTTATCAACTCAAGAAGCTAAGTTACTTGGGTACAAAATTAAGGCAACATTACAATTTTGGTTACCTATCTATTTTCTTATGAAATTCCATCAAAGTAATTTTAGCACCCAGTGAAAGAGTAAAGATTTGAGTTTTTGCATTCTTATGTTCTTCCTTTAAATAGCTTCTGCTTTGTTCATTTGGTTTTACAGGTTCACGCCATTGAGAGAACTCCATCTATGAGCGAGTTGAATGAGATACTTCTGGGCCAAGTACTGTCACTTTCTAAATTTACATCGGTTTTGTAAATAAAAACATTTGAGGAAGATCAAGTTTTTTTGATATATTGTGTTTGATTTTCCATATAAGAATAGTTTCTGTGCATGGAACTCTCTGGATGTATTCTGCCTTTTCCATTGGAAGCTTTTGAGTTTAAGAGTTCACCTTTTCGCGGATAATGTAGGAAAGACACATTTTTTTAATCTTTCAGCAAGATGATTCCTGAAATTATGGTTGTTGTTTTGCAGGAACACCTTAAGCAGAGTGACTTGTCCTTTGTATTCCGGTTGCAGGTAGTAAAGGATTCTTTTGTTTATTCCCTGCTATCGTCTCTTTTGTCTCATGGTTGGCAAATGTATTTTTGCTTTCTTTTTGGTCTTTTAATTATCACTGCGATGAGCGATTGAAATATTTTCCTGACGAGTTACTGGTTAGGGTTTCATTGTGCACCTTTCTTTTAACTGACTGTGTTATCCATGACTTGTTTCTTCTGTTTGGATGATTACGCCTATGTATTCGCTTTTTTTTTTTTTTTTCCTTTTCTTTTTGTCCCCTCATACTGGTTGTTCCATAATCTAAATAGCACTTGAAGTTGATTTTTAACTTTTTATTCAGTCATTCAACTTTGTTATCTTCAGGATATGCCTTTTAAGCTGCATCAAGTCTCTTTTGGTTTCTTGGCACATTTCTTTTGGTTTAGGTGATAATTAATTGTTTGTCATGTAGGTGGCTGATGACTCAACACTCTATGGTTGTTGTGTTTTGGTAGAAGAAATAGTGCAAAAGCCATCTGGATTAATTTCTATGATCTCAGATGGGCAACCTTGCAATTTAGGTTTGAGCCGCCATATCTTAACAACACGGCGTTGTTACTGCATCCTTTCCAGGCTTCCATTTTATGAATTACATTTCGGTGTGCTAAACAGGTATTTGAATTTGAATAAGAGTAGGGAAGGTATCCCTTGCAGTGCTTTGGCTGATTCTTTGTTGCAGTTTTTTTTTCAAGACCGAAGATTTCAACTATGGCTTTGGGGGCTTTTAATTAAGTTTCTGAGTTTTATTATCAGCATTCGATAAAAGGAAGATTCCATGTGTATGATAATCAAAATGCATCCTAGATATGGAATTATATATTTTGCAATTATAGTCATTTGTAGTACTTTGTTGCGACAAATTTAATAAACTGTGCAAGATCAAAATTTTTTTGCTGAATGTTTCCACAAGATGGCCCACAAATGTGTTATCTCAATACTACAGAAAACGTTGAAAATTGTTTTCGTGGATCAGAATGCACTGTTAGTATGTTGAAAAATTGTTCTTAGTTGCCAAATTCCATTTTATTAGAAAACAGAAATATTTCTCAACTTGTTATCGTAGCGCTGAATTGTGGACATGCTCTTTTTCCTTTATCATGAGGAAGTTGTGCATTTATCAATCCTCAGTTTATTTTGTTTTTATTAATTCATGCTTTCATTTTTTGTTGTTGTCACAGCATTTTCACTGAAGAGAGGTTGGAACGGTTAACAAAAAATATTGGTGACCTAGATTTAGAATTGGGCTGTGATAAAGAAGACACTTCAGAAGAGGAGTCTGGAAGTACTTCACTGGAAGATAGGGCTCAAGGCATGCTGAATGGGGTTGTAGAAACTTCTCAGTCAAGTTTAAGTGATTCCATTCCTGGAAGAGTTATAGATGATGGTTCTCACTTGGATCACCAGCTTTTAGAGGGGGATGTTCTCACATCAAAGAGAAGTGACGATGGGGCCGCTGAGGCTCTGGTTGAATCTGATACGGGGAAATGTCATGCTAAAACAGAACCTGTGGTTGAGTTGATTTCTGAAGTGTGTGATGCATCTGGTGATGATTTTGTAATAAACAAGCCACCTGCCGAAAGACGGTTACCTGATGCTGTATTGCCCCTTCTACGTTATCAACAGTATGAAAGCTCTGAATCTTCTTCGAGGTAAGGTTTCGTTTCTTTTGGCAGTTCATTGTCCTGTTCTTGTGCAGTCATCTTCCCTCTTTATGCTACTTTTACATTTCCTTGGTGAAGGGATAAAAGCAGTCTAGTCCATTGATCACTATTCTTTGAACTGAATGTATCGATGGTTCATATTGATTTTCTTTTGCTCTGATGCATGGCCAGTGAAAGTTCTTATCCAGCTGACTTGTCCACTCTCTCTCTCTCTCTCTCTCTCTCTCTCTCTCTCTCTCTCTCTCTCTCCTCCCTCCCTCTCTCTCTCTCTTCTCTCTTCCTCCACTGTTGCTATTTGGGGTTTCTCAATTCTGATTATTAGTCAACACAAGTGCGAATTGAGTCAGATTTCTCCTTATTGAGGTCATGGTTTTGCGTTGCGAATAACTTTTTAGATGGTTAAATGTGCAGAACTTTAGCATACCAACACTTGATAACTTCTTAGATTGTTGAATATCCAGAAAGGAAACTTACCTGTATTGGTAGATCACACTAGCTTGCTCCCCGTCAGCAAATTATCACAGTCCAATAAATGAGTCAATGCCCCTAATTCTGCTTGATGAAAGTCCTTGCTTCCGAAAGTCCAGAGAAATTTAGGCGCTGTTTGTTTCCTATTTTAGTGCGTGTTTTTAGGTTTTTTTTTTCCTATTGGGAATGTAAAAAGGTGTATGTGGAATGTAAAAAGGTATGCTGGGATGAGACAGTTATTAATATTTAATTCTGAAAAAACGTAGTAGAAATGGAAACAGTGTTATAGTCTACCAGAGGAAGCTGTCCTAGTTAATGATACACTTAGTTGGATGTCTCATCCTGAATTTTGAATGTTACATATAGTCCATATACGGCTTGAACATTGAGAACCTGATCTATTTCCGTCACGTATGTCTGTTTATCAACTTTTAACTATCTTTATGTTGTGGAATTAAAATGAGTTCTTTAATGCAGTTTCCAGGACTCACCTGCCGAAGGTAGAAACTTTAGAGGTGATGTTGATGAAACAGAGATGGAAGAGCCGTCCTTCTCTGGCCAGGATCATTCCAGTGAACACAATGATATTCTTGAGTGGGCTAAGGTTTGTATTTTGTTTATGTAGCTTATGTATATTTCTTATTACAAGAAATATCGAGAAATCACCTTCTGCCCCTTCTTTCTAGAAGCACAGAAGATTTGAGAAATCATGTCTGGATGGACATAATTTTCCTGTCTGTGTATTGCAGGCCAACAATCATGGATCGTTGCAAATTATATGTGAATATTACCAGCAACGGTGTCCCTCCTATGGTTCAACTATTAGATTCCATCCTCTGGAGCATCTTCATCCTTTAGAATATCATAGAATCGATGAAACAAATCTACAAGTTGCCGGATCGACAATTGATCTGAAGTCGTGCACTACTAGCTTGGAATTAGCTGAGGTTCTTTGTTGTAACTTTTCTACTGGGCTTCCGCCTCCATTGTCTTCTTTTTTTGCTTTTGGCGATTCTTCCAGATGGGGTTTATTTAATTAGCATTGTTGTGTTTTATAGGCTCACTGTGCTCTAATGGCGGAGGAGGAAGCTAATGCATTATCTGTATGGGCTGTTGCTTCCTTATGTGGCTCCTTGCGTCTTGAGCATGTAAGTTTGCTACTCTTTCAAGAGGAATGCGTGTCAGAATGGAAGGACGCCGTGCTCTTTGATTAGTGAAAAGCATCTTTTTGTATTTTGAGTATTCAAATTTTAAGTTAGGCGGGATCAGGTCTTTAAATTTGTGATAAATGTAAGGAAAGGGAAGTCAGCAGTAAGAGCTGTTACTATGTGGTGGCTTGAGGCAAGGAGTACCTGATATGCCTCCATTGAAATTTAAGGTAAGGGTGTGGGGGTGGGGGGCTTGAGCCTTCTGAAGACAGTGGATATGTGAGAGCTTTCTATGCTCATGAATGTCCGATGGTGGACATCACCCATGTTCACACAGTTTTTCCTAATAAACATTGAAATTGATGGTTGGATGGGTTCACCATCAACATCACATACCCAGTACATTTGCAACCAAGTTGGATGGGTTGAGCACAAAGAACTCATTGAGAATATGATATTTTGGGATTTACCAGTTATATGATGCTTATATGAGCTATTTACCTACGAATATTTTTACTTAGTGTTGGACTGTTATGATCATCTGTTACCTGTTTTCTTTTTCTTTTTTTTTCTCACTCCTGTTACTCCATATATGGAACAATGAATTCACTCCTTTTTATCCTGTAAATTGGCTAAGAGAGAACGTTGAACACTACTAATGGTTGAAATTTTAGGTTCTACCAATGACAGAATGTATGTTTTGCCACATAAACATTTCTTCTCTCGTCTTTTGTCCTGTTGTTACGTGTTTTATTTTAATTACTAAATTATTAAGCCTCCATGTTTATTTAAGCAAACTTGATGATACAAAATCTGAAAGCTATTTCTGTATCTGAAACTTTCAGGTCTTAACTCTCTTTGCTGGAGCCCTGTTGGAGAAACAAATTGTGATGGTCTGTTCGAATCTGGTACGTTTTTATTGTTTATTATTTTTTACTTTTTAGGTTTTCTTCCCATTTGCTTATATCGTGGTTGAAAAGGTCAATTCTACAGTTTTTCGAGCTAAGTTTAGGCCTCTTTAAAAATGCTAACATATTTAAGGGCAACATCCCGGATTGTAAAATGGTTTAGGCTGGTTGCTACTCGCTAAGAGTTTTAAGTGGTTGGACTTGCTGCTGTAAGAAACTACTCATTCTTATTCTCTTAGTTTATAAATGTTGTCAAGATGGGTCATTGGTTATGCAGTTATTTTCAGACATTCTTGTACCATACTTTCCTTGGATTCACCAGACTTCATCTTTCTTTGAATAAGCAGGGAATATTATCTGCTGCAGTTCTTTCAATCATCCCCCTGATTCGTCCTTACCAGTGGCAGAGTTTGCTGATGCCGGTATGTATTTTTCTTTGCAGAAAAATTGTTCAAATTTGATTTCTCCAGAGATCACTCTTGTTTGGTTCATTTTATTTCCTAGCTACGTAATTGTGTCCTCCTGTATAAACTTTCAGGTTTTACCGAATGATATGTTGGACTTTCTGGATGCGCCTGTTCCTTATATTGTGAGTGTTGTTTTCATGTTGCTCTCTTCCTTCTTGGTAGTTGTTCCTGACTGTGTTTCGCGCTATTTTATCTGCTAGACATGTGTAATCAGCAGTGGATGGTGTCTTGCTGATTCATGATTATTATGACAATGGACATGTTTTTTCTTCCCTGGGGTATGAGATCCATGTGCATTTAGTTTCCATTAAGTTTACAAGGTTTGAGAGGGGTGTTAATCTAATTATGTTAAAAAGTAAATAATTGTTCCGTTAATGTCTTTCTTTATTAAAAAAAAAGAAAAAAGAAAAAAAATTGATGGCGATAGTGAGAATTGCCCTCGACCTCCTAGTAATAACCATCCCCATCCTAACCCCTGAATTTGAACTGGAAAATCATGTTGAGATGATTTATTTTCCCTATCTGAATTGTGGCTCTAATTTTATTGGAAGTGGAATATTCCAAAGTAACTTCATTTAGTAAAGCTTCTTAAATGGTTCTGGACTGTTATAAAAAAAATAATTCCTAAAAAAATGGATCTGGACTACAGGTTTCATGATGCCTTTTTAGGATGAGACCTCTTTGCTAGTCCCTCTTCCTGACTTTTTGCTTAGTGACTGTTGATTATATGTCAAACAGGTGGGTGTGAAGAACAAAACCTCTGAGGTGCAGTCAAAGTTGACAAATGTCATTGTTGTTGACGTAAACAAAAACCAGGTACAGTCACTTAAGATCAACTGGTTAGGAGATACTGCTTGTTTCATCTCCTTTTTTTTCAAGGGTTGTTCTTACAACATAGTTGTTTTCAGTGTTTCTTTTGATCTTTGGCTAAGAGTAGAGATATAGGTGAAATAATTTTAACCTGGCTTTGTTAAAAACCTTGATTAAATGGAAAATAAGTGGAAAAAGGTTATCATGATAAAGAAACTGGGCTTAGAGTAGAGATATAGGTGAAATAATTTTAACCTGGCTTTGTTAAAAACCTTGATTAAACAGAAAATAAGTGGAAAAAGGTTATCATGATAAAGAAAGTAGGCTCTCCATCATTTAAAGCACAAATAGATACTAGTCTCTAATCTACTTTGGATCTTTAAGGAGGGCAAAGAATCTTTAAAGTCTTCATGAGAAGACATGATAGAGGTCTACTTGTGGTCGATTGCATATATCGTATTATGTACTTCATTGCCCAAGTGCATCCCATTGGTCTGAGAAGTATGTGTTGACGTTCGTCTAGTCTCATTAGCTACATGTTTTTTCAAGATGATTTAGGACTTCTAGTGCCTTGGGAACAATACCTTCAGAATTTTGTATGTGATGAGAGCAACAAACTTTGATGAATTACTAAAAAGCCGTCATTCCATTATCTATGGTAGACTGTATGAAACGCATATCTGGGCGTAAATTGATCAGAGTAAATTTGGTGTAGTCTCTGCGTGAATTTTTTTTCATATTCATTGCTGATTGCAGAGTTTTTTGAAGAAACTGTTTGCACTTGAAGCGTACTTTGGGGACCTTTTTCTTGTTTGTAATGTTATTTATGATAGGGAAACTTGATTGCTACTGCCAATGTAGTCTGAATGTCGATCTTTAAAACCGGCAACAGGTTAAGTCCCCATCTATACCAAGCCTACCCCAACAGAAGGAACTATATCAGGCCTTAAGTCCTTACCATGCGAAACTTGTGGGGGAAAGTTACTTAGGGAAGAAAAGGCCGATTTATGAATGTACAGATGTGCAGGTATGTACAATTTTGTCTGAATAATCTAGTGTGATCTCTCTTTAATTGCCATTAAAGTATTTTAGCAACTTTGTCAATATCCAGGAAATTCTTCAATATTTAAATCGATTGTATCATGTGTCTAGTTAATTTGTGCATACTCAAACAGCAACTCTGTGTTCATACCACCTTATGGGATTGTTTATATGGATATTGTTGGTTACACAGTCTGTCATAATGCCTAGTTTCATTCAAGTTTAGATTTTTCATGTATTTTATAAATAGTTTAGCAAGTTTTTTTAAGGCCCTACCTCTCTCCATTTGATTTGAATTAATATTGTTCTAGTTTCTACCTGCAAAACTGTCGAGCTTGAATATGAGGAAATTACATGTTAATATTTTTTCTCCTGGGATCTTCTGATCAATATGGAGCTCGATATTGCTTCATATGCTGCTTTTCATTTTAAAAAATTATTGCTTTTCTCCCCTGTTACGATGGTTAATTATTTTATCTTTATGGAAATCTGTTAGTCCCAGTGGAATAAACAATATCGAGGCTTTATATGTTCTTCACCTTGCATGTTTCTATGTGATCTCTAAATGTAGGATATGTTGTACAAGCTTATGAGACATCCAGATACAATATGAGGGCCTAAACTTTTTTTTTTTTTTTAAATTAAAGTTCTTATTTTGCCTTGCACTGCTAATCTCTTCCCTAAAGCTTTTGTTCTTGGTTTTACTTTTCTCTTTTTATCAGGTTGAAGCTTCCAAAGGTTTCCTATCAATTTTGAGGACATATTTGGAGTCTCTCTGCTCGAACCTCCGTTCTCACACAATCACGAACGTGCAATCAAATGATGATAAGGTTTGTGCTTTGTTATTAGATGTTCGATTTAAAGGTTGATGCCTCCGTTTCTCTATGCTATAGTTCATACTTTGGAGCATTCTCTTGACACAATTAAAATGTTTGATGATCTGTTATTCTGTACACGATATAAAATCATCCCAATCGTCAGCCATGGGGTTCTTTTATGAAGGCTCTAAGCTGAATGGATATGTTCTAATTTTGAGATGTTATTGAATTGCATTGTGCAACGACGTAGTCGTCAAATAGTATTCTGCTGCTTGAGGGATTTTATAGTCGTAGTCGTCAGTGGCCTAATTCTTCTCCGTGATTTGCTTGGTGATGTGGGATGCTGAAATAATAAGCTGTTGGCTATGTCATAATTATTTGTTGTTGCACATTAGGCACATTGCATTCTATCTAGTATGCATGCTACCTCAAGCTGGTAAATGTGATTTGTAGTTGACTGCAAGGTTTCTTACCATGGATGCAAATAACATCTTCTCATGGTGGTGCAATTTATTTTTGTTGATCATCTTTTAGCATTGATCTTCTTTAGCATCAGTTCTGATTTGTATTTTGCTGTTAGGTATCTTTGCTTTTGAAGGAGAGTTTCATAGAGTCTTTCCCTAGTCGTGACCGAGCTTTTATGAAGGTATGTTCTTTAGTGTAGAAGTTAGTGAGCTTCGCCTGTCCCTTTTCTGCGTATCCTTGTATAGAGTTGACTGATGGGCTCTTTTCTCTATATGGTGCAGCTTTTTGTAGACACACAGCTATTCTCGGTTCATACGGATTTTGTACTATCCTTCTTCCAAAAGGAGTAGATTGCCATAGTAGTTAGTATTGGACTTGGCAATGAATAATGCTATGCAGCAGAACGCAAGTTCTGTAACTAGAGCATTTACCTTTTGGTCTTAATATAATTGTCTTTATTTGAGGTGGTTCATCTAAGTTCCTTTTTTTGGCTTTTCTCAAAATAGTTAGTAGACTCTCAAATGTACCCTTTTTGGCAGAAAATAACTCCCCACCTAATATCTTAGGCTGTTTTTGAATATGTAATTCAACTGACAAAGGCAGTTGTATACAAAATTCATAATGTATATAAGTCGTTCATGTGTCCCTGTCATTATTTCTCTCGCCCTTGTAGCTCTAGTGTACAGCAGATTTGTTGTTTGAGGTCCACAGATTTTCTGGTGATGTATATTTGCTGAAGCCGGTGACTAATTGTGTGATCTGAATCATTTTATCACCGAGCTGCAGTTACCTACTAGTTTAGGACTTCCTCCATAAGGTCTGATATTAATTTGATAACACATTCTTCTATTGTTTTTCTGCAGTAATATTTCATGATACAATTAATTTGCAAAGGTAACGCTTTCAGTTGCATGTCTTGTACGCAGATAGCTATTTCACCGCCAGTGATGTGTGCATTGCGTAGCTGTCACTCCCCATCCCTCTGTATTCAGGTCCTAGAGGGAGAGAACTGAGAAGACCTCTACTGCTTCCTGCTAGGGAACTGGGATGGTTATGGTTCTGGAAGACACTTATGTTTCAGCAATTGTGTTTTGTACCGAGGTACAGAGATATAGTTATCCTGCTAGGGAACGGGGATGGTTATGTTTCTGGAAGACTGGTGTGTTTCTGCAATTGTGTTTTGTACCCAGGTACAGAGATAGAGTTATCTGCATTGGTGTTAATGGAGTAAATTGTGATCCCGCATGTAAAATGTATTGGTCTCAATAGTGGAATTTACCGCGTTTTCTACACATCACATTTTTTTCTCCTTTTTTGGCCCGTTATTTCTGAAGACACTTCTGCAGTTGCTCATTACAGAGTAACCTTAAATGTCATGTGTAGCAGCTCCAATAAGACTTGGATGTAACGGGAGTTTGAATGATATAATGCTTTAGCCTTTTTAGATCACGATCCGGAAACGGGCAAAGGTCCATGGCAAAAGGATTTCCAAGCAAGTACGAAGCATATACACCATAGTTGAACAAGCTTTTCAGTTTTGAGACCAGAAATAAATACATAGAATGGGGGACATCAAGACATGACCATTGCTGCCGTTTCCAGAAAAAAAAAAAAAAAAAGACATGGCCATTGCTTAATAGAGTAAATTTGACACAAGTACTATTATGCGAAATCTATTTTGCAAAAATCATAAAAACTTGGATTAGCACCCTAAATTCGAGATCATACATGGAAGCAGCTACTATAGCGCAAACAAACGATTTCGAGAAATAAAGGTCCACACAAAAAACTACGTCATGAACTTGTAGCAAGATCAATTATTAAGCGAAATACAAGTAAAAGAAAATCTTAGGCTTAGCAATCAGATGATACACCAACTCTTTAAGTAGTCGCTTCTCTAGTAGATAGATTACTGTCGAAACTCAGTACATCTGCTTCTGCAAGTTCTACATCAAGGCGGACAACTAACAAACCCCGGCACCACTATCTGCAGTTCCTCGTCATATCATCTTTTCTTGAAGCCATACTTCTTACGCTCATAAAAGAGATCTGTTTTAGCACTTCCAAGATTCACAATTTTTGGACACCCATCTCGATCTTTCTCTTGTTGTGTACACTCCTTACAGTAATAGGCATCAGAAATACCCCCTCCTCCACAGATGACGCAGCGACCCTGAAAAGAGCCATAATTACATTCATCACAGACTCTCACCAGCGTGCAAGGACGAACATAAGAATCACAGATAACACACTTCCCATCACATTTTTCACAAAGCCGCCCAATAGCTATCCCAGGCTGCTTGCGGCACATAATCAAATCAGGATGATGCTTTGCCATGTCTTAAGATCGAAACTGAAACCTACAAAAGCAACAAAACTCAAGGAGCAAATATTAGTAGATATTTCAAGAATAGACCCCAGCGGTAGAAATTGAAAGCTAGAAAAGCTAATTTATATTAACCCAAGCATAAATAACAAGGCGGTAGTGCTTCTCTATTCAAAAGGTGTTTTCATGACCAAAAGCTAATTGGACTGCTTGTCACCTAACAAAAAGGATATCTAATCCTAAAAGAAAACTAACAATATAAGCTTTTCCAACACCAATATGGATTCATGATAATGTTCCTGCATCAAGAAGCATGAATATAGAATATCAAATTTCCAAGTTGATCCAACAGGAAGATAAAAAAAAATCAACATAAACCAGAACACTAGTAGTTGTTGACTGAGGGAGACCTGACACCGCATGAAAAACCACAACGTAGACAAGTGAATGTTCAATCAAAAAATTTGTTTCAACAGTAGACAAAAATGGCACATTAATAGCACGAGAACAGACATGAATTTCCGGTGAACTGATACAGTGTTCTCAACATTCTATAGCTAAAGAGTCAGACTCGGTAGCAGTAAACAGGTGAATTTCTCTATCCATTACAAAACCAACAACATCATGAATTCCTGCAACTAATCTGACTAGCTTCAGCAGTTCATCCAAGTCAAGTTTCTTGGCAGCAAAAACCATCATATCAGTAACGAGTAACACACAAAAGTCTTTAGAATCACCAGAACAAAAAAGCAAAAAAACAAAAAAATTAAAATTGAAAGAGATTCCACCAGAATACTCCTAACAAATACATTGTATGATGAAGCATAATAATACTAGATACCACAAGTTAGCTTTGTACCCTAAACCTGGAGAACACCCAAAATACAGACAAGTAAGGTAATGCGCACCCCTTTTCACTGTCAAAAGACTAATTAATCAATAAATTCCTACCGATTTCCGAAGGATCCGACATGACAAGAACAGGCAGGAAAAAAGTATGCTAATAATTCCGCAGACAATCGGAAACCTAAGAAAACCTAGGAAACAATCACTTGTCCAAAATTAAAGAAGAAGGCAGCATTGGTGTTTCTTACCTTTTCAATCGCGTTCAAGTTCACGCTCCGGCACCTATACCGCCCTTCTGGAGGAAGAATCTGCAAACGATAACTCTCGCCAAGAACGTCGGCAACTGAGTTCCTGAAACACGAACGGGGAAGGTAAACTAAAAAAAAAGGCTGAAGTAAGGCGGTAGCAAAAAGCAATGAGAGGGGAATCTGAAAGGCTATTCTATAAGTTGGGGCTATTTTCATAAATACATGAAAGAATTGGATCTTGTTTTGACTTTTGAATTTGATCAACTTTTTCACACTTCCAGAAAACTCTTCGAGTTTCTTGAATTACTAATTTAACCACGACAATTTCTAATTTTAATTGAATTTCCAAAAAAAGTACCAAGGAAATATTTAGACGCATTAATATAAAAAATTAATTCATTTGAATATAAATAATAATATAAAAGTTGACTATCAAAACCAAGTATATCACCCTAACCAAACACGATAATTAATAATCTAAAATCTTAGAGTATGTTTAAATTGTTTTTTTAGTGTGTGTTTTTAGGTGTTTTTTGTATTAGGAAGGTAAAAAGGTGTATTGGAAATGTAAAAATATATAGAGTACAATTTGATCACCCAAGAGCTGTGTTTCACTTGGGATTGGGGATAGCGTAGAGTTTGTGAATGGTTCGAGTAAGTGGGCTAGTCCGCTAGTAGCATTATTGTTCACATGGTCAAGGAGGAAAGCCAGCCCGGGATCTTGGATGGACTTGCTAGTGCCATTGAGGAGCTTTTTGAGCAGGGACTAGAATCACTAGATAGTGGAAAAGATTCATGTTCGTAGAAAAATTAATTTTGCCGCAGATTATATAGTCTTATTGGTAGTAGAGGGATCGTTAGGTCTTTAACGATTAACACAATTTTATTATTATTATTTTTTTTGGAATAAAGATTGTATTTATTCCATTATACGAAGAGAAAAAGTACAGACTCCATACAGAAAATACAAGTGTTTAGACAAAGCCAAGAGCTAAACCACTTCAATCAATCCAAGACACAATCTTGTCAAAAATAAAAAATAATCTATCAAGAAAAAACTGGACTAATACACATCTTCGCAGCCTAAAGTTTGTTCTTCTGAGTACTCTTCATCTTTTTTATCTTTGTCAAGTTCAGACTCAAATCGAACTTAATTTTCTGCTTAATCTCAATCCCTCTAGGAGATTCACTTCTAAGAATAAGTCTATTTATGGCTTCCCAAATGAAATAGACACTTGATACAAAAGTGCTTTTAGTAATACTATCAGCAACTGAGCTGGATCCATAATGAGATATCATCCAAGATACCAAATCATTCTATGGGATCAAAGGAGTAGAGACATGGACTAGATTCATAGCAAGGTTAAAGAGATGACTTGAGAATAAGCACTCAAAATATAGATGATCTCTGCACTCACTTTGCATACTACAAAAATCACATCTAGCGTTAATAAACTGATCAAATAAAGCTACCCTTTTTTTAGTCTGAAGTCGACCAAGTATAGCTAGTCAAGCTATGAAACTGTGCTTTGGGACAAAATATTTGCCCCAAATCAATTTATACCACTGGACAGAAGGATAATCAGGCACTATAGTTAGAAAGGTACCAGATGAAGAAAACGCATGTCCTTTACCTTTCCAAGTAAGTACTCCAGTGGCAGATCTGTTAGCACATTGTAGTGGAAGCTGTCTCAAATTCATGATTTTCTTCATAATCCAAGAGGTACTTTGAGTGGTCCTATATTCCAAAAATCATGATTTTTCAAGTAGTATTTATGAATCCATTTGACCCAGCAACTATCAGATTTCAGAGCAATATCCCACAACAGTTTTAGCATCAAGGCTAAGTTTGATGATACTAAGTCCCTAATACCTAAACCACATTGAGTGAATGGTTTGGATATATCTTTTCATGCCTAAACCACAATTTTATTTTATTGGTTATAACTTTACGTAATTATAATATCATTTCCTCAAAGTATCGTAACTTGAATTATGCGTCTTTCTACCAAAAAAGAAAAAAAGAAAAAAAATACTAAAATGCAATTCTAAGCTAAAATATCACAAATCGACCTAATTAAGTTGATTCTTTTTGTGAAGATACTATAGATTTGTTAGTGTCGAACTCTTATACTAGACTTATCAGTTATAGTTGTCAAGATGGATACATTATAGTAAATTGAATATAGTTATTTTGTAATGTTGTCCTTAGAACTTTGAGGATACCTTTTTAGTATGTAGGAATACACAAACATTCTCTTTATCTAAGAAAAACAAGAGTACTAAACATGTACTCTATCTTAGAAGTTTACCTTTGACCCTACTACACAAACCAATTTGATGAAAAATGGACCGCGGGAGTGAGATTTTCAATGTGATTTATTTTTTTATATTATCTTTATTTGACCATTGGTATTTTTCTTAATTCGTTTTTTTTTTTTTTGGGTAACGCTGGAACCCCTCCAGAGATGGGTAAACCCACGCCCACTGCAATAACCTGCAAATCACAGTGGGAGATAAACCACCATGGACAAGCCCGGAGTGACAAAATCTCACTTCAACAAGAGTGAGAGGTGGTTCTAATCTTGACAATGGGCACCTCTAGAGGGCTTATTATGACAAACTCACTCATAAACTCTTGATTTTGCGTTCTTTTTCTTAGTAGTAAAAAAATCAAAAATTAAAGAAGTTGAGCATTTACTTCAGTACACCAAAGTATCAATTTAATCGAAGCAAAAACAAGGTTCAATCAAAAGAAACACAAATGATAAACGAATTGATCTACCTTTACAAGGTAAAATCGTGATTGAAACATGATATTATTGAAGTTTTTTATTCATAAAATATTTTAATTTAATTCTTGTTAGACTTTAGCCTTCATCTTTGTAAAAAAAAAAAAAATGATATCTAGATGTAATACGTATACATTACTCGCACCGAAAAGAACGGTATATAATAATAAGAGGCGCGCAGGCCAAATCTTATTCAAAATCAAAATAATTGTAAAGCTGTAACTAGGCTAGCTACTAGATAGCTACAGCTTTATATGTGAGTTACTCCATTACAATACAACAGTAAAGGGGAGGTGCAAAGTGGTAAAAGGTAATGAGAGGTCAGGGAAGAAGGAGGAGGGAATTCAAAAACTTTCAGGTGGATCAGAAATAAGCACTGAAACATCCTCCCTTATCTGAGAAAGGTTAAAAAAAAAAAAAAAAGGCCTAAGTAGGTAGTGGGGTGGAGCTGGTAAAGTTTAATGAGAAAAGTAAAAGTAGAGAGGAGCAGCAGTAAAAAAAGATTGAATTGAAACCCCTCCCGTACAGTCTTCTCTCATGATCTTAGCCAGTAGCCACTCCCTGCATTTCTGACTTTTCAGTAAGTCACCAACTCTCATACATATATAATATACCACCATCATGTCACTATTCTCTCTTTTCTTTTTTTGCAATTTTGTTTTCATGTCATTGGTTCATTGCTAATCAAAACCACCTCATTTCAGTCTGGTGTGTGATTTAGTAAATTTAACTAATGCCAAGGATTGTGGTCTATGGATGGTTATCAAATCTAGAGAAATTACATGTATATGTAACTTTCTTATGAGACGAATAAAATATTAAATCAACTACGACAATATAATGTATTATTTTCTTCAAGTTCATTAGTCAGTACCAAATCCATAGTAACTAACTAATAAGCAACACATGCTAACTATCTATTTGTTTAAATTTGTAGGTTAGGTTTGAGCTTTGATACAACAATTATTGGCCTCGATAAAGAAGACTTTTAAATTATACTTACAATTACGAAAGAAAACTCTTTTCACCTCAGAATAAACATCAAATAAGACCATCATTTTAGTACAAAGGTGATATGGCCATTAGGCTTCCCTGATTTTCTGTAACAAATTCTTAACAAATGAAGTTCTAATTAACAAGCACATCCATACAGTAAAAATTTAACTCTATACTGAGAGATAGGAGGAAAAACAATTTGGCTTTGGCATTAAGTCATTATAGTGACATATGATATTTTCCCCCCTAGGGCCTAAACTCATACCACCAGAGAGAGAGAAAGCTAATAAGATAGGACCCAGGGGACTAAAAACCCTGCTGCACAGCCCTTTAGTTTATGGATTTCCGTATTTGGGTGTCAGAGACAAGAGCTGCCATAAAGGCAGCATAGTTGCAGCAGTGTAGCAGCAGATGCAACAGAGTGCTGCAGTCATAATATAATGTGCACAGTTACACGTTCTGGAGAGAGAGAGCGAGCCTGTGTAGGATACTACTTTTTACTCCTACTGATACTGTGTCTCTGTGACTGTGTGTGTGTGTGTCATATTGTCATAACATTAAAGAGAGCGAGAGAGAGAGAGAGAGAAGGTGTAAAATGGCAGGCAGCTGCTAATATTTTTTCAGAACCATTAGTTTTATCCATGTACAGAAGATTCTGCAACTCCAATGGTCCCTGAAATAAATATACCTACTCCTTCTCCTCCTACACTCTTCCTCTTCAATCTCTCCCCATTTAGTAGGACTACAGTATAAACTGATCAAAATTGGATTCCAGGAATTTGAAGCTATTGTTGCTGGATTTTTTTTTTCTTTCATCCATTTCTCTGCTTCCCAAGTTCTTTGAATAATGAGTACTGCTACTGCAAGTAGAAATAGTAGTACTAGTGGTAGGTTTCCTTTCACTGCATCTCAATGGCAAGAACTTGAACACCAAGCTCTGATCTTCAAATACATGGTTTCTGGGATGCCTGTTCCTCCTGATCTTCTATACACTGTCCGAAGAAGCTTGGATTCCTCCATCTCCTCCAAACTCATCCTCCACCAACCTCAACGTACGTATATAACAATAAAGCATCCAACTTTACTACTTTACACTGTTTAATTTGAAGAATAAATGAGGATTCCAAGTTACAACAGAAGGAAAAGGGTAAAAAAAGATCAGTTTTTTTTTTTTGGTCATATACTTCTCTTGATGCTGATTTTGTTTCTGTGATGAAACTGTGAATTTGCAGTGGGATGGAACTGTTTCCAGATGGGATTTGGGAGAAAAATCGATCCAGAGCCAGGAAGGTGCAGAAGAACAGATGGGAAGAAATGGAGATGCTCAAAAGAAGCTTACCCTGATTCCAAATACTGTGAAAGGCACATGCACAGAGGCAGGAACCGTTCAAGAAAGCCTGTGGAACTTATCACAACACCAACACCATTTTCAACATCACTATCAACTAACAACACATCATCATCTTCATCATCAACCCCAAACCTTAATCCACCAACAGCCATTCCCCTTTCATCTATGTGCAGCAAACCCACCAATAATAATAACTCTGCTTTTTCACCATCTAGTCCCACTTCTCATCACTCTTTCTCTTGCCTCACTTCATTAGCCCATTCTGAGCCACCCCATCATCATACTAGTTATTCCACTAGTTCTGGAGCACATTACAACCATCCTAATTTCCTCTTTACCCATTCATCCTCCTCTTCACAAGAAAATGCCACTACAAACTTTCTGTTGGGCTCCAGGGAGCCTTATTCTCATGGTGGTGGCAGCAAAGGATACAGGTGACTACAGTTAGTTTTCTGGTTCATTTAATTTACTGCTTTATCTAAAGATTGGTGGATTTTCTTCTCTTTTTTTTTGGGGGGGTAGTAAATATTGTATATGCTGCTATTTTACAGTTATGGTCAGGGAGGTAAAGAAGAGGTTGATCATGAGCATGCATTTTTCTCGGAGCCTTCTGGGACAATAAGAAATCTTTCTGGGTCTTCAACAGATGAATCCTCCTGGCAATTATCACCATTAACAATGGGATCTTCACACATGGGCCATATGAAGCAAGAAAGATGTTATTCAGGTGGACATTGTCCTAATAATTACTTGCAACTTCAGAGCCTCAACGACAAAAGGCAGCAACTTTATCCGATGGGGACTTATGATGATAAGAATCACGAGTTGGGACTAATGTTGGATCGAGATGATCAACCCAAGAAAGTGATGCACCATTTCTTCGATTAATGGCCTCCAAAATACAAGAGGTTAGTAGTAATACAGATAAATCATTCAAATTTTAGTTACTGTTTCTAAAAATCCCAGCTTTCAATTTCCAGGCCCAATTAACTAAAAGTTTTTTTTTTTTACCATTAACTGATCATACAGTTGTGCAAATGCAAACCCATTTTGTCCATTACACAACTTCCGTCCAGAATTTGACCCCTTCTGCTTTGCTGCTTTTGATTTTTTGCAGATAAATGATGGCTAATGAATAGTGAGAATCTGAATCCGAAAGGACAAAAAAGTACTGAATGGTGGTGGGTCTTTTCAACACTTCTGTGTTCTATCTTTTCTGTATACATAAGTAGTGAGTGAGTGAGTGAGTGCGGTGGTCTTTGAACTGTTCTTTTTTTTCACATTTGTCCTGGGAATTTTTATAATTGTTTGTTGTCAGTAACGTTGTTTAGTGCTAATAGTAAGGATCACATGTAATAGTATAATGTATCTTTTAAACCTGATTGCAATGTTTGAATGGGGCTAATCAGGTCAGCAGAAATGTCTGGATTTTGCCCACATGCGCCTTTGATGTCTTTATTCACAGGTGGCTTTGAAAAATCATCTTCTCCATTTATTTGATTCTCTTTTTTTTTTTTTGCTTCTGGTTTGCGTTCAGTTCAGACAGTAGAAAGCTGATGAACTCTATATATATATATAAAAGCTTTTGGGTTGTAGTAGTAGTAGAATTCTGTAGCTAGCAATAACAACAGCGAATGATGGACCCTCTGTCAAAACAATTTGGCTTCTGGCAAACTTGCCAAGTAGCTAAGTTCATTTAAACAATTGGCCTGTGAGACCTGATGATGATGATGGTGAACTAGTTTGTTTTTTTGCCTCCTTTGACTGTATTAAATGTGGTTATATATCCTGCCAGAAAATGTTGCAGAAATTTGTTGGACAGAGTTAATGACTCGTGCTCAGTGGCCTTTTGCATAATGAATGAATACAGAAGAATTCCACCCTCCAAAAATAAACTAACTGTACCATTTTTGCATGTATAAGCAAATAACCATTCTACTACTAAATTAATCTTTCAAGGCTGAAAACTTGTTCCAATCAATCCTACGTTATACAACAGCAGATGGACTAAACAGATTTCATATTTACTACTTCATTCGCGATTTCCTTTTGGCGGTTTTAAAGGCGATTACACGGGACTATTTAGCTTATTATCTGCATAGTGGCGTCTTTACCATTAAGTGGTTCATCATTTTCCGGATAATGATGTGGTTTTACCAATATATAATTAACCTTAGGAGTTAAAATATAGATTTAACCAAACCCCGGGAAGAAATGTAAAAATGGAAAATAGAAAGAAGAGTACAGATGCTCATAAATTTAGCAGATATTCAGTTCTGAGAAGGAAGTAAGTGGTGCACGGGGAATGGAGCGAATTGAATAAGAACAGTAATAGTAATAATAACACTGTTACTGTTGCAGTGAAGGGGAAGGGGAGTTTTCAGACTGAGACCTCAGAAAGGGTCTGGTCAGACCGACATTAATGCTTACTACAAACTAAAAACAAAGTACTTACAGACTTTTTACTGTTTCAATGCCTTCCCTTTTCTTTTCTTTTTTTTTTTTCCCTTTCGTTGTTTCAAAAATTTGCTCATTCATCAGCATCCATCCATCTTTTTGCAGGCCCTTTTTTTTTTTTTTTTTTTTTACCGCACCCACAACACACACACATGATGGATCAGGATCATTCATCATCATCCATCAGTACTTATAAGTAATCAGTTCACTGTACCGTACACTTTTGTTGCAATTTCTCAGATACCCACACTACTCTTCTGACTGCACCTCACTCTTGTACTTACTTTACTGTTTTTACCATGACTTTGTCTCTGCCTGCTCTCTCTGCCCAGTCATTCCCACCATTAAAACTGACTTCAAACTTCAAACCCATATATGATTCCTCCTCATTTTCCTACTTTTGGAAACCTGTTCTCTTGATTAATTCTCCTGGATTGGGCTAATTTGGGCGAATCTAACTTTAAACTTCCCCGAATTTTTACCCATTTTTCCTGCGTTTGCGCCTCTTCTTTTCATTTTTTATTTTTTCCTTAAGTTTCAATAATAACAATATTAACGACATAGTACTCGGCAGCGCAGGATTAGATCAGATTATAACAACGGAGTTTCGAGAATTTCAATCCATGCGCAGGTTAACCAAAAATAAAAATAAAAACCTAATCCGGGCAAAACATATTTTCGGAGTATAATCCACGAGAACTTGATTGAAAGCCATAAATTACTCTACTTCTAAAATATTAATAATAAAGGGCGTTTTAAACCGTACTAAAAACAACTTAAAAAATAATAACAATAATTGGCATTGACGAGCCTAGGACCCTGAAGGCCTGAACAACACAGATGATTATATAAATCATAGCCCCGTAGGATATTTACATCAACAACATATGAGATATACCTACACTTATGTTTACAAGTTCACCAACTACAATGCTATCACGAGTTAGAGGAAAGTCGAGCACGCAAGCGTGGGGCTTATAGATTCAATAACAATACGTACCCTCACTAAAACTACCTGATATTCTTCACAAGGTCAGACCAAGTGAACTTCGGAAGGCCATGCAAAACATTCTTGCAATTGTTCTCCAAAAAGAGGAGGATGTCCAACGGAGATAGAGGAGACAGATGAAGTCTTGTAGTTCAGATGTCTACATAGTGGCCGTAGTTAATCTCAGTAAGCAAGATCAACAAAAGCATCTCCTACTCATCTTTCACATATTCTTCCATATCTAAAACATCATCCGACACTCCAGCACCATGGTTAGCCAGCGGTTGGCCTTAAGGTTCAATCTTCATCGGACGACCATGCTTGCCTCCGTCGACTTGCATTGGAAGGAACCTTCAACAATGAAAATGATTTCAGAATATAATTTTTCAAAAATAATAAGATATTTTAAGCTCACGATGTCTTCATGAGGAAACAAATGCTGTTCACATCCAATAACATAAAAGATTTTTTTGAATTTCGCACATTGCTTACAGCAATTTAAGGTACTAAAACAGGAGTAAGAAGCATTTCACCAAAATAGAAATGAAAAGGAAAAAAAAGAAAAAAAAAAGAGTAAAAGGCATTACATGTACTAAAAACACCCAAAGACACCTCAATCACAACCAGAGAAGTTCATAAACCTTTAACTATAGGACGAAACATGCAACACAATCAATAACTAAACCCCAAACGTGCAAAGAGTTGCAATTTAGTTGAATGGTACTCTACACTCAAAGATCGGAATGTCATTTCACAATAGAATTTATACCGGTCAACAAAGTGGTTCCAAGAGGTAGAAATAATGCGCCCTAGATATTCAAATGTGTGAGAGAGAAATAAAGAGAGAGTGAGAGAGAGTTTACAGTGTCTTCCTCTGCATCAGAGTCTTCAAGGCCTGCTGCTGCAAAAAGATCCTGAGGATTGCCATCAGTTTGATCAACCTTATCATCATCTTGATGGTGAGACACACTGTATATCTCATCCTGATCCTCCATTGGTTCTGCTTCGTCAGATTCATATTGTGCCTTCTTCTCCCTCTTCCTTCTTTTTCCTCCTTTTTTCTTCTTCTCACCGTGGCGCTCCTCATCTTCATTCTGAGACCTATCCTTCCGCTTAGTGGCAGGGGTACTCCATTGCTCCTACAGACCAATCATGATATTTCATATTCAAAGAACAAAATATTTTTGAGATGATGGTCGAAGGTCTAAAGACTTCATTAATCTATATTTTTGGCAACAAAATGACAAATCCCGTTGGATAGCTAGAAGTCCCTAGTCACTATCAGATTGTTCAAAGTTTTAAAAGACAATGCATGTGTAAAATTAGGACCATATCTGTAACAGATTCCATATTGGTCTAAACTAAGGGCCAAAATGATTTTCTTACCTCATACAAATTGCTTAACTTTTTGATATTTTACTAAGCAGTATTCAGCTTTAATAAGCAAGTGTGCTCCAAGAAGTACAAATACTTATCAGATTGTCTAAAAAATCCTTAAATTCAAACAATCTCACAAGATGCTGGGTACACTGTAAAGCTATAGATCTGGAGTGCTAGCAATGACATGAAGTGTAATCCCCTAGCTCGTATCAAACTAAAATTTTCAGCGACAGATGAGCAAGATGTCTCTATGCGGCCCACTTTGTCTAATGCAAGAGTCTATTTTTCAAAATTTGCCAACTTTAGTTTAACATTAGTACTTTCCCTTTGCTTCCACCCATAAATGCAATTTAAGATAAATACTAAAGAATAAAAAGCATCTAATGCCAGATATCTATTAACTGCTAGCTGTAGAGGAAAATGAATATGTATGTATCTAAGAATGTGAACTGGAAGAAATTCAAACATCCCAAATTATAAAGGAAGATAAAAGGCAGATTAGCCTACCTTTTTCCGCTGCAAGAGGAGATCTTGTTCCCTCATTAGCTTCTGTTCTTCATCATGTTTTCTTTTCTCTCTCTGTCGTAAATAGTTGATCAATAAATCAAATAGAAAAAGGATAATATAACAGACAAGAAGTAGATTTGCAATTACATCTGCTCTTGCTCGTTCCTCGGCTTCTCGTTGCTTAACCTGCGCCACTCTCGCAATTTCATTAGCCTCTTGTCTCCTCTTATTATCCAGATCCACACGCTCAGCTGCATCATAGTGCACTTTAGCAGCCTCAAGCAAGTGCTTGCAGTATTCAACGTGGGTTTCAATTTTTTTCTCATCAAACCCGTGAACGTGAAGATTTGAGGAGGCAGCCATCAGGCTGAATACACGAACTGCATTCCTAAGCTCTGCTATAGTTGATAGTAGCTGTCATACACAGAAAAGTTTCTTCAAACAACTGGCCAGCATGAAAGCTCAGAACAACTGATTCTATGCATATGCTAAGCTAGCCATTAATGGCAAGTCAGCCACTTGTAAAAGTCAACAAACACACTGAAACACATTCAGTGAATATAAAAGTAAAATTGTGCATTTGAAGAATATTCACACTTCATCGAATACATTAATTGGAATCCCAACTACTCCTAAGGGAACTAAAAATTGCAAACCAAGTTCCACACTCAAAACCAAAGCATAGAAACTTGAAGTAAAACGTCCAAAAGTTTCATGTCAATGCAGAATAAGGAACCCAAATACGCGTATCAAAACCAACATAGAAAAGAACCTCGTCCGTAGTTCTTTTTTCCTTCTGCAATGTTGACGAAGAAAATTTCTGCAGCGCTGCTCCTATATCGAACCTTAATGTATAATTGGCGGGTGCTAAGTGAATAGCTCTTAGTAACGTCTTTCTACAGTCTTGCCACTGTTCAGCTTCATAATGAGTTCTTGCTAAATAAAGTAGCACTTGACTGTCGGTGTTGTAGTAAAACTTTCTCAAGCAATTTTGGTACTACAATAAACAAGCATCACAATGTCAAAACCACAAGTGTGTAAAAATATTAAAATTTCTTTCCGAAACCAGGAAATGCAAACCACCATTTTCACTGCCAGTGAAAAATTTCCTTGAGCAAAGTGAACATGAGCGAGATTTATCCAGACATCTGGCATCTGGACAAAGACACTTCCACTTGCAGCTTCTTGAACCTGTGGAAAAATTTTAAATCCAGGAAAAGTTAGATCCTTTGTGCATTCATTGAAAATGTTCAAAATATTCAAAGGGGAAGTTTAACCTGAGTGAAGAGTTCCTTTGAAATATCAAATTGACCCTTTTCAGCTAAGACAATTCCAGTGCCATTAGCTGCATACAGATTACCGGTGTGCCGGAGCAGAACCTGTCATGTGGAAGTTACAGTGATATATAGGAAGGATAAATCGCAAACCTCAAAGAGTACAATAAAATGGAATAAATGCAGATACATATGGAACTATTATTACAAAATCATTTAAGGATAGAAAAAGGTGCATGAGAGCCAAATCAATGGAGATCATACAAAAAGAGTTCAATAAAATGGAATAGATGCAGATAAATATGCTATAAGCAAGGGGACTATTATTACAAAATGATTTGAGGATAGAAAAATGTGCATGAGAGCCAAATCAACGGAGATCTTCATTATTCACATAAATAATGAAGATGACTTAAATTCAACCGCAGGAGATCAACCCATGACACTATCAGACAAAAAGCATGTGACAAATTTACAATATGACAGAACAATAGCAAAAAAACAGGAATTAGCCATCAGCGTTGTGTAAAAAAAAAAAATGTACCTTAGAATATAGTTCCTTAGCCTTCTCTAGATGCGTAGCTTCCAATTTAGGAGCTCTTTTCTCCGAGCGTATGGCAGCAAAATAGTTCCAATTGCCCTAAATTGACCGAGAAAGAGAGTGAGGCCCCAATAACATGCACCCATTTTGGACAGTGTTTTGGATTGGATCTTAATTCATGTTTTGCTTTTGCTTTGAATATGGGTATGATGAACATGGTAGTTTAATGAGAAAATAAAAGATTACGTGGTAACTTAACAGAAGGTGATCACAATAATACAAGGGAAATGCATTCTGAGAAATATGCACACCAGACAAAGAGAAGCATAAGAATCATCTCCATCAGACATGTCCTTAGCTGCTCGGAAAGTTTCCTTTGCTTTCACCCAGTCGTCATTCTTTAGCTCCAGGTCACCAAGCATCAACAATGCATCTTGACATTTCTCATCCACCTTCAGGGCATCAGAAAGCTGTGGTAAACAAAGAAAAGGTCGCAAATATTTAGCTGTAGAGAAGAGAAACTCTAAATATACATATTTTAATAAAGGAAATCAATAGCTACCAGTTCAGTGCTAATTGTAACATTACTCCGAGCTTTTGCAATAGCAGCAAGCCTCAAGTAAGCATCTGGGTAGTCTGGGTACTGTATCAAAATGCCAGGGATCACATGTAATTGCATGAGATTAAAACAATATGCCAGCATCGATCAACCAGTCACTTGTAAAAGACATGTTAAGTTCAATTTCCTGGAAACTACCACATTTTCCAAGAAAAATAAATATGCTACGAAATTGAGAAATCATATTTTACAGTATTAACCAATCAAGACCATGTTACTGTGATAAAAAACGTAATACTTAATACACCAGAACCAACAGACAAACAGTACATGATGTAAATTGAATTGAAATTAGATTGCACATATTAAAAAAATCATCAGGCCAAACTTCATGAACAATGGTAAATATTTTATGAATAGTGGCAACACTGGAATATATATGGCATGTGAAAGCAGGAAGTTAAATATCAATGTTGTAAGCTAAGCGCATGATCTGATTAACTTTTACAAGATAGACAACACACTCTACTATGGACGCCAAGTAGAATGTCGCATCCTGAGTTTGTTGTACCGAATGAAATTATGCACTGTCCAGTGGAGCAAATCACTGCAAAGACAATGATCCTCACAGTGGTCGTGATAACTATTTGCATAATTACAAGGGTAAAAGTTGAATCCTTGCTTCCATAATCAGGCTGATCACATAAAGAGAGGATCATGCAGCACACCAACGAACAGAAGAATAATTCACTGAACAGTATGTCCAAAAGCTAAAGGAGACTTCTACTCAAATTTAGCCTGCCATCACTGTTTAGATAATCTGCAAACCTTAAAAACAACATACCTTATACAAAATCAGACGATAGAAAATACTAGCTGTTTCAACGTGATGCAACTGCTCCAACAATCTAGCTAGGTTGAATAGTGTTGAGACCTTGTTGAAAGGAAGTTCCACCACAATTCCCTGTTCCTCTAGTCGATCAAACAAGCTCAAGTCCTTGTAGAGATGAACAGATGCAGTGGCATCAATAGGGAACTGTGCAGTTCTTAGTGAATCTACTTGTGCTTCTGGGTCACTTGATAACTCTTCACCAACTGAAGACTTTTTACTGGAATCTTTATCGGGGACATCGGCACCTGTGTCTTCCACTTTTTTATCAGCAGACATAATTTCTGCCTTATCATCAAGAAATTTGAGCCATATGCCATCACCTAGAGCATCTCTGAAAGCTTGTTCAGCAAGCTGAAATTGGCAACACCTTAATAAGTCAGTCAACTTTAAATTACGACATTTTGCAAAATTATAAATATACTATTAAAATATTCTTCCCCTTTATTTTTTTCCCAAAACAGAATAAGATATACCTCAAATTCTCCCCTCTCAAAATGAAGAACTCCGATGTTGTTCAGCAACTCTACTGGTACTTCCTCAACTTCATCTTCATGCCTCCCTTTGTTGCTTCGGTCTGCTTTATCTTTCTTTTTGGTGTTTCCATTTTTAAGTAGATTACGAGCCTGGAAGAATAAGCTTTTCAGGGCATTGTAGATCCCAAACCAAAACATGCAATCAAACAGAAAATAAGGTAAAAGCAACAAACTTATCATATGGAAAAGCATGCAGATGCCCCAAGCAAATCTGATAAACTTATGCTCAACATCACAATGGTTCTATGATAGCTGTAACTGCATTAAGCATTCTCCTCAGTAGATGCATTAAATTTCACCAAATTAGTTGCCTTTCCGCCTCTAAAAAATGAAATCCAATCTTTGCCACAGAAAAACAAAAAAATAAAGAATAAACACAAAACATGCAACTATATAGATCACATTATGAGATTAGTGGGAAAAAGCCCAATTCAACTTTTTTAGCCAATTACAAACAGGACATCATAAATATTCACTGTCACTTATGGAAAAGATTTCTCTGGCTACAACTAGGAAGAATACAAGACCGCATATTCACGGCAGCAAGATCAAGATCGATATCTAGAGAATCAACAGCAACAAGAGATACAAGACACAAATAGCTCCAATCAATAAAAGGCGCAAGAGGTTAAAGTTAAAGAACTTCAGAAAGGCTTTACAGTTTTAAAGGCATCCAGAGCAGCGCCGGTGTCAGTTGGAATTAACAATTCCCCCAGATCTAGAAAAGCCTGTAGAAAAGATGCATAATACAAGGGGGAAAAAGAAAGAAAAGTATGAGTTAACTTAAACCAAGCCTATGTGAATGAAAATTTCCCACCAACTCCCCCAAATTCAGGAAAAAAAAAATACCGAGACAAATAAATCATATAAACTTGGCTGCCAACCAGGGAAAGAACCAAAATAGAAATGTGCCGGCATCATCTTGCTTGAACAGAGTTGTAAGAAATATAATCGATTGCAAACAAACAGAACTTTGACATCATTTTCAAATGGCCATCAGTTCACAAACGGAACGTCAATTCCTTGTGACGACAGAGTAAATAATCCTCATATTCTTTTTATATTAACAATGTTTTTGGTAGAGTCATATATTTCCTCGAGAAAATGCCTACTAAGCTACCATATGAAAGTAAATAAGCAGCTGTTTCAAAATTACAACAAAATGGCGTTTGTCCCATTATGTCGCCATTGCACTTATTGGGGCGCATTATTGAGTTTAAATTCAAGTAAATCAAGTGTTTCTAGTTTCTTTGAAGTAAATCAAGGTTTCGTCCTTCCCCATTTGATTTGAGTCATAATTTTGTGGTTTTTACTTTGAGAAATATGCAGAAATTCTAATACAGACAACAAAAGCATACACTCAGTTACTCACAGAGGAAGATAGAAAGGGTACCTCAATATGGTCAAATTCTAAAATGACTAGCCAAATAGACAATAAACCACACCATTATGTACCTGTGGATCATGTGAATCAACTTTTGTAGCCTTTCTGAGAAACTCGTGAGCCTTCTCAACTTGCCCAAGCTGAATGTATATGTGCCCAAGAGCCTACATAAACAGACACAAAAAGAGACTGTCAGCTTTCATAAAAGGAAACAAAAATTTGACATCAATCACATAATACCTCCATTTATTTTACCTGTGGGATTTAGGGAGTGCACAGGAATTAAGGAAATATTGATTGAAGCTTTAGTTTATAAGTGTATTTCCTTTCTTACCATTAATTAATTAATTATCCAATAAATATGTTTTCAATTTCCAATACTTCATCCATTATAAGTTGCAGATAGTATTAGTAGTAGTAACTGAACTGTATTGGGATTATACATGGTCATTGATTTATGTGAAAGGCAGAGCATAATTGGAAAGAAGTTATTAAGATCATCTTGGGAAAAAAACAACAGATAAAAAAAAAGTACGGATGCACCCTAATGCGACAGGTAAAGAAAAGGAGGCAGTACTAATTAATTGACTTACTTTTAGCGTATCACAATTATCAGGGTGAACTTCCAAGATCTTCTCAAAATTTGTGAGCGCACTCTTAAGGTCACCCAATTTCAATTGCACTTGTCCCAGACCTAGTTCTCAGACATTACAAAAATAAATAAATTAATCAAATAAAAATTAAAAAAGAAAAGAGAGAGAGAGAGACAGACAGACAGACAGGAGAGACAGACAGAGAGATCAAAGTGATAAATGAGAATGCATCTAAAAGTATTAAGAATAACTGATAAACAAAGCCGCCGAGGCAAGAATCAACTATCATATTGAGAACTCTAGATACTTTCAATAGAATGACCCGGAAAACCATTTTACAAGTCCTACCTAGCATTTCGCACTCAAACTATGAGAGGCACATCAACTAGTGGCATTCAGCTTTTAGCAAACATAAAATCAAACCAAGCTCAGACAACTTGAGAAAAGGATGGTGCTAACTCGGGCACAAGTCCCATTTTAATCAATAAGGAAAGAGACACATTGGTAACCTAATTAAATCATACCAAATTAACTGCTCGATCCATGAGAGGGTATCTTGGTAAGGTTGCTGCTTCGCAGAAATTCTAAACCAGACTGTCTATTCAAATCTTATTTTTACTAAGTTTATTAAGCAACTGTTTCATCTTCGCAAGGAAGGTCATTCTTATCCTTCATAAACTGAAAGATGACTTTGTAACATAATTTGGTAATTATGTAGACCATGATTTATGCACCCCTTTATGACGAAGGGATTTAATATTTGTGCTCTACCCAAATTCCCTTGTACAGTTTCAGCTTCTTCGAGGGCTGTGTGATGCAACTTTGCCTAAGCATAATATTTAAGGATGTTGGAATTGCTCCCAAAGAAGCTACTTTTTCCTGCAAGTTTACCAAAGTTTCCCATGTTCTTAGTCTTATACTCAGTTATCTATTTTCCTGAAAGCCGATAGAGTTGCTAAGAGTTGCTTTAGCTCCAAGCAGTTTGTTAATAAGTATGCAGGTTCACCAAATCAAGCAGCAGCAAATCCACGCAATAAAATAAATAAATAACTTTAGCAAGTACATATCCAAGCTCATCCCCATCCATTCCAAATCCTTCTCTCCCAAAGATCAAAGCACCCAAATTGGACACAATATGGAATGTAAAAGTAGTAGCACAAGATTGCGCACCATAATAAGGTAATACAAATTCCCGTGGTGCAGTATTTTCCTTCACCGATTGCATGTAGTACATTCCAGCCTTTTCAAAGTCTCCCTGAAATGAAAAAGGACATAAGAACACTCTAAGCAGGAAAGAGGAGAGAGCCGAGAACAACGCTTTCCAACCATAATATTTTTGAGCTCAAGTACAATAATGACTATAAACTTTAGATGAGGAAATACATGTGGGCACAGAATATTGAAATCAGATCAGCACCTATTTGTGCAAAAGTAATTTTAAAACAATAAAATAATGCAGAGCAGAGTCAAAATTCCCTTTTTGTACGTCTATCCCCTCAATTCCCTCCACCCATCCTCCAAGAATAGAGTTTAAGGAGGCGGTAATCTGAAGCAGCAGGTGCAGTCAGTGAGTGGCAATCTCAACAGTACATATTTTAAGGCCACCTTGGATGAGATGATTAAAACTCCTGCTTGATGTTTCATATTCGAACTCCGCTAACATATTGAGTACCTTTACATATGAGGTGTTACATAGCCCACAGCTATAAGTTTAGTGTTTTAATTAACTCTTTAAGTATTATAAAAGGTAGCTTACGCCAAGCATATAACTTGCAACAAATGTGTTCTCTTAAATAGTAGTCTTTTTTTCTCCAGGAAAAGAAAATAAGAATCCAACGTCTGCAGCATATAGGAAAATGTTCCATGGGAAAAAACAATTTTAGGACACGAGAGATGTACTGACCATATCATGGTACGACCGGGCCAGATTGTAATAAGCATGTGACTTAGTAGGGCCATGATTAGTCACAACAAGAGCAGTTTCAGTCAGGTCCTGAACCACCTTATGTTGACCAGTAAAGAAGAAATGATCCGCCAGATAATTCAGAGACATTGCACAGTATGGATATATGTCAAAAGCCTTCTTCATTTTCTCCATTCCCAACTTGATGCTGTCATCTATTCATATACACGTGCTAAAAGGGTTAGTGAACGAAGTGATCATATATCCCCCAAAACTGGTGAAAATAGAAAGAAGTTATGTTACATGTGCAACTAAAGCTTCTATAAGCACCCAGCAACTAATAGGGGTACACAATATCTATAAATTGAACGGTAATGAACATAGTCCTTTTACAATCGAAGAACCGATCACATAAGGCTACGTTATCTTTCTAACCAATTCTTTGGACAAAACAAAATGTTGCTTCTCTTCAGGGATTTAACAAATTTCTCCATTACACGGTGCTCACCATTTTTACTTTGTAAATCCATAATAGCAAGTGCCACAAGTGCGTCTGAATTGTCATTATCCAACTGAAATCAAAGCATTTTGCGCATGTAAATTAATATTCAGATGTATTAAAACATATTGCTCGAGGTAACAATTCTTGCACAATTACCTGCAAAACACGTTCAAAAGCTTGCTTTGCCTTCTCAAATTGACCTAATTTGTAGCGACAAAGCCCAATTCCAAGTCTTACAGCAGCAGGACACTGGGGAAAAACTTGCAAGGCACGCTGCCAAGCGCATGTAAAGAAGCAAAGTTCAGAAACCATATGGCTAAAAGAACCTCCTCAAAAAGTAACAATATTTATCTGGCAAAGAATATGTTCTGCAAATACAACCACTCCCTGAACTATTCCCTTCCACACAGAGAAGCTGACAAATTGTGAGGAATTAAGAGATCAGAGACGAACCTTATACAACTCCAATGAATCAGAATATCGTCCACGGTTAAAGTGTACACAAGCCTACAAAAATTTCAAAGATATTAATTGTCGTAAGAGATACAGATTCAAGGAGCAGAACCACTTTCTGTAAATGCAACTACATAACCATTTCATAAAACAATTGCATTACACTAGGCACTAAATGAAGCTAGATGAACAAGAAATCAGTATTTACACATTTTTCCAAAAACTTGTTAACATGGGAATCTAGATAGACTTTGCAGAGACGAAATTTTTATCACCAAATTACTAGTCTGATAAAATAAATTAATCAAAATCTGCACAGCACAAAACCACCACAAAAGAGTGAAATCATGAGCTTAGCACATAAGGGGAAACTGGAAAGTACAATGGTGAAATAAAAAGCTGACCATTAGAACAGAACAACTACCTGACCAAGAAGAGCAGGAACATTGTCACGATCTCCATCCAAAACAATCTTGAAAGCCGCAAATGCCTGTTCTACATCACCCTTGGCAAGCAAAAGCTGGCCTGTAAAATGACAACTTAGATAGTATCTATGAAAAGTGGACTGAGCTTAGATTAGACAGAAAGATGAACAACTCCAAAATTATCCATAACCCATGTAAACAAGTTTATCGGATTGTAAGCTCGCAGAGATTTGAGGAACTAAAGGTGTACATATCCAAGGATAGGAGCAGGCATTTTACAAAGAAATTAAATTAAGTTTTTAGCGTGAAGATTCTGGAAAACACAACAAGCAAAGTTTTCTCCTACAACCAATCAAAAACTTCACATAATTTAAACTTGCCCCAAAGAAAAAAGATTGATCCAGGAACTTTTTATGTGAGAAACGCTACAATCTAATGGGCTAAAAAAAAATCCAAAATTTGCCAAACATATGAGTTTATCTTCTTGATTTCATTATTACGCTTATTTGCCCACCACAATAACAGCCAGATTCAGTAGAAAAACATCGAATTCCAGAGGACAGACGATCACTTTACATCAGCAGTAATTCTGACAGGAACCTATCAGCCTAATGACTCGTAATAGAAGAAACAATGCATGTTCAGCAATTGGGAGTAAGCAAAAGGATCCAAAGGATAAAAAATTTATCATAAACAGATCTGTACCTTTTCCAACCCATGTAGATGGCTCATGCATGTCAATTCTTGATGCTCTATTGTAATATTGAGTCGCCTTAATAAAATATTCCTCCTTTTCTTTCTGCTTTGCCTCAATTTTTCCAAGATAGCTATAATAAGCCCCTAAAGCATTCAAGATTGCTATCCGCTCATATCTCACATCAGCATAGTATTCATCAATGTCTGCACCAAACCAAGTTTCAAGTCAACATGCCAGCAATACATAGGTCAAATGTACACATCAACTAACCAAGGAGAAAACCAAGTGACATTTACCAGGACTAGATCCTTCTTCTAATATCAGGCGAAACTGCTCAATTTTCCCTTGTTTAAAATACTCCCTCTGCCAAAGTCCAGAGAAACAAATTAACAAGCACGTCAGCCATCGTAAGGGTAGCAAGCACCAAAGGTATCATATGAGCAAAAATATTGAAGGTATCATATGAGCACTACATTTATAACAATTAATTAGGAGACAACCTTATTTCAGAAAATTCAGGTCAGACATTGAGGTCAAGCCACAAATTCACCAAAAGTTAAGCGAAATCTTTCACAAATACAGGTAGAGGAAAATTAAACCTGAATCTAAGTATATTGGAATCTGCCAACCTCTCATTCCAACATTAAGCAAACATCAGAACCGACAAGATTCAACTTATTATTGCAGTAACCTCTCAAAACCCCTTCCCCTGTGCTTCTAACCTAAACATAACTACACCCGATTGAGCTGAACAGAGGGTCATGCTACAAATTTTGAAGGTCATGTTACTTTTTGGACCTAATAAATACTGCATATTCCTCCAGAAGCGGATGAAATACCTAGCGAACTCTCAAACTCTGTCTAGAACAAGTACAAAGCAAATGCAGGAAAAAAAATAAAACAGAGAGAGCCGAATTCGAACTCAAATCGGAAATTCGAGAAGCTGAATAGACAGACTAACGCGAATTCGAAAACAAATACACACACGAATCAAAATATTGAGTTACTCAAAAAGGTAAAGTGGGAAGCATACAGCAATGATGAGCCAAAGGTCGAGAGGAGCTTGCTCGGCCTTAAGAATATCGACGATGTCGGAGGCGTCACGAGGAAGCTGGTCCAGAGCAACCCTAACCTCCTCCTCCGAGTTCTGCACCGGAATGTATACGCACGCCATTGACGTCCTCTGAAGCAAAAAACCAATCTGATTCCAAATTTACAGGGAAAAGAAATCCAAAAATAATTTAGCTAAATAGCAGTGGGGCGTGTAAGATTTCGCTGATGCTGAATTTGGCTTGAAGTTGGAGAAGTCTCCAACTGAAAACTTGAACAGACTTCAAGCTGTAAATTATTGCCTCTGTGTAGGATTTATATATATAGCTAGCTATTCGTGATTAAGGTGGAAAAAACGGGGGTTTATTTTTCCCTAATAATTTTTACTTTCCTAAACTTATACCTATTCGCAGACCGCCTCTTGAACTTTCAATTTTACTATTCACCTCCTCATATTTTATAATAATTAGTAACTCACCCAAAAGAATTGCAACCCTCCATGTTATGATAATATGATCTATTATTTAAGGAGAAAAGTTGTTTTCGCAACGTTTTGAAATTGATAACCATTTCGAGTGAGGCAACTTAATTATCCGAAAGTTCAAACATTCAATTCCTTAGCCACTTTAGTGAAACAAAAATATACCACTCCCTCTGTCTCCTAAAATTATTGTCCATTTTGAGATTTTACTTTTAGTACAATTTGAATTAAAAATGAAAACCCAAACTGGACAATACTTATGGGACGGAGGAAGTACTTATAAAATTTTCAAGAAAAAATTAAGAATGTTGACAAAAGTTTTTTTTTTTTTTTTTTTTTTTTGCAAATGATGTTGACAAAAGTTGATGTTAACTAACATAGTGCACTTGATTTCATATTAAATCTTCTTTTTTCAAAAGCTTGCTACTCCATAAAATGAAATTACATACTAGTTTTACCAGAAGACTATATATTCCTAAGATTGGAATGAATTGGAATGTGCAAGTTTATGACTTATTATTTTTTTTTTTGCTTCACTTAATATTTATTGTTTTCACTTGAAGTGAAAATAACTTGCTAGCATATTCTAGTTTTATTTCAATTGGTGTGTATATGCAAAATGGAGTTTTTCTTCCAAAAGTTGTTTATAATTTTTTTGTGCATGCAAAAAGTAAGAGCATTTTGAATGTCATGAAAGATCACCAAATTCAATCAAAATATGGGGAATAAATTATTGCTATATGGCAATTTTGTATTGTTTATTTGTCTTTATTTGTAGATGTTTACAAAATCAACATTATATGTATTATCATATTTATATTTTGGAGTTTCTTTTAAAGTGATTTTAGTTACCGTAATAATTACTACACTCTGTCCATATCTTAAAATGTATTTCCTCCGTTCCATAATTATTGTCCAGTTTTACTAAAATAAAATATTTTATTTTTGGTCAATCTTAACTATATTTTACCTTAAACAACCGGATATACCCTTACATAAGTAATTTTTTAACTACTAAGATTTTATGGATAATGTTTTTTACTAAGGACAAATGTGTAACTTGATCCATAAAAAGTCAAATTGGACAATAATTTTGGGACAAAATTTTTTGGCAAAGTGGACAATAATTATGGGACGGAAGGAGTATTAAAAATATACTCCATTTGTCCCAAAATTATTGTCCAGTTTGAGATCTCACTTTTAGTACAATTTGAACTAAAAATGAAAACTCAAACTGGACAATAATTATGGGACAGAGGGAGTATTAGATGATTGTGTTAAAAGAAAGATGGCTTATTTTTCTTATATAATTAAGTAAACACGATAAAGACATACGTTATAAGACAAATTGTATTTTATTAGTTTCATGTTAATTTCATTACTCGAATGTGTACAATACACATACTATTTTGAATATACTCCTTCCGGTCCTTAATATAAGGTATTTTAATTTGTCATAGGTTTCACCTAGTACGCATTTTTATTTGACGAAAAAACTTTAAAAATATATTTTAATATTCGTTGTGTTTTCTTGATTGTTAGGATATGTTTTTAAAGTTTTTTTTGTCGATTAAAAATGTGTAATAGATGAAACCTAGGATAAATCAAAATGCCTTATATTAAGGACCGGAGGGAGTAATAACTTTTTCCTTTGTTCGATACACTAGTTTTGGAAGTAAACGCAAAATTAGATTTGTAGGGAGCTATGCCAACTAAGAATATCACGTAATTGGCACTTTAACGAAGACTAGAGATAACAATTACACAAATACACATATTAAGTAAGAAACTAAATGAAATGTAGCCTATTTTGCTTTATTATAGTAAATAATAAATATATACTTTCACTGTCTCAAAATTATTGTCCACGTTGAGATTTTACTTTTAATAAAAATTGAACTAGAAATGAAAACCCAAAGTGGACAATAATTTTGAGACGGAGGGAGTATATTTTAATAGATAACTCTTATACATTGGTAGGTTTATTATACTGTACTTGAAACAAAATTCGCGTTTTTATGCACTAAAACAAGGGAGTTTTCTTAAGGTTAAAAATTTTATTGAAAAGGGTTTGGGATCATGTTCAACAAAGGAAAATGCTTTAAAATTAGGGTGTCCACCTACATTAGAAAGAACATTAAAGCAAAAATTACAAACAACAAAAAGTAACGTGGGATGTCGTCTAATTTAACCAAATCTTAGAGAGTGAAACGTAAATATTCCAACCGATTAAAAGGAAACCCGTTTCTTGATTTTGAACATTGAAGAAAAACCACAATGCCAATCAAATGGTAAGGAATCACAATCGAACAGAGTCCTCTTTTTTGTTTCTTCCAACTCATTGATTCGAACAATTTGTTCATGATTTCTGCCAAATTTCTATGGATATCAACTGTTGCTGATTGTTTTGTTCTGTTCTGTTCTTGTATTTTAGGGTTTTACATTGGCAGCCCAATGCAGGCGCCTCAGTTAACACCCAAATTCTTACGGAAGTGTCACAATGTGTTGAGGGAATCAATGGCGTCAAGGAAGGAAGGTGGAAATCTACTATCAGCTTCTATAAGCCCATTGTCAGAGGTAATGTTACTGGTGCTTATTTTTATATCTATTGGATAGTTTTCGATATACTTCATTTTGATCCGGTGTTTGATTATTTGCAATTTTTTGTTCTCTTATTGAGTCTTGGATTCACTGGTTTTAGATGCAACGAACACTTCGTTGGAATTTGCTCGTGATTTTTTGGGGATTTCGCTCCAAGAGCACCCCGGTAAGTACTATTTTGTGCTAAGAGCGCAGCGCATGATCGTGGAGGCAGAATCATCGATTCAGACAATTATGGAAAAATTGCAGTCTTACAAAACAAGGGTTGCTCTTAATTTTGAGGTCAGCCAGCTTAATGATATGAACTTTTGCCTTCTATTTGGTGCTGAATTTTGAAACCTGGTGCAGCTATCCTAGTGTTAAATTCAACATTTTACTAGATTCATTATGTCCTTTTAGGTTGGCTTTTTTTTCCAGACAAAAAGTTCGACCATCATTATCCAAAAAAGAGCTTTTTTTGACTTATTTTGCATGGATTTTGATATGCTTCATTGTTCTTACTCTGCTTGCCAAGGAACCTGTGGAATTGCCATTCTTCATCAATGAAGGATATGCGTAGAGGGTCATTAGAATGATTTACTAATGGCTTGACACCTTTGATAGTTTCAAAATTTATAATGCTTTTTTTTTTTTCAAGTATCCTGTTCGACTATCTTGCTTGAGGGATTACTGAAAAGACTGCTCTTCATTGATTCAGGGAGTTCAATATCAAGTAGGGGACTTCCAACTCCGTGTGGGAAAAGTTATTACAGTCCAGCACGACAGTCTGAGGGGAATAGTTATGGAGGTACAAACTACAAAGGTTTTATTGTTTGTCCAGTCTAATACTTCTGGCAGTTTGTATTGTGCTATCTGTATTTTGAGCCACCCTGTTAACTGTTACAGCTTTAATCCCATTACTGACAAATATAAAATTAATCAATGTGAAATGATATTAGTTTCCACTTCCTATCATCAGTATATTACAAAAGAGGATTTTGAAGTTGAAGATATTCATTTAATGAGCTTGCTGTCTTTGCACTTGTGATTATGTTTTGTCCAGTGCGATAGGATTTTTTCTGTTCCTTTGGACATGTCTCTGTTAAAAGGTCCTGAAGTGATGTGATTCAACGTGCTCAAGAGTTTCAGAAAAGGAATTGATATGGCAAATTTCTGATGACTGTTCGGGTTTTTGCAGATGGAGTATCTACCTATTTCATCATGGGAAAAATCACACAAGATCATGGGCGAATTCTTCGATATATGGCAGGAAGCTCTCTCAAAAAGATCATTGCCAGGTCATTTTGTCCATATTGAGCCAAACTTCAGAGAATATGGTCTGTCGGATGAATACAGTCCGCAGCACACGGCTGCACAATATACTGGTATTATGGCTCAGCTGATAGCCACGGCCCATTCAGCTCAAGCAGCTCAAGCAGCTCACGCAGTTAGACAGTAGACTTGGGAATTTTACTGGATAGTATCAGTATGTATCTGTATCTCCCATGCTTCAGAAAAGGATAATCTAGGCCTAAACAGTTCTCATTTTGTAATCAGATTTGCAAGTTAATTGATAGACAAACATGGTTTGAAGAATATTACTTTGTACCACAAAAGTGCCAACATTGCATGTATCCATTATTACTCTCAATTTCTAATTTTGAATGTTTCAACTCATTTTAAAGGAAAGAGAAGCCGTTCTCGAACATAGATAGCCATAATGAGTCAGTGGTACAACAGCAGGAAGAGAGTATCATTTCGCTGGCCGTAAACTAAACAGGAAAGGAAGTAAATGGATGTTCAATGTTTCGTACTCTCTCCTCCTAAAATTATTGTCCAGTTAAGAATTTTCATTTATAGTACAAAATGAACTAAAAGTGAAAATTCAAATTGAACAATAATTTTTGGGACAGAGAGTATTTTATTAATATTACACTTATATCATGAAGACCTGGAGGCCAAAAAACAATTTTGAGTTTCTGCTAGAAATGAAATTGTGACTGAGTTGCATTTAAAAGAACCTCCAGATGCCCTCGTAGCGTCTTCCCTCAGCAATTAACATTTGAGCTGCATCAACTTTAGCGACAAGCGAGTCTTAAACGCCATCCCAATGAAAGATCTTCCCAGACAGTTCATGTTGTTCAGATGCCTATGTATGCTCCTCTAATCCAGTACGTATGAAGCCCCTGAACAAGTGCCACGACATGTACATCCCAACCTAATTTAACATGTACTCCCCCTGTCCCAAAATTATTGTCCATCAAATTATACTAAAAGTGAAATCTCAAACTGAACAACAATAATTTTGAGACAGAAAGAGTATGTCAAGGCCTTCAAACACAATGGTGACGCTTCTTGAATTTCGAAATTGCAGTATATTGCTCAGCTAACTCCATCATGACCAAAGCAAGTTCTCTTGTATCATCTGCCAAGATATTCTCTGTGATATCCAGTGAGTAGACTTCCTATGATGATATAATCTCCAATGAATTCCAAGTATATCAAACCAAGCATCAGGAGAATCCTCCTTCACACCATCCACTAGGCTAAGTGCCTTATTATAGGACTCCAAACTATCATCTAACATGTCCAAAACCCTCATATACAGAACCTAACAATCAGAAAGTCTGAGCAAGTTCATCAGAGTATTTGGGATCACCTGTAATAAAAAAAAAATTGAGCCCCCAAAATGGTGAAAGGTAAGGCCTTTTCAAAGTCAGAAACCTTTATTTACGTTGTATAAAAATTTAATGACATTATTATTCTTTATTTTTCTTTTTTCCTTTTTTTTAAAAAGTATTTTTATATTGAAAAACGCCCAGGCTAAAGCCCTAAGTAAACCTCAGTCATTCGCCTTCATCGCCATATTATTCTGTTGCCCAACCTCGTCCTCCACCACCACCACTTCCACCTCCGCGTTCCTTTTTCATATCCTTGCTGTCAATTGATAACTTGATGAACATATGAATAACTATTGATTTGATTTGATTTGATATCAGTTTTTGGTGTTTTTGGTTAGATCATTCATTGATCATCCCTTATGGATTCTGACGCTTCAGCACCTCCTGCAAATAATGCACCTAGGAAGGTATCTTGGTTGAAGATTTTATTTAGTACCTACAGATTAATCATCATTGAATATAAATGAATGCACTTTCAGATTATACCATTATATCAAATGAATAAAGCTTTTTACGGGTTTCAGCATTTGAAATTGGTTTTTAAGTAATGCGTCGTTCTGATTGTTGATCAATTAAATGTAGAGGAGATTTACGCCAAAAGCTCCTGCTCAACGTAGGATACAAAAGCCTGCTGTCCCCAAAGTGTAATATTTGTTTGTTACTTTTTTTATCGGGTTTATATTAATCAGTTGCTGCAAATATTAAGTGGGAAGAGAATAGTTTGGATTAATGTTGTTTTTTATATTGTCAGTGAAAAGGTTGAAGATGGGATTGATGCTGCTCAGGCTGAGGAACTGCTACGTCGTTTCAATGTACTTGTGCCGTGCCATGAGTTAGATTCCTTAGTGTTCAGAAGCTGTATTTGTTAAAAGCATTATTGTTCTGACTTCTCATTATGTGTTACCTGACAAACTTTTGCTTTTATCTGTTGTAGGAAGGTTCTGTGAAGGTAAAGCCTAAATTTGAAAGGAAAGGTAAGCTTTTGCATTCAGGTTTCCTGGTTGATTTTTTTTTTTTTAATCTTGAGCGTTGATTATTTTGTTTTGATTGAGTTAGCCAGTATGTTGTAGCTTTTGTTAATGGATAGCGTGTTTATCATCAAACTAAAACAGAAACTCCTGATGGTCTTTTTTTCTTGGTCTTGCAAATGCATTTAGATTTGAATGGTTTACATCGAACAGTAGTTTGTAGTGATATGGCAGAGTCTGCTCTAGAAAATCTCTTCCAGAAATGTTCTGAACAGTTTCTTTCTGATGTTCTTTTTCTTGTCATGGCATTTGCCCTAAGGGCATCAAGTATGAATTTTTCGTTTACTCTGCCTTAAGTTTATGTGCTCCAATATAATAAGTTAAGGATGCACATATTAGTAATTCTGTTGTGATTCTTTTGCCGCACAACTGTAATCTGAAAATTGCCTGCAATGCTGTGTCATCATCATAAAACTGATATCTGAAATTTCTTTATGTGTTTCTTAAGTAATACATACCAGTGATTGTGTTGGTAGGAGTTCTTTGATCAACTTAAAATGAAATCATCTTTTCTCTTTTGCAGTTGGACCTGTTCGAGTAGTCTTTGGACAGGCAAGCTCCTCAACTCCATCAGGGCCATTTGCTGCTCATCGGTTGGCAAATCTACAAAATGGTGCATAATCAATCCTATGACAAGTGACTAATCACAGGAAGCTATTTGTTATGCATGATAACATTTTGAACTGAATTTCATGTCATGTTTACTTGTGCAGGTGTTAAAGTAGAAAAAGATTATAAAGAACCGTGGGTAGGTAGCAGATGGATACATTGCATTATTATCTTTGTTAACAAATTAGTTTCTCCAACCAGAGTTTCCAGTCACTTCTCGTTTTCTCTGCTTCATAATTTTTATTCTGTACTCTGCAGGATTACTATACCTATTATCCTGTCACACTTCCTTTGAGAAGACCATATTCAGGAAATCCTGGTAATTTTTGTGGACTTTAAGTGAAACTGCTTTTGACTTTCTAGAAGAACCTAAAACTTCTGTAGCAGCCAAACCAGGGGTTTCGCCGAAACAACTGTGTGCATCCATTGAGCATTCTGTTTATTTTCACTTGCGAGATTGAAATTGAAGTTTTTATTTCTGCATACTTTCAACTGTATACTTATCATGTACCTATCTTGCCTTATTGTCATTGAATAGTTGTTATCACTTCTCTTCTGTCATGTGCAGAACAACTTGATAAAGAGGAATTTGGTCAGGCGTCAGAAAGCTTGACTTATGATGAATGCTCCTTGAAACCTGCTTCCGACCTCGGTCTAACGGTTGGTAATAGTATATAGAATTCTATTGTTTTTAAAATGGTTACTGCATTGGTCCAATACTGGATTGCTTTGCAGGTTGAAAACTCGGAGGAAAATATGTTATTCTTACAATTACCAAAAGTTATGCCTATGCTAAAGCAATCACCTGATATAGAATGCAATGAGAAGGCTGCCAATTCAAAGCCATCAAAGAGTGTAGAACCCTCGCAAAAGGCCTGCAATTTGGATGAGTTGACAGCTGGGTTTATGGGTAAAATGTATGTTTACAGGAGTGGTGCAGTCAAGCTGAAGCTAGGTGACACCATTTATGATGTAAGTACTCATTTTTTGGTTGTAACTGCACACACAAAGATGAAATTGCTGTCTTAGCTATATTCAATACCTTCTTTGACTCAAAAAAATATAGAAAGCAGAATTTTCAATCTAGAACATAGAACTGAGAATTGTTTTAATCCTGTCAATTTTTTATCGAGGATGAAAGAATGGGAAGTTATATGTTACTTCAATGTTGAAACAGGTTTCATCAGGTTTGGATTGCAAATTTGCACAAGATGTTGTTGCAGTTAATACCGAGGAAAAACACTGCTGTGTTTTGGGGGAACTCAACAAACGTGCCACTTTAACTCCAGATGTGGAATCCTTCTTAGAACGTTTGGATATCGAATAAATTTCTAATAATATTAGCTCTTGAAGAGCACATTCTGTACGTGCAAAGACAAATTATATTTGTGAATTCAGAGAATATGCAAATGTTCTTTAAAAATACAAATAATTGCAAATTAATATGCAGAGGCAAGTTCTGTTCCTTTCATTTAGGTGGTAGTTCAAGTCAGGTTAAGATTCAGGCTGAGAATACACTGCCGGCCTGATTGGGTGGTAGAGTTGCAACTTGCAACATATTTCAGGCCTCTGCTTGCTTATTTAACCAAATAACCTCCAATAATTGTCACCTATGTTTTGATATTGCCTCTGCTACTGTATTTCTGTTAGTGATGGAAATTCTTTTATTCACTACAAATTTTCTTCTTTCTAGCATGTAGCTCTGCTATATACCATAGATAAATCAAATAAAAGGTTTGTTTTAACTATAAGGCAGATCGCCTGCCTGTGGGTATATCATCATAGCTTTCCAGAATTATTTTATCATGTTGGTCTATAGAATCTAAAAGTTTATTTCTACATTTAAGCCTTTATATGAAGAGGAAAGAATGGATAAGGTCACTATTGAATCATGATATGTTGCCTCTGCAGTGCCTTTAACAAAAAGGGGACAATCAGCTACTGTTCCAAATTGTTTGTATAGGGTTATACCTTGATCTTGCATGAATTGACTTCCTCTGTGTCCTTAGATTTACAGTATCATGAATCAAAGACTTGATGTTGTTTTGAAAATAAGAGGAGCTCCCTGTTGTGGTTGAAGAGTCATTTCAGTATTAGGGGCATGACTGTAGGATGGAGAGAGCTCGAATGAGAAATTCTGCAGAATTAATGCTAGAGCCACTTTTGCTTCCATCATCGCGAAATTTTGCCCTATACAAGCCTTTTGGCCAAATCCAAAGGACAAGAGTCCTGACTGATCCTTGGATGCCTTAGAAAATCCTTCAGAGAACCTTTCTGGTTTGAATTCTTCTGCATCATCACCCCATATCTCATGATCATGGTTGGTGAGCAGCAATGGTACGGAAAGCTCAACCCCTGCTGGAAGAGAAAGATTCCCTATCTTGGTTTCTTGGTGTGTATGTCTAAATATAAAAATCACCGGTGGGTATAGTCTGACGACTTCGTGAAGAATCATGGTCACCTGCACATATTTACATTCATTGGCTAAATGTATGAGAAACTTGAGGGGAGATTAGCGAGAGGACTCATGTTTCAGACAGAAGAAACCAACAATACTCACCGTTTTCAGTTGGCCTATTGTTTTTGCATCAGGATGATCTTTTCCACATACTTCGAGAACTTCTTTCCGTGCCTTGTCTTGCCAGATTGGATGCATTGCCAACACTACCATAGTCCATGTTAACAAGCTTGAGGTTGTCTCATGGCCGGCTACATAGAACTGCTTGCATTCTTCTATCAATTCTTCCATGGTCATCTTGGTGTCACTGCTTACAGTGTTGGATTTCAAAAGGATGCCAAGTAAGTCTTCCCTGCTTGTTTGTCCAGTTCTCATCATGTTTTCCTTTCTCTCAATCAAGGTCCTAAGCATCAATTTGATGCTTTTATTCAAACTCTTGATTCTTCTGTTTGTCGTTGTGGGGATAAACCTGTTTGTTAGGATCATGAATGCTACACTATATAAGCATAGTGGGTGAGTGAGAGATGGAAGAATGCAGTTTTAGAATCACAAGAACCTGAAACCAGGTATGACTGAGTACTGGAAAGCTTTAAGGACCAACTGTTGGAGCTCTTTCTGAAGATTTAGGATTTCATTTCCTTCTTTAAAGTTACTTCCAAAGACTGCCCTAGAAAGAATATCTCTGGTAAGATCCTTAAATTCAGGCCAGACATCTATTTCGCAGGTTTCCTCTGCAGCTATTGCTTTCTTCCATTTGTTCACCAGCAAGCTGCAACTCTCTGCGTATACTGATATCATTCCCTAGATAGAAATGAGAATACCTACTAGTAATTAATGATGTCAGACAAATATTTCTTCTAATCTACCTCGCTTACCTTTAGTTTCTCCAAGTTCAAAGCAGGGGTCATTATTTTCCTGTGTTTAGCCCATTTTTCACCTTCAAGGATTGTCAATCCTTGTGATAGAACAAGTATGAGAGGGTTCAAAGCGGAGGGCGGTACCCCCATCTGATGTTTCCTGTTAGTCAGCACTTCTTTTATTAATTGAGGGTCCATGATGTTCACCCTAGGAGTTGTTCCCGCCCAGCACAGAGATACCTTCCCTGCAAATAAAAGTGCTGGAAGTTATTTTACTGACAAACATGCCACCATTTCCTTAGGCTAAAAACAGAAAAATTGCAGGTTCTTACACATACCGTATTTCTGTACCGTGTTGTGAGTGAATGGATCAGCCCGGGGCAGAATCTGATGAGAAAGGCTCATCGGTTTAGACCATGCTTCAGTTATTTGCTTTGTGAAATCTCGCATGTCTCCGATCAAAGGAGTGTAAGAGTTGCCTCGGATTCCTTCCTGTCGTAAGCGTCTCTCCAGCCATTTTGGTTTCCACCAAATGGAGGAAGAAACTCTATACAAAAAGTAGCTAAGCAGAAGTATTGAAGTGACTTTCAGGGCCAGGATCATCAAGTCTGACATAATTTCGAAAACTTGCGAGCTCCTTTTATGCTCAAAATTGTCTGATATGTTTGATCTGAATGGTGAGTTTTGTTAGTTGGTGTTACATTCGTTTATATAGGCAATTGGCGGAAGTGTGTGTGTGTCTCTCTCTCTTTTTCTGAGAAATGCAGTGTTGAAAAATAGTCTTTTCTGGAAAGGGAACTTGAGAATAATTTTCTAAATTTGTACAGCATTGACTAAAACTCTACACTTGATGAACAAGTGAAAAAGATGGTTCAACAGGTAAAATACACACAACCAAACAAGGATTTACGTGGAGGACAAGTCCGGTGACTAGTAAGGAAACTACGAAACGTAAACAAGATCAGATAATCCCAACTCCCAAGCCTTTGCTGAGGTCCAAAGAGTAACGGAATTGGAATGATAAAAGATGAAAATTTTATCATTGTGATATTGAACCTTATTAACTAGAAATAGAGAGAGTTCATTGCAGGCAACAAAATTAAGTACTTCGCACATACGGTATTACGAACTATCTATTATTGTCGGATCTATCTATTATTGTCGTATCATAAGCTGATATCCATTTCATCGTTTAATAAAAAGTACTCCTTCCGTCCCATAATTATTGTCCAGTTTGGATTTTCATTTCTAGTCAAATTGTACTAAAAGTGAAATCTCAAATTGGACAATAATTTTGGAACAGAGGGAGTAATTCCGTAAAATGATCTAATGGTAAATGCTATAAGTATGAAGAGACTTTATCGAAATCTCGCGAGATCAAATATCACTACACTCTAAATCAAGTTGTAGAACTTGGTACCGCAGAACAAAAGATCAGATTCAACTTTACTAATATTACATTTAGAACCATAATACAATATCAATAGTAGAAAGTGAAAGGAGAGGATGTAATAAGACATAAAAACACAAGACAATTAATTAAAGTACAAATACAAAAATACATGAAAGCCCAGGGGTTGGGTAGAATAATTATGGCTTCACATAATCGAACACAATAGCATCCTCCACCTTTTCTTTCATCAAATCTCTCTGCTCGCTGGCCACCGCCTCCCATTCCGAATCAAATTTCTCCAATTCTCCGGCGTCCTTAAACACCGCCACGGAGGCGATCGAAAAGCCTTTGCACCTGGCCGGAGAGAAGTTCTCGCCGACGCTCAGCTCCTGAATCGACGGGAATTTGTCTTTCAATCCCTCAATTATCCCCAACAGCTGATTTTTCTCTGTCTCCTCCAAATTATCCTTCAATTTCAAGAAACTCACCCTCAGGACCGATCCGGAGGGGATGGTTATCGAGTCGGAGGAGTGCCACCAATCCACGGCCATGACGTCGTCGAGGAGGGGCTTCGTTTGTCCGATGACGCCGAGGTGAACGGGGTGGACGGCGAAGCCGTCGAGATCCTCTTTGGTGGCGTAGCGACTGTAGATCATGTGAGTGAAGGTGAGAGAGGAGGATGGTCGGAAATTGCGGATCGGGCCGGCGGTGAAGTGGAGGACGGTCTCGATTGACGCCAGGTTCTGGAGGTTTTGGACCATGGCGTCGACTCTGTCGGGTTCAACTTCCGGTTTGGCTTTGAAGAGGACGATGTGTTCGACGAATCGCGTCGGGTTATCAGCAGCCATTTCTGGTTCTCGGCGGCGGTGGAAGGATGGATCTGAGAATAGCACTGATGATATGTATGGCTTTTGTGTGTGTGTGTGTGTGTGTGTTTTGCTAGCTGAGCTCGACAAATCGGATCTATTTATTGATGGATTATGCTAAAAGGCCTTTTTGATCGGTGGTGCACAGCAATGGAAATCTTTTTTCTTTTCTTTTTTTTTTTGAGATTCTTCACTCTGTTCATACATGATGATCTGTGTGCCAGAAATATGGAAATTTTGTACTCCTTCCTTCCTATAATTATTGTCCAGTTTAAATTTTCATTTCTAGTTTAAATTATACTAAAAATAAAATCTAAAATTGGATAATAATTTTGAAACAGAGAGCGTACAGATTGATTCCTACCCCACATCTGGGACCTGGATTTCAATTATTGTGAGCAATCATCCATAATATGACGCATGCGACTCAAGATTGACAGTGACGGGTTCTTAAGGTTCGTCACAATGGGATCAAATTCTTTTTCTTCTCTCTTTTCCTAGTAGACAACCCCACACTATGTTTCAAATTACTAATTCTCAGTCAATTCGTAGTTTTTTTTTTTTACCGCCAAATTTTAACAATTAGTACAACCAAGACACTTTTTAAAATGTGTGAGATCATATAATTTCTAATAAAAACAGAAATTTTAAATTGATGATAACACAAACGCTATAACAAAATTGTCATTCCTGGTCTTCATCCTTTTGCGAATTTCTTCTTTTACTTAAGTCTCTTTATTTGATCTTTATTCTTTTCTCTACCATTCAACTTGTTATATGAAAGACATGTTTTTGTGAATTACTATATTTTGACTAATGGAATATAGTATAAATGTGAATTATTTTCATAAGACCGAAGCGAAGCATTGCTATTTGTAACTGGTATTGCTGTTGACGGCATTGTAGAGAATACTGCAAATTATAAGTGATATATGGGGTGTGGTTTGTGTATTCCACAACAATCCTCTTGTTTTCTTCAGTCACGACTTGCACCAACCCCCGATATCATTACTCATCCATATTTTTCATACGACTTGAGCCTTAAGTCATGGAGCCGCTATGATCTGCAATTGGAGAGTATTCTAGCTTGAAACTCGTTATTTGCTCCGTTTGTATAAAAGTAAGTCGGTGTTTTTGTTTTATTGTTTTGGTTTAACATAATTCTCTCTGTTGAAATAATTGTTTATTACTTTCGAACTTTACATTAAATATAAATTATATTCTCTCTTCTCCGAAATGATTATTTATTTTAATTTTTTTGAATTAGTAGTAAAAACTGAAAATTCAAACATGACAATTATTTTGGGACAGATGCCCTAAGTCGTTACTTTTATATATAATTTCGTGTATATTTTAGGATCTAGGGAGTATAAAATAATGTGGATATTTCAACTTTTTCAACTCATCCAATTATTATTGTTTAAACTCTTCAAACCCAACAATTCATTAGATTATACTATGGGCTATAGCTACTTAGCTACTATGTAATCAAACAACGAAATAGAAGAATAATGGAGATTTCCAACTTAACTTTCATTTCATGACCAAATTAATACACATTACACAGCACAAAAATAAAAACATCCAAAGAAAGAAGACAAATCCACAGTAGTAGTACCAAAGAAAATCGCAAAATCAAATCCACCACACACACCGAACACAAAACTAAGGAAAAACAACATCCAACACCAATTCCTCGTCCACCTTGGGCTTGATAACCAGATGCCGGTGCTCGTTCTCCGGCGACTCCCACTCCGAGTCAAAACCTTCCAGTTCATTCACATCCTTAAACACCGTGATGACCGGAACCGAAAACCCTTTGGCTCTGGCCGGAGTGTTGTTCTCCCCGAAGCTGTGAACCTCAATTGACGACGACGACTTGTCTTTCAGCAACCCAAGTGCTTCCAGGAGTTGGCTCTTCTCATCATCTCCCAAATCTCCCTTCAACTTAAAGATCGTGGCTCTCATGCTCGAACCGGGCGGGATGGAAACCGAGTCGGTCGAGTGAACCCAATCGACGGCCATGAGGTCCTCGAAGAAGGGCTTGGTTTGGTTGATCACCACGTGGTGGTCCGGGTCTTGGTAGAACTTGTCCATGTCTTCTTTGGAAGCGAACCGGCTGTGGAGGATGTGGGTGAAGTTGAGAGAAGTTGACCGGCAGTTTATGAGTGGGCCGGCAGCCAGGTGGAGGACGCCGTCTAGTCCGGCCAGGCTGTTTAGGCTGTCCACCATGGCCGGGAGTTCCGCTGGGTCAACGTCCGGCTTGATTTTGAAGATCACCAGGTGTTCGACGATTTCCGGCATGTTGGCGGGCTGTAGGAATTTTTACGCAAAAAGTTGATGTGATTATTTTTTTTCTTCTTCTAAGCAAGTGTTAATCTCTCTTTCAATTTATAGTGAGCTTTCAATGTAATGTTTCAAGCATGTTACGAAGTATAGTCCACTGGAGAGAAGTGGAAATCAGATGGAAATTTCCATCAAGGAAGAATAAAAAATAATACATGTTGGGAATAACAAAAATTAACAATATTGATGCCAAATCGTCAATAAAGTTGTTAAGCTGTATCACTCGTATGTAAAGTTGTCATGATCCTCCAAAAATATTCGAATCCCCCAACTACAAGTCTATAACTAACATCCTTTCTCTTTCAGTACTGCCGACATCTAATTCATAATTAGTGTAAAGATTAAAAGGATTATTGAAACTAATCAGTACTGCTGCTGCTGCCCATGTGCACAGGGTTCTCAAAGATGAATCTGTACTACTAATATGATTGGGATGGTTGAATTTTTTACTTTTAAAAATTCAAAACTGGACAGAAGCAGTGCAATTTTTTACTTCCGGTGGGCGTCGTAATAGTATCATCAGCAGGTTGATGAGTTCGCAACAGTATCCTGTTTATCAGTTATTCATGATAATTCGATGGATAGAACCCAACTACGTTCCTATATGTAGGCGTCAGCTTACCCCAACACCATGAATCGGATCTTTGTTGATGGATTATGCTAAAAGCTTTTCTGATCAGTGGTGCACAGCAATGAAGATCTTCTGGCTTTCTTCACAATGTTCACAAGATCTGTGTACGAGAAATATGAGATCTTGAATTAGGGGTGTTCAACAGCCAGTTAATTGATTTTGGTTAATTTTGATTTTATTGGAAGAATCGATTAAACAACTGATTAAGTAATCGGTTTTACACGTTTTTTGCTTATAGGTTGTGTTTTCAAAACCGAACCGGCCCGGGCGGTCTAACCGGTTAGCCTGGGAACCAGAATCCTCACCAGTCTGGTTTCTATAAAAAACTGGATTCTGTATAATTCGGTCAAACTCGGTCAAACTCGGGCAAAACCGTGATTTAACCATAAACCGGTACCGATTGAATCGGTTTTTACATATATTTCTTAAAAAATTAATTTTTAAATATTTTTTTAATATTATTTTAATCGGTTTTCACTGGTTTTGAGGAACGAACTAACCCGTTAACCCGATAAACCCACCAACCCGGTCACGCTAACGGTTCACCTTCCGGTCCAATTTTGAAAACATAGCTTATAGGTTTTCGGTCTAATTACGAGTTTTGTCGGTTTAACCGAAACTATTTATCAAATTTTTTTAGATAAAATGTAACTGATCTCGCGAATCGAAGATAAAATGCAATTGATGTATTTCTTAATTTTGTTTTCTAAATTATATAGTTCATATCATATTTTAACGCCCATTAAATAATGAAAATATTTTTGAAACTCTCAATCTACATTAAAAACAATCAAACCCTTCCTTTTTTGTAATAGTCTATCCAATCAAAAACATGTTATTACAACAAATTTCTTTAATAAAATAATTTGACAAAATGAAAAAGACTACTGATATTATATGAGATATAGAAAGATTTATAAATTTTAATTATATAATCGATTATTCAGTTTAAATGAGAAAGATAAAAACAAAACAAAAAACCGAATCAATTAATCGATAAATGAACATATAAATCGATTAACCAATTATTTGGTTAATCAGCTCGGTTTATGTCGGTTTTCAGTTCGGTTATTCGATTTCAGCTTTTAAAATCCTTACACTTTTTTTTTTTTGGGGTACAAGAAAGGAGGCAAAGAGCCTACTAATCTAGTTTGTTACAGAGTGTTAATAGAAAACGCTAATCATATCATGGTAAAGCCATGACCGTAACTCATTCGGAGAGTCATCCAACCTAGCAATTTCTTGCTAGTGAAGCAAGTGAATCTGCTACAAAGTTCCGCTCTCAATGGATGTGCTTCAATTCAACTAACCATGCTCGATGCACCAATACCCGAATTGCCATGACTAGGCTCCGATGCAAGCCAACAACTAGATCATTACCCTCAACCATCTTGACCTCGCTGATATTATCAACCTCCTACACTTTTTCAACTCAATTATAGTTTAAACTCTTCAAAGCCAACCATTCATTAGATTATAATATAGGCTATAGCTACTATGAAAGCAAAGAACGAAAAGAAAAGGAAGAATAATAATGCAAATTGCAACTTAACTTCATTTCATGTCCGAATTAATACACCCAAAAGAACATAGAAAGAAATGAAGCACAAATACTAGTACAGTACAAGAAATCATCACACAATGAATTCAGCATACACAACACAAATTAAGGGAAAACAACATCCAACACCAATTCCTCGTCCACCTTGGGCTTGATGACCAGATGCCGGTGCTCGTTCTCCGGCGACTCCCATTCCGACTGGAAACCTTCCAGTTCATTCACATCCTTAAACACCGTGATCACCGGAACGGAAAACCCTTTAGCTCGCGCGGGAGTGTTGTTCTCCCCGAAGCTAAGCACCTCAATCGACGACGTTGACTTGTCTTTCAGCAACCCAAGTGCTTCCAGGAGTTGGTTCTTCTCATCATCTCCTAAATCTTCCTTCAACTTCAAGATCGTGGCTCGCATGGTCGAACCGGGCGGGATGGCGACCGAGTCGGTCGAGTGAACCCAATCCACGACCATGATGTCCTCCAAAAAGGGCTTGACTTGGTTGACCACCACATGGTGGTCGGGATCTTGGTAGAACTTTTCCAGGTCTTCTTTGGAAGCGAAACGGCTGTGGAGGATGTGGGTGAAGTTGAGAGAAGACCGGCAGTTTATGAGTGGGCCGGCGGCCAGGTGGAGGACGCTGTCCAGTGAGGCTAGGCTGTTTAGGCTGTCCACAATGGCCGGGTCAGCGCCCGGCTTGATTTTGAAGATCACGAGGAGTTCGACGATTTGCGGCATGTTGGTGGGCTGTAGGATTTTAGATGCAAAAAGTTGATCGTGTGAATAAGTGCTAATCTTATCTTCTATTTGTAGTGAGCTCTTTGATGCATGAGAATAGTTTGTTAAGCTGCAGGGAAGTTTGAACTTAAGTGTGTAAAAATTTTTCTTTAAAGTTAATGTAACAAACATGTTAAGAGACGTGGAAATCAGATAGAAACTTCTCCAAGAAATATTAAAGAAAAAAAAATATTACATCTTGGGAAAAAATAATAATACTCTTTCCATCCCGAAATTATTGTCCGGTCAGTTTTAGCTAAAATTAGACAATAATGCTAAAACTGAAAATTCAAACTGGACAATAATTTCTTGACATAGAGAGTAATATTGATGCAAATCGCCAATACAGTAGGTAAGCTATATCACTCGTATATTATCATGTTTCAGTATGAGTTTCAGAAAAGCAAATTTTGTAGCAGACTATTTAGCTTATTGGGCGGCACAAGTACCGGGAGATTTATTTTGGCTTGAGCACCCTCCAGAGGGGTTCACGCCGTGGTTAGATACCCTATGAATGTAATGACTTAGTCATTTTTAGGCTTTAGTGCCCTTTTCTATCCCCAAAAAAAAAAAAAAACTAATCAGTACTGCATTTAGTTCTCAAATATGAACGTCAGACTAAATTGTATATGATAAAAAAAAAATTAGAATTATGCTCTCAGCATTATTGTTTGGCATGGTTGGATTTTACTTTCAGAAATTTAAATGGAACGATCATTTTAAACAGAAATAAAGTAGTGCAATTTGCACTGAGAATTAATAGTTGTTTCTCATTCTATCGATATTAAATCTCAAATTGCACGCAAGCATAAGATAATATTCTCGTAATAATTTCACTAATGTGGCAGTTAAGCTATGGGCATGTGCAACGTAATGTCAACTCATCAATCATATGGGCGAGTTGAAACTTGGTTCTAAATAATATAACCCACACTGGAGTGGGTTTTAAAAAAAAAAAAAAAGTACAGTACTATTACTCTAATTTTCTTGATGACTTCCGATGTGAAACTAGCAGGACTCAGCAACCGGATTCTAGGTGGGAAAGGGAGCCATCAGCAGGATGGCTTCCTTCCAGTGCGTCGTATTTTGCGCCGTGGTGCAACAAGTTGTAGCGTATTAGTAATTTAGTATGATGAGTTCGGGATAGGATCCAGTTCATCTGTATTATTCATGATAATTCGATAGGTAGAACTTAACCACGTTCCTTTATGGCGCTTACCCCGACACCATGAAAAAGGAAACAGAAACCCCGAATGTTTTGCAGCTGAAACTGGAAGCATTTTAGTTGATGACCATATGAATCAATTCAATCACAATGGGGAAAAAAATGTTTCTGTAACAGAGCCCCTTTCTTCGTGTAATCCAAATATCCAATGATGATCAATTATGTCCTTGTCTGCAACAAATTCTCACTTCATGGGCTACCTATACCGTTCCCATTTCCAATCCCCGAACACTTAAAGTACCCTCGATCAGTTGCTTGTTTGGTCATTAGTGCATGGGCAACGTGTACTGACCAAGAAAACTTGTGTTTACATGAACAGACATCAAGAGCAACTAGATATCCAAATTAGTGCAGCCAAAATGAGAGCATGATTTCATATTCCGGTATAAAAGTCTACTAGCTAGTAAAAAAGGATCTCCAATGAATTTCCGAGATGTGGTCTTGACTCAAAGTTCAAACACCAATAGAGCTAAATGAAATGGAACCCAGAAGAGGTATTAAAAACATATCCCTACTGGATAGGAAAAAAAAAAATAAATAAATAAATTAAATTTCCCTACTGGTAACAACAACTAAAACAAAATCTAACATTCGACAACGATAGAAAAACAACTATAACGCCAAGCTAGTAGGCTAGTTAACAAGAAGAGAATCAAAAAATCCTTACTACTCCGCTCCAAGTTCCAACAAAAGACAACGTGTTATCTCCATAACATGAAAAAGCAGGTCATACAGCAATCCAAGAAGTGAGACAACAGAAGATCAGAAACTGTCAGTATCTACCTATTTTAATTTTTATAGCACACAAGTGAAATCATGTAATGTGCCTATCATGATAAACCAGCTAACAATCAAGATACAAGGTAATAGAAATTCCAACAAATTGATCTTTCGTTCAACCAATGATATTTGACTCAATTCCATTTACATATAATCATGATTTCTCCCTTTGACGAATGCAAATGCCACAAAAACTACCATCAATCAGTAACAAAAAGGTAAAGTAGTTTTAAGACCAATAACATCTGGTTAAGCCATTCATACCATCCTTATTTGTACTTCCAATTGGAAGCCTAACATTATGGCATTCAACAGTAATAGAGCTAAATGATATGGGAATGCAGAAAAGATATCAAAAACATGTCATCACTGGAGACAAAACACCACAATAAATATAACTAACATTTGACAACGTTAGAAATCAACTAGAACGACATTTGTTCTGCAACAAATATACTAGAACGACATTTGTTCTGCTACTTAAAGTGCAAAGAGAGAATGACAAATTCTCACTACTCTGCTCCAACAAAAGACAGCAGGTTGTTTCCATAACATGGAAAAAAGGAGGTCATACTGTAATCCAACTGGATTTTCGGATAGAAGATCAAAACCTATCAGTATGCCACCTATTCTATAGAAAAACAAAGCTAAACCAGCTAAGTAGCAAGTCGCGAGGTTTTACAAACTCCAATGACATTCAACTCAACTCCATTACCATCTATCTAATCATGCATTTCTCCAATAAAAGATTGCAAATGCCATATAAAACTATCACCAATCAGTAACAAAAAGGTGAAGTACGTAGCTTTTAAGAGCAGAAATTTAACTAATTCATACAATCATTATTTGTGCTCCCAATTTGGAAGCCTAATAATATTATGCCATTCAACAGCAACAAGTAACAACAAGAAGAAAACAGACATTACACTAGGATCAAAGGCTAGCGGTCGGGGATGGAACGATGTAATCCAACACCACCACACCATCCAGCTTGTCCCTCACCAAATCCTTCTGTTCGTTCGCTGCCTCTGATTCCGAATCCAATCCCTCCAATTCGTCGGTACCCTTAAAAAACGCAATGGAGGCGATTGAGAATCCTTTGGCCCTGGCTGGAGAGAAGTTTTCCCCTAAGCTCAGATGCTCAATTGAGGGAAACTTGTCTTTAATTCCTCCAAGTACCCCCAACACTTCATCTTTCGCCTTCTCCCCCAACTCTTCCTTCAATTTCAAGAACGTCAGCCTCATCGCAGAGCCAGGAGGAACGGTAACCGAGCCGGAGGCGGCGGAGCTGACCCAATCGACGGCCATGACGTCGTCAACGATGGGCTTGACGTAATCGTTGACGACAGCAACATGGGCAGGGTGGGCGGAGTAATCATCGAGGTCGGCTTTGGAGGCGTAGCGACTGTGAAGCATGTGGGTGAAGGTGAGGGAGGATGACCGGCAACGGAGGAGCGGGCCGGCGGAGATGTGGAGGACGGAGTCGAGCGAGGCTAAGCCGGTGAGGTTGTTGGCCATAGCGATGGGTTTGGAAGGGTCAACATCAGGTTTGACTTTGAAGAGGACGATGTGCTCGATGATTTGGGTGGGATTAGCGGCGGCGGCGGTGGCGGACATTTTGATGGGCCTCCGGGATTGGGACGCGGAGAAGAATCTGATAGAAGAACTGAACGGAGAAGAAGAGCGCCCGGGAGGATATGGTACGATGTGAGGTCGACTGTAAACTACTCTTGCGCCTCCACAAAGCATTTTCTGGGAATTTTTTTGCTTTTCAACTGTCACTCACTGCGTCAAAGATAGCGATTTGTGTTCTTGAAGGTAAGCTAATAAATTTCTTACCATTTGTTTCCCAAAAAAAAAAAATTTCTTACATTTGTTCCTTTATTGAGTAAAATTTTGCCATTTGGTTTGAACTCAATGTTAATTAATTAGCTACAATTTTTTTTTCCTAATACATTCCATAGATCTAAATTTGGAGACCGTATCCAGTATATCTGAGTATGTGTTCCCCCTCTTATTTTTTCATTACTAGTCCTTATTGTATTTTTTTTCAATCTTCTTATATTTTACAAATTTAGTACTTGTCACTTTTTTTCTCGCTACTCTAAAAAAATATCTCTAATCTTCAAACGAACATAATTCTCAATCTGTGAAGAATTAGAAAAATTGTTAGGCATGAAATTTATAGTACTCGTCGAGATCTATCCAACAAGATCCATGTCGAATATATTTTTCAAGTTTAAAAATAATTAAATTTCGATGGATAAACTAGGATGGATATCTAGTTTAAAAAGATGGATAACTAATTCATTTTAAATTTGTTATTCATTGTGTTCATGTTGATTATCAAGCCAGTTTGAATTGGTTATTCATTTCGTTTGTATTGTTTATCCATTTGGTTTGTATGCTTATCCAACTTGTTTTGTGGTTGGAATCCAACGGGTTTGTATGCATGTCCAAATTGTTTGTACTGGATATCTAACTTATTTATACTGGACATCTATCCATTTGGTTTGTATGTCTATCCAACTTACGTATACTGATTATCCAACGGATTTATATGGCTATCCAAATTGTTTGTACTGGTTATCCAATCATTTTTTTTTCTTTGGAAAAAATCATTGTCCACTGCGCTAATATTGGTTATTCATTTTGTTTATGCTGCTTATCCAATCATTTTTTCCCTTTGAAACACAGTTATCCAATGTTTTCATAGTGATTATCCAATCGCTTTGTATTGGTTATCCAATTATTCTTATTGTTTGTCCAAATAAATTTGTTACTTGTCGAGTCTTTTTCTTTTTTCCTTGTTTTCTTCTCTCGAGAAAATGCTTGTCCAATATGATCCACTGGTTATCAAACTGATTGGTACTGTTTATCCAATTACTTGGTACTGGTTATCCGACCATTTTTTTCCTCTTCTTTTTTTTTTTAAACTCTTGTATTTTTTTTTTTGGTACTAACTATCCAACCGTGATGTACTGGTTATCCAATCGTTTTCATTGATTATCCAAACATAATCTCTTTTCTTTTTTTTTTTCTTTTGAGAAAATATATGTCTAATGTGTTCATACTGATTATCCAACTTCTTAGTGATGGTTATCCGACTTTTTTTTCCTCGTCTTTTTATGAAAATGATTGTCCAATTTTTTTATAGTGATTATCCAACCAGTCTGCGGTATTTATCTAATTATTTTTTATTGATTATCCAAATTATTTGTATTGATTATCCAATCGTTTATTTTGTAAAAAGTAGTCGTCCAATGTGTTAAGAGTACTGAATGGTACTGCTTATCAGATAATTTTTCCTCTTCTCCGGCCGTTGGATAATCACCATGAACACATTGGACAATCATTTTGTTTATGAAAAAGAAAAGTTAGATAACCAGTACAAACAAAAGGAATAATCAGTTCAAACTGGTTGGATAATCAGCGTGAACAACATGGATGATCGGTATGAACATATTGGACAATGATTTTTCAAGGAAAAAAAAGAATAACCAGTACAAACAAAATGGATAATCAGTTCAAACCGGTTGTATAATCAGTACGAACACAATTTGAATAGGCATGTAAATATGTTGGATAACCAGTACACATAAGTTGGATAGACATACAAACCAAATGGGTATCCAGTACAAAAAAGTTGGATAAGTATTCAGTACAAACAAGTTAGATATCCATGCAAACTCGTTGGATTACAACTATAAAACAAGTTCGATAGACATACAAACAAATGGATACCAGTTCAAACTGGTTGGATAATCAGTATCAACACAATGGATAACCAATCTAAACTAAGTTAGTTATTCATCTTAAAAAACTGGATATCTACCTTTATTATGCCCATCCGAATTTAATCATTTTTAAGTTGGAAAAAAAATTCAATATGGATCTTATTGGATAGATCTCGACGAATACAATAAAATTTATGTGTAACACATTTTCTAATTCTTCACAGGTTGAGAGATATGCTCGTTTGAAGATTAGAGATGTTTTTTAAAGGAGATGGAGAAAAAGTCACAGAGACTAAACCTGCAAATTATGAAAAGATTGATGAAAAATACAATAAGGACTTCTAGTGCAAAAAATAGGAGGTGGATCATGGTGCTCTCGGTTATACTAGATAAATTGCCCTAAATTTGAACTGAATATGTTTGTGTTAGAAAGATATACACCCATCTATGAGAAACAATTTTACATTATATAAAACTCTAGATTCAATCTAAGGTCAAATAGAACCACTAATGCAAATATCATAATGAAATAATGTCATGATTCCTTTGAATAAAGTTTTAGACATTTTAATGTTTCTTATGAAATTGAGGTTGGCTTTTCAAAATAACTATTAGCGATCAATTGAGAGCAGCAATGTTTGAAGCCAAACTGAGAAACACTAGTACATTGAAGTGCAATTAGATGTTAGGAATATGGTGACTTGGTTACAAGAGAGTATTGCTCATGTTTCAGATGTGATCTCCATAGTCAAAAACATATTTTTTACTAAAATCTTCTTTTGAAAATTGTAAATTCTTGCATATTCAGAAAGAATGAAACTCTATTTGTACCAATCTAACCAACTTAGCACTATCTAGAAAAAATACACAAAGTTAGGAAGAAAATGCTCCTTTGTGGCTAGAAAAGTTATTTAAAGCAGATTGTATTACCCCTTTGTAAATTGACTTTTGTTTTGATTTATGAAAATGATTATTGCTTTTGGCAAAAAAAAAAAATGAATTGATAGCATTTTTTACTTGCGGGCAGTGGAAGCTTTCATTTTCCCCATAGAAAACAACCAAAAGCAATTTTTCTGGAGAATTTTGATGAGAGAAAACAGTAGCCCGTGGGCATTTCGTCCTGGTGAGAAAATTTTGGTAGAAAGCCCGTATCTCTTAAAGAGCAAATAGTTGTACGCATGGATCAAGCCCAGAAACAAATAAATTTATGTCAATTGTGCTACACAAGTCCAAACCCAATCGGGATGGAAATGCTGATTAACCACATCTACGGATGTGGAAATGAAACAAACGCCAGCCGGTACCTTAGCCAACAACTTTTAGTCCCACTCCTAACTGTTGGGCCTTTGTATTTTGATCATACTCAGGTAGATGAGATTTGTATAGTGTGTTTAAGCAGTTGAGGTGTCCACTCATTGAAATGATAGCGACATGAAATTAGTCACTGTTGCCGATGATATACACCCCGTAATATGTAAAAAAGAATAAATTTAAATAAAAAAAATGCAGTTGACTCCTTAATAATCCCACTGTCACAAATGATTATTTGGGTTGCATTCTTACTTCTCTTCAAATCATTTTTGCGAAGTGATTTTACTAAAAATAAAAATACAAATCAGACAATTATTTGAGAAAAAGGGAGTACATGCTTTACTTTTGGCGGTATTTATAAACAGGGGGTTTGAAACCTTATATATTTCTGTTGACAAATTACAGTCGGGAACCTCCACACTCAAAAAAGATGTCAAACATTATACAAAAATAATTCCGAAAATTCAAAATCACAATAAATCATGTTAAAGCGTCTTCATTTATTTGAGAAAAAATCCGATCTACATTTTTTTCCCCCTTCGCCTTAAACTTAAGTATATACACTCAAAAAAAAAAAAAGTGAAAAAAAAAATTCGCTTCCAACATGGCCAATTATTATTGGCCAATGTGTTACTGCTGCTTAACTCAGGAGGAGGAGGACCAAAGTAGGTGATTATCAATCAATCAATTTCCCCGAAATGAAGACAAAAGGTTTTTGTAGTTATTAGTGGTAGTAAAATTTTAGCCGCTGCTACAAAGTCACAAAAAATCAGGAAAAAAAAAAAAAAAAAGAGGGCATGTGGGATGTGTGTGTGTGTACTGTGTGTTCCACGGTGCACAAAAATAAAATGAAAAGAAAATAATTATATAAATAAACTAGTAGTGTTGGAACTGGTTAGGTGATACGTCAGTCAGGAGCATAACGTTGGCGTCGTTGGTTGGCGTGTCCACAAAGTCCAAAACAATGCAACGGTGGGACCCCCTCTCACTCTTTAAATGCAGCGAATCTGGATAGAGGCTTGGTTCCGAGCCTCTAGATTTTCCGAACCTGTTATTCCACTCGTCTCTATTTCATTCGCTGGCAACCAGTTGTGTTGAGAGTCTTTGACACAGAGAATAATTTTTTTTTGTGATTATTTTAGCATTTTAAAAAAAGGGAGGAAAAAAATTTCCATTCTCGGCCAAAACGAAGATCCGCTGGGGCGGCAGCCGATGATACATTGGGTTTCATTCTGTGCAAGCAAAGCATTCTCCCTTGAATTCATCGACAATTACTCTTCCGTCGCACATAAATAATTCACATTGAGTTTTCAAATTTATATTAAAATTAATACAAATCTCAAAATTCAAATTGGACTATTTTTTTAGGACAGAGCTAATATTATTTCAGGATGATTATTAGTCATACTTGTTACACTATTTTGTGAACCGGAAGAAGTCATTTTAAATGGCTAGCGAATCTAGATTTGCAAGGGAAGAATAGTTAAATAGTCACAAATACAAAGTGATTGTACGCCTTAATACGGACAGGAACAGCTCAGAAGCATTAATTAAGCAGTGGAGGAAGTCGTGGTACGTACAACAACGTAGATGGTTCATCGTAATTGCTACAAATTAATAATAACGGGTCAATTTGTTTGTTTTTGTTGATTGGAAATTGTATACACATTGTAGCTGTACTTGCAAAAGACCTTACATTTAGCTGTCTATTCTCAGGTTAGGCTCTAAATCTTTAAAACAAAGAAGAAAATCATTTTTAAAAAACAGGGGAAAAAAAAACCTTTAATATAATATTCTTTCCGTCTTAAATTAATTTTTCGGCTCAAAATTAGTGGGGCAATATTAAGTGCAGACGAGAAAACATCTGTTTGCCAGATTTTTTTTTTTTTTTTTTTTTGGGGTTGTGTGAAGTCCATATCAATGTCTTCAATATCACGTTTTAAAAGTTTTGGCATGAAAGTTGTGAACGCATATAATGCCCTTAGATCTATGGTTCCATTGGTCACAATTTTCTTGATAGTAATTTTGACTATATGTCTACTTAAAAAGACTGTAGTCCTTACCCTATATAAATTCACCGGGAATATCATTAATCAACATTATATTATGTTTCCGGCATTAATTATAATAGGTGGATTTTTAGGTAGAGGGCCAATCTAATTACAGCGATGATTTGGTTTACAACAACTTGACGAGCATGACAAAAAGAATTATAAGCATGAGACGACGAAGACTTTGGATATATTTTGATTTGGTCCTAAGTTTAATCTAAGATGTCTTTTTAATTGAAAAAAAAATCTTAAAAATATATTTTTTCATTCGTTGTGTTATCCTAATTATTGTAAAATATTTTTAAAGTTTTTATTCTAATTAAAAAATTATCATAGATGAAACTTAAAACGAGATCAAAATATCTTATAATAAAAATCGGAGGGAGTACTTGCTAGTAGTCATCTGGAGTTTGCATGTTGTAGATATGGACATGTGCTAATAATAGTAATGGTGGTAGTGCTAAAAGGGTATATACAAAAAACTACAAAATCCGATCAGCATGAATAATGCAGTTGCCTTTCTCCCCACTAGTCTACAAAATTACTCAAAGAAAAGGCGAGCAAGGACCACATCAGGCATCAAGCCACCCCCATGGTCATGGACCCATTATTTTTTTCTTTCTTTCTTCTTCATCGTTCCTCTATTTAATTTCTTCTTTCTTTCTAGCTTGAGGAACATTGCGTGAATATGTTACCCATCTTAATCACAATGAATTATTACTTTTTCTTCTTTTCTTTTTTTTTTTCAAAAATCAATTGACATTTTGAGTAAAGAAGTCAAAAAATCAAATATACGACTCTTTAATCGCACAATTTTCTGATGCGTAGAAATTAGAATGATCTATAACAGTGAGTTCGAAGTTTGAACTCGAGTACAACACGGTAGTTTATTTTATCGACTTTTCCCATCCACGGAGTATTTTACTTTAATTTCATTCAGATTTTAGCCTTCTTATTTGTACCAAAAAAAAAAAAAAAAACGGTTCAAGATGACCACAAAGTCCAGAGTACCAAGTCATGTTTGCAAAATGGGGCAGACTTGACATAATAAAAGTATACTTTGTAACGTAAATTCTGTAATATAGTGCGCTTCATGCTTCTTTTGAATTTTTAGTTTTAAGTATGTTTCGTATTTGGTGAACAATATCAGTAAACATAATTTTAATTTCAGAACTTTGGTTTGGGAAAAGAGAATGAAACTAAAGCTTTGGATCAATTTCCTATTAGGGTTTTTCCTATTTATTTCTTCTTTTTTTTATGAATGTACTCTTTCTGTCTCTATAAAATAATTCAAATTGTAAATTATAATTTTTTTATATATAATATGGATTATTTTTATAAAATAGAATGAGTATTGATTTTCCCAAGGAGGAAGAAAAAACACTACAAAAACAGACCCTATTTAATGTGTGGTGACTGGTGAGGACTCTAATATATAGGGGCTCCATCATCATAAGGGGCTCCTGCTATTTCATTTCATCATTGTAGGTGAGTCCACATGAGATCCTATATGCCCGAAAGAGTACCTAAATTAGGGCCACTGTTTGAGGAGAAAATGCGGACATTATGGAATATTGTGCACATGAATGTCAGGATGTTGCAAATTTTGAACTTATACTGTAACAAAGATTCACAAATTATCTCATTACCCAAAAATCAATAAATAAATAATTCGCAAATAATCATGAAGCACATTGTTTTAACTTTTAACAATATTACATTCTGATTACAAATAAACTGAAACGGATACTTACTACCTCCATTTCTATCTTATAAAATTCCTAACTTAATCATGTAATATTATTAACAATGGTTGAAGTAAATTGTGAATTAGTTAGTTGAGAGGGTAAATAATAGAAAAACCTTATTTTATGCTTTCTTGTTTTGGCATATTGTGAATCTAGTGTCCGCAGTCATCAATCCGATTAATCCAGATTTGAGCCGGGTATGTTCTTTTCGGACAAAATTATCCCAATAAATATTTTAATCAATGTTTTATGCTGTGTGATCCCAAGTCACAGTTGAGTTGGTCCAATTCCTTATTACTTGTTGGTTATTTAATATTTTCTTGAAAAGGTAAAAGATTTTATAAAAAATTACAAGAAAATCGTGTCTAGAACCTCTTATAAAAAAAGAATGGAAGTAATATCTTTATCACTAGTATATTAGAAGTAAACCCATATTTATTAATCAAATCTATGATCACTTTAACTTTCACTTTATTTTCTTCTAGTTGTACCATTAATCTAAAATCTGATATGCCCAATCCACTAAACAAGTACTATCTCCTATTTAAAGGTTTCCTTTTGGACCAAAACACACTGTTCTTTAACAGAAGAATGGACAAAAATAGGCCCTTTCGTGGAATCCTGAACAAAAGAAATTTGCGAAAGAACTCCGACCACTTGTTGGAGTTACGGTTACCTTTGAAACACTTCCTTTCGGGTCATCATTTTTGATAATCTAAATTTCCTTTTTTTGAGTAGAAGGACAAGGGACTAGGACGGATACGTCTTTGGCTCAACAAACCTAATTTACAATTAATTAAGTAAATATGTATGTTTATGTGGATACATCCATTTTTTATAAAACAAATATATATTTTTTTTAAAAAATAGTACTCCTTCCGTCCATAATTATTGTCTAGTTTACTAAAATAAAAGATTTTATTTTTTGTCAAACTTAACTATATTTTACCTTAAACAACCGGATATACCCCTACATAAGTAATTGTTTAACCACTAAGATTTTATGAATAATGTTTTTTACTAAGGACAAATGTGTAACTTGATCCATAAAAAGTCAAATTGGACAATAATTTTGGGACAAAATTTTTTCGGCAAAGTGGACAATAATTATGGGATGGAGGGAGTAACTTATTAAGCGCACCCTTTTAGCTCATGATTTTCGTAGAGCTGATGTTTTTATAATAAGAGTTAAAATGTTACATGAGTTTGCAAATAAGATGGAAGAAAGTATATTTAATTTAAGTACTGGCATGATTTGACGACGTATGCCAACTATAATATTAGTGCTATGGTCCAAGTTAAGGTTAAGGTCATATTCTCTTGCAGGCATATTTCAACTTTTTTATAAAAAAAATAAAAAATAAAAAATCTTTAGATACCGATTAGGATGGCTAACTAAGTAGTAAGTATGTAATAATAATTAAAATTTGCCCATTTACAAAGCCAATCGAAGGAAAAATTGATGCTTCTTGACAATCAATGATCGGTTGGAAAGTAAATAGCGTGAATATTTTATTAAAACGACAAGTGTGATGGGATTGGCCTCGTACAATTGTTCGTCCTCTGCCAGGATGACTAGTTGGACTTTCGGATCAAAGGTTAACCACACGATCATGATAAAAACAAATTTGATAAATCATGCTCATTTTTTTGATGTTTTAATTTGCAATTTAATCAAAATGTAGAGGAAATAGAACTTAAAACTCCTTATTATCTCAATCCAATTAGGTAAAAATGATTCAAAATTCGAATAGAAACGAACGGTTTTACAAACGTTTTAAATATTCAAGAGGCAACATTTTTAACACAGCCGTAATTCAGTACGAATAAGTTAAAAGACAATGTGTAACGGATCGAAAAAATTTTCATAGACGGAAATTTTCTGATTATCATCTGAAAACTGTCACGAGATGAGTTGTCCTTTTGACAAAGTGAAAAATATTTAATTATTTAATATTAACATGACCGTGTTGGTGTGATCCGAGTTTAAGTATCTCAATAAGTGAAATTAACTTAACTAAATAAAAATTTAAATCATTTATTCGTCAGATGATGTTATCTTTGGATTATATATGAGAAAAATAATTAAAAAAATACTTAATTTAAGTAAAAAAAAAAAGAAAAAAGACAGGTGGAAAAGGAAGAAAAAATATAGGAGTATTTTAGCTAGAAACACAAAAATTGACAAACAGTATAAAATCCTGCAAATATACATGAGAGAAAGAAGGAGGGTGGGTCGGAGAGCGTGACTGTCAAATCTACATATTCCCTTTCTCTCTCTCTATTCTCTCTCTCGCTTCACACACACACACACACACACACACACTATTTCTCTCTCAAAATTCTGAAATTCAGGCAAAAACGAGTCTGTTTCTCAAATTGCTGTGTGTGTGTCTCTCTCTATCATCTCTACCTGCTTCTCTTGGCTCCGCAGATTCGATTCAATCGCCGGTCTTTTCTATTGTTCCCAATCTCTGTCTGTCCCTTCTCCTCAATCTTCTCTCTCAACCCCGCAAACAATGTTCCCAGATTTTCACGGTAAGTTATAAAAAAAAAAAACAAAAACCCATTACTTGTGCTTTCGCTTAGCAACTTCTTTCGGCTATATACACGTAAAAACAAATCTCTGCCCCCCACTGTATAAAAGATCATCTCTTTCCTCTTTATTTATCTTTATCCATCGGCTTCAACCAACAAGAATTAAAAAGTCTGTGAACTTTTTTTTCTCTTCCCTTGATAAATTTTGGGTTTTGTTTTCGTGAAGGTTTTGGATTTTTTTGTTTTGATTTTTTTTTTGGTGTTTGATGATGTTGGGTTAGTTGTTTACGATGATAAAGATTCGATTTTTATTTCACTGTTTCTTTCTTTTTTTAATGTCATGCAGTTAATGTGCTTCACTTCTTTTCTGTGTTTTTTTTTTTGGGTGGTTGTGAGTGTTATTTGTGTTTCTGTAAATGTTCTTTCTTTTTTTTTTCTCCCTAGGTTGTGTGTGTGTGACATATAATTATTATTATTATAAGATTTGGTTTTATTAAGGAGGGGTCAAAGGTTATCTGGATTCATTAAGATTTTGCTTAGCTAGTAGCTGTACAGAATTTACATCATCCTTCTGCTGCAACTGGCATGATTTGGTGTACGGTTTTTCAATTTCTGAATTCCCAATTTCGTCCCTTTGTCCAGAATTCCATGCAAATACCCCATTTTCAGAATATGATATCATCCCTTTCTACTTTGTTTTTTTCTTGCAAAAAAAGTTGAGAGATTTTTAACCGTTTTTTCAGTCCAAGAAATCAGGCACTCGGGAAAAAGTAGGAAGGATTTAACCCGTTTTTAACTTTTTATTTCCTAAGATTCTTTTGTAAAAATGCTTCCTTGGAATAATGCATTTCATTTGGAGAGTATTTGATCTCTTTCTTTCTAGTGCAGCATCATTGACTGAGTTTTCTGGGTTCTCTAGCGTTCTTGTATTGAAGTGTACTTATTTAACTTGGAATGGGATTAACATTTGGGGTGGGTAATTCTCCATTTTTGCCACAACAGATTGGAAAAGTTCCTTTTTATGGAAATGGGATCTGCTTTTTTAACATCTCATCAACCGCACAACAAACAATAAAAAGTAAAAATTATTGATTATAATGATGAAAACAATAATAATAATAATAGTAGCAATAGTGTTTATGTTTGTTACCATGACTTCTTTTTGTGAAAAGAAGAACCTCTCAGGGGGGACTAGGGAGGGGGGAGAGAGGTCATGATTTCAAGTTCAGACTTCAGAGCTTTGTCTCTTTGTGCACCATTTGTCTTAAACAAATAAAAACCTTATCATGTTTTGTCAGGCTTTTTTTCCCTCTCTTTTTTTAGTAATTTAACCAAAGTACAGATAAGAGGATATGATGATGATGATGGGTATTCCTTAAAAGCTAAATATAAAATCACTAATCCCATTGTCTCATCTTCTGACGTTTTTAATTTGTTCTCGTGATCATATTCATGTTCATTTTCCTGCTTGCTAAAAGTGGTTGGGTTTTGTCTTGTGAAGCAGCAGAAGCAGAAACAGCACTGGGTTTTTTCTGATTTGAGTCCCCAGAAGATTTTGACCCAAAAATGGAGGGGGATGCATTTTCTGCTGGGCTTGGCAATGGGACCACCCAAATAGATGGCAAAGTAATGCAGACATTTCAGAAGAGTTTTGTTCAAGTACAGAACATTTTGGATCAGAATAGGCTGCTGATCAATGAGATTAATCAGAATCAAGAGTCCAAGATGCCTGACAATTTAAGCAGGAATGTGGGTCTAATCAGAGAGCTCAACAACAATATCAAGAGGGTTGTTAATCTTTATTCCGATCTTTCATCTTCTTTTACCAAATTCGTTGATGGTTCATCAGAAGGGGATTCTAGTGGCGCCCTGAAATCAGATGGAAAAGCTGGTCACAAGAGGAACAGAGCTGGTTGAAGGCAACAAAAGCTCAAAGAAGGCTTCCTTCCTTTCCTTCCTCCTACCTAATTCTTTGTTAGTTGATAGAGTTGAGTATTATATCAGGAAGAAGAAGATGCACAAAATTAGAGCATGTTTAAGGATCAAGGTTTGATTGCATTCCTTGTGAGTTTCTCTGTTAGCCGCAGAGATTATGGAAATAATGTCTCCAAATCTTTTAGATTGTAAGTATTGTACCTGCAAATCTAATTGGATCAAGTACTTTAAGATCTGTACTCTGTACTGTACCATCTGATCTTCTGGTTAATATCAATTGGCTTTCAATGGTAGATTATTCATTAAAATATAAGTAAAGTTTTGATCTTTATCTCTTCTACAATGGACGAGGGACAGGCGAAATAATAATTATTAAGAAAGTGTGTTTTGTGTAAGGCCACTTTATGAGCTGTTTTAACTTTTTCAGTTTGTCAAAAGGCTATTGATAGTTTGATACCTGATGGGAAGGAATTGGGGGAGATTTTCCTTATCACCGTATTATTGCAATGAAGTTTACATCAACTTTTTGTGTGGAAACTAAAAAAAAAACTCGATCCCCCTTTATTCTTTTTACCAATCTCGGTCTAAAAACTCTAAAGGGCCAATTTTTATTTTTGCCCCCATTAGATCTTCTTCCACAGAGAAACTGAAGTGAAAGTGGTGGCAGATACTTTGTTTCCTTTTTTCTTCAATCCCTTTTGGATTTGCTGGGAAAATTACTGCGGAAATGTGGAGAAATGATCACACATTTTATACATGATGACATAATAAAAATAAAACAGAGAGCCCTGCAAAGATGCTCTGCTCTGAAACAATTGCAAGAAAAAAGGGGCTTTGTTGTTGTTATTAGATAATTTCTTTTCAGTTCCAAATCACAGAGCACCACAAGAACAGAATCTCAGAAAGGAGATGATGGTTCCCTTTGACCCCTCTTCCCAATTGATTGATTATTATTTTAGTTTTTTTCCTCATCAGTTTACGTAATTCGTTTGGTGCGTCCAATGAGCTTGGTCGTGGCGTTTGATAGTGAAAGAAATACATAAACAATTGAAGGAATTTTGAGGAATATAAATCAATTAGAAAAGAAAGTTGTGTTTTTTTAGGTAGTTCGAAACAACGCACTAACAGTTTTAAAAACGGGACAGACAGATTTATGTGAACAGTGACCCCCAACAACATGACAAAGGGACCCCAAAAAAAAAAAGAAAAAAGAAATTGTTCTCCTTTTTGGGATGGAAAAGAAGTAGAACTACTTGTAGTACTAGATTTTCTGCAAACTTATCCACCCTTCCACTGTTGCAATGCTACCACTAATCTATGTGAGATGAGTTTATTTGTATTCATTTGGTGATATGTTAGCTCTTTGCGGGTCTAATTTCTCTCTTTTCTGGCTCATTCTTGACTCTTTACGATACGGTTTAAACAGAACTTGATATCTAACTACCAACATTAACTAGCAACCATTGTCGTGTTATTGTTCGATCTCTACTTATCTAGTACATAGTATGACATACGGAAATACACACAAACTCATTGATTGATTGAGCAGGTGGCTTTGTAGGTGGCCCCTAGTAAATGAGAACCTAATTTACTCATCTTCTCTTTGGCCTCTTAGTAGGGAAAGACAGGTCCACAACACAATGAGAGGGTGACAACAGGTTCATAATTTTAGTATAGATTTTTCCTTTGTCACTTTATCCACACATACTCATACACTACTTGATGAGATTGGATCATTGGATGGAGTTTTCGTCTTCCCCTGAAATTGAATTAGTGATATCTCTCCAACCTTCTGAGGTCGTTGGATCTCACCTTTTTTTGAGATGGGAATTATTGATTAAGAACAATGATCATCATTCTATCATTGATTCACATGTACCTCTTGTCTTCCACTTGTACCATCGGAAAATAGGAATTTTTGCTTTTTTGGGACAACAATCTCAAGATATCCATAGTATAAGTTTACCCTTCAGCTTACAGAAAGTATAATCAATAATAACCTCGCTTCGTCTCATCCTTAACGTTTCATCCAACCCTCTTGACCGGTAATTTGATTCAATTATTTCATTTTAAAACGCGCTTTACCTAACTTTTAATTGACATAAATGTGAAATGAACACCAACAAATCAAAAAATTTTGTTGCAGAATTGCGGCAATAAATTAAAACAACCTCCTAGTGCTACTTTAAGGTTATTAGATGGGCAGAAGATCAGATCAGTTGGTCCCAAAAAAAGACCCCAAGCCAAGACAAACTAAACATGCTATAAGACACAACATGTGAAGTGGGAATCTGCTTTATTAGTCCCCCTTTCTTTCCTTTTGTTCCTTGCAGTTCCAGCAAATTGCTTCAATTTAAACTATTACTCTATTCCTTTCCTCACTTACAAACCTAATTCGGTGGTGGATTTTCATAGGTTACATACCCTATATCGTATTAGTCGGATCCAGTTACGTTTTGTCCCATTATAATAATCCTCATTCTCACGCTTGCCTTTGCCAAATTGCCTTATTATATCAATTATTAACATACATTACTGAATAAGTATACATCAGTTATCACAATCAAACTAATTTTACACAAATAATAGACTCTTTTTGGTTTGGTGCATGAGAATCTAACAAGAAAAGAATCACATTTATAATAATTGCAAATGGGTTAAAGTAGTAAAAACTTTTTGAAAACTTTATGGTGAATTTCATGTCCTTTGAACGTTCCAACAATAGTAGTAGAATTTTAAAAGGAATGGTGGTAAGAATTTAAGATTAGGGTGATTGCCAAATGCTTTCCGGCCTAATTTATGAAAAGGACAAACAAGTTTTTTTTTTTTTTTTCCCCCTTTGTTTTTTTTGGGGTAAAAGGACAAACAAGTTAGAGTTGATGGTGCCATGGTGTGGTATGGTATATAACCAAAATAAAAATGGAATCCAATCCATAGTCCAAGAATCATGGGCATCCCCGAATTTCACATTTCCCCAATGGTTGCTCTTTCATCCGATTTGATGCCCCTCCATAGGTGTCCAATATTCTTCCAAGGGACGGTAGTAAACGGTTGCATATCAGATATACATGAAATTCTATACCATTCAAATGGATTCCTTTTGAGAATACGCATGATAAATTATTTGATCTTATAATAGAGGAATATTTTCTCCTTCTTAAATGATTGTTTAGTTTATTCGTTACTTTGAACGTACTGCAAGAGCTAGAAAACAAGAAATCGAAATAAGAGTCTAGTAATTAAGTTGTTGTCTTTTTTGATAATAAATCCGGATTCGATTTCCACTGAGAATTGTAAGTAAGTTTTATCAACATTTAAATGGAAAAAAAAAAAAAAAAAAGCCGGAAGGGGGAAGGAGGTGGTCACTGGTCACAAATCTATGATGAGGATTTTTATTTTTTATTTTTTGTCGTGGTGTAGAATGAATCATTCAAGTTGTTATTATTACTGAACCAAAATGACATCACTTCAAAGCAACTTCTTCCCCATTCAAAAAAAAAAAAAAAAAGAATGAAAAAATCAGAAATTCAAAACGTCTTTTCGGAAACTCGTCCGATCAACAACGTTAAAAATTTTAAAAACAACCACCGAGAGGCCAATTCCTACAAAAATTAGTGAAGTCATCATCAATCATCATCTACTCCCAGTTTTACTTTATCTATCATGTAAAATTATGAACGCTTTTTAGTGCGTGATTTTTTAGTGTCTATTTGTTTGATGCGCGGAATCATGAGTTTCCGTTTTCGTAATTAAATTAGTTTGGTTTTGCTTGTAGGAATTAAATTTTAAAATATAAAGTACTCCACTTGTAAGTGTGTTAAGAAAAGCCGCCACTAAGAATCTGTAGTACGTGATTCCCTGGGGAACTAACTAATGCTTACACCCTCCGTATCAACTTGTAGGTCGTTTCAGGTTTGGATAGATTTTTTAAAATGTAGATTGTTTTACAAATTATAAACAAATTAATGACTATTTTTTCAATTTTACCCTCAATAAATGATACCAATATATTTTCATTTAGTCTTGTTTATAATTCCAATGTAATTAATTGTTAGATAATTGTCTCTTTAATTTACGTGTAAAGTCTAAAATGAATTATATTTTGAAATAGAGAGAGTAATTAAACATATAGATAAGCTGTGTTTAGTTCAGTTAATCACAACTTGGCAAAATCACATGCTCTCAGAGCATCAAGTACATACATCACGAAAATTATTAATATGCTGGATCCAAAATCACCACTGAAATGAACAAATAATTAAAATATGATTCCAAAATATGTGGAGATCGCATGCACGAAGCTTCCGTTTAAATCTCCGAATACATGTTATTTTGGATTATGATCACTGGCTATCACTCATCTGGGCGGACAAAAGGGGGACCCCTTTCTTGACAACTCATTATCCAAATAATTCACTATAAAGATTCCTAGTTACTTTCAAAACCAACCAAGTAGAAAATATTAGTGAAGTACATAATATACATTGACTTCTTTTATGTATTTAGTTCGGAATAAAAGGTCAATAGAGGAAACAATGGTGAGAGAATGGGACAAAATGGTTTGGCATTTAGATTGAGAGATTGTTATTATCACGATGCTGAGGTTCAATTGTCTTCAAGACAATCTACGTTTTTTTTTTCTTTGATAATAAGGATTACAGAAGAAACACTTAGTTAGGTAACTACGAAGATTGTGTTTATTTTATCCCATTTCTAACAGACCATTATACTGTTTTAACTAGTAACAGAAAAAGAATTGACATCAAAATGAGACGGAAATAGTGTTAAAACATTAAATGGAGGAACCCAAAAGATATAAGTGCAGATCAGCAATAAAATCATGCATGCACTTAATGCTTATGCTTTTTTCCCATCTTTTGGACAGACGAACATTATGATCATCGAAGACATGAAAATAACAGGTAAGAGAGGGGGAGGAACAGGGATAAGAGACAAAAATCTGTAGATGGAAAAGAGTACATTTGCCTTTCTTCATTCATGTCAGTGTTTTTATGGAAAGCACAAAAGAATAGTATATTAGAATATACAAATAGCTTCATATTTGGTGCATCAATTTGGTATCGGTGTGAGCTAGGGGCAATAAGAAAAAAAATTTGTGGTACCAAAAAATAATATCCTCCTACAAGTAACATTAATTCCCATGTGCGTTTTTTGATTAATTGTGGTAATGGATTCTTTTGTTTTTTTTTTGGGAAAGGGATTTTAATTGGTAGTTTGGTTATTATATATATATCATACTGCATGAATGCGTGTTTTGGTCCCCCAATCTCATAATTCTTTTTTGGCATTTTCAGCTTGTTTCAATTCAACAAAAGGGCCATGGTGAGGAGATTAAACACTAATGTACATATACTTCTACTACTTGTTTAGACAAATCATAAGTCTTAACCGTGTAATATGAAATTTCATCATTAGAGATACCAATGGCGACCATAAAATCTAGTTAAACGCGTTCAAAACTAAGAATTGGATAGAAATGTTTGGGAGCAAAGATGAATTTCCAAGGCAAGGCACTAAATGAACAATTTCAGCGTGGTCAACAATCTGATCAACATTGTTTGGATGACCAACTAATTAAGTCGGTTAGAATCTTAACAACAATCTGATCAAGAGGCCGCATAGTATAATATTATAAAACCTCAGGGACCATGCCGTAAATTCATCAAATTTCGAGGACCGAATTCTTAACTAGATACATCACCTATACCATGGTTAATGATTACGAAGCCCCTACTGAACTAATTATTGGGGACCACATTATTAACATTGTATTGTTGTTTTAAACATCACTTACGAAAAGTTACCTTTAGAAAATTAACGTAAGTTTCTAACGAGATGAGAACTTTTTGGTTACACAGATTGCTTTGAGTATGATCCATGATTTGTTCTTAATTCCACATCACTAGACTTTACACTTTCGAAAATATTTATGTGTTTTTATTTGAGAGTTTAATACCAATTGAGTTGATTTCTTTATCTTTCACTCATTACATTATCCTTAAAATTTTACTACTACTTATACGTATAAGTATCTTTTTTTTATTTTAATTGTTTAAACATTTTAACTAGTAGCAGTAATGTATGAACATTTATGTCCTTTGAGTGATTCCCGATACGATGAACATAATCGGCCTTCCCATCCGGTCATCCACCATCCGCACCTATAACTTTTTTTTTTAATCATTTTAAATAATTCGGATTAAGCATTCTTATCAACCATTTCGGCCGTGTCTATATCAAAGAGTTGAAAAAATGCAGCAATTTAAAGGGGAAAAAAAAATAAAATCAACCATTTCATATTTGACTTTACGGTTTTAGTCCCTTAAGTATCTAACCGATAATTTTAGCACCAACAGTTCCCCATTCATATATGATACTGAAACATCCTTTCAAGCATTTTATGCCGCACTTAAAGTCTCAATCTAATGTAATTTTCTCAAAAGCACAAGAATTCCACCTAATTAATTTTTGGGAAATTAGTTGCTACTACATCAAAATACAACGAGGGAATTTTTTTTTATTTTTTTTAATCTAATTTATAGTAGCTGAATTTCAAGAGTCGAAAATGAAAGGATGTAACTGAGATGTTTATTAGAAATTAGCATAACGAGATCTAAATCTGAAAAAAGATTATGAACCAAAAGTACATTTTTTTCCCCATACATCGCGTTTATCTCACAAAAAAGAAAAAGAAAAAGAAAAAAACTATCAAGTGACACCAATACACGGGAAGCAATTTTATAAAGAGAAAAAAAAAGAACACCATTATTCGGGGGTCATTAAATAATACATTACCAATCTTATTTTTATATTTTATTTAATCTCAATGTCATTTCAATTGATTTGACTGTTATTTAATGTGATTTAATCGGTACAAGTATGTGACTAACGTTAGGTAGATAAGGAAGCCGCCATTTAACTAGTGTTATTATTGAGAGGGTACTTCCCCTAAAATTAAAATTCAGTTTAGACGATTATATAGTTTAGAAGGTTGTATTATTGTGAGTTAAACCATAGATATTTTTATGGTCCTAGGTGACCTGTCTACATTCTAGACTGGGATAACCAAGTTGTCCTTTTTGACCTATTCAATTTAAAATTTCATTTTTGTTCAAAATTGTATTAATAATACTAAAAATTTAAATTGAACAATAATTGAGATGGAGGCAATAAGGAAATTATATCTCTTAATTTCAAAATCATTGTCTCTTCGATTTCTTCATCTTTTAAAAAATGCAAATATCATAATTTTGGGATGCACGGATTATAAACGTTTCGTAAAATTCGAGAGAAAGTCGGTTCTAATCATCCGCGTTTGTAAGCTCTAATAATCAAAGCCCATCTAATAAGTGCTAATAGCATTCATTGAATGAGTAGTTCGTATCCGGTTGAGCATCTAAGTAAGCCCACATCTTTTTATCTCTTCCAAGAAAATGTAAGCCCACCAGAGCCCAGTTAACATTAGGGTCACTTTGTCATCATCGTCAATCACTATAAAAACCTCTGCAAAACCTCTCAAAAAACCCTAAATCACAGCATTTGCGGAACAAAAATTGGTAGAAGCTGCAAACGCTTCTGATCTCGCAGATTCTTTAATCGCCGCCGCCAGTTTCGGAAGCGTTGCGAAATCGCTTGTCCCCAATCATGGCTGTTCAGATGAGCAAGAAGAAGAAGTTTGTGGCGGATGGAGTGTTCTTCGCGGAGCTGAATGAGTTGTTGACCCGTGAGCTGGCGGAGGATGGCTACGCCGGTGTGGAGGTCAGGGTTACTCCCATGAAAACTGAAATCATCGTCAGAGCCACTCGCACTCAGAATGTTCTTGGTAATTAACTCTTCTTCCTCAATTCTGCTTTTCAATTTTCCAAGCTTTAATATTAACTAGTTCTATATTACTTTAAGGGATAGTTTTTTTTTGATATTTAAAGTTTGTTGGGCATTTTTGTTTAGGTGAGAAGGGTAGAAGGATTAGAGAGCTTACTTCACTGGTGCAGAAGAGATTCAAATTCCCAGAGAATAGCGTTGAGTTGTTTGCCGAGAGAGTTAACAATAAAGCACTTTGTGCGGTTGCTCTAGCTGAGTCTATTCGTTACAAGTTGCTTGGTAGCCTCCCCGTCAGGAGGTATATTTTCCTTCGTAATTTGTTAACTTTGTCAGTGTTGATGCTCTCCATTTTCCGGATAATAATTATATAATCATTATGACACGATGTGTTATGTTTTCTAAGAAATGAAAATGAAATCTGGTTGATTTTGTGCTCCCCGTGTAGATTATTTGTTGTAATTTTGTAGTGTGTTAGTTTGAAATTTGTCATCCACAAAGCAGGTTGGTGTTTTGATACCAATTTAGTGTCGGATGATGACTAGAGAAATTCTTGTCTTCTTTGACATTGTCATCCTCATGAAACTTTCCTGTGTTTGTGCAGCAATGTCTTAGATGACACATAGATCTTCTGCAACTGCTTTATTTTTGAAGGGTTTCTGCCTCTGTTTTGTAGTTGTGCAAATGTTTTTGCAAAGGCGTGGCTGATAAGTGAGAGTAACTTTGTCAGCATGCTTTTAAGATATTTGCCATCGAAAAAGCAGATTGGTATTTCTAATACCAATACTGTGTCAGATGATGACCAGAAGAAGCTTGTCCTCTAGGCTATAATTCTCGTGAAGTATATGTGTCACGAAGTAAACTTTGAGAGGATAAATCTGTGTTGGCTAACCACATTGAATGTAGTTGACTATAGTGAATAGCTATTAACCTAATTTGCTATTTTGCGCGATTCCTTGCTAAACCAACATCATTAGACGCATTGTAGTAGTTATCTAGATATAAGAGATTTGTATGAGAAACTGAATTTGAGGAATTCTATATATCTATCAAATGGAAATCTGTATCTTTTTCACACAGGGAAGTAGGATTTTTATGTGTTTGAAGCGTGTGATGTGATGTTCCCGTTTTTCTTTGGCTCCGCTAGTTACCAAAATACTGTCTGATATCTTGTTCGGTCTTGTCTGTTTCAGGGCTTGTGGTGGTGTAATGCGTTTGGCTAGGGAGAATGGGGCCAAGGGGGTTGAGGTACTACATTTAGAGGCTTTGGGCCCTGTATTTCTGCTGCTTTCAATGTTTCATTAGTTAAAATTTGATTGTTGATAATCTTACACAGATCATAATCAGCGGAAAACTGAGGGCTCAACGTGCTAAATCAATGAAATTTAAAGATGGTTACATGATCTCTTCTGGTCAGCCAGTCAAGGACTATGTTGATTCTGCTGTGAGGCATGTTCTTCTACGACAGGGAGTACTTGGTATCAAGGTCAAAATCATGCTTGAGTGGGATCCGAAGGGAAAGATGGGGCCGGTAACTCCCCTCCCAGATTTTGTCACAATTCGTTCCCCCAAAGAGGAGGAAGAGTACATCAGGCCTGCCGCACTTCCTCTCCCTGAAGTGGCAGTTCAGGCGTAGATAAAAAGAATAGTTCTCTTCATTTAAGTGGGTTGTGACATCCATCAACACATAATTTTGCAGATGTCTGACTTGCCTAGGTGGAGTTGATCAGTTTAGTAAAGGGATTTAGGTGGTAAAGAATATTCTTTTAGGTTTTATGCTGCCTTTTGGCTCTTCTCTGCTGGAAGTCTCCTCGGCTTCCGCATTTTGGTAGAGTTTATATTTCACTGATGCTTATTATACAAATGGGAATAAAACTGGACAATTCATGAAAGCTTTTAAGCTTTATAATGCTCAATTATTTTTAAGCATATGCAATGACCCTATTGGTTTCTGCTTGACAACCATTACTTTATTCGAGATAGGTGTTAATTTTTCAATAAAATTGCGTTAATATGTTAATCATTTTGCGAGTCGTGGAGGTATAATAATAGCATAATTCCCTTTTGTCAAATAATAATAGTAACACTTGCGATTTGCGAATTTATCATGTTGTATGTTACATCCAAAGTTAGTAAATATAAGATTGTTTTGTTCCGAATTCGCGGCTCTTGTTTTAGCGACGTGTTTCAAGTCGGTTGAAGCCGCCATATTGAGTTACCCGCTAAACACACACACACACACACACTCCTAAACGGGCTATAACTTTTACATTAATTTCCAAAAATACCCCCCGCGGCTTCCCTGGGAAGTCTCTGCTCTCCATATATATTCTGACCGGTCTCCTTCATTATTCCGTAAAATCCAAATCCAATTTCCCTCGAGTTTCATTTTCCCTCTCCCTAGGGTTTGCCGTTTCAAATTCTCTTTCCTGCCTGTGCAATTCTCTTTTTCGTAACGATGCCGGTGAATTTAACGGCGAATGCAATCTCTGCGATAGTCGCCGGAGATGTCAACGCCAAGCCTTTGGTCCAAATCTTGGACGTCAAGCTCGCTGGCGCCACTCAGGACCGGTACCGCCTTTTGATCTCCGACTCGGTTCTTGTTCAACAAGCTATGCTTGCTACTCAGCTCAATGGCCTAGTTAAGGCTGGGGGTCTTCGCAAGGGTTCCGTCGTTCAGTTGATCGAGTATATCTGCACTTATATCCAAAATCGCAAGTATGTTTGCTTTTGGAATTCTCTATTATCTTTTAAGATGTTCGCATACTTTTGAATGTTCAAATTTATCTCTCTTTTCGTAATTAGTTGAGTTTTTGGCTTAGTATTTGTTTTTGAGGTAATATTGGATGGAAGTTGTGGGGAAATTGTCTTTACATTTTTTGTTCTTTGATGAATTCTCCACCACAACTGCTATGCTGTTCTATAAGCGTCAGAAATTTGAATTTTGTTGGTTGGTGAAGTAGGTTTAATTGTATGTATGCTTGGAAACAGAACTTGCTTAAAAGGAGCAATTCGAGAAATTCTTACTAGGTCTAGCCACATGTCAGGGGACAGAAACAATAGACATTTCATATATGTTTTAAATTGGAGGAGATTCACTTATGCAACTGAGTATTCACCTGTAATTTTTTAAAGTGTACTTATGTGATTCTGTATTTGATTGTGTTGATGCCTTGTGATGTCTGGCGTTAGTATCTACCATTCAGAATGCCACTTGTTTCTTTCAGACTTTTGATAATACACGTGCTCCTTTCGTTGCTATATATGGTTGAATAGCTAGAGCTCTTATTTTTTCTATGTTATTCCTTTGAGTTCTTTGTACTTGAAAAAGACAATTTCATATTGTTCAAATCGTATTTGCAGGATAATTGTTGTCCTCAACATGGAAATTATCATTCCAGATTGTGACATAATTGGGAACCCAAAAATGTTAGACGAATCAGATTCAGCAGTTCAGAAATCAGTGCCTGAAAGACCTTTTTTAAGTGCAGCTTCTGATAATAACAATAATCACCTTGGAGCACAAAATGCTGTACGTTCCAATGCACCATTTCGTAACAATGTGAACTCCAGCAATTTAGCCAGTAGTGCGCAGAGCTTCCGGCCGGTAGTTCAGCCCCCATACCAACCACCTCCAAATTTTAAAGGCCACGGTGCTATCATGAAGAATGAAGCACCAGCACGCATCATTCCCATTGCCGCATTGAATCCGTATCAGGGTAGATGGGCTATCAAAGCAAGAGTGACTGCGAAAGGAAATCTCCGTCGTTATAACAATGCCAAGGGAGATGGTAAGGTCTTCTCCTTTGATCTTCTTGATTCTGATGGTGGGGAAATACGTGCAACCTGTTTCAATGCTGTTGTTGACCGGTTTTATGATGTTATTGAAGTTGGTAAAGTTTATATCATATCTAAAGGTAGCTTAAAAGCTGCAAAGAAGGATTTCAACCATTTAAAGAATGAGTGGGAAATATTTTTAGAATCCAGTTCGACTGTAGATCTTTGCCCAGATGAAGATGCCATACCCCCTCAACAGTTCTCTTTTAGACCTATTAGTGATATTGAAAGCGCTGAGAATAACTCTATACTTGATGTTATTGGAGTAGTGATTAATGTAAACCCTTCTGTCCCTATCATGAGAAAGAATGGAATGGAAACTCAGCGGAGAATCCTGAACCTAAAGGACAAGTCAGGGAAGAGTGTTGAGTTAACTCTCTGGGGGGACTTCTGCAACAGGGAGGGTCAACAGCTACAGGCGCTGGTTGAGGCTGGTCATTTCCCTGTCGTGGCTGTCAAAGCTGGAAAAGTAAATGACTTCACTGGGAAATCCATAGGCACTATTTCTTCCACTCAGATTTTCATAGACCTGGATCATCCGGAGGCTCATAGCTTAAGGGACTGGTTTGACCGTGGAGGTAAAGATATCGCTTCTCATTCCATATCTAAGGAGATCATGCCTGGAGGATCGAAGAATGAAGTGCGTAAATTTGTGTCACAAATCAAAGATGAAGGCCTTGGAAGAGCAGATAAGCCAGACTGGGTCACAGTTAAGGCGACTATATCTTTCATAAAGACCGACACCTTCTGTTATACTGCTTGCCCATTAATGATCGGCGACAGGCAGTGCAACAAGAAAGTGACAAGGTCAGTCGGAAATTCCAGATGGCTGTGTGAAAGATGTAATCAAGAATTTGAGGAATGTGATTACAGATATCTTCTCCAGATTCAAATTCAGGATCATTCTGGGTTGACATGGGTGACTGCTTTCCAGGAAGCTGGTGAAGAGATATTGGGTTGTTCAGCAAAGGAGCTGTACTTGCTAAAGAACGAAGAGCAAGATGAGTTGAGGTATGCGGAGATCATTAGGAATTGTTTATTTACAGAGTACCTATTCAGGCTTAAAATCAAAGAGGAAATATATGGTGACGAACAGCGGGTGAAACTTACTGTGGTGAAGGCTGATAAGGTCAATAGTTCTGCTGAGTGCAGATACCTTCTTGATTCAATAGCTAGATTTTCGGCACGCTGAATGAAGAACTGGAGGGAAGAAAGGAAATACTTAGATTGTTTCACGTTACGTAGTGGTATTACTGAGGAAATCAAAGTGTTTTAGTTATAGATTTCCACTGATTTATAGGTAGTGTTTGTGCACACTTAAAAGATCTGCAGGATGATTCGTTACTGTCTGATTTGGCTGCTTGAATGCAGGCTCAGTTTTAAGTTAAGAGTTAATTAATATATAACATACGCATGAGGCTTGTTCACTAATGCAATGTTTTGTTTAATGTCATACCTTATAACATGAAAGTTTACTACGTACTTAGGTAGTGAGCGCGAAACAGGATACCTGCTTGGTTTTGGAGGTGTAAAACAGATGCTATATTTTGCTTCTTCAGTTGTTAATATGGCAAAAGCATAGCATATAAAACTCTGCAGTACCGAGAACTACATGTCATCACTCTCTGCAGGGATTGTGGCAGAGGTTATGCAGGCTTCATAATCGTATCTTTCATCGGAAAATCTTTATTTTCCAGCAAATTATTACCTTAGTTATACAATTAACAATTGAATCATTTCTGTTGTGCGAATTGGACGAAGTATTGGCACTTTTTTTGCAGATTGGATGCGCTGTTTTGGCATTAATCTCTTTCTAGCAGAATATATTAAAAGTTATTAACTTTGGAGGCAATGTTTACACAAATTTCACTTCACATAAATCAGAACTAACAACAGAAATACAAAACACAGAGCGAAAATTGGGAATGTTGTATCATCATTCCAGACAGTTTTCAGCTCCGCTTGACAGGATCAAAGTTGGAAACCGCAATGATAGCACCCAATATCAAGCCGAGGACAGCGCCGCCGGCACCAATACTGAGCAAGAAGTTCTTCAGGGAGGGGGTAACTCCATCGGCAGCCTGAGCGACGTCGGGAACCATCATCGAAGCCGTCAATGCAGCCGCTGTCAATCCTGTCACCGCCTGTTCCTTAAAGGAAGAAGAAGCCGTGACCTGAAACCTGGCATTGGGAGCAGCAGCAGAGACTGACTTTGAGGACCTCACAGGCAATGGCTTGAAGAAAGTGTCAGCATTTGGGAATTGCCTCTTCTGGGATGCATATGTCAATGGCATAGCCATAGAAACTGCTGATGTAGATGCCATTTTTCTCCTCTCTTTTTTTTTTTCTTTTCTTACTTCTCTCTCACCAACTCCCACAACCAAAAAGCCCTGTTGTTCTCTCTCTCTCTCTCTTGCTCGAATCTGAAAATGGAGGGCTGGAATAATAATGCTTTTGATGTTGGATACAGAAGATGGTGCCAAAGAGCTGTGATGAGAGGTGGAGAATTGAGTGGGTTGATTGTATTTCTTATTCCTTGTCCGACGTGGCAGCTCCTCCAATGGGATATCTCGGATAACGTTATCTCATTTCAAAAAAACCAGCCAATACAGTATCAAAGGAAAAGAAATTGGAATACTTGGAAAAAAAAAAGTTTATTTCCCACTCTAAAGTCTGAAGCTGGAATACTTGGAAAAAAAAGGTTTCACTAAAGGTGTGTTCCTACTGGACCCGTTTAAATGTGATCGGAGTTCGAGCTCGAACGTGTGTAAACAGTCATTAAAATTCTTGTCAGCCTTCTCGAGTTAGACTTATTCGTATTCTAATCTGTATTAGTTAAGAATAATGATTTCGGACATCTTTTGTGCTAATAATTATTAAAGTGAGTTTCTATAATCTCTATAAGAAGGGCTAGGGTATCGCAAAAACCGGAAATCGGAAATCCCAATACAGACATGCACTAGTTAATTTGAATAGAGCAGTAAACATCATGAACTTCATACTTCTTTTAACTTGCAAAGACTGAAAGAAGCATAGTGACTTACCACAAGCAGCAGTTACAAATTACATTACCATTCTTTACTAAGAACATTACACAATTTATGAGCTGAAAGCCTTAGCTGCTTAGCCACTACTACCTTCCTTAATCATAAACTACTGCCAGGTTTATAACAAGAACAAAGCAAGTTTCCTGGCCTCCAGAATGTGATACAAAGAGATTAATCGTAACTAGACAGTTCTTAAAATACAGATCCCGAATGAGCCATTGGGGATGCTGAGCCAATATAATTGATGTGCATTTCTTGGGGGAGTTGATGATACCTAATTCCAATCTCTTCAAACATTTTCTTGAGCTCCATCATAAGTTCAGTTCTCCGATTCATTTTCTGCAGATAATCTTGGAAGTTCATCCTGTGATTGACATAAAGTGCCATTTTCATTTTGTTCATGTTCTCAATCTCCTTTATCTGCAAACTGTGGTCAGGATGCCAGTAATGGGATTTTTCCTCAATGTACCTGTTGCATTGAACCAATTCCCAAGAATCAGAAGCAAGTATACAGCTTTTGCAAGAATGCACCCCCTCCGTCCCAAAATTAATGTCCAGTCTGTGATTTCACTTTTAGCACAAATTATACTAAAAATGAAAACTGAAACTGAACAATGACAGTTGGGGTATTTAAGATGCAGAAAGATGAAGCCAGCTTACTCCTTTATTTTAGCTTTCAGAGTTTCGATACTTTCAGCTGGAGTCCAGATATCAATATCAAAATTGACAGTATCACCCATCTTCTGAGGGCTTCTGTTAAAATTACTGATTGCTTTAGTAGCCAAAACGGCATTAGGATAGTAAATCATTTCGTTGTCGTATCTCAAAAATGCTGTTTTCAGGATATCCATCTCCTCTACAACCATCTGCAAGATTTGGTTTGCCTCTGAGATCAGCATACAGCAGCATGTCTAATGCCCGAAAAGAATGCTATAAAAATTATGATTGTAAGTTTTGTGAATTACCATAACACCATCAATGACACAGCGGTCGCCTACATCAAAAGGGTGCATGACAAATACAAAAATCAAGGCCTCAAACACAGTCTTGCAGGCATTGCGAAACACAAACCCCGCCAATAAGATTTGAGACGACATAAGGAATATTACTTTGGTCGTTGCGAATCCCATGAGAAGCAACCACACAACTATGATCAACACCAGAACTATGCCGGAAAGGATTCTGTTAAGTTCTTCAATAGCTGTTTTGGCATCCTTCAATGAATGGGATAAATACTCTCTTTGCCTGAAGGTGTTTACCTGGATCAGATGGAGAAGGGATCAGTATTCTACTGATCTGGAACAATAAAAAGAAAATGATTGAATGCTATGCATACCGCCCATTCTGATAAGTTAGTCTCCGTAATCTTCTCCTCTTCAGCAACCTTTTCAAACCATTCAACTAAACAATCTCCATTCTCTTTGTTCATGAAAGGCAAGAGATCACCCTTTTTGATGTAGCTTAAAATACAAACATGTACTAAACATTAAAATCCCGAAAACATGAGAATAATAGAAGAAAAATAAGATAATAATCATAGGATGTGCATTCATAATGTTAGTCTTACTCTCGGCCACGCCTTCTGACATTTTGAAATATTAGAGAAGCTGCTGCTTCGGCTTCCTTTCTGCTAGTGATATCTTTCTGTTCACCTCCATCATCAAGATGATCATCATAGAGAGCACTGGAAACAATGGACAGTTTTGAGCTCTTTATCCTATCAATTAACTGTCCCATTGTTGAAGCAGGCATTTTTCCGGGCTTCATCTTTCCCAATTTCCTTAAAGTAATTTTTCCTTCCTGTTGTACCTGACTACTCTTCTTCTGCAACACCTTCTGCTGATCATCTACTCCAGTGCACTCTTTCTTCGATCCCCACCTCAACCATTTGGCGAGTTTGAAGCCAAAGCATTGATTTTTTGCCTGGTTATTGCTTCCATCTTCTTCCAAATTGAGTGATGGAGGAACTGACAGGGTCCAAAGAACATATTCATCAGAGATAGCTTCCCGAATTTTAGCAAAAAATGTCTTGACATGAAAAGAAGCAGCTATGAACTTTACTAGCAAAGTCTTCACCATCCACATGACTGCCCCAATAAGAGATGCAACAAGTGCTTTTGTAATATAACTCAGAACTTTGACAGTCTCTTTTGAGCGCTTGATAGTATCTCTGTCAATTAGCAGAACCCAAGCCCCAAGTACTAAAGCCAACCAAATCGCTACACGAACACTCTGCTTCACGCCGTGTAAGAAATACACAACTCTCTCATTAAACAAGAATTTACTCTCAATCAAGAAAACAATGGCATCCTTAGCCCACTTTGTTACTAAACGGCCGCAAAAGATCACAGCAACCAGCACACACCATTTCCATATCTCCAAACCCCATATAGCACGGAATTTCAGATCATCGGCGTATAAGCTAGCAATCAAAACAACCATAGCACCAGTAAACAGTAACCATTCAATGACAACATCCATGGCTTTCAGTTTCTTACTAATTTTGCTGAATCTCCGCCGTTTTCCCTTCTTTTCGTCACCCTTTTTCTCCCCATATTCCTCCTCCTCCTCCTTCTCATCATCATCTTCCTCATCATCCTTGTGATCACTACCTTCACCATAATCATCACCTTTTCCTTCTGATGGTGCAAGAGTACCAGCTCTCATGGATTTGATCTTTTGTGAAAGTGAGCCTCTAGCATGAAAACCTGTATTCTTCATCTCATTACTCTCAAATACTGCATTTAAGCTGGTTGGATCAGATTGTTCCACATCCAGCACTCTTGATTTGGTCTGTGTAAACTTAGAGGTTTTCATGGACAAGCTTCTAATCTGAAGTTCACTGATGAGGGATGAATCAGTCTCAGTGAATTTACTAGAACCATGCCTGCGTCTGAGAGTCTGATCAGCATTTACTGAGTTCCCATTTGATGTTTTCCCCTGAACAGCATTTGAGACACAATATGCTCCAGATTCATTAGCCCTGCCTGAAGAATATTTGGGAAGATTCCCACCTTCTTGCTTGCCAGCATCTGATCTCTTTGAAGCTTCTAAAATCGGAATTGCAATCTCAACACCCTTTTCACTTTCCATCAGCTTCTTAATACTCAAACATCTAATTACATTCAATATCAAAGAAATATGTCCTTCTTATCTACACTTAAGAACACAAGAAAATATGGAATGACAAGAATGCATTTGTTGCACATCAGTAATAAAGTTGGTACCTTTGACTTGTATTTATCACGGTGTATGTATGAAGTTGGTGCTCCCACTTACGTCTAGGCTGCAGGAACAAGATGCATGAGGAATTCCACTGAGATAGTAGAATTCACTGTGGGGTTCTAATCACTGTTAGTTGACATTGATATCCACACGCACAAATCCTAATAATTAAGATCATCAAAATTGTAATAATAAGAAAAATGCTCATATATCAGTAACAATCAAACAACAAGAGAGAGATTAGTTTGGTGGTTCTCTCTGACACGCCACTACTAGCACTAAAAACACATAGAGATCTTTGTGGTATACTGAAGTTCCACTTCCTTTACTTTGTTCCGCTTTTTTTCTGAGAAGAAGACTTTAGAAGATTCATTTTAAGTTGGATCAACAACAACAAGGGAAATTCTGGGTTGGCTATAATTTTGTCCTCTAAAACCATTTCAAACACGTGGTCTCTAAATGTATGGAGAAACAGTCACACATCTGATAAGTGGTAGGAATCAAACTATGGCCAAAAAAACTAAAAAAGTTTGCCTGCAAACTCTGGACCTCTGGAGTTACTGCATGTCTTATCGTTTTAGAATATGTATATAGATACAGTACAGATTACAGACTACAAACTCATTAGTATCAAAGAGTACTTCATACTTCAGAGTACGAGAATAATGCATATAGGAGACGACAAAAGAGATACTATAAAACTACTCTGGGTCAAAAGAGAGTGAAAACAATGAAAATTGGTCCCATCCCAGGTACTAATCCAGCATCACCATGCTTTTGTAAGCCGCTTATTCTTGTTCTTGTAGTAATTCTAGTGTTTTACGTATCATTAATATTGATATGAATCCTGCAACACATTCATTATTGGGAAAGCAACAAAAAAGAAGAAGCCAACTTTAGTTTGATGTGCAACAAAGAAAGAAAGGCTGCCTCTGCTTTTTAAAAATCTAGCTTGAAGAAAGCAAGACATGATGGAACCCTTATGAAGGAAATGGATATGATGAGACATGCGCTAAGGGATCTTCGGTCCAACTTCCGTATATCAATTCTATCATATAAATGTAACGGGCTGATGATAATGAAAGGGGTAATGCTAAGCGTAACTTACTTAATGCTAGTGAAGCCCAAATTTTTACGATTTTACTTTTATTTGAATAACTATAAAAATTAAATTTTTTTAATTATTTTAAAATCTACAACTTTCTAATCTTCATCAATATTCAATCCTTTAACTCTTTAAGTATTTCTTTGAAGAAATATTTGCAAATCACCCTACGAGAAAAGGAAAAATCTTGCCACCGCAAGTATGTATTATTTTTTTTTTTGCTTTTTTATTTTATATATATATACATATATTCATCAAATTTGAAAAGATGAATATAAAAAAAGAATAAAGATCACATCCTCACTAGGCTAACAGTCAGTGGCGCCGCACTTATTGACCATGGACTGCCCGACGGTGACTCGCGTAGAGAGCGCAGGCAACCAGTCGGCCGCTCGCTTGGTTAACGCGGGCGGCCGATTGGCCGCGCGCCCTCTGTGTGCGGATCGCCATCGGGTTGCCCACGGCGAGTAGGCGCGGTGTCGTCGGTTGTTCGCGCAATAAGAGTGTAGCTTTCACTTTTTTTATAATTTTTTTTTCAAATTTAATGTAATTATTTGTTTTATCTTCACTTTTTTTTAAAAAAATTAGATGTTATGTAATTATTTATTTTATTTAAGCGATTAATTATATTTGTTTTTTATTACTTGATGTAATGTGTAATAATTTTATTTGGTTAATTTTTTTGATATTAATTAATTGAATAATTATTTTTGATTAAGGTAAAGTTAGTTTAGGCCAAGTTAAATATTCATTTATTTAAGTAAAGTTAATTTATTTTTATTTTTTTAATTAATTTAGTTTGTTTTATGTTGTCTAATTATTAGTTAGTAAGTAAAATATACTAGAAAGTTATATAAGTTAATTTTAATAATTATTGAATTTAAAATAATTCTGCTAATATCAATTTCATTATTTTTTTCAATTTAAAACTTATTGAAATGTTAAAATGATGATTATTTTATTAGTAATAATAAAAAAAGGCAAAATAGTCATAAAGTGGGCTCCTCTAAGGATTAAGTAGGCTACATTTAATCCCTCACATTTGGAATAATGTGTAATGGTTAGATTAAGGCCTACTTTTTAAAATTAAGAGGATTTTCTAGAACACAGATAATTGTAACCTTAATTTAATTTACAGATAGTATAAGATCTCTCTGTCATAATAAAATAGTTTACTCTATTCATTTAATTCAACAAATTGAACATTTAGTGCCAAGGTACAAGACTCCAAGCTGCCATAAGGGCTTTAACAGTCACCATCAACTCAATAAAGAAAGTCCCAATGATAGGAATGGAGTATGGAGACTTGAAGAGAGATGAACAAGGCACATTTTTAACCAAAAAAATAAAAATAAAAATAAGAACAAGTCACATGAATAATACAGTAGAACGTCAGTAAATTAATAATTGATAAATTATTAACTTTTAGCAATTAATAATTTTCTCTGTTCCTGATTTGGAACCCGTACAAAAAGTGAAGAAAATCGATAAAATGATAAAATAATAAAGTTTCAGAAAAATCCTCTATTTATCTATAGGTCCCAACAACACTATAAATTAATAAATACCCTAAAAGCAAACTAATAATAATAATAACTACAAAAATTTAGTACAATATAAACCATTGATACTTGTTTTTTAGTTACTGAAGATGATATGAATTATGTATGGATATCAAGTATTCAAAAAAAATTTAATACTTGATTAATTCAAATGTAAACACAATTACAAATTATGTAATCTAGTGGCAGTTCTTGTTTTTTTTTTTTTTTTTATAGAAATTCTTTAAATTAATAATTTATTAATTTATCGATTATTTAATAATTCTCTAAAATAATAAATTTTGTTGGTCCCAACATTATTAATTTATGGAAGTTCTACTGTAGTAAAAAGATTGAGTTGACGGGATGGAGATGGTGAACTTGCGAGATTCGTTTAACAATTCAGGAATTCTCCTTCCTTTTCGGGATTGATTAGGGTTCCTATTGTCCTGCTTCTTCATTTTCATTCACATCAGAAAAAGAGAACATGATTGGAAACTCTTCTTCTTTCCTTCAAAAGAATCTGAGAATCTGCTGGCTTGAATGTGGATGAGTGAGGGCCGGCTTTCAGGCAGTAGGTGTGTAATATATGTACCCCAAAAAAAAAAAAATCCTACGTAAAAGTACTTGTAAAAACTAAAAAGTACATAAATACATGTAAGAGAACAGAAAAATCTTTGTAAAACACCATTAATCAAGAAAATCTTTATATCATAAATTAAGTATATGTAAAAGTACAGAAAAGTTGGAGGAAGTACAAGATTTAAGGAAATCAAAGTGATTACTCCTTGACCAATCTGTTTACCAGGGATTGGCCTACATGAATAATGATGACAAATGTAAGGCTAACCACAGCAAAATGGAGAATGAACAATTAAGTAACTGAGAATACAGGATATTTTACATGGTTTGGGTCAATGCAACTGACATGAAATCATAATCCATTCGGAGATTTCAGTCAGTTATTCATTTGTCGAATAATGATAATACTGCAGATAGTTTCTAGAGACAGAGGATTGTGTTTTAAGCAAGATATCTAAGATGCACTTCCTGAGGGAGAAGGTGGTATTTGATATCAAGTTCCTCAAAGATTTTCTTCAGCTCAATAACTAGGTCTGATCGGTGGCCGGCTCTGTCTGAAGCGTTTACAGTATGCGTTAAGTATAGGACCATCTTCAGCTTGTTCATGTCCTCAATTTCCTTGATCAGAACACTGTGGTTAGGCTGCCAGTGTTGAGGTTTGCTCTCCAGATACCTGAAATGAAACATTATCTTAGTACGACAAACACACTACCAACACTTATGAGAAAGATCTGGTAAAAACATTGCTGTGTCTAGCTCCTAGCAGTATCACTCTGATGCCAAATCTTAACCAAGAAAGCCAACAGGAAAAGAAATGTAGTTGGTCGACAACCTTATGCAATACATGACATGAATAACCGTTATTAATGTCTTTCTGAATACATGACATGAAGTAAATGTCACATACCCTTTTATTCTGTCCTTGATTACTGCTATACTTTCAACTGGTGTTGAAAAATCAACAGAGAACTCCAAAGAATCGCCCAATGGTGGACTCCGGTTAAGATTGGTGACAGGTTTCCCTGCCAGAATGCTGTTCGGGTAGTATATCATTTGATTGTCATATCTCAAGAAGATTGTTGTCAAAATGTTCATCTCTTCAACAACCATCTGGGGAGGTTAATTTGGAAAGTAGTGTTACATAACGATAAGTCACATGAATGTAAAATATTAGAAAGTAAAGAGTTTGCAGTGCAAAGCCATGAATCACACCTGAACTCCATCAATGATGCATTTATCCCCAACATCATACGGGTGGGTAACAAATACGAACATCAAAGCTTCGAAAAAAGTCTTTGCAGTGTTGCCAAACATGAAGACCAACAGTAGAATTTGAGATGTAATGAAGACTAGAACCTTGGTGGTAGCGAATCCCATTAAAAGCAACCACACTATGATAATTATTACAAGAATGATTACAGAAGCAATCCTGTTAAGCTCTTCAATGGCTGTTTTGGTGTCATTCAGGGAATGTGCCAAGTGCTTCCTTTCAGTGTACACCTTTACCTGTGATAAAGATCAATGTCGTCAGAAGCCTTTTTTTCAAACCTAAAATTGTTTCAGCACTTAAAAACAGGATGCTCCTGTTCTTTCAATTACAATATCTTATCCTGTATTTCTGTTAACAGCAGCAAAGAAACTTTCTGATAAATGCTAATTTCCAAGGGGATATCAAAACCAAATCTTCATTCAACTAGCATTTGCAAAATGCTACTCAAACTGTAGCTTCAGCTCTTAACATAAAAATTTCTCAACCAACAAATATTTGCAGCAGAGGTAAATGCAAGAGTTAAGACATGGATCTTACCACCCAATTTCTAAAAGATGATTTCTTGATCTGACCAGTTTCTGCAGCTCCTTCAAACAGCAACATCACGTCATCAACTTCCTCAATGGGGAAATAACGTACGAGGTCTTCCTCTTCAATATACCTGGGAAATGCAATTCCAAACAATTCGACAATTTTGTCAACCAGAAAGAAAAACCAGTGAAAAGGGGTGTAATCTTACTGCTTGTTAGGCTTTGCCACCTTTTTGAATATTGCTTTAGCAGCAGTCTTTGCCTCGTACTCACTAGTAATCTCTTTTTGTTCAATCTCTTCTTCTTCAGCTGTATCAAGTGCATCCGAAATAGTCGATAATCCTGATGTCCTAATAACTCGAACTAACCCTCCCATTGTCAATGACGAAATCTTCTCTTTTCTCAGTCTGTGAAGTTTATTCACATCAACAACCCCATCTCCCTTTACCTTCTGGTTTCCTTTCACTGCATATTTGAAGCTCAACTTACCACTATTCTGAAAGTCCTCAATTCGAGAAGTTTTTTCCATAAGCGGAGGACCAGAAAGGGTCTGAAGAACATACTGATGAAAAACTGTATCCTGAATCTTATCAAAGAATGTCTGAACATGGAAAGATGAAGCTGATAACTTTACTAATAAAGTCTTTACCATCCACATGACTGCTCCAATGAGGCTAGAAGCAATAGCTCTCGTAATATAATTCAAAATTCTCATAGTTTTCCTAGATTTCTTCACTTCTCTATTTATCAACAATCCCCACGCCAACAAGGTCAATCCTAACCAAAGTGAAACCCGAAAACTTCTCCTTAAACTGAAGAGGAAATAAAGGGCCTTGTTCTTAAGCAAATAACTCCTTTCAAGCACAAAGACTAGCATATCAGTCAACCATTGAGTAACCAAATGACCACAAAATATGACCAAAACCAACACAGACCATCTCCATAGACGCAAACCCCAAACATGCAATCCAGCCAGCTTATCAACACATAAACTAACAATCAAGAATCCCAATATGGTACAGAAAACAATCCATTCAATCAAAACAATAAACTTTACATGTTTTCCATGCCTTTTCTTTTCGGCCTCATCTGGGATGAATCCAGCCTGGTAGACCTCATCGTCGTCATCATCATCATCCGCATTCCCCTGCGCCGCCATTAACGGTGTTTTAGGGGTAATCAGCCCTTCTGGATTAGAGCTGAGATTATCTACCTTACCTGGAGAAGCCATCTTCATGGATCCCCTGTAGGGCGAGCTGGAAAGAACATTTTCATCAACAAGCTTCAATTTGGGAGGAGGGGGCGGTTCAAAAAGCCTGGACTTAGGCTTGAGAGATCTAGATGGTGTTAACAGCCTTCTTCTCAGACTACTTTCACGTGTAACCTGATTCAGAGCTGGACTGAAAATGCTTGCCCCTGGAGAATTTTGCACTGCTGATTGGACTAGAGAACTTCCCTGTTGCCCTCTAATTAACTCTATATTTAAAGGCTCCAGCTTGATAGGATCGGATGGAGCAATAGAATCAGACCCGTCATTCAGTTTGCCCAATTCTGGAGTTTCTAAAGGATTTGGGATCATCACAACAACTTCACCCGCACCCTCTTTCAGATTTGAGGCTTTTCCACCTTCCATGAATCAGTACTCTACTGTAACACTGTCTGCTTAAAACCTGAAAATTCCCAGATTGAGTAACAACAACTCAAAAGTCAGTCGTCTGCAACTTTTTTCTTTTTCTACATTTACTTCTTCTCCCAAACAACGTAATTTAAATAGAAGAAGTAGCCACGAGAAAATGCCCTGTTCTGGGAATGCTGACTCCGATTCATTTGAATAATAATCTTGTGGCCAAGTTGACTCTGTGAAATCGACAAGGGAACAACCCATTATACTCTTGATCGCTGCTGGATTGAGGGATAACTGAATTGTTTCGAATTTTCAAATCAGAATGCTGAACTGCGCGGAATTTTTTTATTTTTTATTTTAAAAAATGTGATTATTTTGGTGAAGAATGATGATGATGACGGTGTGAACGCCAGGGAGGAGCGGGATTTATTACAGAACTTAGATTAAATTAAGGTATTAGGTGAGATTTAGTTGCTCGAACACATGATACTATAATACTAATTTCCGCTGATGAAAGGATTTCGGGATAATCATAAAAAATAGCAACTGACATCTTGCTCAATAATAATTGAAAAGATTTTTTTCAAGATGAAAAGGTCTTAAATCGACTACTTGAAATATTTTATTGATGAAAGCAAAATGATTGTGAGAACAGAATAATGGTCTCAACTTGATTCTGCAATTCGGTGAAGAGTTCAAGAATTGTGAACTGTTTGGGAGAAGAAACTCTGGCCTACAGTGTTGTAAAGATGGGTTTTTTTTTTGGTTGGTTGGTTCTGTGCTAATAATGCCTTGTGCTTCCGATCCAAGCGCCCACAGATCTTAGAACAATAATTTGAGTCTATTGTAATGTTGCATTCAAAGGTAACAGAGGGTGCCAAAGTTTACAGCTTGCCTGAGGGACTTGGGAATGGAGGATAATCTGTCTCTCTCTCGCTTTACTCTTTAACATTTTTGCAAAATTACACCCTTATGGGTGCATAAATAACTAGGGTAATTATTTGGGAGATTTCTATAGTTCTTGGTATAATAAGATAGTAGATAGAATTTACGATCATGTTAATTTTGAAACTATTATGGTTGTGCTATTGATAAGAAAGACGTGAGAGTCTTTCTTAATTTGTTCAGTATTATTTTGTGGGTTAACTGTTAACAAATATTCCCAAATCTTTTTTCTCTGCCGGATATTTGATAACAGGGTGTTTGAGAAAATGCCAAGGGCGGACGAGAGCAACCCATATCTTCAGCCCTGTCCGGAAGATGTTATGCCAGGAAAGCCGGCGGATGAGAAGGAAGCCGCTGCGCCAGAGAAGGAGATTGGTGTGGCTGAACTGAAGAAGCAGATGGATCTGGTTAGATTGAAGGCTGATTTCGGTGTGGATGAGTGTGTGAATTGGACAAAATCATGGCCCAATTGACTGACGTTGGCGACAACATGGATTACCAGACCAAAGCGTTATTGCTACATAAATTGGTTTTTGACGTCAAGAATGAATGCTCATGGGATTTTGATTACAGTGGTCTTTCCGAATCCGACAAACGATTCATGAGGTTTTGGTATTGGATGTCCCGGGTGGTTAAGCCTCGATTGGTCCCCCTTCCGGAACCGTACGTCCGCCTCGCCCCGACCTGCCGGCTGTCGAACCCGATGGATGCACGTGAACAACCCTGAAGTTTTTGACAGGATCCCGCATCGGTGGTATCTGATCCTCAAACACTGGGATGCCAAGCAGATGCAGACGCAGGGCTAATTGTTTGGTCTGTTTTTTGAGTACCTTTTTTTCAGAATTACATATTAATAACTGTCTCATCCCAACATATCTTTTTACATTTCTAATACACTTTTTTACATTCCCAATACAAAAAACACTTTCAGACACGCTAAAAAAACGATCCAAACATTTGAGCAACAACATTTTTACACAATGAGCTCAATAGTGATCATTCCTTGACCAATTTGCTTAACAGAGGTAAGAATAGAGGATATGACCTAGGCAAACCATTGATCCATTTGGCTTACCAAGAGTTTTCATGCTGTTATTGATTCACTATACCGATGAAAGAATGATAATGTAATTAGTCTATTTGTCTTAAGAGTGTGTGTGCGTGTGTGTGCGTGTGTGTGTGTTTTATGCCAGATATCTAACATGCACTTCCTGTGGGAGAAGGTGGTACTTGATATCAAGTTCCTCAAAGGTTTTCTTCAGCTCCATGACTAGGTCCGATCTGTGTCCGGATCTATCTGAAGCGTTAACAGAATGCGTAACATATAGGGCCATCTTCAGCTTGTTCATGTCCTCAATTTCCCTGATCACAACACTGTGGTTAGGCTGCCAGTGTTGAGGTTTGCTCTCCACATATCTGAAAACAGAAAATTAAACATTGTTACCATCTATGAGCTAGATGAAAGGATTAGCTCTGCAATGGTTCCTGCCCGTATTTCCCCATGCCAACAAAGTACTAACCACAGGAAACCACTCCTGCCCGTATTTCCCCATGCCAACAAAGTACTAACCACAGGAAACCACTAGGAAAAGAAATGAATGATATGACCAATGCACTCAATATGCATGATTATCTGAATCATACCTTTTGATTCTGTCCTTGAGTGCTGCTATACTTTCAACTGATGTTGAGAAATCCACAGAGAACTCCAAAGAATCGCCCAGTGGTGGACTCCGGTTAAGGTTGGTGATCGGTTTGCCAGCCAAAACGCTATTCGGGTAGTATATCATTTGATTGTCATATCTCAAGAAGATTGTTGTCAAAATGTTCATCTCTTCAACAACCATCTGGGGATGTTAGTTTGCAAAAATATTGTGTTACAATGTGATACACAAATGGTAATCCTGAAAATAACGGGAGCAGGGAAATTACCTGAACTCCGTCAATTATGCATTTATCCCCAACATCAAACGGATGGGTCACAAATACGAACATCAAAGCTTCAAAACAAGTCTTTGCAGTGTTGCCAAACATGAAGACTAAGAGCAGAATTTGAGATGAAATGAAGACCAGGACTTTGGTAGAAGCAAATCCCATTAAAAGCAACCATACTATAATAATGATTACTAAAATGATTCCAGATGCAACCTTGTTAAGCTCTTCAATGGCTGTTTTGGTGTCATTCAGGGAATGCGCTAAGAGCTTCCTTTCTGTGTACACCTTTACCTATGATAAAGATCAATTTGGTCAGACTGGATGATGAAAATGGCATTCCTTAAATCCGAAATGGGATGTTCATTCTATTCCCTTCATGGATGGTCTTTATCCTGTGTTTCTGTTAAAGAAGTAAACAAAACTTTTGACAAATGCAAATTTTCTAAGGGGTATCAAAACCATAACTCTATCTAGTCAGAATTCGCTAATTGCTACTCGAACTACTGCTAGAGTTTGCCGGCCATGAGTGGATATTTGTTTCGTTACCTCTGTTTATTATCAAGCTGTTCCTGAAATATTCATGATATCATGCAAGACGAAACCAAAATAAGCAACCAGTGAATACGCTCAACAAAAATAGAATGCAGTAGTGAAAACTCAGATCTTACCACCCAATTCTTAAAAGATGATTTCTTGATCTGACCATTTTCTGCAGCTCCTTGAAAGAGCAAGATCACATCATCAACTTCCTCCATGGGGAAAAAACGTAGTAGGTCTTCTTCTTCAATATACCTAGGCATTAGTGTCATTGAAAAGAGTTCAACAGTGTTTGTCAGCTAGAAAAGAAGAAAACAATAACAAGGGATTCAATCTTACTGCCTGCCAGACTTCGCCACCCTCTTAAATATTTCTTTAGCAGCAGCCCTTGCTTCATATTCACTTGTAATCTCTTTTTGTTCAACCTCTTCATCTTCAGCACTATCAAGTGCATCCGAAAGAGTCGATAACCCTGAACCCCGAATAACTTGAACTAAGGCTCCCATTGTCCATGAAGAAATCTTCTCTTTTTTCATTCTGTGAAGTTTATTAACATCAACAACCTCATCCCCCTTTCCCTTCAGGTTTCCTTTCATCGAGTATTTGAAGCTCAACCTACCACTATTCTTGATGTTCTCAATTCCAGCTGTTCTTTCCATGAGTGGTGGGCCAGAAAGGGTCTGAAGAACATACTGATGAAAAATTGTATCTTGAATCATATCAAAGAATGTCTGAACTTGGAAAGATGAAGCTAGTAACTTCACTAAAAAAGTTTTCACCATCCACATGACTGCTCCAATGAGGCTAGAAGCAATACCTCTTGTAATATAATTCAGAATTCTCATAGTCTTCCTAGATTTCTTCACACCCCTATTTATCAACAATCCCCAAGCCAACAATGTCAATCCTAACCAAAGCGAAACCCGAAAACTTTTCCTCAAACTGTAGAGGAAATAAAGGACCTTATTCTTAAGCAAATAATTCCTTTCAATCACAAAGACTAGCATATCAGTCAACCATTGAGTAACCAAATGACCACAAAATATGACCAAAACCAACACAGACCATCTCCATAGGCGCAAACCCCAAACATACAATCCAGCCAGCTTATCAACACATAAACTAACAACCAAGAAACCCAATATGACAAAGAACGCAACCCATTCAATCAAAATCATAAATTTTACTTTTTTCCCATGCTTTTTCTTTTCAGCCTCATCTGGGAGGAATCCAGCCTGGTAGACATCATCATCATCTTCATCATCCTCATCCACATTCCCCTGCGACGACATTAACGGTGTCCTAGGAGTAACCAAACCTGAGGTACTAGCCCTGACATTACCTAAATTACCACCACCAGGGGAAGCCATTCTCATTGGGCTCCTGTAGGGTGAAGTTGAAGGAATTCTCTCCTCAACAAGCTTCAATTTGGGAGGAGGGGGCGGTTCCACAAGCCTTGATTTAGGCTTGGGAGATCTAAAAGGTTTTAACAGCCTTCGTCTCATGCTATTTTCAGTTGGAGTCTGATGCAGAACTGGACTGAAACTGCTTGTCCCTGGAGAAATGGAGCTCAATTGGCCTCCAGAAGTACCCTGCTGCCCTCCAATTAACTCAATATTTAAAGGGTCCTGCTTTATCGTATCGGAATGTGCATATGAATCAGACCCACCAGTTTGTTTCCCCAATTTCGGAGTTGCTTGAGGATTTGGGATCATTACAACCACTTCACCTGCACTTCCTTTCAAGTTCGAGTCTTTTCCACCTTCCATAAATAAATTCCCCTTCTTCTGGGCAGAGATTGTAAGCTTGAATGAGGAAGGAGAACAGCCCAAGCCAGTATGCCCTGTTTTGGAAGTGCTGATTTTTCTGACTTATCTGAAAAATCTTGTGGTCTTATGGCTGACTGTTTGAGGTCGACAAGGCGACCAACCACCGTATTAATCATGGATGAATGGGATAACAAAATTGTTTGGAATTTTCTAAAGTAGAAACTGAACTGAACCAGAAGAAGATGGGATTTATTTTTGCGAAGGCCAGGGAGGAGGAGCAATTTGGAAGTTGCAAACTTTGAACAACGTAGCTGGCTTCTAATTAGATTAAAATCAAAGAATTAGGTGAGATTGTGTGATCAGTTTGATCTAACACATGATTACTGGTATAATACTAGTACTTATTTCCCTGATGAAAAGGAATCTACATCTTGAAAGGGATATTCATATGTGTATCTTTTGTTGAATGATTGATTGATTTTTTTTGTATTGTGGAAAAGTCTTAAATCGACTGCTTTTACTTTTTAACCTTCGGAAAAATATACAGTGCATCAAAATTTTCGGTTTGTCTTAAATATTATTCTTAATTATAAATTCAATGCATTCAGGTACGAGACAAAAATATATTTTGATCCTTAAATGATTCTTATATTTTGTTTTAGTTTTGTGAGACAATAGATCTTCATACAGTAACAATATTAATGCTAATGTTGTATTAAGGAGGTTTTATTTAGAAGTTGGACAGTGAAGACTGTGTATGTAAACTTTACCGTAGATTAGCATTCTTAGCGACAAAAGGTCATCCACAATTTGATCAACATCTAGTTGGAACTCGTTATTGACTACAAATATTGTAATATATATATATATATATATATATATATATCTTTTTTTTATATTACGCATCCGGTGTCCGAAGTCATTGCTCCGATTAATCTAGATTCGAGCTAGGTAGGTCCATTTCGGGAGTCAAAACTCTCTCAACAAGTATTTTAATCACTGTTGCATGCCTATGCCTGAATTCGAACGCGGATCATAAGTTAAACTGGCTCAATACTTAAATGGTAAAGATATTGAATTTTAAAATTTATATTAAAACATCGATAGATCTCTTTTAACATGGATGGGAGGGTTCTCCATCCGCCGTCAGTGTGGGCATCAGTTGGAGGGGAAAAAGGCGTTCAAATTGCGTTCGCTTTAGGCCTAAGGTGGAAAGTTTTGGGGCGATTGTGAGATTTTGGGAAAAGATGACGTTAACTGGTCCAGGATATAGCTTTAGATTAGATACTATGTTTACAAATGAAGTATTTACGACCTGCAAAGAAAAATGTGGGCTGACATAGATGATACCATCGATGTTTGACGTCCATGACTGTGAGACATGAATTCAACATGATCAATTTCATATTTGATAAGAGTATATGAAAAGGGATATCATCAACTCTCTTATGTTATGAAATCATGGATGTCAACAATTGGTAAATTGATGAATGCAAAATGGTGTGGGTTACGATTTTATAACAAAATGATGGGTTAGGAATAATACTTTCTAGGTCCTAAAGTAATTATTATATTTGTTCATACTTTCTAGGAATAACACTTACTCTTTTTCTTTCCTCTTTTTTTTTTTGTTTTTTTTTTTCTTTTTCTTCTCTTTTCTCCCTTTTCTTTTCCTCATGACGAAATCGATAAAATTAATGGAGGCACAAAAAACACGCACTCCATTTCCACAAAATCCAACGTGATAAATAAGCGATCCAAGTTAAAGTACAAACGCCCCCTTGCTGAATAGATAAAGCATTTTAATACTGAGTTAGGCAGAAAATATTGCACCAACGTGAATGTTGAGTTCATGAATATTTATATAGTCATCTTCCATCAACCCGAAGAAGAAGATACTCTGTTTCTACTACGTACCGAGAAACTTTTGACTCCAAAAACGAAATTATACCCAAATACCAGCCAACCAAAACAACAACAAAGACAGAGAATATAATATACAAATTCCTGTTATTTTTTCCCAATAATCATCTCATTCTCTGTTTGATGTTGATAGTTTTGTCATTCACCTGCAACATGATGAGTTTCATCATCACCAATTTCATTGACAACTCACAAAATCAGAATCTTTCCCATAATCCCTTAGCCGTCACGTCGTTAATTGCTATATAATTATCCACTGTTACTGTTAGTTTAACCACACACACAAAAAAAAACCCACTATCAGCAATTGGACGTACGTTTATAGCCATGGGATTTTCCCCATTTCCCTATGTTCCGCCGCCGCCGCCTCCGTCGAAACAGAGTCATATGCCGGTGTTGTACTACGGTTTGGTGGTTGTCGGAACGGCCGGAATAGTGCTGGTGATTTACAACTTGATCATATTAAGATGGTGCTCCAATTACACTCGGCCGGCGGCAGACCGGCCCTCCTCCGGCCGTGACGAGGCCAGAGGAGGAGCATCAAGTATGAGTTTTGACAATTCGAACGCGCTTTTGATCTCGAGTTTTAAGTACAAGAAAGAAGGGTCTTCATCATCTTCGTCATTATCAAAGGATGTTGTTGTTGTTGGAGCTAATTATAATGAATATGAATGTGCTGTTTGTTTGTCAGTTTTTGAAGAGGATGAAGAATTGAAGCAGTTGCCGAGGTGTAAACACTCCTTTCATGCTCCCTGTATTGATATGTGGCTGTATTCTCATCTGGATTGTCCACTGTGTCGTTCTCCGGTCGACCCGCCGCCGTCTCTGAACAGGGTTGTCACCTCGCCGTTGCCGAGAGTTCCAATTCCCAGAACTACCGGCGAAGGATTGCTGGCTGGCTTCTCCATTTAGCAGTTCCTCTTCTTGTACTTTGTAGAATAAAGCTTTTTGTGCTTTATTGGGTTGTTCATTGGTGCGTGATTTCTGTATAGTCTGAGTTTCTTCTTGTTTTTGGATTGATGTGTGTGAATCAATGAATGTAAATGTTTACCAAATGTGCCTGTCAAAGTACTCTTATGATTACAAAGCAAACCTCTTGCATTTGATTCTTATCAAGGTACAGATATACTGACATGTCAAGAGCGAAAAATTCCATCAATTCCAGACTAATAAGGTCAAAAAGATACAAATGTGCTTCCATAAAATTCTTATTCGACATCCGAGGTCAAAGACGTGATCATAAGCATTAATTACACAGCCATGCAGGATGTTTTCTTCATATCTTTACAGCAGAGTTACATTTTCCTCAAATTATCTAACCTAGCTTGTAATTCACTATCTATGCCGTTGTCGTCATTTGCAGCTGACTCTGCCTGGGGAACCTTAGTCTTTGCAGCTGGAGCAGCCACGGCTGATGAGGGTGCATTCACAAGCTGTGTATTTGGAAACAGAGAGTGGTTATTTTCTTTGTACTTCATGGAGAAAAGAAATGCTAAAACGTTAATAAACATAAACGTCAGGAGAAGAGAACATTGAAGTACCTCAGAATTGATGTCAATGCCAATCTCATCAAGGACCTGGTTAACCAGATCTTCAGTTTCTTCCTCTTCCTCGTCCCCTTCAAGAGCATCGTCGATGGCATCACCCATCACCTCACTCACCATTTCCATCTTCTCATTCTGTTTTTCAAATTCCTGCATTATTTTCTGCAATGCAGGCAAGTTCATCTGTCTATTCATCTGGCCCATAGCCTTAGTGACTCCTTTCATTGCCTCTCCCATTGCTTGTGTGGATTTCAAAGTCTGAAAAGGACAAATAGTTCGGAAGACATAAGAATCAAGCAGAGACTCAAACATACCTTCAGCAGAACTCCAGCATATGGTTGAAGAAACTAGAAGAAGAAGAGAAGGATACCTGAATTCTAAGGGATACTCCTTGAAGCTGAGATTTGAGTTTATAAAATTTTTCAATCTGATGTCTAGTCCTGATAAGATCTTTTGCCATTACCCGGACAGCTCCCTAGAACAGAATGAATCCATATTAAGACAAATTTTAGAACTGCAACTAAAAACAGTTCATGTTCTATTGCAGTAACAAGAATCCACACCAGTAAATCTATAACTGAGATGTTAACCGGCAAAACAAGAGGCACACAATGATCACGTGCATGCAACACCATCTACATATGTGAATTTGATTTCGGCCCAAGGTCACAAACTAGAAAAGAAGCATAACCAGGAGAATTCAGAGGATTCCCAGAACACGACATCGACAGGTCCACAGTAAGAATCACACAAAGACTACAAACTACTTCTAGAAAACGAATGACTCAAAGGAGCAAGGAACTTAGATCAAGCTCCTAAATTAACGAGAAAATTAAAGAGACATCATATATGAAACAACATTGTTAGCGTGGAAAAGAGTTAACAAGCTAATTACAAAACTACAGACAACTAAGAGAGAGTGCACAAACCATTTGCCCTTGCTTTGCACTTTTCTTGATCTCAGCAATGAGTTTTTTCTCCTGTGTTTGTAAACCTTGTCTCTCCCTTTCTATATCTCGAATAGAACGATCAAGCATCCGTTTATTCTCCCGCAAGAGCTCTGTAAATAAAAATGATAGTGCTGATTAGGAAAGAAATAAGAACTAGCCCAAAACAGGACCAATTAACACTTGCCCCAAACATGAACCAAGGGACTATCATTAATGGGCAAATACAAAGCTTATGCAGCCAAAATGACCCCCAGGCCTAAGTTAAGGAGCAGGAGTAAGACCAATTCCTTCAATTGCTACGAACATAACATTAACCCTCAACTGAACTTGTTTGGTTAAAATAAAAAATCATCGAGAATCCGAAAACAATCTTGCTTTTTTTTTTTTTTCCCTTTTTCCGAACATCCTTGATCAATACAGAAATTGAACTGGAATGCTAAGTCCCAACAAAATCGAAACAATTATAAACCTAACCATCCCGATCGAAAGAAACTTGATCACATAGAAAACAAAGGAATTAAATTACAAAATATTCTGGATTCGAGACAACCCAATCATCAAACAGCAGGAATCATGCACGAGAGTAACTGATGAAATAGGAATTACAGTAACAACAAAATGATAAAACAAACCTGCGGGAGTTTTTTTCTTGCCGAAGAGGAAACTCATGGTAATCGAAGACGATGAAGATTGAAGAGAGATTAAGATCCGATGATATTATAAAACCCTTTTCCAATAATCGCAGAAATTCTACAAATACAGGCAAACAAGAACAGATCTCCGAATAATGAAATCGAAAGGAGTAGAGGGAGGATGGATTAGGTAGGAAGCAATCGGGGGGGTGGGTTTAGACTTTACGTTGGAATGGATGAACAAATAACATTTACGTCGGATTGGGAAAGGGAAATCAACGCGTATAAGATTTGTTCTTATTTGTATACTTTTATTTATTCACTTTTAGATATTTATTACATTTTGCTGTTCTTAATAAGCTATTTTGATTTTGGTTTCACCTAAAATGTTTTTTTAAACGTAATAAAAACTTTAAAAACATTTTATAATAATTAAGAGAACACAATAAATGTGAAAATATGTTTTTAAAATTTTTTTTAATTAAAAAGACGTCTTAAATTAAACTTATGACAAAAAGAAAATGTCTTATTAAGAGGAAGAAAAAAAACAAAAAAAAAAAGGAGGAAGAATCATCTTGTAGCATTTTTTTGACGCCTTTTTTGGGCCAGGCTTTCCAGTCCAAAAATTTGGGAGATACCAATCCATAACTTGTTTAATGGGCTCTTCTATTGGGCTGCCGTGACATCAGCTCACGTGGAATTGGTTCAAGGTTTTGGACTTGTGAGATGGGCTTTCATATCATTATTTGGGATTTGGATACTGTAGAGGCGGTCCAATTCTTAACTGACGAACTATTTTTGCAAAATCCGAGGTTTGCTAGACAGAACCAAAGCCGGATGACGGATGCATTGGCAAAATTCGGCTTTTCTTACCTGTATGAGCGGCCTTCGTCTCAAATCATGGATGCCTTGGAGTCTGATAGAATACACACATCCTCAATTGAAAGGGATGCTTTTGTAATCAACTCACTGGCTTCCTCTTTATGTATAAAAAAAAAAAAAAAAATTAAAAATAAAAATATTGGTGCTTCACTCCTCATGAAGATGGAGAGGCAGATTGATTAGAAATGGATAATTCTTCTAAGGTGTGACTATCTTGTGGACTATATTTGGCCCATTCCATATGTGACCGTTATGATGGCATTTATTTCCTTCCTCTCCCTTAAAAATCACACTAATGTTATTAGTGGTAGTCTTGAAAATGATACTCCTCTCTACAAATTTTGTATTGCTTTCACTTATTAATACAGATTTTGCAGAGTATTCGAGTGTGGAAATGAAACTGTTAAAATTAATATATTTATCTTCTGAAAATTAATATATTTAATCGAGTTACCGCGTATGAGTAACTCGATTCTAGATTTACTGCCAATGTGCAGATATACCAGTCTCTATCAGGGGATCAAATATTTGAGAACAATATAATGCCAAGTTTGTGATGGAGTAAAAATGATTTTTTGAATACAAAGCTCCCTTCCAACTGGTGATTTCAGGCAACAAAATAAAGTGAAAGTAAAAAATGTCACGCCGGGAAAGGGAACCTGACAATAAAAAAAAAATTAAAACAAAAAAGAAGGGAATTTCGGGATTTAAATGGTCGGAGGTCTCTGATCATGGTGCAGAATTTGCTCTCAAAGACAAATGTACAGATGATTGTTAGAACTGCAGTACAAATGACAACCCAGATTCTCACGTGCGCCTTCTGCCACTGTCTCTCTGATTTTTCTCTTTTTTTTTCCTATATATATATATATATATTTTTTGTTTTGGTTATTGATTATTCTGTGTACGTGGGTATTATGCTTTTTGTACGTCACCCTCGCCAGTTCAAGTGCACGTGTACTCGGTTTCTTTCCTTCTTCTTCCTTTTTTTTTTTTTCTTTCCTTTCTTTTTCATTTGCTTTTTGTAATTGTTTTTTTTTTTTTTTAAGTTGAAGGGACGTGAGTCATGACGAAAATCTTGATAAATTACACTATCTCTGTCCTTGAAAATTATTGATTTTGATTAAAACAAAATAGGAGTATTTTTTTTCCTGAGAAACAGAGAAAGCTAATAAGATAGAGGAAGAGGAAACAAACTTGTCCTCATTGGATTATTATTGATTTTATGGTTTATCCTCCTACCTATGCAATTTATCGTTAGGAAGGTGATAACAATCATATTGAAATGCTTCAATACATGGAAGGCTACCACAAAAGCCAAATTTGTATTACTCACACTTATCGTACTCTCTAATTCTCATTCAAATCGAGTAAATATCGTCTTATGTTTATCTCAATACACGAGTTTATATTTACAATTCGTTAACTTGGCTCCAACAATTGTTTGTTAATGCCATCACTGCGAAGTTATTCATTTTTCAAATATATTTACTATTGCACCCCAATTAATTCACTGGACCAATACACTCAAGACTTGTTTATGATTTCTAGAGTAAGAATCAGGGTAACATGAAGACCCACTAATGTGTGCTCAAGAAAAGTGATCAACCAAGCCAATAATTGACTGAATAAATCAACTTAATACAAAATTTTTCACAATATGTAATTGATTTTTTTAAAAAAAAATTAAAATTATTATATGTTCATAGCACATAGATGAGACAACTTTTGACCTTTGTGGAAAAAATTTTCGCTGTAACCCAATAATGTTGTAAATCATTGGGATAGGAGTGGTTCTTGGACAAGAACTTCATATATACGATGCCTTTGCTAAGACCTCCAACTGCATTTCAAGACATATCCATATGAATATCTATTTAAGGCAATGAAACCAACAGACAGCTTGATCTGGGGTTTTACTGGCTTGGCCTTCTTCTTACATCTTAGTTTCAATTTTTTTTTTTTTTTGGTGGTATTTGTTTAATTTTTCTTTGAATTATTCGTAACTGCTAGGTTGGTACGGAACACCAGATCCACCACATTAAATTAATGTTACAAAATAATTTAATGATCGAATATGGAATAGTAGTAGTACTAGCAGTACAATAATTGTGTGGGATCATCGATGCTTTTTTTTTTTTTTGCAAAAAAAAATGGAATAATAATTATATGAGAAATAGTAGTAGTATCATAAAAATGATGATTAATTAATCTTGGTGTTTTGAATAAATAATTATTAGAAGTTGAAGTTGACGACCCTATTGTTGTTAGTTCTCGAATCAGAAAAATCAGAATATTATGATGGTGCTTGGGGGGTTGGGGGGGGGGGAAGAATGATTGTGTTTTTTGACTTTGCTGGTGTGTGACTGTGTGTAGATAAATGTATATTCTCTCGATAACTGTAGTGAATCCAAAGTTTTTGATTGTTTCACTTTGCAGTTTTGCTCAATAATGTCACATCAATCAACCCTACTGTGTGATGCCTGTTTCAAATTGGACGAAGCTGTGCTCCATCGTAATAGTTTTAGTAAATTTTGATTGTCATTTTAATAGGATGATCATTGTTTTTTTTTTTTTCCCTATCTTTAATGCTTCTTCCGTTCCATAATTATTGTCCAATTTGTATTTTTATTTTTATTTCAAATTGTACTAAAAGTAAAATTTCAAACTGGACAATAATTTTGGAACAGAGGGAGTACTATTAAACACATCGTGTTGATAATCTAGACAAGAGCTTCTAATCAGCTATTAATTTTTTTTTAAAAAAAAACTTTTTTCTCTCAAAACAATTTTCATGAATAATGTCATTTTTAATGTACTAATTTAGATCGACGAACATGATAAGTATTTAGGATAGAGAGATACATATATGTTGTTTAATTTGGACTTAAAATATAGCGTCTAGCCTTAGCAAGTTGCAACCGTCCTTTCCCTATTGCAGTTTATCAAATTAGGATGCTGAAAGAACAAGGAAAGTGCTGAAAATGATCATGAGCAGGGAAAAAAAAGTAATGTGAATACACAATGTCAATCCCTTTAAACCGACTGACAAATATATCTAATTTGAATTCGGATTAATCAGAATAATATGCCAGAATCGACAAACAACACGTATCATTAATTAATCTTAAGATTCAAATAACTACTACTGATTCCTAAATGAAGAAACGTCCCAGCTTCACGGGAGGGTGACAAAGTGAAGAAAAAACCCATCAAAATCCACTTTTTTTCTTCTTCTTTTGCTAATAAAAATTAAAAATTTTGGTTCTGAGGAGAAAAACGGGTGCAAAAGTAAGAAGATGCATGTGCGCGATAATGCATGATCTTCCTATATTTTGACTTGTGAGATTCCCTTGAACCCCCTTTTGCACCCACCACTATATCACCGTACTGTTAAATCCTTTTTATTATTTTTCCTTTTTTTTTTTTTTTTACCTGTTCGTGTTATTGTGTGTAACATGCTTAATTGGCAATTTGGGATTGTCTTTTTCTCTGTTGTTTGGACCCAATTACAGACGTGTTTTTTTTAATTTGATTTGCATTTAAGTAAAGTGAGTTTTAGTCTAAAAAATTACCTAATCTTAGCTTAAGTACCTACTAATATAACTTGTTTTTGTAGATGGATTTATAACAGTCCATCTTGGCGGCAATATCTAATTTAGCAGCCCACAGGATGGAAAGGAAAGGTGAAAAGTTTACTCCTCACTCCTCAATCCTTTTTTTTTTTTTTTTGGAAAAAGGTCCTCAATCCTTATTATGTAAGAGAAAGTTTAGTAAAAGATGTATGTGTATTACTAGTTTCTATAAAGAGCAACTGCTAAAAAATGTTCAATTACCTTACTGTTTCAAGTAAAGATCTATGTTTGTTTTCATTTCTATTACGTTTTTTAAGAATTAAATATTAATAATTGTCCCATCCCTACATACCTTTTGACATTTCTAACGCATCTTTTTACATTCTTAATAAAATACCTAAAAACACACACTAAAAAAAGAAACAAACAGATCATCCTCTCTTCTATAAACATTGTGATGTTGTTTCAATCTCGAATTATACTTTATTTGGTTGAATTGTCCTTGGATTTTCTCTTAAAGAACAATAATCTAACACATATATACAATAGACCACAGCTAAATCCTTGCGCATATGCAATTCGCATCCCTATGACATCAATTTGGTGCTGTTGTTTTTCATATATTCACATTTGGTTTTGGATTTCATAATTGTTCATCTTAAAAAATTATGAGTTTAGTTTCACCTTTCAAGTCTTGGCCTCAATAGTGGACAGAATCATGCAATAAGATCACCTTTCTCGAAAAGATGTTGCTGTTCTTTTTTCACTGGAGAGGCGTGGCCTTTTGCAATTTATCCCCCTTTTTTCTTGTCCAAAAAGTGGAGAAAATACAATGCGTGCTGTATTTGAAGCAGTTTTCACATGGTGACTTTTTGAACAAATTTGACAATAAATTCCCAACAAAAAAATTATTTACACTAAACAGCAGAAAAAAGAAAAAAAAATAAAATCATTTTATCTTCAAGTCAAAGAAAACATGTTTCCATCACCATCATGATCACGATGGTGACACTAGAAAAGGGAACAAAAATGAAATGTGACTTGACGTTTGGTTTCTGTATCATTAGATTATTGTTATATTATTCGTCCACCAATTAACATAATTAGGTGGGAAAATGTGATTAACCTACATTTTTAGTTTATTACATATATACTCCCTCCATCTCATAATTATTGTCCAGTTTTGGTTTTCATTTCTAGTTCAAATTGTACTAAAAGTGAAATCTCAAACTAGACAATGATTTTAGGACGGAGAGAGTAACATTTTCTCTTGTTGTCTTCAAAGATATGTACGTAATTCATTTCTCAAACGAAATTAAACATATTGAAAGTAAGTGAGTCTAGTGACGTAGCTAGAGTCGTAGATAGCTTAGTAGTAGATCTTCTAATGCACGACTTTTGTAAGTAACAACAATCTAATTGCATTGTCTTAAATTCCTGTCGAGGCCTATGAAATTTGGTTCATTTTTATACCATAATGCAAGAAACAAAATTGAAGTTAATCTTTGGATTTATTAGTCTCAGAAATTTTAATCCAATATACAAAAAACCTGGATAAAATCACAACAGAAATTGAGAGCATCATAATGTATTGTTACACGATTTGATCCAATAAACAAAGAGAAAAATTAAGCTAAAACTAAGCTACATAACACAAGCTATTAGCAATAGCCTGATTAACTTTTACATTTGTAGTTCCATAAACTGGCAAATCTTGATGATCCCTATGATGAATTCCTCCTCCATGGTAGCCATTGATCCCAACATTCCCAATGTTCTCGAGCTCAAACAGATCCGAACTGGTACAACTATTCCCATCTTCATCATCACTGTCATCTTCATAAAATCCTCGCAATGCATAACTCTTTTTTGGTAATTTCCTCTGTTCCTCATAATTACTAGCCCTTAAGCTATCTATGTTCTTCTTGAGGAATTGGCTATTGATCTTTGGCAATGGTGTTAATTCCGGGTCGTTGTAATCGTAATCATTTTCGTTGTAGATGCTTTTCTGCCCAATGGGTTGACAATCTTCATCAACAATAACAGTACTCACTGGGCAAAATCTGACAGACCTTTTTGATTTATTTCTTGATGATGATGATGATGAAGAAGGTGGCTGTAGAATTGTTCTGTTCAAGCAAGACCTTGAAGCCAGAGTTTGAGATGGTTCTTTCACCGATCTTGATTTCTTCACTGAAGTCCAATCTTCCATCCCTTCACGTTTCTTCAAGGTCCTTGGAGTGAAGATGGAGTTGAGAAAATTTGCTATTTTCCTACCTGGTGAAATGGGCTGTTGTTTCACCTTCTTCAAATCTCCGTACATTTTCAGAGCCCTTGATTTTGTCCTCGTGAATCTTCCTTCGTGTTTTGGAGTTGTTGCCTCAGGAACATATGCTTGATGACGAGGATAGGAAGAAGAAATGCATGATCTTGGGGTGGATTTTGTAGCAGAGTACTCTGTTTCTGAGAAAATGCTGGAGTCATTTGATGAGCTTGAATCTGAATTCACGTGCCTCGATCTCCGAGAACTAGTTGAATAGCTTTCCATCCATTTCTCAACCATGATTGCTCGTCGAAGACCGGCGATCTCTTCTTCTGCTTCAATTGGGTTGTTCTTCTTTCTGTGATGAAGAGCAAGATTTTGTTGTTCCTGGGAAGATTCATCAATGGAATGGTAAATGGCATCAAGGAGGGTGGAAGAAAATGATGGTGTTCTTCTGCGTTGGTGATGTCTGTCTTCCCTGTGAGGCTTCTCCCACATATCCATTTTGCAGTATTTTCTGTAAGGAAAATTTGGACAGAAGACAATAGAAGCTGTTAAGGTAAGGAACCAACAAAAGAACAGAATGTCAGTGGCTTGAACTCATAGGAAGAACTGAACAGAGAAGATTCGGGGGATTTGGAAATGAAATATTTGAAGTTAGACAAGAAACACAGTCATGTTCCTTGTTGAAACCGAAAAGAAGTGCAAGAATGAAAGACAGAGAGAGAGAGAGAGAATGGAATGATAAGTTCAAATGAAAAGCCAAATGCCACGGCTTAAATGATGGACTAAATAAAAACTGGAGAGGCAATCATATTTGATGCTTATTACTACTACTGTGACATGTGTAGACTGTAGATTATATAGGAAGCAACAGTTCCAAAAAAACACACAAGGTAGAGATATATTGAAAGAATGAACGTTTATAAGTCAAGTGGTTCAGAGTTTGATACCCTCATACTTTAAATAACATATGAGTTTGAGTTATGTGGAAAAAAAAAAGAAATAAATAATATTGAAAATGTTAGTCATTTAGTTTTGAAAGGGTTCGGATCAACTCAAAAGAGATTAGTTGAAGCGTGATAATATTCATTTAAATTTATCGAGTATAAAAAAAAAAAAACGAAAAGAAACAGTGAAAGAATGTGAGCGCGCGTGCGTGTGATTCCGGGTACTGACAGAGTGTCCCATGGAGGGCTACAATGTTAGCTTTATTTTGCTGTCTTCTTATAGGTCTGTTCTTTTGGTACAATTTTCTCTGAGACTCCCAACTGTTGTGTATAGAGCCTCATATTTGTCTTCAATGCTCTGTTTTTCTTTTGTTTTATTTTTTAAAAGAAGAAAAGCTAACGTGCATACTGGTATTAGTACCCATCGAGCTTGCAAGTACAGACATGGCATTTAAATGTGAAGGTTGCAGTTGCGATTTAATCCCAATCCACCACATGACGTCTAAGTTTCATTCAAATCTTGAAGCACATTTTAACCAACAAAAGCATGTTTCTCACTGCTCAGAAGATTAATGATGATTTGTTTGCAAGGAAGTTGCAATCCTAGCTATATACATAGTTCTTTATGAAGATGACAATATCATTTGCCGATTCATTAGTATGAGATGGAATGGAGGGCTTTCATAAGTAAGAGTCGAATGCAGGATCTCGCAACATTTTCCAACTTCATAGTACACTTTAAAAACTCTCATAAAATGAACCTGGTGCAGAGGAACTACTGGGGCAAAACTTAATGTTTCGTGATAATCCAACAACAATTTATCTTTCACCACTCAGAAGGTTCTGATGTATGTCGTGCTTATCAACCAACAGAATTCAGCCTTTGCACATCAACCAACTGATAAAGATCTCCCCGCCTTTGCTTCTGGAAAGGAAGGTTGGTTCTGTATGCAGAATAAGAAACAGGGCTAAATGAGATCAAACTGTGAACGGATAAATTGTAAAACGAGATGTGGTATCCTAGGGTTACAACCTTGGAATGTTCAACGTCAATCTTCATTTTTTACGTTATTTTCTATCACTTTTGTTTTTTGACGAGCTGACCCTTCACCAATTATAGAATAAAAGAGAGTTCAGTGCATTTCATCTTCTAAAATTAGTAAATAGATCCTAATATTTTTTTAATGTTTATATTCTTCTATTTGACATTCAAATTTTACTCTTTAATGTGAAAAGAAAGAAGAAGATAGCACAAAGTGCATAAAAGGGGAGATGATCTTCTTACCTTCTCTGTTCAATGAAGGAGTAATCAACCTCTGCTACCACTGTCACCTCTTCGTGCTCCGCTGTTGCAAGTATTTCCCCAAACTGCAATTTCAATTCAATTAGTGTTGTAGTAATTGGTACTATGGAAATCTTTTAAACTAATTTAGCAGTTGATTCATTAAATATTTATGACAACGTGTGTATCCATATCTGTACCAGGCTCCTTAGGCAAATTGATGCATGTTCCATTTCCAAAGTAGCAGGGATGACATATTATATCAAACGAAACAAGAAGCTTCAAAAGAAACCAAGAGCCAATCTAACTACTTACAGGCCCAACTAGAGTAGAGTGACCCCAAGCCACATAATTAGCAGTGCTGTCCCTAGCAGGTGAACAAGTGGCCACATACAACTGCAATATCAATACGGGTAGCAGTGACATAAATGCAGAAAACAAAAGTACATGTTAGGAGTTCGAAACAAATGTAATAAAGTTCATCATAACGAGGAGGGGGAGAGGGGCATGAAATGCCAACATAGCCATGGCTCCTTGCGTTGCTATCATAAAGTTACAGAAAGTTTATCATAAAGCTAGTTTGATAAGGAAACTAGGTTCATTTGGTTACAACTTTCACCTATAACCAGTGGAATGTTCATTGTCGAGAGCGATTCCAATCAATGAAAATTTGCATACCCATAACATACCTGACAATCTGCAGCCCTGCAGATCAAGAAAAAACCCATAGAAAGTTAGTGTATGAAAGGTTGACAAAAGCAAAAAATCCAAGAATGCACTCTAATTGAATTGATCTAATTACCTTGCCCTTTGCAACAACTCCCAGTGGAGGGGACCAGTTGTCATGTTAAACGCCCCAGGATAGCAAAGCAAGTGAGCACCTGATATAGAAAAAAGAAAATCTTCCTCATACATTGAAGCCTTCAGAAGTAAAATCTGGTTCTGACAAACAGAAAATTTAGCCGGTATAACATATCATCAAACAGAACTAAACTTAGACTCCAACTTCTCAAATAATGAACTCTGCAACTCATGGAGAATGAAGTACGATTCTATCTCTTAGTTTATGAGTATGTTAATTATGTGGACACTAAAGTGTCCTCCAAATGCTAAGAAAGAGTTTTGAACTACCACACATGTTTAGACAAGGGGCATGTCAGCATTATGAAAATTGGTAAAATGAAGTAGAATGATATTTGTACAAAACTTTATTCAACCTTTGACACTAATTTGATATTTTTCTAAAGTGACCAATATACTGGGTATATTGTTGTTGTTGTTGTCGTAAACCAATACTAAAATGCAGTGTTTAGAAATAGGAACCTTATAATAGGACAGGAGGAGTCCTATAAATAAATATGGAAGTAAAGCATACCTCTTGCTGCATAAATGGCGGCTAATTCCTGGAAACGGATATCATAGCATATACCTATTCCAATGCGCCCAACATCTGCATTCAAAAATGGTGGAAACCAGTGAGAAAAAGAATAAATAAACTGAAACTATAATGCATAATTAATTGAATCATTAAAACTAGGCAAAAGACCTGAAATCGAACAATTGAGCTCACAGGTTAAGACATTATAGGACACACCGTTCATTAGCTTTCATGACACGTGATTTCCCCGTACAATTATAGACATGAATTCCGTTCCAACAATGCCAGTAAACAAGGGAAAGCAAAATGAACCTGTGTCGACAATAGTTGGACTCTCCCCAGCGGTGAGGGTCTTTGATTCCATAAAAGTCATCTTGCCTGGAATATCAATATCGAAGAGATGTATCTGTAAACAAAACATTTTCATGAAGACAAATAGTTACAAATCACCAACACCAATTAAACCAAAACCTTTAGCCAGCATTATTATACTACTGATCTGTCCGAAAGTCCAAACAAACAGTCACAATATACCTTCCGGTGCTTCCCCTTAATTGTTCCATCTGCGCCAAACACGCAGCAAGTATTAAAAATTTTATCTCCACTACGCTCCGGTATTGATCCACCAACAATAGTTATCTTGAGTCTTTGAGACAGTTCAGAAAGCATTGCAGTTGAAGGGGACGCAGAACCACCAGCGTTGATATCCTCAGCGTACAGCGGAAAACAATCATTCGAATATGGACTATTCCATATCTCCTAAACATACAACGTAAAGGAATAAACAAACTACGACTTTTTGACATTCTTAACCAGAAATAACAAATAATTCAAATTCACTCACAGGTAAAAGTACAAGCTGCGCTCCCTGCTGGGCAGCCTCCTCAATGGCCTTACGAGCGCGAGCTATGTTTCTTTCCTTATCAGACGCGACTAGAAATTGGCAAAGACCAATTTTGAACTGAAATCAAAGATAATTAACACAATTATTAAATTGAAAAAGAAATAATCATGTATTTCCTTTTTGCAAGCTTGAAATGTGATTCAACGGTGAAATGCCTGGCTTACCTTGGTAATTGGAGGTTTGGGTAACGGAATGGCCGGTGGAACCCTAGCTTCCTCCGGCTTGTAGGTGGCGCTCATTGATGACATTGCGACCTGCGCTTTCTTGATCGATTTGACGGAATTTAAGTGAATTGAAGAATAGATTTGGCTGAAATTTGAGCTGTGAAGACGAGGAACTGAAGAAAAATAATTCGAAATTTTGCCGCCGGATTTGAGTGCCGTTGGAGGGGAGAACAGTTTGGTAGTCACGGCGGCTTTCATCTTCAGTTTCTTTTTCTTTTCCAGATTTTTGGGAAATCTTTTAACCCGGGGGCTTTTTAGGAAGGATGACTAATTTCTTTTTCTTTTTTAATTTAACTGATACGTCGGTTTTTTTTTTTTTGGTTGGAAATGGTACTTTTGATACATCTGAATACCTAATTCTTTTTTGGTTAATTATTAACTGAAACAATCATTTTCTTGTCTTTTTTGGTTTTAAATTTCAGCTGTAATTTTAATTTTAGTTGATTGATTCGCTTTCGACGTCCTTTGTAATTTTTTTTAAAAATTTCCCTTGGAAAAACTTTTCATGGTTTATTTTAAAATGTATTTAGTCTTTTTATCCAATAAAATAGGATCAAATATTAGAAAAATACTTGTTATAAGAATTTTCGTTATTGACTGTAAATAAGATATACTCATATTGTTTTGTAACTACATAATAGAGTTTATGTTTTATCGATATTTTATTTTTAAAAATTTAATTAAATACGGTCTACTTGAAAAAATAAATTACTACTTAAAATAGATTGTTCTAAACATAGACGGTGACATTTTATTCATCAAATCTATAATAATTCTCATTACATATCTCTGTCGAGTTTTGAAATTTATATTTAATGAGTGAATGACGAAGGGAGTAATATGCATTTCATTATTTTGAAGTTTTTATAATTTAATTGTTGTAATTTGGACTATTAAAACGAGAGAAGATAGTATTTATAACTTCTCATAATCTCATTAGTCTTTTTGAAACCCCCAAAAAAAAAGGAAGAAAAACGAAATATCCACTGAGGTTCGGTCAAACTACAAAAACGCTCACGCCTCTTTGGCCTTTGCTCTCAAAATTCAAAATCACAACAATTTTAGAGAATACAGTAACTGTTAATTACTCTGTTTGCGACGTTAATAATTATTATCCTATATAAGTTTTTTTTTTTTACTGAAAACGTGATAGAGCACAAGACTGTAAGTTTGGTCTTTTCTTCCACAAATAAAAATTTATACAGATAATAATAATAATAATAGTAGTAGTAGTAGTAGTAATAGTAGTAGTAGTAGTAGTAGTAGTAGTAGTAGTAGTAGTATTTGCAAAAGGTGGAATGTGTGTAGAAAAAGGGAATGGCGGTGGATTGAGGTTTATAATTAATATTTTGAGAAGAATAATCGAATACCGGTCTTAGCTCAGTGGTAGAGCATGGATTGTAGTATGGTTCTACAGTTTAAAACCTCTACAAATGCATAACATCCTGTTAGCCGTAGGTTCGATTCCTACAGACCGGTGAGTCTTTTTGTTATTATTGATTCATCAATTCCATATGCTTTTAGGATTCACTTGATAATACGCAATACAAATATCCTAGGTTTCCTTTTTGTTTTCCAGTTCTCTCCGTTTAGATTGATCAAACGATTTTGACTTCCTGTTTAGTGATGGACATGATGAATTAAGTCGGCCTATCCAGATAATTAGTTCGACTAATCCCATAACATATATCGTAATTAAGTAAGCCAAAATATGACGACACTAGGACATCTCGGTGACGAACAAGAAGAACAGTTATTCCTGAAGAAAACCGTTGGGATACAATCATTGGGTTCAACTTGAAGGAAAATGTAGGTATTTTAGAAGGAAACCGTCGTCTCTTTACAGTTTCGGAGTTCTTTTGTTCTTATTTTAAGTCGTCCAGTTACTATGTCTTAGTCATGTGTTGTCTTCTGGTTCCTATAACATGTAGCTGGGGTTAAAGATAATGCAATTTGTTTTACCAACAATATCATAATCTTCTGAGGATTTCAAAATCAATTTTCTCCCAATCCCAAATGCCATATACCCACAATTAGTGGACAAAATATAGATGCATTTGCCTATTTCATCCATCACAGTATTCAGATGGTATATAAACATTAACAACAGCCTTAACAATAGACAAAATTATAATGCCTCACAACCACAAGGTTGTACATACATATATAATATAGCTCTGGACGAACTAGAATGGGGGGAGCCCTTTGTTGCTAGGCAGAGATTGTACTCTTGTCTTGGCAGGATTTCTCCTCTCTTCATTCTTCAATCAATCAAATATTCCAAAACTTGTATTAATTCATAAGTACTGTTTATGTATCCTGGCTCTGTTCTCCTCCCACCATAGCCTGGCATGCACCTCCCCAAACTTCTCCCGGCTGGCGTTTTGATACATGCAAATCAGGTGGAAATACAAATTAAACACCAGTTTAAAAAAGGGCTCCAGTCCAAACAATGAAATCAGTTAACTGAGGTTAATAATATCACAATCTTACTATTAGGAAAATGAATGAGTATTTCTCAGAGTTGATCTGTTGTTAAGGCCTAACTTTACCTTGCCAACATCGGTTGCAGTGGAAATTTTATTTCTTTTCTGACGGAATCATGGAAGTGAAGTAATGCATCAAATTTGAAACCAGTAGTATGATGGCAGTATTAGTAAAGATGCAATATTTAAAACCTGAATCTGACGCGTCTGAGCTCTCTTCTTCCATCTGGTAGGGCTCTGATAGTGATGTAAACTCCTGGTTCATCCTGTTCAACCCATTCTGTTTCTAGGTCACTGGCATTGCTGATAGATATATCTCCCGATCGATCGGCATCCCTTGATGAGCTGGTCCTCATGGTAGATGATGCATCATTAATGGATGATGTCTCAGTCTTTGTGCCACTTATGCTTGAGAGCTTAGGAGTTGAGGCAACCCCACAAGAATCATAGTTTGGAAGCGATTGTGTGTCGGATGATGAATATCCCATTCCCCCGGGACGGCAAAATGTACGCGGAAGCGGTTCTCTACTCAGTGGTGGTGTCACTGGACTGTTCTCCACAGATTCAATTTTTGAACTCTGTACACAAAAGATAAGGTAGTATGAGTTTTTAGAACTTCGATATTGTAACCCGATTTTATTATCAGCTAAACTGCATTGTAATTTTGTAAATGGTATAAATGCAGGTTTTGGACTTGGGGGAATGAAGTTATATTGAATGCATGATCTGCATTCCAATGGTTGTGTTTAACTATATATGATCTTAGGCTCACCTCATCTTCAGATCTTGGTGGTGTATTAGGAGGAAAAGCTTGGCGATTCAACCTCTGCACATTGTAGAGCTCCATCACCTTTTCATAGTTATCTGTCCACCACTTTTGTGCTTGCCATTTATTGAACATTTCGCGACTATTCCCACCAATAAACATCAATCAGAACCTTTGGCTAACTTAATAACCATTACCAGAGAAAAAATCAACAGAATAAATATTAAATGTGTTGCTTATCAACTCACAAGAGGAGAAACATGGTATGTCGCCAAACCGTTTTACTTTTCAAGATTATGCTCTAAGCTAAAATGTTCAAAATTTAATTTTATTGAAACTAGTGTTAGTGAAAACTTTTAAAATTGCTCCAGGTTCACTATGGTTCTTATGGATTACATTTTATACTCCGTCTATCCTAATATGATTGGTTGGGTTTGGTATTGATTTTTTTTATTTTTAGTACGATTTGTGAGTAAAGTAAAATTACAAACTGGACAATCATTTCGGGATGAGGGAATAATGAAAAGGAGGAAGACTGATTTGTCTACCAGGCAGTTCTTTTCTTACTTCACTTATTGTCTCCATCTGTTCCTTGTGGAAAACAGAATTAACGGAGGCCACTTAAGACATCATATACCAGTAGTCCAATCTTTATTCAATTTAACATAATTATTGGTAGGCCATCAGCTGGACCACCATGTCTGTGTGATAAAATACAAATCCAAGTTCAAGGATCCTATCCACACTTTGATAAACAAAACTTATACCTGGTTGTTCCTAATTTGCATTAACGAAAGGCAACATATTTGACTATGGTTTTAATAAACCTTTCTTCAAAGTCCAAAAAATCAAGCAGTTGAAATCATCTCAATTAGAAGAAACGTTTCAAACACACCGCTTATTAAGTACGCTGATGAGTATGGAGCCAATTCAATTGATACGTGATTCTGACTTAAAATCCCAATTAACCATTTTCTAGAAACAATAAAGTGAAAAATCCATTTCAGTGTCTGTATTTTGGAAGGCCATTTCAGATTCAACACTGATTGTCACCCGCATAGAGTTAAAACTTAAAAACTGCAACCTAGTTCCTCAAAACAGTTTGGAATTGACAACAACAATAGTAGTACTTGTTAAAACAAGATGACAAAATGAGAACATACGCGTGATGGAAGATTGAAAACGAAAGTAAAATGAATTCTCCCGACAAGACAGCAACAACTTAGTAAAAAAAAGGTATAGCCAACACAATCAAACTTGTCCCACTAAAGTCCTTGATGAAGTTTGTTTTAGCTTTTTAAACTTTTTTTAGGCCTCTTTTTGGACTTTAAAAAGTTGGTCACACTCTCTTAATCTTTAATGGCTTTCCCATTATCATCATCTAAAAAAGGGTTATGATTGCTTTGAAACCTATCCCCCTCCCTCCTCCACCTAAATGCTAGTGGTTTGAAATTTACATTTAACAGTGGGTGAATTCACAATCACTCGATCACGCTTTTTTTTTTAAAAAAAAAAAAAGAAAATTATAAATGGAGCGTCAAAATTGTTATTCAATGTTTCAAACCACGCTTGCTGATCTCTAATGATTTGCAATGAGTTTCATTCTCTTTTTTGCATGGCAACAAAAAATCAAACACTCTCCCTCAATTCTCTCTATATCTTTCCCACCTACACCATTATCTAAGACCATGGAAAAAACTACTATTAACTCATCATTTGCCAGACCACATATAAATTATTCACAGAGAATGATTATTCATGATATTGGGTTGCATTATTCACCACATATGTACAGTATTTATAAGAAGAAGAAAAGATGCCGGTGGTGTTTTTAGGTGAAATTACGACCTTTCAAATAACCAAACACCACACAAATTCTTGTTCATCATGCTACATAATCAAGCTAATATATTATGTATGAATCATGCTTCCATCACCTACAAATTTGTTTTATCATTCTTTTTGTTGGGGGGGGATTAAACAGCGCATTGTTTGATATTCAACTTTAAAAACATTATCTGAAACCAATATAAACACATCAAGTCAGGTATATTCTAGTACATTCTTTTTCCAGAACCAACCAAAAACATGTGTAACAAAACATCCTACTTATAAATCTCCTTTGCCACTCGATATAACCTTTCACCGATTTAATTTATCCAAGAAGATAGCCTTCCAACTACCACACCCAAATAATACATTAATTTTTTTTTTCAAACATATTATTCTCTCCGTCCCATAAAAATGATCTACATTTAGTAATTTAGAATTTTAGGCTCTTTTTAGTGCAAATAATAAACTATAATATAGACTATTTTTTTTTTGAGGTAAATAGAGTATTAAAAATAGAACACACATGTGCAAATAAATCACGAAGTAAATGTTCCAAGAAAGCAAGACAGCAATTTCAGTACGAAATGCCACTCTCTAATACTATTAACGGTTTTACTACAATTCTTCCTCTGTCAAATCACTTCGTATTACTAATTAGCAACAATGTCCAGACGACATCGAGATGCAGCTTAGTAGTAAGATGCCTTACTTGTTGATCAATAAATCACGGGTTCGAGTCACGCTGGGAATAAGTGGAGAACCGCTATTAATTCCTTAAAATGTCTAGACAGTGGAAGAAGGCAACTTGTGATGAAAGACACAAGGTTGGTCCAACAAAATTGATTATGCTAAATCATAGTAACCACTGACATCTCAATAATTATTGTGTGCAGCGTATATTTATGATGATTCTAGCTTTGTGGGATGAAATAAATTTGTCGTGGTAAACAGTAAATACAAACACGGTAGTTACCTTGACGTCTCTCGTGAAAAATAGAAATATCCCATTTTTTCAATATTGAAAATTTGAAAAAAATTCCCCATTCAAACAAAAATAAACCCCCCAAAGTAAATGACTGAATAAATAAACTAAAGAAAATCTTGGCAACAAAGATAATTTTAATTACCTGAATCGTATTCGCTTAAGATCATTCCCGCCACGTGGCAAGGAGACAAACGTAATTAACACGCCGGGTTCCACCTGAGCCACCCACTCTTTGGGCTCGTTCTCTTCCACGAACACCACCGGCGGGTCAACTCGCCGGCCACTCGCCGATACCGGAGTTCCTTCCCCGCTCGATATTCCCTTAAGCCTGGCCTCCAACTCCTTCCTCCCAGCCGTAGAACTAGAATTCGAGCTCCCCGTCCGCCTGTAAGACCACCGGAACCTATCCGACGACGCCGACAACCCGGAGTCGGACTCCACGCAACTCCCATTCCTCTTCAACATCGGCTGCTGAGGATTCGTCGTCGTACAGGGGTTGCACTGCCGGTACGCCCCGGAAGCCTTCAACGCCATATCCTTGATCTACAACAATCATAACAAACATCATCAGAGAAACCATCGAAGAATTTAAGATAGGATTTTCATTTTCCGACGAATAATTTATCACCTGAGAAGTGAGGGATTTAATGGATTGTTTATTAGCGGAATTGTCATTGTTGAATTTGTGAGAAGCGTCGACTGAATCATCGCTGGGTTGCTTCGAACGTGCTATGCATGTCAGCATTTTAATTCTAAAAAAAAAAAAAAAAAAATCCTTCTCTTCCCTCTACTCTGCAAAGCTTTGAGATATCGGAAATTGGACACGGAAACAAACGTTGTACATAAACAAATTGCAAAATTTACTAATTTATCTTCTTTCAAAACTGAACCCACAAAAAAATGAAAAAAAGAAAAAAAACGTTTCACAGTCAAAAAGAGAATTTGGGGTTTTGGGGTTGGGAATTAAGGAATATTGAGAAATAAGAAAGGGAAGAAGAAATGGGGAGATGATGAGCATGACCGAGCAGAGAGTGGGAGTGATGGTGCTGGGGGGCGCACTTTTTATTGTGTCCCTTAAATTGCGCCATCTCAGAGATCCCTGTTATGCGTAAGTATTAATTACGACTCCCCCACCCCATTTTTCCCAACACCAAAATTAAAAGTCAAGTGACAAAATTTTATTGGGATTGGTAAAAAATTACACTAGTTTATACGACGAGCAAGAGTCAAAATAAACGTAAACAAATACTCCCATGGTTTATTTTATTGGATGGAATAACTTAATAAAAATATCATGGGATCATGGGGGGGCTAAAAGAAAAGCTGATAAAGTCAGTTATTCGACTTCCATTAAAGAAAAAAAATATGATAAAGACTTAAAAGAGATTAGGCTACATTTATGTTTTTGTCAGTATTTGCGATCAAGACTTTAAAAGCGTAGTAACATTTATTTATTATCATTGACAGGAAAGAAGCAACAATTGAGATTTATTTCGTGGACAAATGGAAATCGTTCAAGGCCTACAAAAAGAGGAAAGAACCAAAATTTGGGTTTCGTGAATATTGCAAAATTGTTATTCCCTCCTTCCGTCTCGAAATTATTGTTCAATTTGACATTTTATATTTAACACCGTATTAAAAATAAAATATTAAATTGGATAATTATTTTGAAACATAAAAAAAAAATACTCTCTCAATTCCAAAATAAGTTTGGTTTTATCAAAATCAAAAACCATTCCAGAAAAAATGTCTTTTTTAAAAAAAAATTTCTAAAATTACCCTCAATATAAATAATATCATTCACAAGAATTTATTTTAATGGGTTCGTCGGTAATATTCTAGTAATTTATCTACATCATTTAAGTATTTCTTAAACTGTGTTCAAATTATAAAATTATACTTATTTATTTTGGAATTGAGGGAGTACAATTCTTTTAATATCTCCTTATCTCAGTTGGTGTTTTTGATTTTCGAGATCTTTTGATTTTTTCATGAGATTTTATTATCAAGTTTCTATCATTCACTAGTTACTACTCCCTCCGTCTCATAATTATTGTCTAGTTTTACTAAAATGAAAGATTTTATTTTTGGTCAAACTTAACTATATTTTACCTTAAACAGCCAGATATACCCCTACATAAGTAATTATTTAACCACTAAGATTTTATGGGTAATGTTTTTTACTAAGGACAGTGTAACTTGATCCATAAAAAGTTAAATTGGACAATAATTTTGGGACAAAATTTTTTGGGCAAAGTGGACAATAATTATGGGACGGAGGGGGTATTATGGAGTTATGTATTATAAAAATAAGTACAAAATTATAATAGCTCGATATAATTTATTGGGTGAATCATAATAATCATATTTTTAATATCGAAGACAAAGCTCTTTTTGTTTTGGGGGAGGGAGGATTAACAGATATCTATAAATGTCATTTTGTGGTACGTGGTTGCTAAGTAATTGCGGGCCAGAAAAGACTAAGGAAAATCAAAAGAATGTTGGATTAACTTTACGAAAAATAATATCTTTGTGGCTTTGATCTCTGGATTTTATAGCGTAGGCTTCTTTTGTAGTGGTCCTTTTTTCTTCTTCTGTCTCTTTTTCTTTTTGTTTCTTCTTTTAATACGTGGATTATACTACTGGATTTTAAGACATAGTTCCTCAAAGTGGGAAACCTCTTTTTGTATTTTTCAGCTAAACTTTTTTTTTTTTTTTGAGGAGCAAAATTTCAGCTAAACCATTACTTATCAATTTCCCGGGTTACATTACACCGCTTCACGTAATAATCTTTTGCATTTTCATTCAGCAGTGTGTTCAAAAAGATGCTCAATCGGAATTGATAAATATTTATCCCAACACATTTATTACAAAATTTCTACCATCGACGACAACAGTGATTAATCATCGATGTTTTTGAAATTCATTTGGTTTCCAAATGCTCTGATTTTTTTTTTTTTCATATTTTATCTAACTGAAAGCGTCAGCGTTTCGAGTTTGGACTAAGTTGGCCTCATGTTGAACTGGTTCTAAAGTGTATCATTGGAGGAATCATTTTACCATTAGCCCATTTCTGCAGGACACGTCAACGGAGCCCAATAAATGAATTAGCTCGATTACTATTTACCATGTCTTCTAAACTACACTCAGGCCCATTACTGCAAAGTTCTCAATAATCATTATCCAGCTGGTTGAATATTTTATACAGTAAATTAATTAATCTATCTATAGTTTATATATATATATACACTAGATGTTAGACCTGTCTAATGGACGGAAAGAACATATACGTATAAACATTACAACACAAGCAAATATTTATGAATATTGTACTTTTATACAATGTTAAGTATGAAATGTATAATGACTTCACTGTAAAATATAAAACATAAACACCAACAACACTTTACCAAATGAATATGGTAGTGATTTATTTAAGGCAGAGAATATTATTAAGAAATTATTTTTAAAAAAGTGAATATAAAAACGAAAAAAAAAAAATCAACTTCGAATTGAATAATTATATGTCCTGCAATACTTCTTTGTAGACTACATTCGTAGCCTTGGATTTGAGTTATCATTTTCCAAGAGAGTAAACGTACCAAGTGGATTCTTTAGATTCTTCATTCTTGGTGGAACAGCACTTGAAAATCAAAGATTTAATTTTAGTGCCGATGGATATATGTTGGGAAGCATCAAAGAGGCAATTGCTCCATTTCTTACGAATTTACTCATTTTTAATGCTTGGAAGTTGCACCCAAAATCAAGATCACTTATATATACTGTTTGCATCGATTACTGGAAAGATTTTACAGTTGGTATTGAATATAATTTTCTCTGATAAGATATTTAGATCGCATCAATCACAAGCAAGTAAATATAATTTGTTCACATCCCAAAACAAATTTTGTTGGGATTCCATATCTTTTGGCCGAGATTTCATAGCTGTATTTCCGTGATAGAAGCCTGCAAGAATTCTGATAGAGTTGAAATTCGGTAAAAGGATTGTGACGTAACAAAATAACATTTGATCTTTTTATTTATTTATTTATTTTTAGTTTTTATTGTTTTGTTTTGTACATTTTTAAATCTACAAAATTAAGAAAATGCCACATACAATTAGATCACTAAAATCAATCACTAGAAGGTACAATGACAAAATATCCTTTCTACGCCCTAGCAAAAATGCATTATTCATTTGTTAATTAGTAGTTTGGATTTGTTTATATTTATTTTGCCACAAGCAGTTTCATTCTTTTGATATTTTGGGCTTGCATTTGTTTTTAGTTTATTTTGCCACGCGATAATTTATTTCTTTTGATATTTTGTGTGATTTAGTAAAAATATACATATAAAGCGCTAAATATCTTTCTTGAGTATTACACCTTTTTTTTTTAAAAAAAAAAAAACTAATGATCATCTGAGGATCGAATCCTCAATCTATTGATAATAATCATCCTAATCCTAACTCAAACTATCCCACCCAACCCTTCCAGCCTTTTGAGGGAAAAATTGGCCTATCTACCAAAAATTTTACATGCGTTGTCAATTTTATCCTATTCTTTTTTGGTTCGCCGATATTACCCTAAGATATCTAACCGTTAGCCGATTTTGTCCAATTTGTCAATTTCTATTTAATTTAACTGAATTCTGTTAGTTTTAATAACAAAAATACCTTAATAGTTTAAAAATTATAAAACAGTCTCTTGTACTTTTTATTTAATTTTTTTCTGTTTTCTATTTCTTTTTAACATTTTTTCATAACTATAAAAATATACGATATGATCTTTTAAAGAAATAATTTTATTTTTAAACATTACTGTACTAATTTATAGATATACATTTTTGTGACTCATGGTTGATTTACATAAACATATTAATTTTTTTTAATAATATGGCTGGACAATAATGATATTATTTTCTTAATCCATTTTTTCCAATTTAAGGAATAATTTTTTTCGACTTAAACTAATCTTTTACAAAAAATTAAAACATTCAGCGTAGATTAAAAAATAATATCTTGGTATATTTAATTTATTATAAATTAACTAAACAGACTATAGATTGTATTATCCAATTAAAAAAATAATTAAACTAAAATATATAGTACAATCTAATGTTTAGGGTGTTGAGTTTCATTAGAGTAGAAGTAATTTAATTCTCACCAAAGGATTTCTAACTGAGAGAGTGATTTTATCCACATTTAAGCGGGATCCACTAAAGCTGAGAGGGTTGGGTTGGATGGTCAACTGATTTAAGATGTGAGATGATTATTACTGTGTTCGAGGTCTCGATTCTGATTGAGGTTATTTTTATAATTTTAAAAATTATTAGGGTATTTTTGCAATTAAAATTAATAGAATTCCGTTAATTTAAACGGAAATTGGCAAATTAGACAAAATCGGCTAACGGTTGTATATATAGCTTAGGGTAATATCGACTAACCGAAAAAGAATATAGTAGAATCGGCTACACATGTAAAGTTTTGAGTAGATTGACTAATTTTTTTCCCTTTTGAATTACAACTTAATAGTTCAATATATTATGCTGTACAGGGGCCTCTGAAGCTTCATGTGGTTTGGCATACAAAGAGGAAAGCGTCCGTACGTGACTGGCTAGCAAACTAAGATAAAACGCTTCGGGGTTTTATTTCATTACATTATTATAAAAGTTCTACAATGTTGAGATGTAAGTTTTCTGTTTCCAATGGTGTGCTTTTTTTTTTATTTGGAAATAGTCAGAACAGAGATGTTATGATAGCAAAATGAAAATTTATCTATTTAGGACATTAGTTTTGCATGTAACCCAGATATCACGGTCGATAAGGTGCAAGCTGAGGAAGGAATGGGTTTAGAGGTAAAATTTTTTGATTGAAAATTATATTTAGGAATTTTGGAGTTCAAATTTCAAAAAGAACATTAGTTATATGAAAAAAAAATATGGAGTTACACTTTTTTTTTTTTTTTTTCTCATTTGGATACTAGTTCCTATTAACTTCGTTAAGTAGCGGGGTAATTTTCTGGAATGTGTTTGTGCATTGAGTTTATGGATGTGTGAATTTCTACCGGCATAAGTTTGTCAGTACGAGGAGTTAAATAAAGATAGAAGATGTAACAAATGTTTCCTTAAATAGTCAAGTCACACTTCAGATAGTCGTTATCACTGTCCCTCATAAAAGCATCAACTGATGTGTGACCTGTGCTCCTCCACAGTAAAAAAAAATATAAAAAAAAATCATTGAGATCACATTCCACCAACCACAAAAACCATAAATGGTCTTTATTCCAATCCTTTTAATTTTATATTGGCGTTCCTTTCTAGAAGTATTATAGCATACCATTTTTATTTTTAATTTTTGACGTGTACAGAAGATTGTGTCTTACAAATATGATCGACGAGAGACTTTGGCGCATCATCTCTTGGCATTTCTGCAGGCAAATGCATGACATGGAAGAGTCAATATGAATTTTCAAGAACTAAATAGGAAGCGTAAATAAAAATCAACAAGTCGTCATCTAACACGAAAAAAATGTAAAGAAAAAGAACCGAATGAATAAGTTCATGACCACATTTTAGGGGGGCCTATATAGAATAATCTTTCATTAGTTGGAGGATAACATTTTCTTACACTCAATCAACAATTGCAGGTACCATTTCAAAAAAATAAAAATATTAAATAAAATAAAAATAATCAATTGCACGTAAAATTTTGTTGTTTTCCAAACATAAAAAAAAGGAATAACAGAAAAAAAAAACATGCAAGTAAGGTATGTTTGTTTCGTTTTTTTAATGTGTTTTTAGGTATTTTTTGTATTAAAAATATAAAAAAATGTATTGAAAATGAAAAAAGTATGTTGGGATTAGACATTTATTATTTTAATATTATGAAAAAATCATCCAAAAAACAAAACAAACAAAGCCTAAATTACATCTGGATCCTTGTGCTTTCTTGAATTCTTCAGAAGAGTCCATAACTAATTACGAAACAAAACTAACCGACTCCCCCACCTCCTTCCTGCCATTCTCCCACCGTCATCCTCTCCCTTCTCTACCGTCCGATCTCACAATCCCCCCCAACCCTCCACCGCCTCTCTCTCTCCGGCCCTTTTTCCAACCACCAACAACTCCGCCCATCCTCTCCACACTCTCCATCATCCCATCATCATTGGTGGACCCCACTCCCCTCCGTTCATTATAGCTGGCTGGCTGGCTGGCTTTACTCCCTCCAGCTCCATTTTTTCTCCGATCACTTTCATAATAAATTAAGCACTCGATTTCACTTCTGATTTGGGTTTCAATTTCTCTCTGATTCTTGAGCTTTATTGAATACTATATTTTTGCTGCGTAATATCGATTTTGTTCCCATATATAGATGAATATTAATGTCCTTGATTATCGATGATTTCTATGTCCGTACTGATGAGCCTTTCTAGCTCTACCGAAAGAATTGGGATTAGGGTTTCAAATACGTTCAGACAGTACTATTTAATAAACCTCTGAACTCTGAAGTTCGAAGCTCGAGCGGAATTTAAAGCTTTATTACTGTTTCCAATTAATTTTTTTTTTATCCGCCCAGTTCTGCGTATTTGCTTCGACAGACATTAATTGGAATACATGTATTTGGTATACTGACAACCCAAATACGTGTATATTCATATGCACATGCACCGACGATGAGACGTAGGAAAGGGGGTTCAGAACCCAAGAAGCCGCAGAACTCGTCGTCGCAGCCAGCCGACTCTGTTGCAGAAAGTAACCAGAAAAAGGGTAATTCTGCTGCAGAGGATTTAAATTCCGGTAAAAAAAAGAGTGGACATGATGAGAATTCGAGTAATTCGAATTGGAAATCGAAGAAGAAACAGAGGGCGAAATCGTGGAATTGCGTGGACAGCTGTTGCTGGTTCGTCGGTTGCATTTGTTCGTTATGGTGGATCTTATTATTCTCTTACAATGCAATGCCGGCCTCCTTTCCGCAGTATGTGACCGAGGCGATTACCGGACCGTTGCCGGACCCGCCCGGGGTGAAATTGGCTAAGGATGGATTGAAGGCGAAGCATCCGGTGGTCTTTGTACCTGGGATTGTAACTGGAGGGCTGGAGCTGTGGGAAGGGCACCAATGCGCTGAAGGTCTGTTCAGAAAGAGGCTTTGGGGTGGCACATTTGGTGATCTCTATAAAAGGTGTTTCATTTATTGATATTTATTAATGGATTTTGGTTGTTTTCCTTGTTGAATGGTTTTCTTAGATTGGTGTTGAATCTTTTTTTGTCATACTGTCTTGAAGTGGAAATTTTAGTAATTTTACTGGTAATGGCAAAAGGAATTCCTTGTCCCAGGTCATCTGGTTGGACATACCTTATTGAGTAGTATGAAGACTGACGCAACTTTTAGCCCTTCTTTTTCCCATTGCCTTTCCAAGACTTAGAGAGTTTAGCTTAAAAAGGAAAGTAATGGTGGAACCGTGAAGAAATTCTTTTTTGTAAAAGCTTCCCTCTTCCTCTAAATCTCTTCTTCTACCTTCTTTCTTCATCCCTCGGTTTCATTGATTTCTTTCCCAGTTACTGAAAGAAATGTTAAATGAGAGGTTTGTATGTGCTTATTCATGCTGGAGAGTTCAGTTGACTGCCCAGAGTTCTTTTGCAGTAGGTAAACATTTGGGCATCCCTGGCAAAGTGGACAGCTTGAATTCTGAAGTTACCTTTATTTTTCCATGTTGCTTGCGTTATTTCTTATTGAGTAATATTATATTGGCTTCTGAAGTTCCTTGATTAAATTTGATGCAGACCTTTATGCTGGGTTGAGCACATGTCTCTGGATAATGAGACTGGTTTGGATCCTCCTGGAATAAGGATCAGACCTGTTTCTGGACTCGTTGCTGCTGATTACTTCGCACCAGGTTATTTTGTATGGGCCGTGTTGATTGCCAACTTGGCACGGATTGGATATGAGGAGAAAAATATGTATATGGCGGCATATGATTGGAGGATATCTTTCCAGAACACTGAGGTGCTTTAAATTTAAAATTTGCTATGTTGATGGTTTTCTCCTAAAATGAAAACATGTTACTAACACCAGCCTCATTCCAGTAAAGCCTGCAGACAGTCGTAGACCTGATAAAGACAAAGTAGTAGAAGATACTGTTTTGCATTTACTATTAGCTATATTAGATAATTGTACTCAAGGCCGTTTGAAGAGTTTTAGTTCTTTCTCCTCATAACTAGCAAAGATGAACTTTCCCCAAAAAATGTTAGATGCTAATCTTGGGACATCGAGGGATGCTTTGACGATCTCTATTTTATTTGAAGTCGGCTTCACATCGCCTACTCTGATTTTCATATGGGTATCTTTTTTCAGGTTAGAGACCAAACCTTGAGCACTATAAAGAGTAACATAGAGCTGATGGTGGCTACAAGCGGTGGGAAAAAAGTGGTGGTAATCCCTCATTCCATGGGTGTTCTGTATTTCTTGCATTTTATGAAATGGGTTGAGGTTCCAGTTCCCATGGGTGGTGGAGGTGGCTCAGACTGGTGTGCTCGGCATATCAAGGCTGTAATGAATATTGGTGGGCCATTTTTGGGCGTTCCGAAAGCAGTCTCCGGATTACTCTCTGCAGAAGCCAGGGATATCGCTGTGGCCAGGTTTGTTGTAACTGTTCAGTATGTTTTAAGTTTTACAGAAGTCGGTTTTAAGTTCTAGATACTTTTGTATGCTTCCTTATCAATCAGAAATGAAGAGCACTCATTTGATCATCAATGCAATGATCAGCTTTCTCTCAGTGTGGGCTTGTTGAAGAAAACATCTCTGGATTAGATATGACATTATTTACCTTTACACCAAGTTTATTCACGTCAGACATATTATAAGATAACACTCTATAAATTTGAAAGCTTCTTTTCTTAAGAAAACGAATACCCAATTTACTCTGATTGTGCATGTTTATGATTGTAGTATGTAACTGAGAACGAGAATTCATTCCTTTTATTATTGTTGTCTAGAATATGTTTCTGTGCTCATTTTGGCTTCTGTTTCTCTGTCTTCCCCAAGGAAACTTTTCAGCTTGATTGATTTAATGACAAATTTTTCAAGAATAGTTCAATGTTATAGGATAACAGATTGAATTACATGGTTAGTTTCCTCCATTTTGTCTGGAATTTGCATGTTTGGTTTTCTTCTTCTCTGTGTTACTTATTGGAACTGATAGAACAGGAGATATAAGACCTTCATCTTGTCTCTATTTACATTTGCTAACACTTTTGCCAGCTGTTTTTATTTTCCCTGTCATGTTCATGTATTACAGAAAATTTGTTGAATTTCTATGAACAAGTTAGATTATGAGGCTTTAAGTTGTTTAAGCAGTAGGAATCTTTCTAAAGTGCTACTCATGTTCATGCAGGGCTATGGCACCAGGTTTTCTGGATAAGGACGTGTTTGGTCTTCAAACCTTACAGCACATAATGCGAATGACTCGTACATGGGATTCAACTATGTCAATGATTCCCAAGGGTGGGGACACTATCTGGGGTGGCCTTGACTGGTCTCCAGAAGAAGGTTATGAGTGTTGCACAAAGAAGTCAAAGAATGGTAATAATGAAACAGGAGCTCCAAATGACTCAGGGAATTCGGGTAATGCAACTAAGGTTCATTATGGAAGAATAATCTCGTTCGGGAAGGATGTAATCGAGTTGCATTCATCAAAGATTGAGAGAGTTGATTTTAGGGTAATGTTCATCTTAAATCATTTATACTACAGAACTTTGAGAAAAATGAGGAGCAAATGTGATTCCCATCAGATGCAGGATGATTTATGCTACCAACATCTTTTTTCTTAAAGATCTTTCTTTTGCATTAATCTTGTTCATTGGTTGGAAATCCATTTGCAAAAGGTAAGTGTAAATCTGAAGCCTTTATGGAACCTAGTTTTCCCACACAAATGTGCCAACAGATACTAAAAGCATTTTACTGTTCTTCATTGAATTGTACATGGAATTGCTGCGCCTCATTCGTTCCAGCAGAAAAGTTTTTTTTATGATCTTTAGTTGTTCTTAATGTTAAACGGTATTGCAGATGATTTGCAGTGTTTAATTTGTCAGTTTACCTTTGTTCTCAGGGTGCTATCAAAGGAAATAATCTTGCCAATACAACTTGTACTGATGTATGGACCGAATACCATCACCTTGGAGCTGGAGATGTCAAGGCTGCTGCAGATTTTAAGGTTTATACTGCAGAATCAGTTTTAGACTTGCTTCAGTTTGTTGCCCCAAAGATGATGAATCGAGGTGGAGCTCATTTTTCATATGGGATAGCTGATGATCTGGACGATATGAAGTATGATCATTACAAATACTGGTCCAATCCTTTAGAAACAAAGTGAGGTTCCTTGCACAGCTTAATCGAGCTCTGTGTAGTAAGCTTTAGTTAGTGAAACTCAATTGAAAATTTGTTCTATCCCATCATCAACGTGTGCGCATGCTTTCGTTACTATCTGTTTCTAGGTTAAACTTTTAATTTCATATTCTGCCCTCCAGCTCTGTCGGGGATCTACATTAAACTGAAGATTAAGGGTTTGCATGACTTCATGTCTCTGCAATATCCACGAAATATACAGAGAATCATCTCGACAATTTTATCACCTACCTCATGTTATGATGCTTTTTTACAGATTGCCAAATGCCCCATCCATGGAGATCTTTTCAATGTATGGAGTTGGAATCCCTACAGAGAGGGCATATGTCTACAAGTTTAGTCCTACGGCTGATTGCTACATTCCTTTCCAAATTGATACCTCTGCTGAGGGAAATGGTGGTTCTTGTCTAAAAGGTGGAGTCTTTTCTGTTGATGGAGATGAAACAGTTCCGACCCTTAGTGCAGGTTTCATGTGTGCAAAAGGTTGGCGGGGAAAAACTCGATTCAATCCATCTGGCATCAAGACCTATATAAGAGAGTATAATCATGCTCCTCCAGCTAATCTTTTGGAGGGCAGGGGTACTCAGAGTGGTGCTCATGTTGATATCATGGGAAATTTTGCACTGATTGAAGATATTATTAGGGTAGCAGCTGGGGCCACCGGGGAAGACCTAGGAGGAGATCAAGTTCATTCCAATATTTTCCAATGGTCTGAGAGAATCAATCTGGAACTCTAGATTTAACATGGTGAGTTGTTAATCTTCTTTAATTTGCTTTTAATGTTGCTGGTTAGAGCTATGTAATCTACTGTCGTTTGAATATGGTAGAACTGGCATTACATTGGGACTTGGTTGTCTCATGATTGGTAAATGGCTTTCTAAGTGACACAAGTAATATGTATATAATTTTCTGATGAAGTTTGGTGAAAATAATGTGGTGTTGTGTCAGTTACTGTCATTGAAGAACTAAGGCTGATGAACGTTTTATACTGAGGATTTTCTTTTAATTTGTGTGAAAATGCTGAGCATGATAATGCTAACGATCTTGTGGTTAGCATGCCAATCATTTTAGAGGTGAAATGACTTGGCGGTTTCATGCGTGAGTGGCAGTTTTGGGTGAATGATAAAGAGGCATCTTCCATGTAGTAATCAATCTTGTATATTTGACCAATCCCACAATTGCCGCATCGTATAAGCTCTTTAACTCTAGAGTACATTTCGTCTTGCTTCCTAGCAGGATTCTTTTCCATCGTGAGATACTTTTGTTGGCTACTAATATCTTTAATTTCTTCTCGTCCTTGTTATTAGTAGTTAACTTCTTGTCATTTTCACAGGATTAAAACTGAGATGGGTAAATGATCAGCTCCAGGATCACATTGATTCGTCGCAACTGATGACTATGGGCATGTGGTAAAGTAATACAAGGATATATAAACAGAGGAGTTGACTTGCAGGTCCTAAGAACTGCTATGCAGGTTCATGATCTTTCTGCATGTTTGTAAAATAGCGTGATGGGGAACGGTGGGTATTCAGGCAGCCCTAACTATCTGCAAGTTGTGGTCGTCATGGGTTCTACTCATTAAAGAGTCCCAAGAAATTTTGAGCATTAATTATTAGTATCATTTTTACCTTTGTAAAAAGTTTATCTTATAGAGTTATAGTGTATGTTCTCTTCCAAAAGTTAGATAGCATTAGCCATTTTTGTAGTTCAATGGTTTTGATATGCACTTTTTTTTAAAGTCATGTTTTCGTGTTTGAGTAGGGCATTAAGCTTCCCAGAATAAACTAAAACGCAGTACAAACAAGAAAGCAGATGTAATTACATAATGTTTAGGGATATTTCGAGTTCCTGAATGTGGCAAAAGCCTCTTTTTCTTTGTTAGGTTTTCACTTTTACTGTTCGAATTTCAAAACATTGGGACGCAACTTACTAATAATATCACATTCTTCCCGTCTTTAACAGATTATTAATAGCCAAAATGCTCAAATCTTAACCCAGAAAAATCACATAACAATTGTACTAAGAAATAAAACATCGCCTTTAGATTGTAAAAAGTAAATGTATTAATAAAAAAATTTGAAGAAATTAATAAAAGTAGCCTTTTTTTTTTTTGGTTTCTTCTTTAATTATATTTCATCTCATCTCACCCTCCTAATCCTGAATTAGGAGAGGCTTTTAACAAAAAATAAAAAATAAAAATTAGGAGAGGCTCAATTAAGAACCGGACCAGGCGAAGTATTGGACCGAACTGTACTGCATTGAGCTCAACAGAGAAGAGGCCCATTTAAAATTGACGGCCCAAGAGTCAGTATCAAAAGCTTCATATTATGGTTTGCCATGTTTGTACAGAGGTTGGATTTGCGGTTATCTTTTTTTATCACTCAACAATCAACCCACTCATCTTTAAGGCTTCCGTGTACGAAGTCCAAATCCAAAGTGTTTCGCTTGTTAGTTCATCGAATTGCATTTGGAGATTGTGATTTCCGGCGATTTCTGTTACCGTCGATGCCGTTCGTCGTCTGAATCCCTTCCGTTCTGCCGCCCGCAATCTGGAACTTTCTTCCAGTCCTTGATTCCTTCCACACTCGTTCGACGTTAGTGCGATTCGTATGTCAGTTTGTGAAATTTAATCTGTTTGTCGTCTTTTTCTGCATTTATGATTCTCTTCTTTGATCAAATTGTTTGATAATGAATTCTCTGTTTCTTCATCCTTTGTTTACAAGCTTGGATTCGTTCGTTCTTGCGTTTAGTCTGATTATGTCTTGGTTTAATTCTTTTGAGCTTTAATTGTCAGCTTAAGCTTGTGAGTTTGAGCAGTCTTTTTTTTCCCTATCCTAAGATTTACCTTATTGAAATGCTGGGCGACATTGTTTGGGAAAATCAGAATTTAGATGATGGTTATATGCCGAGCTGGCACTTCTTTAGGAAAAATCCTTTGATGTTCCTCCCGTTCTGGATTATGTTTTCATCCCTTCAGAGTTCTCATTCTTGAATCTTTCATCTTATAGGAGAGTTTATGCATTAATTGCTGATGTCAATTTACAGCACTCCTTAGATTTTTCCTAGTGCACATTTTTGATATCAAATTCTCAGGCGATTGAAACTTATGAAAGTTGTTTTGTTTGTTTGAGTGTGTTAAATGATTATATTTTCTTATTCCAAGCAACAACTCTTTGCAGGACTGCAATGGGTTTGTCTAAAACAGAGGTGAACTTGAGAAGATTACTTGCAGCTGCGCCACAACAACAAAACCAAACAAAGCTTCTACATGTATGTCTGCGCACCTTTTAAATGCAAAATTGACCGTTTCCCTTGGTATTTTCTGTATAGGTATTCGTGTAAGGAATGAGTTTGCTTGTACCAATTAAACTCTTGTGTTGTCTTTCTATGAATGCATGTCACAAAGATTTGTATTTTTCAAAATTGGAGATTGGTTGGTTACAAGATTTGTTGTGTTTTTTTTTTTCTTCAAAATGAAATAAAATTGTACATCCTATTTTTACCTTAATTAAAAGTTCATGTTGCTGTTTGGTTTTTCAGTATGTTTCCACTTTACGAGAACAACTGGAACAATTAGCTGAAGAGAAAACAAGTGAAGGGTTACCAAGGTCGGTACGCCATTTTGTTTTCACTCTTTTGTGTGTTTTCTTCGCTTGCAAAATTCGCGGGTTTCTGAAAGGCAAAAAGAGACATTCAAGATGTACATTTTTGCAGTGTCTCTTGTCTGTGCACTCACTTTGAAAGTATATTGTAATGCAGAGGCAATCTGTTATTTTGATATTTGGTGTTGTTTCCCCTTTCTTGAACAGGGTCTCAAAAGCTCTTCTGAATGAGTACTCAGGCAAAATTGAAGCCATTGCAGCCAGATTAGCTGTCTGCGAGGTGGAGGTGAGCTTATTTTTCGACCAAGCATTTCCTTTTTCTTTTTTTGACTACTGTTCTTTTAATGTTGTTATCTGCTGTGAATCCTTTTTTCTTGAATAACCTTCGCTTTTTGGCACTTGTCTGAGCATTATTCTGAGAAAGACTAAATGCTGGAGTTATGGGATGTCAACGGTATTCTTTATTGAAAATGAGTAAATTAATTTTAAAAAGTAGTTGAATCTTTACAATTCAGCCTTTTTCATTCACTTAGATCACTGTTTGCAGCTAGATTGTGTAACTTTTTTTCCTTTGGAAAATCTAGTTCAGTGAGGAAATATCTCAGGAGCATTCTAGTCCAAAATCTGGGAATGAGTCTCCTTCAAAAGCAGGGGATATTGTTCAAGGTCATGAAGGTTTGAGGAGAAGATTGGTGTAAGTGCTGATTACTTCTATGGCAGCAAACATAAACCTTTTTTTTTTTTTTTTTCCAATTTGCGACTAACTATAGATATTTCAGACCGCCATCAATTTCCGAGGATGTATCCCGTGATATCACAGAAGCTGATCAAGCATCACCAGTCAAATTGGATGCTGCTGCACAGATGCACATCCAAAAGCACAGGTATCTTTTCACGAAAAATCGTTTATTTGGTGTTTTTTCCAGAATGAGCTGTATAGACTAGTTGTCATTACCAACTTGTTAAAGAACATACATTTGGAGCTAAATTGTGTAGTTATTACATTATGATAGTTTATTTGCATCTCTCCTTATGCTCTAGGTGCTATGAAATCATTCCTGCAAACAATATCAGTTGCTTATTATGGTTCTGAATATGAGATTTTGTATAACCATGTTTTGGGCCTTCCTTTGAATTGTAATTTTCTTTGTGATGTTCATTGATGCAAATATCTGCACAAAAATTTTCTACCTGTGCTAAGAGAAACAACATAAAATAACATCTAATTTTGTTACAAAATTCTTAAAATGAGCTACATGTTTAACTATCAAATACATAGCTTAACCTTTTTGGTTAGAACTTTGTGGCCATGGAAGGTAACCTATGTAGTTATCGGAATGGAACCATACAGATTGATTGAAACAGCACTATGAGCAATCTTGTGTTGGGTTACAATCTGAAAGACGGTAGATTATGCAGTAAAAAGGTTCAGTTGTATGGTAAGAGACATGGCAGCATTGAAACCAGAGAAAATCCATACTAGTTTAGGTCTGTATCATTAGGACAAATCTCTTATCAAACAAGATAGGCTAATGATAAGCTGGCGATAATTTAGAATTTTTGCATGTAAATGTCTTCTCCACTAGCTGAATACCGATCAACTCTAGTATTACTTATGAGAAATTATTTTATCATTTTCAATTCTGAAATAGTGTAGAAAGGAAAGGTGTGGAAAGTAGGATTTGTAAGGGGTTAACAGGAAGGCTGGCAACAATCAGTGTCTTGTCTTTTCCTTCTTTTTTGCCTCTCCTCCAACTCACTTGTGCAAATCGTCATAACATTATGTCCTTTGCAGGAAGCTGCAAGAAGACCTGACTGATGAGATGGTTGATTTAGCACGGCAACTAAAAGAAAGAAGTATCTTGATGAATCAATCTGTCAAAAACACCGAGAAAGTAAGTTTTTGTGGTTTTGTTAGTTTAAACATCTGCATTTCTGTCTTTTCTTGTGAGGGGGATTCAAATTTTTGTAATTTGTTATTTCTTTCGTCTTTGGTTCTTTTTCACCCAGATTAAGTTTTGCTGTTTGTTTATTTGTTCAATGGATGGCCTGGCTACATTGCAATTTTCATGTTATAGGTGTACAGGATTTTACAGTTTCTGTGGCACAAACGTGCATTAAAAACTGGTACTTGGTCATGGTTTTTTATCCTTAAATTATGCTACAGTGAAAAGTAGCTGACATTTATTCTAGCTTAGTTCTCAAGATGGGGAGACATAAGTTCTTTGGATTCAGAGGCCCTTTTGAGGGTTAAAATCATTGAATATGCCTTACCTTTCTCCCAAGAAACGTATCCCTGGCCTTGTTTGCAGCCAAATGAGTTCTCTTTTCAATCTGCACAATTGACTCTACAATGTTGAAGACAAAGGTTGATTGTCCAGCAGTGGAACATTTCCCAAGTCAGAATGATGTTCATGTGTTTCCCAATATTGAAGAGACTTGTTTGTGTTGGTGGGTAATGGAGTAGCTATTTATTGAATGAAACTTTTGTCTTTTATTAAGAGGACAATTTCTGCTTCTTCTGATAGTTATCTGTTACTGTGTGTTTTGTGGTTACTGGTTTTAAGAATCTGGAACTAATGATGCTTCATTAGCGATCGACGATACATATGAGGCCTCGGACTTTCTGTCTTTAATTTGTATTATGGTAAATTTTTTGGAAAAATTTCACCATCAAAATTTGAGTTATGAACCCCCAAATTCATATTGTATCTATTCTAGTCGTCGTGAAGCTGCCAATTTGAGAATCAATCTTTGTGCTTTACCGAAGTTGTCGGGTAATATCGTTTTGACTTTGTGGTTGTGTTGAGCTCGTTCGCGACCTTAATGATAAGGCTAGAATTGACCTCATTCTTTATGAATTGTTCCAAATTTTAAAGACTCATTTAGATCACCTATAATCTGAGTGGAATAACTCCATTTTCCTCATATGCTGCTCTTTTCTAGTAAAATTTTATCTGATGAGCTTTGTTTCTCTTCCTTTGAGGTTTTGGCCTGCTTTTTCTGTCGATGTTTGAGCTGATCTATGACTGATCTGCTTGCATATCCTTTGAGTACAGCTACTGGATTCAACAGAGAAAGCAGTAGAGCACAGTTTGGCCAGCACTGAACGCGCCAATACTCGAGCTGTGGATATATATTCCAAGAGTTCCAAGACTTCATGCTTAACGTGGCTTTTGATGTTTGCAATGACTTTCATCTTCCTCATGGTAATACTGCTTATCCGTGTTACTTAGTCCAGGAGTTTAACTAGCTAGGGTCATGAATTCGATTGCCCCTTTCAGAATGTAAGTTTTTTTTTTTTTTTTTTTTCCGGATATCATGCAGCTGATATGTTTATATGATCTTGTACGGAAACAATGTCTCGGAAATTGTTATGTAAAAATCTATGGACACAACCTGGAAGCAGATGTATTTTTTATGGTTTTTTTTTTGGCGACTCTAGTAGGGCTTGCCAGCTCTTTTCCGAAAAGGACCAAACTGATACCCCTTTGATCCAACAAAATGCAACCCACATCTGCTCCATAATTGTGACTTTTGTTTTTGCGAAAAAAAAAAAAAAAAAAAAAACAGGCTCAGATTCTTGGACAGTTAGTAGATCTCAACAAGAATCTTTATGCCAGGACAAGAAAGATTCTGGTGGCGCAGAATGTTGTAGTTTCATATACGTTCATTCTCAAATTTATTGTCCCATTTATCATACTAATAAATAAAATTTTTATACTTTGGATATAACATGTTAGAAAAATAGGTGATACACGATCTCTGATATATGGTTAAACATAGATCAGCCCTTAGAATATGTTTATCTTTCTCGGAAAAATTATACTTTAACTCTTAATAATGGAAAATCATTGGAGTTTGGTTGCTAAACAAAACCTCCCAAAGAACCAACCAAAATGTCCCCAGATTCCCGCCTTTCTAAAATAAATTCCACTAATACCAGTCTGTAAATCTGTACCAAAAACCGGAGGTCAAGCCCAGCCAAGATTCCGTTTTGTCCCCGTCTGCCTGCCGTTTATATTATTATTCACGGAGCAGCCGGTGACGGCATACTTCCAACTTGTCTTCTGGCCTTTCACTTTCTTTCTTCATTTTTTATAATCTTCGTTAAGGAAGCAATCAAGATGTCAATTTGGGGATAATGAAAGTTCAATTAAATTAAGACCAATAATTTTTATTTAAAATTTTTTACGAGGCCGGTAGAATACGTATGCTTTACAAGGTATCATCAAAAAGTAATGGTCAGTATTTATCTTTATTTATTAAACAATTAGTGACTTAAATTGTCATCATAGCAGTTGGAGATGAAAATTTTCTTCCTAGAACCCTTGGACGTTATTATGAATCATTTTTATCAATCAGCATCTATTTGAAGTTTTTGACATTGTTAATTAATTTCTTGGTTCAAGTCCTACTGTGAATGAGAAGTTGATTAAATTTTATTTAACTGCTAATATATAATTGACCAATTCATAACTTCCAAAACCAGAAATGGTTTTGAAAAAAAAAAAAAAAAAAACCTATGGGTAACACTTCAACACTGAAAGAGATTGTTTCCGAAATTCATATTAAATCTCAGACGTGCAAAATATAAATTCTGTGAACAATCTCGTTGAATGGAAGTCTAAGAAATATTGGGGTTTTCAAGAAAATTCAAGCCTTCAACTTGCACGTCAATGGAGTTAGGGAAATGGGTGAACTCATGTTTGGATGATGTTTTGTTTTAGTTTTTCATTCGGATTTGGAGGGAAATTTAAAATGTAGTTTAGTGACAATTTTTGAAAAGTATTATATTATAGTGACCATTTTTTGAAAGTGGGATAGTATAGTGATCAGACTTAAAACTTTACAATAGTTTAGTGACCACCTCTACTAAAATTTACAATAGTTTAATAACCAAACTTAAAACTTTAAAATAGTTTAGTGGCCATCGGTACTAAACTTTACAATAATTTAAAAGGTTAATTAAACATGGGATTATCATTACTGAATTGAGGTTATCTCATAACTTGAGAAAGTTTAATCCTTGTCTTTAATTTTTTAAGAAATGCAGTAATGGTAGGAATCGGAATCAAATAACCATTACTCCCTCCATTTTAAAATGTAAGTCTTTTTAGAATTTGCAGGTAAACTAAAGAGACAATTATCAAAAAATTAATTTATATGTTAAATATCTGTTTTACCGGCCCCTCATTAAATACATTGGAATAATAAACAAAACTAAAATGAAAATTAGCATCATTTATTAAGAGTAACGTTGAAAAAATAGTCATTAATTTACCTAAAATTTGTGAAACGACTTATATTTTAAAAAATCTCTCTGAACCTAAAAGGCTAAAACAACCTACAAATTGAAATGGAGTACCTCCATTCCCATTACGGTCAAAAGAACACAGCCTATATGCTAATGAGTAAATAACACATCGTTATACTTAATAAAAATTTTCTGATTTTTTTGTTTTATACAAAAAAAAAAAAAAAAGCTTTGCTTGTAACTATACGTGCACCACAGTTTCTTATGCCCAACTATGCTTTGCTTGTAACACTAATCGGGAGGCTAAAATGAAAAATCCTTACGTGACCTTGTGAGATGGCTTTGGCTTGTTTGGGCAACATTTTGGTTTTATTTTTGTTTTAGTTTTTTTTTTTAGTTTTGAGATGTGATTTAAAATATGTTTTGAGATAAAATTTTAAAAATTATTTGGTTAATATTTTAAATAAAATAATAATATTTTTAAAAAACCATCGGACCACCTTCACCATCGGCGCTGTTGCCGGACCGCCCACCGCTGTCGTCGAACCGCCACCGGACCCCCTACCGCCATCTCAAGTCGTCACCGACCGGCGACCGGCCAGCCAGATTCCAGCAAAATTCTGGTGGTTGGTCGGTCGTCGGCCGGCGGTGGCCCGGCGGAGGTGGTCAGGTGGTTGTGGACGAATATTCTGTAAAAATAATTTTTGGAATATTTTTTAAAAGGTAAATTAAAAAATTGTTTAGATACTATCGGAATTTGTGGTTGATAAGTGTTTTAAGAGGTAAAATGTGGTAAAAATGCAAAAAGTGACTTGTCCAAATGACCTTTGTTTTCTTTTTTTTTTTCTTTTTCAAATGAAATTCATGAATAGAATCACAAATTTATTGTCAACGCTTAATGAACTACTAGTTTAAATGGTATTCAATACCAAAGAGTGATCTTGCATTAAAATAAACCAATTAGCGTAACAATATGAAGTGTCATGTGCTGTATTTTAATGATCATTGATCACATCATCAAACTGAAAATACCTTGTACATTTTGCAGATTCACTTTCCTTTATTATTATTTATCGTTCTGACTTCTAAATGTTTTCTTAACAATGATGCTCCAATCTTATTATTTTTGTAGTAAGTTTGATTCATCAAGAAATTTAATGTTATACTATCTCAGTCCCAAAAAAATAGTCCACATTGAATTTTCAAATTTATACTAAAAATAGTACAAAACTTAAAACTAAATGTGGACTATTTTTGTGGGACGGAGGAAGTAGTACCTAACAACCGCTTCCATTAATTAAACGTAGTGGTTGCTATATATTTACGTATGTACCTATGTTTAGGACTAAACAAGAATTAGAATTCTAACAAACCTGTATTTAATATGAAATCAGAAAAATTAGAAATGAACAGTTGAAAAGGGGCAACATTTGTAAGTATGGAGAATTTGAATCGGAGATTTGTAAATCAATCGCCAATGGCTGTGGCAAATTTTAGAAACACTTTTTTTAAAAAAAAAATATATAAAAACACTCATCCCTTTCATCAAATTTCCAACCTTAATGTTACCAAAGAAATAAAAAAATCCAACCTTAAAATGAGGTAAATGAAACTAGTATTTTATTTCCAAATTAAACAAAACTTACACCATATAAGGACAAGGGAAAATCCAAACTTCACATTCATATAGGACAAGAAATAGATGGGAAAGGAGAAAAAACAAAGAAGAGTCATGACTGGATCAGATTAAAATAGCGTCATTCTCACGACTAGCACGTGCACATCACGAGGTGAAAACTGGCACCCGAACCATGTCATTCAATGATGTGGCGGCGCGTGACCAATAAACACCATATGCAATGAAGGCGTTCCGTGCCAACCGTCTTACAACACCACCAAAATAAAAGGCTATTTATTTACAAGGCCTAAAATACATCTAGACCCTTGTTAAATTGATCAAATGTAATATATCCCTCTTCATTTTGAAAAATTGACACACAGTTCCAATTATTCAATGGTATGTAGTTTATGAATGCTGAGTAGTAGCTCTTTCATAGCGATAAATCACATTCATCTTTTATCTTTTAACACAAAAGAAGCTTTGAAACTTTTGTTGTGTTTGGGCACTCACGAAATGTTTTGGCACGAATCAGTATTTGTTTGGTTGTGATAACAAAATTAATTTTTTTAGTAATTTTATTAACTCATGACATAGCAACACTATGGTATAATAAGATATTATTATAGATTAACATTTCAAGTAAAATTTTTTTAATTTAATCTGCAACCAGATCAAATTATCTGATGATGAATTGTTACAAATTTGATAAGAAAAGATTTTGAGCTTGCTAGTCAAGTTTCAGTTTAAAAAGTGCATTGTGACCATTATTTTTGTTCGGTAGAGTATACATTAACGATTTAAATCTGAGATTGTCTCAATGCTTCTTAAACGTATTTAGTTTAGGTGGTTAATGTATTGATAACAGTATTCCCAATAATACTTTGATGAAAGAATAACATGAGTGTATTCAAAGAATGTAATGTACTTGGGATAACAAATTTTTCTAAGGGACCTTACACTAGTTTATAGAAACTTGGAGACGGTTTTTAAAGTTTTTTCTAAAAGGAAGGAAGAGTATAACTATAAACTACATGCGCGAGTTGTAGCCTACTACCACTAATATAATATTTACAACTTTTCTTCATCATAATACAGAGAGAGAAGAAGAAGAAAACGCAGTTCTCAAGAGGAGAGTAAAAAAATAACACAGGTGGGGACAATTTTCATTAGGGTCCACCCTGAGATTGAAGAAAAAGCATTAAGTACAAGAATCCAAAAAAAAAAAAAAAAACTCTACAAATAAAAAAATACACATTAGAGTACTACAAGAAAAAAGAAAAAAGACTTTGTGAGTTTTTTTGGATGGATATATATCGCCTGTAAATGCTATTGCTATCAATATCATCATCAATGGAGGTGGTGGCTGTTGTATGTGTCTTTATTACTTGGTTTGCAGTAACTTTTTGCTTTGATTCTTGTAAGGAATTATTATGTACAGTTGTAGTTCAATTCTACTACTACTTCAGTATATATATATATCTTCAAAGTTACTGTTTTCTGAGGGAAATTTTAAAATAATATAATAATCAATTCTGACTATTTTTGTTGCTTCATTAGGCCAAGTCAAGGAGTTGGAATATGCACCAAGATTCTGAAGGGGAGAGAGAGATAAATAAAAAGGAGAAGTTTTTTTTGAAGTGAGAAGAGGAAACATGTCCAATTTGATCCCAACAGTTGTGTTCCTTGCTTCTTCTAGTAATATCAGCAGATCCCAATAGGTATCTCTCTTATCTATCTTTCTTCCTCTGTCAAATCCTCCCAACTTTCCTTTTCCTTCTTTGTTCCTGGGTGTGTCTGTGCATGTATTTTATTGTGCCCGGATGAATATTTTTCCGTTTTCGGCATAAATTGTTTACCGTTTTCTGATTTCGAGTCCTGGGTTCTCTGTTTCTTCTTGTGTTATTGGGGATTGCTTGTTGGATGTTCTTTGCTGCTTCTTGTTGCTTGCATGCTTGTGGTTTGATTAGAGGGATTCTTATGGTTGTGGGTTCTTTTGTTTTTGTTTTTTTTAAACAAACTTTATTGATTGCATGAAGTTTGAACGGCGGAGTACCATTGATTATGGTGCAGGAGTTTGGTACAGTTATTTGATTCCTGGAATTCTGTCTTTCTTCTTCTTCTTCTTCTTCTTCTTCTTCATTGGGGCTCGCCGGAATTCTTTTAGTTGGACTGTGGATTTAGTAAAGCTGAATTCGCGTTGACCATATGGACTATATTCAGCGTTTCTCTTTGGTATTTCATGATTTCAGTTTCACTTAGCTAATGATTCTGTATTGCATGTTGGGTTGTTTTGATGATTGTTTAGGGGTGGCTGTGCTGTTTTGACCGATTAGCCGTTATTGCGTGTTCATATTGCATTCCTTTTTTTCTTTTTTTTTTCAGTTTTTCCGTGTCCTTTCTTTTTCTTTCTGAGCTTGTGGTTCTTTTGCCATTTTCTTAGATATCATGGAAATTTCTTTCTTGCAAATTAAGGAGGGTTTGGTCTCTTACTTAACCACTGGATCTCCTTACTTGACAATTTTGATCGCTTTCAGCTGATGAATATACTACTTTTTTGGTTGATTAAAAATTCCATTTCCATAAACATAAATAGACTTCAATTTTGATTAGTTGAAGGTTAAATTCAGCCATCTCCTCTGTTCAATACTTAAGTGAATCCAAATGTTTCCAAATAGGAATTCCAGAAATTTCTCAGTTATGAATGATTGGAATTTGATGGGAAATCCAGAAGTTAGGAAATTACATTTTTATTGTTTGTTGGAATATCTATGGCTGGAAACTCAACCTTCCCTTCTCCTGGTAAATTAGGCATTCCAAAGTTAAACCGTACATGTGTGGTGTGTGAGAGAGAGTTATAGAGAGGTGGACAATGATGATTAGGAATTTAGGTGACCAGTTCTTATTAGATCTATCAGTTGAATAATTGTTTGCTGACCTTGAGTTGGAAAGCTCACCAACTATTAATGTTGTCAATTAAAAAATTGATTAACACAGTATCATGTATCATTGATGCCATATTTCAGAATAGAATAAAGAAAAGTATTCTTATTCTTCTTATGAAGCACAATTGTGACTTTGATTTGGTGCTTAAGGCATGAAACTGTGATCTATTGCTCCTGAATGGTGAAACTTAGTCGCTTTGAATACTGCTTGAATTGTGTTTATCCTCTAGGGGCCTGTATATGTATGCACCGACACATCCCCAAAACTTGACGAAGATTGTCCTCTCAACAAGCAGCTGTGATAAATTATTGTTATTCTCGGCACTAATGATCATGTTAATGCTTGGTATATGATTGCTTTCATTCTTGTGCTGTTGTTTGGGTGATTACTTTTTGTTCTTGTTTATTTATTTATTTTTCCCTTGATTTGAAGGTCGTGAATGAATTTGATCCCAGTCTTTCGTATAAACTTTATATCATTTTTCAGTTGGCTATGTCATGCGTGCATATGTTTTACACTGTACCTTATTATATAACAACTTGTCTTGCTGTTAAAGTCAATGATGGTCTTTTGCTAAGCCAAGTGTCCGTATCATATGCTTTAGTGGTATAGAAATATATTCAACTGATCATAGTACAGTGCTTTTTCAGTTTATCTAACTTATGCCCAAATTGTCATCATATGCTCATTCTTTGCTATAATTGACGCAGATAGCAGCACACTTTTCCTGAAATTTTTGAAAAGCTATTTCCTGAGGTTCTGTGCTTCCGTGGGAAGCTAAAATCACGTAGGAATTAAGGATCTCGATTGCAATACTCCGTTCAGATCATTGCGCCAGATAATTGAATGCTTCAATGAGTAAATGGCTATTCGAGTTCAGAACATGCCCATGAAGAGTTTAGGACAAGATTCAATTTATTCAACTCCCCATCTCACTACATTTTGGAATCCGCATGGTCAGCAGTTGTCTGAGGCATTACCTAAAAATTCAAGCTTGAGAGGGGGGTCTCCATCTCAATGTGGTCAAGAGGCAAAGCGCCTAGATTTTATTCTAGAAGACCAAAGCTCTCCCTCAACTCAGTCAAGTAGTCAGTCTCAACGAGGAGTGACTGCTTTTGGAAGGACAAATTCTCAGGATCAATGTGTATCATCAGAATCCGGTGAGACTTCTAAGAAAATTGGTTCTGTTAGTTAATTTTGTCAGGGTTTCCATATTTTTCCTCTTATCTCCATACCAAGTAGAAAGTTCAGTCATTTTAGAACTCAACCAAAAAATATAATCAAAATAAAGGTTTAGTTATTCCTTACAGGTTTTGCCACCTATTTCAAGTGCTTCCACTTTTGTTGCTGTTTTCTGTAAATTTGAGTTATGGGATGGTTGTATTCTTGAACCTACTCCAATTTTAATTAGTCACTATTGCTAATAACACTTATGGCTGCCTCATTTGTGTTAGAATTATATTTTAGCAAAATAGCAAAGAACTGTATTGCTTACGTGCAGAATTTGATTTTGTTCTTTGTTACTTGTCGGGTTCTTAGACATAAGATTTGTAAGAATAAAAAAAATGTGTTACTGTCATGTTCAATGCTACGAGTTCCTTTGCTAAAAAGAAATTCTCATTTGCAAATTAAGGAGAAAACTCTTTCTCATGTAATCAATTTGTTGCATATGATCCAGTTCAAATTGAAAGCTACGGGAAACATGTAGATGAACAGGTGAAATCTTCTTATCTTATGAGTAACCTAGAACTTTCAGTGCACTCACACCCGCAGCTTCACACGCTCCCTTCACAAGCTGAAGTTATTCAATCCTCGGTAAGCGCTGTTACTTCATTTCCTTTTTAGTTTTATAAATTATTTGCTCGTATTATTGATCTTGAACTGCACTTCTCAGGGTCACGTTCCTTATGGTTACTCTGATCCCTACTTCAGTTTGTATTCAGCTTATGGGCCTCAAGCTATCGTAAGTGTACTTTTCACTTTTTTCCTAGCTTACAGAAATGCTGGTTAGACTGCAAAGTGAAAGAAAATTAGATCTGTGCGCCTCAGTTTTGGTTGTTCAACTAGCACTTAGATATCCCACTCTCAAATAGCTTCTGTGTGAAACTCTATTGTGAGTAATTTGTCTGGAGGCCTTCAGGAACATGCTAGTTATGATTTTGGTTTCCTTCATGTTTTGTCTCAAATGACACCATCCTTTGTTAACCGGATAGATTCAGCCACAAATGATGGGTCTGGCACCTGGCCGGGTATTGCTTCCTACTGATCTTGCACAAGAAGGTCCAATATACGTGAATGCAAAACAGTATAACGGAATCATGCGACGGAGACAGAAACGTGCAAAGCTTGAGGCTCAGAACAAGCTTGTCAAAGCTAGAAAAGTAAGTATATGCTTCTCTTCTATTCCAATAATGAAATAGCGTATTTACAAATTTCCACTTCATGTATTATTTCAAAAGCACAATTCTCCCTCCACAGACAACTTACTTTTAAATGGTCATAATGTGAGTTCAGTTCAATTTTCTTAAGGTAGGAAACATAGACACCCTGAATGATATTGTTCACATAAAAAACCGCATTAAATAAGTAGTTTGCTTTTTTGCGGCAGGATCATTGGGAAAATTCCAACTGCTGCTATAGAATCATCTATAAACAAACTGTGTTTCAAACCCTACTTGAGTCTTAATTCTACATTTTGACGAAACAAACATAGTGCTGATTCACCTTGTTGGAATGCAGCCATATCTTCACGAGTCCCGACATCAACATGCACTGAATCGGGTTAGAGGTTCTGGTGGAAGGTTCCTCAGCACAAAGAAGAACCAATCTGAACCAACTCCCTCGACTGTGCCGGATTCTGCTTCTGTCCATTCTTATAGAAAGCACAATCGCATGCAGGAGACAGGAACAGAAAGGTCAAATGCTAATAGGCAAGATACTTCAACTGCTTCGAGCTTGGCTGCCACTGGATACATGCATGGTGAAATCATCTTCCAGCAGCAACAAAGTAGCAGGACTCCGAATGTCCCTCCTCAAATGGTGGTTTCCGTGCCAGGTGGGGGAGATTTTATGCGTAACGGAATGCCTCACGGTGCTCCGGCTTCTCGGTGAAATGTTTCACCGACTTGGCAATTCATCCTTGGCTTTGTTACTTTTTAAAGTGTTCTTTTAGGTCAGTTTTTATAACAGATCATAGACATAGGGTTCGGTGTAACTGGAAGTTATTTAAAAACCATCAAATAACCCATTCTGCACAAAGGCGGAGGAGAGATTCCCCTTTTTCTGTTTATTTTAACCATGGTTTTTGTCCTTTTTCTAAATGCATGCATATTCTCTAATGACTCCATTTTCTCGATAATGTCGCGCTCTCAAGGACCAAAGTGCATCCATCCATTAGTATTGAAATAATGCCAAAAAAAATTTCCTATTCCTTTTGGGGTCTGGAATGCGGAATCCACCAAAAGTCGATACAATTTCCGACAGAAAAAAAAGGCAAAGATAGTCTCTACAATGGATCCCGGAAGCAGTCGACCCGATCGAATCCCCAGTGAGGACGGCTCATGCAGAGATTGTATTATTGATGTTTTTGGTCCTTCGGGGTGTGATTGGTGTGATTTCCTATATGAAAACTGTCCACAATCGGATCCAAGCCCCGTCGGCGGCGTGATTTCATGCCCGAGTCGGGATTATTTTCCCCACCTTGTTAACGGCGCTACGGTCTCCAAAGAACCCCTCCCTGGAACCCCATTGAGATTAACCCCGATATTAGCTATCCGGAAGACAATGGACAGACAGCTGTAGCTATTGTCCTTGCAGAAGGTGTTATTGGTAGCTGTTAATCATCATCATCCTGATCCAGCTTTTCCCAAGCATGTTATTTCTCTTGGTCCTCGCCTGATTGCTACTATTTCTGGGAGGAGAAGTCGGAGAATGCACAAAGTTACTTCAAGATTTATGTTCCAGGTCCAATGACCGTAAGGGAGAAGAAATTTCAGTGAAAGAGGCACTAGAATTGATGACCCAAACACTGGATTCTCGACTTGAAGTGGGATTGATCGCGGGGTGGGACAACAAAACAGAGCACCCTGTTTTGTGTCGGGTGGATAATATGGGAGGACTGGCTACAGGGGAAATACTGGCCACCGGATCTCGATTGCAACTATTGTATGATTTTCTGGACTTGAATTGTCCGAATAACGTTATCAAGTTTGGGATGGACGATGAGTCTCAGATGGAAAAGTATACGGAATGGTGTCGTTGGTCTGTTAATGAAGCCGCTAAGATGGCCCTGAAAGGGATATGTTATGTGGCCAGTTTTGTTGTATTAGTTTACTGATTTACCCCTGAGCTTTGTATAGGTAGTAATTTAAGTAGAGGGCTGATTGGTCTTTGTACATATGTCGGTTAGTTTAGACATATTAAATAGGCTGATGATTGGTTAGCTGTATAGTTAGTATTGTTATCAGTGTATATATACAGTTTGCTGTACAAAGTTGATATATGATATACAGAACTAAAAATTCCCAAATCTATTTTCTAGAATTCTCTCCGATGAACCCTAACTTCTAATTTGAGATAGTATCAGAGCAGGTCTGATCCTGTTCTGGTAACCATAAATCTTGCACGGTTCACGAATCTTGAAGAAATCGAAGGCTTCTGACCGGAAAGAATGGCGGCGGAAGAACCAAATCGATCCAGCGATTCTCACTGACGTCATGGGGGTGATTTGCAAACATATGGAGGTTATATTCACCCACTTATCTTGCTTCCATCTGATAATTCAGTTCTTGCTCTTGTTAATTTTCAATTGGACAGTTTGAATTATGTTTCTTGGTGTCGAGCTGTGAGAAGAGCTCTTGCTACAAAGAATAAACTAGGTTTTATTACCGGATCATATACGAAGCCAGCAACACCCGGTTTTGAGCAAGAACAATGGTTGCGAGTAGATGAAACTGTGATTTCCTGGATATTGAATGCTATTTCTCCAAGTATTGTTTAGAATTTTTCTCTAGCTGAAACTGCACAAGAACTTTGGGAGGAATTGAAGGAGAGGCATGGAACTCGGAATGGTCCTCAGGTCTATCGATTGAGAAGAGAAATCTGCACGATCTCTCAAGGAAATCAGAATGTAGCAAGCTATTACTCCAAACTTAAGCGACTGTGGGATGAGTTGCAGGTTCTTGATCTAGCAGAAGAATGTACATGTGGAGGTTGTACTTGTGGTGGATGCAAATGTGATTTCAGGAAGACAACTATCAAAGATGGAAAGAACAGACTATATCAATTTTTAACAGGCCTGAGTGACTCATATAATGATGTCAGGAATCATGTACTGATGATGGAACCTCTACCTGATGTGAAGAAAGCCTATAGCATGGTTCTGACAGTTGAAGAACAGAATGGAGTCAACATTCAGTACAGCAATTCAGGAAATTATGATCAGAGTGCTATGTATTCGTCACAGATTAAGAATCAAGATCCGAACATACAATCAGGAGGTGAACAAGTTGCAATATTCTCACACAAAGGAAGGTTCAACAACAACAAAGCAGCAAAAGAGAATGACTGGAGAAAGGAGAAGGCTACGAAGAAATTTTTAAAGTGTGATCACTGTAAGATGACAGGACATATCAAGGATTCATGCTTCAAGATAATTGGTTATCCAGAATGGTGGAATGATAATCACAAAGAAGGGAAGCAGTTTCAACCAACTCAGAAGATTATAGGAGGTCATTCTGCTTATATGGTTGAAGTCATTCCTGAAGCTAAGACTGACAGGCATCAATACAGGGAATTCAGATATCCAAACCATGATGAACAGCTTGAATTTGTTTCAGCAGGAGATGGCAAAGTTGATCAGAGGAAAGTAGACAACTGGTGATTTTGAACATGTCAATTTTGCTCATTACCATGACTTTGCAGGTATGAGCACTTTTGATACTATGAACAAGATGACAGATAATGATTTGATGATGTTAGCTGTATGCTTCATAGATACTGGTGCTACTGGACGTATGAGTGCATTGCTGAAACTATTTTTTAAGTATAAACCTATTGACCAATACACACCTGTTTGTTTGCCTGATGGAACCATCAAAACAGTTGATCATATAGGCAGCATAAAATTGTCAGACAACCTTATAGTTTCAGATTGCTTGCATATATCCTCTTTCAAATATAACCTATTGTCAGTTAGCAAATTAGTTTCTTTATCCAAAATAGATTACTTGTAACTTTTGTTTGTTGCAGGACCAAATGACTAGAACCATTGTGACAGTTGGAAGACTAATGAACAAGCTTTATGTTTTGGATCAAAAATCATTTGCTAAGGAAACCATTTTGCAGTTCATAGATACTCATGTGAATCATCCATTTGTGATGTATGCTAGTTCTAAGAAATTTCATTTTTCTCATTTAGCCAGTGATGCAAATTGCAGGACCTGGCATCATAGATTAGGCATATTCCAGATAGTATATTGCATCATCTAGGCATTTGTAATAAAGATGATATAAACAGTTCCAGTGCTTGTGAAATTTGTCCAATGTCTAAACAACAAAGATTAAAGTTTCCAGTTAGTAATACACAGTCTAACTCAATTTTTGAATTGATTCATGTGGACATTTGGGGACCACATTCTCAGAAATCCTTATCTGGTGCACAATATTTCTTAACTGTTGTAGATGACTATAGCAGGTCTACTTGGACATTTCTCATGCATCATAAGTCTCAAAGTGTAGCCATACTCAGTAACTTTCTGAAAATGGTTAATACTCAGTTTGATACTAAAGTAAAGATAGTCAGGAGTGACAATGGGTCAGAATTCTTAAGTCATCAATGTCAAGGTCTCTTTACAGATTTTGGCATCTTACACCAAAAATCCTGTCCTTATATACCTCAACAGAATGGGGTAGTAGAAAGAAAGCACCAACATTTAGTTCAAATAGCCAGGTCATTACTATTTCAATCTGGATTACCTAGAATATTTTGGGGAGATGCAGTTTTAACATCCACTTATCTGATAAACAGACTTCCTTCATTAGTACTTGACTTCAAATCTCCTTATGAGATCCTTTTTTCCAGACCACCATATATTTCTCACCTTAGAGTGTTTGGTAGTTTGTGTTATGCTACAAACGCTCTTCCACATAAAGAAACGATTCTAGAGCTATAAGGTCAGTGTTTATAGGTTATCTACCTGGTCAGAAAGCCTATAAACTTTTTGATCTTACAAATCAGAAAGTGTTCATTTCCAGAGATGTAGTCTTTCATGAGACTATATTTCCTTATCTTAAACCATAGATTCCAACCAATCCCTTACCATCCAATTCTCAGCATTTTCCAGATTATCCAGATCAATGGGATGTAACTGCTGCACCCATTCCAGCTTTTTTTCCTTCTGACAATCATCATCCTCCTCATGATGATCACCACAATTATCAATCTTCTTCACATAATGATGATCCAGAAATTAATCCATCACACTTCCCCACTCTGATACAGTCTAATCCGAGTCCAACTTTTTTTTTTCTTCTCCTTCACCAATTAATAATACTTCTATTCCTCCATCTTCAGTATTAAGAAAGAGTAATAGAACTAGACATAAACCAATGTGGATGAATGATTATGTGACTGAAAATGCATGGCTTATTCATAAAAATAGTTTAGAACTGCCTCATCCCAGTTCTTCACCTCACACACCATATACTTTTCCATACTACGATACACCTCATTTTACCAGCACTCATTTGTCCTTTATGGCAGCACTAGATACTGTCCAGGAACCTAGTTCATATTTATAGGCCATCAAAGATGTGACATGGGTGACAGCCATGCAATTGGAAATTCAAGCTTTGGAAGCTAATGATACCTGGGAATTGACTGCTTTACCTAAAGGAAAAAAAGCAATTGGCTACAAGTGGGTTTATAAGGTCAAGCTGCACTCAGATGACAGAGTGGAGAGGTTTAAAGCAAGGTTGGTGGCTAAAGGGTTTAATCAAGTTGAGGGTCAAGACTATTATGATAGCTATTCTCCAGTTGCCAGGATAGTTACAGTCAGGTTACTTCTTACAATTGCAGCCAGCAAGAGGTGGTCTATCCAGCAATTAGACATTAATAATGCCTTCTTGCATGGTTACCTAGATGAGGAGGTTTATATGATCCCACCAGAAGGCTATGATAAAGCCAAATCAGGACAAGTCTGCAAGCTCAATAGGTCATTATATGGCTTGAAACAAGCCTCTAGACTGTGGAACAAGGAGTTCTGCAAGAAGATTAAGGATTATGGTTTTACTCAATCAGCACATGATCCTTGCTTATTCATCAAACAAACAGAAGGGATTTTCTTGGCATTACTGGTTTATGTAGATGACATCTTAATTACAGGAGAAGATGAAGATTCTATTCAACAGGTGAAGCATTTTTTGGATGAACAATTCACTATCAAGGATCTTAGACAGGCAAAATATTTCCTTGGCATTGAACTCACTAGATCAGAACAAGGTTTGTTTTTGAATCAGAGAAAGTATGTTCTGGATATCTTGAAATCAGCTGGACTCATTGGTTGCAAACCTACAACTACCCCTCTTCCCAAAGGTCATCAATTCTCAGATGAACCAGGAGCTTCTTTGTCAAATCCTTCCAGTTACTGAAGAATTGTTGGTCAGTTGCTGTATTTGTCTTTCACAAGACCAGATATTACCTTTGCAGTCCAGCAGCTCAGCAAACACATTCAACATCCTTTTCAAGATCATTTGGATTCTCTGATCCATGTATTGAAGTATTTGAAAGGGACACCAGCTCATGGATTGTTTTATCCTACTGACAATGATCTCAAGTTTGAAGCTTTTAGTGATGCTGACTGGGGTTCAGACATCATCAACAGGAGATCAGTAAGTGGTTTCTGCATTTTCATTGGCCGTTCTCTGATTTCTTGGAAAACCAAACAATAGGATACTATTTCCTGTTCTTCAGCGGAAGCTGAATACCAGTCACTTAGTGTTACCACCAGGGAGCTTCTATGGTTATCATATCTTCTGCATGACTTCTCTATTCCATCCCAGCTTCCAATCTCCTTGTGGTGTGACAATAAGGCTGCCATATATATCACTGAGCATCCGGTATTTCATGAGAGGACTAAACATTTGGAGATTGATTGCTATTTTGTACGGCATCAATATGAACTAGGTTTTGCTGTTCCTCTGTATGTGGCCTCCCTTGATCAAACTGCTGACATCTTCACCACGTCTCTGCCTCATCCTCTCTTCTCCAAACTGCTATCCAAGCTTGGCGTGAAGACGTGTCTTCCAGTCCAGCTTGTGGAGGGGATGTCAAAGATGATGAATATCCCCCTTGAAGATGAAGATCAAACAGTACGCATATGGATCATATGTAAATTTGCAGTTTTGTTGTATAGTTTACTGATTTACCCCTGAGCTTTTTATAGGTAGTAATTTAAGTAGAGGGCTGATTGGTCTTTGTACATATGTCGGTTAGTTTAGACATATTAAATAAGCTGATGATTTGTTAGCTGTATAGTTAGTTTTGTTATCAGTGTATATATACAGTTTGCTGTACAAAGTTGATATATGATATACAGAACTAAAAATTTCCAAATCCATTTTCTAGAATTCTCTCCGATGAACCCTAACTTCCAATTTGAGACACTCATTGTACAACATTGGAAGATTATACCGGAGATTCGGCTAGTGTGTTCTTTGTAGGACGTGAAAGGATGAATCCTCTTTATTGTGACCTGCGAATAGAGAATAATCTGGAGAAACTCTCAAATTGTCCCCTGCTTCCACATTAATGAAGCCTATTACTGATGATGAGTTTAAAAGGATGTTCAATTGTTGAGTATACATCGTATCTTAGCTGTACTGGAACTTATAAGTTTTTTTTTTCTTTTTCTTTTTTTGTTGTTAATGTAGACAATCAATTTGTATTGTCCCTTACATTATGATAGCAAGTTTTATCGATCACTACTAATGTTATTAGAGATTATTGTTTTGAAAGGAAGGGAATATATTGCCCTCTTCTTTATTTTTGGATTCAACATTGCGGTGAAACTGCTACTTTATTTTATATATGTACCTCTCTTTTTTTTTTGTCCCTTCAGTGACTTCTTTTCATACCGGCTGCAAGTAAATTCTTCAATCCAGTGACTCCATTTTATGGAGAACGTCACGCTTTCAAAGTGGGTAAATATACACTTCGATCGTATTGAAATAATGCCCAAAAAAATGACATTGAACGTATAGGAATCGGAGAAATTAGAAGATGTCAGTCATCATGCATACCTAATATAGTATTTTTATTTTTATTTTTCGGTGTCTATTCTCAATAATACTGACTAATTCGCTCTCTCAGTGTAGACATGTCAACAAAGGGACAAGGACTATTGCCCCCTGAGTTTCCAAACAAGTGTCTATTTCTCATGATGAGTTTTTACGCCCGGATACGTGATAGATGTGATCTCTAGACATCGTGCCTTAAACTATCTTGGGACTAAGTTTTTTTTTTTTAAAAAAAATAAATTTAGACAATCAATTTCTATTGTCACTTCAATTATGCTAGCGTTACTGATGTTATTAGAGTTTATTATTGTTTGGAAAAGGTAATATGATTGCCCTCTTCATCGTGTGTGCATTCAAGATTGAGGTGAAACTGGTACTTCCGTTTATACCCCATTCTTTGTCCTTTCCGAAGACCAAACTGCACGTTCCTGCATCCAATGACTTCTTTTCATGCCTCCATTTTATTGAGAATGTGGGGAGCTTTGGAGTATGTTTGTTTTGTTTTTTTAATATATTTTTAGGTATTTTTTATATTGAGAATATAAAAAGGTGTATTAAAAATGTAAAAAGATATGCTGGGATGAGATAGTTATTATTTTATTAATCTAAAAAAACAATAAAAAAGCTAAACAAACAAAGCCTTAGAGTGTGTGTTAGTACGATTCACACTAAAAAAATAAGCACTAATAAAATGTTGATGAGTTTAGGGCTTTGAGAATTATACTCCCTCTGTCCCAAAATTATTGTCCAGTTTGATATTTCACTTTTAGTACAATTTGAACTAAAAATGAAAACTCAAATTGGACAATAATTATGGGACGGAGGGAGTATTTCTTACAATGGATGAATAGCGGGAAAAGGGTCATCAATGTTTAATTTTATTGTGTAAACCGGGCAGTAGTTGAAGACGCTAATCCAACCTACCAAACTTCGTTCCAACTTCTTTGGAATCCTAGGAATTAGAAGATGTATCTTGAGGAAGCTGCTGTCACTCATACCGTCGTCCTGAAGTTGTGTTTTTTGCCTAATATATTGTAGCCGTAGGGTGAGAGTATAGGCAGAACGAAAGAAACAAAATTAAACTAATCTGAGTATACATATTATTTTAGTATACATGCGATTGAACAAAATAAAGTCATGGCTGCTTGTTTTGGCCAAGCACATGACTCATTAACCTTCAAAAACCTTATTACATACATCCATATGGCAATGTAACTACTCTTTGGATAGAGCTTTTTCCCTTAGGTTGACAAATGTACTACAGTACGAGTGACATTGACTATCATTGATTAACCCTTAATCGCCTCGATTAACTTGGATTCGAGTTAGATGCATATTTTTCAAGAGCAAACGAAACACTACAAAAATAATCACCACATTAAAGAATCGATTTCGTTGTAACAGGCTAAAAAAATTTTGCTATTTCGATTTGGGCTTTTTTAGTTTAAAAAATTTTCCACGTTCCTACACTTATGTCCATATGGCCCAGCTATATCGCACCTCCCCTAAAGGTCCTAAATGGCCCATATCAGTGTTCTATTATTATTATTATTATTATTTTTATGGAAAGAAACCTGTATCAATGGTAAAATTTAAATTTTAAAAAAAATCACATACCAATCAACGCGGAAACACCTGAAACGTCGTCGTTCGGGTAACTCAACAAGCACCCGAACCGTTTCCTCTTCCGTTTTCCAGCGAGAATCTGCCCATTTGCCCAGAGCAATTCGTAGTGGCAGAGTGCAGAAATCGTTTGAAAATCCTTAACGGGCGATCCTCGAAGTGGAGAGGGAGTGAGAGAAGCAGCGGAGCAAGACGACGATGGCGTACTTGAGCTACCTGTTATACGGCGTCGGAGGAATAGTGGTCGCCGGAATGGCATTATTGGTGGCTTTCCAAGAGAAGCTCGTCTACGTGCCTGTCCTTCCCGGCCTCACTAAGTCTTACCCCATCACTCCCGCTCGACTTCGTCTCCTTTATGAAGACGTCTGGCTTAGATCTTCCGATGGTGTTCGGCTCCATGCTTGGTTCATCAAGTACACCTCTAACACCGAAGGTAAGTTTCAGAAACCTTTTCGTTTAAATTAGTTGGAAATCAATTCAAATAGATTATCGAGGGCTGAATTCCGGGATTCAGGGCTTCATGGATGATTACTTTTTGTTGCTTGTAGTTGTAATTGTTAGTTTCCGCGTGAGGAAGGATTTAGGAAGTTTGGCTCGATATGAATTGGAATTACCATGGGGATACTTTTCGGTTGTTTTTGGGGTTGTGAACTATAATTGCTTACTCTGAACTCTGAAGCATGATTGTAAGGGTTTTAGTGATGTTTACTTTAATCTCATGATTGTTAGGGTTTTAGTGATGTTTACTTTAATCTCTTGATTACCCGCTAGTTATCATTGGAAAAATTGATGAATTCTGACATTTTCTGGTGGCATGATGAATATCAAGTTCCTTCCTCTATCTATCGAAACTACGTTTTGCTTGCTGTAATCCTTAATTTTTGTTTTACAACATTGTTGGGCACTGAGCTGATTGAAGCTTGGAAAGTGGCAGAAGATGATCATATGAACTCGATGGGCATTTGAGTTTTGATGTCTCTGGATGGCATTTTAATTTTCTTCTTTCTTTCTTCCAGGAAATCTTATTCATGGTTAGCTTTGGGTAGATTCTTCTGATTGCATGGATGAGATGCATAAGAGACATAATGTACTTTTACTTAATGGTTTCCCACCGGTTGATTTCAGGCGAACTATTTTGCTTAACTGCAGCAACATCCATTTACTGTCGTGTCCCTTTTTGTGTACATTTTGTTTGTATTTTTGTGTTCTTTTTATTCTTTGTTGTAGTTTATAATTTGTATCCCTATCAACGTTCATATCTTTAAATTTCGTGTATTTGTCATCAGCAGGTCCAACCATCCTCTTTTTCCAAGAAAATGCTGGAAGTATCCTTATTTCATGTTCCATTTCTTCCTGAACATGGTTGTTCCTACTTGATTTTCTATTTAATTGAAGAGTTTATCAGTATCAACTTTTTGAGGTCCTTCACTACTATAGATATTGCCCATCGTCTTGAAATGGTGCGCATTATGTTGCAACGGCTGCACTGTAATGTCTTTATGCTTTCTTACCGAGGGTACGTGCTGGTTTTAGTTCCATTTCTGTTGCAATTTCTGTGGTGTCTTTTATACTCATATTTATAAGTTGTTTTTAAGTAATTATTTGTATTGTCTGGTGATTGTAGTTATGGAGCCAGTGATGGATACCCTTCACAACATGGAATTATAAAGGATGCACAGGTTTACTTCTTGGTTCTTGTATGTTTTCAAACATCTTAGATGAGATGACATATGGTCTCATTATTCTCTCCTTTTTTCTTGGTTCCCTTTTTGGAAGGCGGCCTTAAATCATCTGGCTCAAAGGACTGATATTGACACATCTCGGATTGTGGTGTTCGGGAGATCACTTGGTGGAGCTGTTGGAGCAGTATTAACTAGAAACAACCCTGATAAGGTACGATTCTCATAGAACTTCTGATACGGTTCTTGTATTATGAGTGGCTTGATTCAAATCATGAATGTCTGTGGTAGTAATCAAATGAATCATCCTTAAACGATTTCTTCCAATAACCATTGTCCTCCATCTTTCTCCAATCGAAGATAAAAACAGTTAAAAAGAAAGAGGATTTATTCAGTTTACGGTCCAGTTCTTTTTCTCATAATAGGTTTGAATTCATATCTTTTTTCCTGCAGTTAAAAAGATTTGGTTTCGGCTTTGGGTTTGTTAGTTCTGTACACTTATTTACTTGGTAATTGTTGCTCTCCGTGATGATTCTTGTCCTCATTTATGTGTTAGGTTGCTGGTTTAATTTTGGAAAATACTTTCACATCCATCCTTGATATGGCGGGAGTTCTTTTGCCTTTTTTGAAATGGTTTATCGGTGGTAATGGTTCCAAAGGCCCAAGACCCCTTAACTTTCTTGTCCGATCTCCATGGAGGACAATCGATGTCGTCGGGGAGGTGAGATTTTAGTTTCAGATGCGTCTGAAATGTGCGTTCATTAACTCCAAAGTCTCAATTTGTCTGGGTATATTCTGTATATATCTTCCATCCTATTAAGTGGGGAATTACTAGGTGGCAATTGCTTGCCCTCCTTGAAGTTGGTGGTCTCGTGGAATGTACTTATTTTCATTGGCATTCGTATTGATGTTTAGTGTTGTTCAGTGTGGAAAGGAGGTCCTCCCTGAGCAATTGTAGCCACTTTGAGGCTTTGAGCAATTTTAGTTCGTATCACGTGGACTGTTTTGGGAGAACTTGAAAATAAATGTTTACCTTCTTGGCAGTTGTGTTGCATAGATGCGTGAATGTCTACGACATATGATAGTGCTGAGTACTACATTGAGAAAAAAAAAAAAAGAAAGAAAGAAAGGAAGGTAGAAGAAAGTCTGATATGGTAGTTAGTTTATGATGCCTTAAAATCCATAGAGAGAAAGTTGGTGTGTGTTGGTTTATTGATACAATGAAGAGCTGCATAATGCTCTCAACCTGTTTGTTCATAACTTTTCAGTAAGCTCTTCTATTAATTTGGTTGTGATATTGAACTTATAGGATTGAAGATCAAGATGCTCTTATTGTCTTGTAATTTTCTTTATCATTTTTGTGGAAAGAAATGCTTATGTCTGATTACAGTAAGTTCTGTTTACAGATTGAACAACCAATTCTTTTCCTCTCCGGATTGCAAGATGAGATGGTTCCACCATCCCATATGCAGATGCTATATGCGAAAGCTGCGGCACAGAATAGTCGGTGCATATTTGTAACATTTCCTACAGGAATGCATATGGATACATGGCTGGCGGGGGGTGATCAATACTGGAAAACTGTCCGAGAATTTTTGGAACAGGTTGCTCCAGAGAGGCCATCTGAATCTTCCAGAAGGGGTAAGTTTAAAGTCCTTCAAAAGATACTGTAGAATGTTGGTGTTGGGAAAAAGTTGAGGAACAAAATTAAGCCATTCTTAATAGTTTTTATTCGTCGATCGAGCTCCTGCCTTAAAGCTTTTTGAGAAACTCTGATAGTTGTGGGTGTTATTCAGTTTAAAGTGGAACAAGATTATTTTTTGTTATTTTTTTCTTATTGGTGTCTTTTTTTTATTATTGTCCATCTTAGGTTTTGAGGAGAAGTAACTTGTTGGCATACAGTCTTTTGAGGCGAAAGCCATCCATTCTTCATCAAGACTGCTCTGAAATCCAACCATTTGTGCCTCTTGTTTGATTGTTGCAGTGACCACAAGCTCATTGTGATTGCAAAACCAGAGCTAATGTGTCTTCAAAGTTTTTTCTTATTCCCGACACGTTTTTGAGCATGCAATTTTCAAACAGCGGGAGACTGGATGGTTTATACAGCATGTATACAAGAAGACACTGACATTCCTTCTCGCAAAACAATTCTAACTATTATTTGCTTGTTTGAACAAGAATATCAAAGACTTGGAACTATTGTAACGATGATTGGAACAACTGAATCTTACCACTTTTGGGTGTGATGTTTGACAAATGCTTCAGATCTTTGACGTTGTTACTTTAGTTCGCTTCTGTTAGACATTTAGTAATCACAGGGGGTTTCATGTTATCTGGTCTTGAGTTCTCTTCTCGTTTAATGTTGCTTAGAACGGAAAAGGGCAGTCTAGGCAATGGTTATTCCCTCATTTGCAAGATGCAGGCTGTTCATCCACCTTTATGCCATTGATTATATGCCACTTTCTTGATTGTTTATCTTTTCTCCTCTCTATATATTTTATCATCATGTGAAATTCAATTGCAATGGAATGTTTTGTTTTGCACAACCCTTGATTAATATGCATAATTTGACCTGAGAGTTCTCTGTTGGACACGCGTATCTAGGCTAATCTCCAACATCCTAAGGTCAGAACTCAAAAGCCCCAAGTAATAATGATAGCCCATCTCTTTCTTCCTCGAAATATTGAATTATAATAACAACAAAAATCTACGTGGATCAATTAGTGGACCTCAACTTCTGCCCCCACCCTTTTCGGGGTTTCCAATGTTGTACAACTTTTTCTTCAAGATGCCTGGTCTGCAACTGCGACATCCCTTCTTCCTCCTGAGAGAAATCGATGTTCCCGGCGCCGGACAACTCTTTTGCCGGCGTTCCACCGCCGCACTCGCGGGCGTCATTTTTCCCCACATTACCAATTACCGATGACCTCCATTATAATTTATACACAGTTTGCAGCACCACCAGTCAGAAATCATAGGTTTTGTTTCTTCTGTTTCTCCCAGTTTTGGCCTTTATTCACACTCTTTCTCCTCTATCTTGGATAAAATCTTCGCTCCATGGCCCACTTCGACCAACAATCATCCCTGACCGTCGGATGGATAACGTGATTAAAATCCTGAGTCCTCATTGCTTCTACAGTAGTACACCAAGTACCGTAACAATCTCTCCCCTTCTCTCTCTCCCGAAAACGGACGATTATCCATTTGCTCCTTCATGTGACGGACCTCAAATCTTCTAACTCAGGTCCGCACAATATATAGAAAAATAATAAATGTTGCCACGTCATCTCCCAAAAAGTGCAGACGCTACAGTACCCGTCACAGTCTCACAGGCGACCCCCAAAAAAAACACATTTCTCCACCATTCTCTCTGAGATTATTATTTTAAAAAACAAAATTAAAATAAAAGATAATATCATAGTAAGACATTAAAAAACAGACTAAGTTCTGAGCTTTAGTCAGGTGTTTTTTGCCAGTAAGCAACTGACTTCAGCACATCATAATTAATAAATAACCTTAATCCTTTTTTTCTGCTACGTGAATTGACTGATATATCCTTCAGTACTAGGACGCCCTATTTATTGTTTTTCACATCGGCAAAGGAAGCGTAAAGGAAGAAAAGAGAGACAGAGACAGAAGAGAGACTGCTAAAGAACAACTCTTTTTTTACTGTGTGAGTGTGTGAAAAACTGAACCAACCAAAAAAAAAAAAAAAAGGTGCTCTCTTCTTCTTCTTCTTCTTCTTCTTCTTCTTCTGTTCTTTCTCTCATGGAAAATCCACGCACTGTCGAGGAAGTTTTCAGAGATTTCAGGGGCCGTCGTGCTGCTCTGATCAAGGCCCTCACTAAAGGTTTCATCTTTTCATGCACATTTTTTTTTCACTGTTTGGTGTTGGTTCTTTCCCCCGGTTTTAGTTTTTTGGCTTTTGTTCTTCTTGTTGAGGGTGGCTTTTGCCCGAGACGGAGTTCAATTTATGTTTTCGACTTGTAGGGTATTTTGGGTTCTCTTTTTTTGACGTTTTCCTTTTGATTTTGCAGATGTTGATCGTTTTTTCAAGGAATGTGATCCTGGTTAGTTCTTCATAGCCTTATTTTGTCCCCTCTTGCTGCCAAAAACATGTTCTGGGTGTTGTCTGTCTTTAGGATTTTTTTTTTCGCATCTTTTGCTGATTATGATTTTAAAGCTTTTAGCTTTTCCCTTCCCCTTCATGTTCTTTTGGGCTCGAATTGGAAGGGAAAAGAATTAATGTGCTTGCACTAATTTACTGTAATTGACTCAGTCTTTTGTCCTTTTGTTTTCCCTCGGTTGCCGTTTTGGTCTCGCTATGTCCATGTGTTACAAATGTGGGGCGGGTTTTAATTTTCAGTTTATTAACTAACGGGCTTAAAGTTTTATACGTACAGCGCTATAATTATGTGAATTCTCTTTATTTGACTTTCTTGCTCTTGCTGAATTGCGAGCTTCTTGAGTTTTATGGTTTGATTCTGAATGTGTGGCACAGGGGAAGTCTAATTGGTGGGTTATTCATGCACCTTTTTAAGTGGCATCCTTTGAGGATAACCTAATGTTTTTGTGCTGTCCTTTTTGGTTCAATGTGATAGTTGATTCTCGAGTTCTGTTACTTGTATTGTTTTTGCTATAAAAGACATTGAGGTTCACCTGGGGCTGGTGATCTCTTTGTGTGATTATCTGTTGTTGCCTTTCATCGCAAACCCACTGAGTTTTCACTTTTATTTGGGGATATGGGGATAGAGAAAACTGCGTGAAATTAAGAGTTGAAGCTTTAATGGATGAAGTTTGACAGTTGGGCTCCATCATGTTAGCCTCGTACTCGGACAATTTTTTTGAAATTTATTTCTAAGCAGTCAAAGATGGCACATTTTTGCTGAGGGTTTCAATCTTCCTTTCTTATTTGGTTGTCAAAAGAATTGATTTTCTTGTGTTTGCTAAAGATTTTGTTACGTGCAGATGCATTTTACTCTATTCAAAAAGGTGTTTCGGTTTAAACTTGTATCAGTTTTATACTTCCTGTGGCTTATCCATTCTCAATTGGTAACCGTTTTATGATTTTGCCACTTAAGCTTTAGCTCAGTTTCTGAGATACTGCTTTCGAAAAGGAAAATATCATGCTGTGATTTGATATTTCTGGTCTACTTGGTAGATTTCTAGAAGCTTGTAATTCACAACCTTCACACAGTTTTGCAGTTTTTCATTCATATGGTGCTAAAGGCAAGAGGAGTGTAATTTACTGCTTCTCTTGATATAACTTCCTTATTCCTGGTTACTATCAGTTTACTTGGTTTTGTACTTTTTTGTTTCTAATGTTGTTCTTTAGTTTTAGAAAGTTCTTTTGCCTATAGTTGGATACATGAAAACTGCTGTTACCCCATTAAGCATTTATGGATCCCTCCTGTTTTCTCAACAAACGTTTTGTACTCCCTTTCTACTCTTTTGTACTTCACTGTTTTCATGGAACTTTTCGCGTAATTATGAACTCTGAATCATTATCAGTGCTGAGTGGTTGATGAGATGTCGTATATTTTGCTGGTGTAAAGGTTTGACTTTATGATTCAGTGTGATAGAAGCTTCTTCAGTTATGGTATGCAAGTTTTTAGTAACTAAATACAGTAGTCTGCCTTGTTTTCTTGAGTTGTTTGTAAGTGAAGAAACATATGTCCTGTTTTCATGCTCTTCCGAAGACGAGGCCTCTGCTGATGTGAGCAGTCTGCTGCTTCTGTACATAAATATGGTTTGTGCATGTGTATGCTTGTTTGTTTTATGTGGTTCCCCACACAAACTTTTTGTTTTTACTAGTCAACACAGATGTTTAACCTAAATGGAGTTCTAATAGTCTAGCTGTTGAAGATTGTCTCGGATTTGTTATTTCTGGAGAATCAGAGTCTGTTTGTCCAACTAATATATGATGCGTTGAATATTAAATTATACAGAGAAGGAAAATCTTTGCCTCTATGGTTATCCCCATGAGAACTGGGAAGTTACTTTGCCTGCTGAAGAGGTTCCGCCTGAGCTTCCTGAACCTGCTCTAGGTATAAACTTTGCAAGGGACGGGATGCAAGAGAAGGACTGGCTGTCCCTTGTTGCTGTGCATAGTGATGCGTGGTTGCTATCTGTTGCTTTCTATTTTGGAGCCAGATTTGGATTTGACAGAGCTGACAGGTGATGTAAAACAATGTGCCAACGTTTTGCCAATGCATTCCTTTCGTACTCAATTGTCTCTTCATTGAGCTTCCATATAAGCTAAAAGTAAAAGCTTGTCCATAGACACGTTAATATCTGGTCGGTACACACTACTGTAACACACTTAAAGATGTCCATAGATTCAAAATTCTTGATATGCTTGTCATACTTGCTCCTAGTTGAAACCATATAGGTCATATGATCTTATTGTATCTTCATTCTGTGTAAGTTATAACATGCTATTGATTGGTGGTCACATGTTAGACAATTTCAGATTCTGTTGATCAATTCTACTTTAGTGCATGTTGATTTCCGGAAACGTGCCATAGAAGTTTCTCCATAGGGCATATTTCGTGTTTCCACATATCTGACGTCTTGCCATTTCAATTTCAGGAGACGACTTTTTGGTATGATTAATGACCTCCCGACTTTATTTGAAGTTGTAACTGGAACTGCCAAGAAGCAAATGAAAGAGAAGTCATCTGTCTCAAACCATAGCAGTAACAAGTCCAAGTCAAACTCCAAGGTGCTATAAACATCTATATTTCTGTTCTTATTCACAAATTTTATGTTTTGTGCTGTTGATGACTGTAATTCATTTTGAAGGAATGCTGCTCTACGGATATGTTCTTGTTGTGTTGATTATTTTTCCCAAGCATAATCTATCAAGGGTGATGCTTTAATTTGAAAAATACTTACTGATATCTTCCTTTCTTTGTTGGGGGGGGGGGTAGGTGGTTTTCTTAAATACAGTCTTCTTTTACTTGCTTTGCACTTGCATGTCTAATTAATGGCAATCTTCCGAATTTGTATAAACATGTCCAGTAAAATACATGTGCATGTCAATGTGAATGAATACTTCCATTTCGCATTTATTTGTCGGTTTGTATACTTCAATTATTCGAATGGGGTTCTTCTATGTGATATGCCAAAAGCTCTGGAGGCTGTGTGCTGTGGGCATGAGTGTCATGCTTTTCCATGATGCATATTGTAGTTGGCTTCTCTATTTCCTGAAGTGAGACTATGTAGTCTCCTTTCAGCTTAAGTGTCTAGTGTGCCAATTTATTATTTCTAAATCATGCCTGTTTACAGAATCTTACTGGTTATTGCATGTCACTGCAATGTCATTTGACATTATGTACATGAAATAAATGGTGGTTTGAATTTCAGAGCAAGTACTCCAAAGTTGAAGAGAAGGACGAGGATGAAGGGGTAGGAGAAGGAGAGGAGGAGGATGAGCATGGGGAAACCTTGTGTGGAGCATGTGGGGAGCACTATGCTGCCGATGAATTCTGGATCTGTTGCGACGCATGCGAGAGGTGGTTCCATGGAAAGTGTGTGAAGATCACTCCAGCTAGGGCTGAACATATCAAGCAGTACAAATGCCCGTCCTGCGGCAACAAAAGGGGGCGTGTTTGAGTGGAAGCCATTTAGGATTTAAGGATTAAGATCCAGTGTTTGTCCCCATTTTAGGCTGTTGTAGCTATCAATTTAGGTGGCTGGTAATTCTCCCTGCTGAACAGCACTGTAACTGCTGTGTCATGATATAACTTCAAACACCTGTTTCTCTAAACTTATTTATCAAACATCGTTTCATGTGATTAGAACTTTATCATGTAGAAATCTATGTTGTTGGGCAGTTCTCTGTTCTTTGCTTTTCTAAGATGTGAATGGGTTTTAGATGGGTGATTTGGGCCCCTTTGGCAATGAATTTAGAGCAAGTCTGCCAGAATAATATTGAACCTTGAAAATCGGAAAGAGTAGTCGTGTGTTTCGGTAGGATGTCTGTCGCTCCTTTTTTCAGCAGGGTTTTATTTTGGGTTAACATGCCCTTCATTAATTCTTTAACTATAGCAAATGAGATAATAATAGGGATAATGGAAATGTTCACGTCAGCGTCCCAAAATAAACATTTCAAATAGCTATAATATTTATTTTCAAACGGATAGTATAAATATACATCAATACGGGAATATTTATATACTCCATCTCTCCCGAAATTATTATCCAGATTGAATTTTCGTGTTTTAGTTTAATTTTTATTAAAAGTGGAATTCAAACTGAACAATAATTTCCGAGACGGAAGGAGTGTATATATATTATATAACCATCACGCTCGTAGTCATAGTCGTCAAACGTTTTGCTGTGGAAACAGACTGACTTGGTATGTTTCTAGATTATTCTCGAACACCCAACAGGCTAATCGGAAGACCCAACAGGCTAATCGGAAGAGAAGAATATATACTACCGGAAATGGATTAAACTGTAAAACTGGATCCTGCAGAGTGCAGAGTGTAAAGTTCCCTTGAGTTCCTTGCTAGAGTTAAAGCTCGGTGCACAAGTCAAAAACACATCTTACCTACTCGTAATCATATTAACTTAAAATTTCATTATACTACCATAAAAAAAAAATACTCCTTTTATTTCAAAATAATGGTTGATCGAAGCATTTAGCGAATCTGGCATAGCATAACGTTATAATCAATGACGAATTTAAGGCGGATTTGGCCAAATTTTTCTTAGTAGGATGTTCGTTATTTGAAATTTTTTCAATTCGACCCTCCGATGACGATTGAATAATCTTATTTTCGACCCCGCAATTTGAAAATTCTCATTCCATTACTGGCCATAATCAATGTTGAAAATTGAAACTTGAACAATAACAAAATGTCAAAAAAAAAAAAAAACAAAACAAAACAAACAAAACCTAATGTAATACGTGCTGTTCTTGAACAAAATGAAGACAAAAACGATGTGAATGAAATAGTGTAGATTGACATTGACCCCTTCTCTTTCCTTTTCAATTTTGTTACGCACGTTGATTAATAATCATTCCCAGCCCCGTCCCGTAAATTTCCGTTGTTGTTCGAAAAAGATCGGATCTTTACACGTTGATTACAGCATAATATCTCTTACAAAGTAAGCAAGCGTTCCAGATGTACTCCATTAATCAAATATGACACGATGTTCTTAACAATTATATTAAATTAGGTTTATCGTTTGTTTTCTTCCACATAAATTTATTCTGGTTACAAAGTCAAAATCTCATGTACTAATGGAAACTTCCTCTCGGAATTGGAGTTCAGTTGACCAGCAGCTGATAGTCGTTTGTATCGGGGCCCGTTCACATCAATCCTTCTCCATTCCTGGTCCTTCTTGTCGGCTTTTTTAGTACCATATGACTAGTTTAACTGATGAATGGGGTAATAAATAAGGTTTCCACTTAACTAATTTACTTTGTCTGTAGTTGGGATTCGAACGCTTCATTTTCCTTCAAAAAAAAAAATGGAGAGGAAACTGTCGGAGGCAGCAATTCAAGGAGATGTGGAATCACTGCATCAAATCATGAAAGAAGATCCATTGATTCTGGACAAGATCATCGTTTCATGCGTCTCTGAAACTCCTCTCCACACAGCCTCCATCTTAGGTCACTTGAATTTCGTCAAGAAGCTTCTGAGTCTCAAACCCGAGTTAGCATCCGAGTTGGATTCCTCTTCCTGCTCGCCTCTTCACTTGGCAGCAGCAAAAGGGCACGTTGGAGTCGTCGAAGAGCTTCTCCGAGCAGATTCCGAGGTGGGTTCTGTGAGGAATTTGGAGGGAAGGACTGCTCTTCATGTGGCAGTGATCAAAGGTAGAGTTAAGGTGGTGGATGAGTTGGTACGAGGTAAACCCGAGTTAACTCGGGTGTTGACTGACCGTGGGGAAACGGTGTTTCACCTTTGTGTGAAGTATAACAGGCTGGAGGTGTTGAAGTTGTTGACTGAGTCAGTTCAGAAACAGAGGGAACTGGTCAATTGGAGGGATTCTGATGGAAATACAATCTTGCACATAGCTGTGATAAAGAAGCAATTGGAGGTGAGTGATTCTTTACAAGTTTCTTGTGATTTTGATTCGTGAAGAAAGATTTCTGAAGTTATGGAGTACTTTTGAGCTAGATTGCACTTTGCGCAAAAACTGAAATCACCATCAGCTTGCTGGAAAAATGATATGTTTGGATCGTTTTTTTAGTGGGTGATTTTAGATTGAGAATGTAAAAAAGTATAGTAGAGATGTAAACAAATATGGTAGGATGAGACAACTATTAATATTTAATTTAAAAAAAACGTAGTAAAAAATAAACCAAACAGAGAAAATCCCTCTAACTATAACAGGACAAAGCTAGGATTATTACTATATATGAGGATTTTAGGCTGATGAATAAATTTTGGAAATTGGTTGCCATAAATGGTAGTTTCTATATATCCTAAAGCTAGCATAGTTTTGAATTGATGTTTTTGTATGATTTTTTACTTCCTTACATCAATTCTCGCTTGCAGTTGATTACCTAACACAAACATTACTGGTTTGTGCAGATGATAAATCATTTGCTCACTATCTATGAATTGGAAGTGAATGCACTAAACAAGTATAGCATCACAGCTTTAGATATTCTAACTCAAAGCCCAAGAGACTTGAGAGATTTGGATATTGAAAATGCATTGAGAAAGGCAGGAGGTTTAGGTGCTAAGGACTTGCATTTAATCACAGAGGACAAAATGCAAAGTAACATTCTTCCTCATACAACAACAACAAGAAGACTGTCCTCAAAGCCAAATACTAGCCTAAAGAATCCAGTTGTGAAACACAAGCACACAGATTGGCTGGGGAGGAAGCGAAGCGCATTGATGGTGGTGGCATCTTTGCTCGCGACCGTGGCGTTCCAAGCCGGCCTAACTCCACCGGGCGGCGTTTGGCAAGACGATTTCGTGACGGATGCAAACGGAAACTCTGTTCTCGAGTCTCACATTGCGGGAACCTCGGTGATGGCCTATAAGGCGCCGCGAGAATACGGGTTGTTCATGATTTTTAACACCATTGCTTTCCTTACTTCTCTGAGCATAATCCTACTCCTGGTCAGCGGTTTACCGCTCAGGAGAAGGCGGTGGATGTGGCTCCAGATGGTGACGGTCTGGATTGCGATCACGTTTCAGGTGTGCACTTATTTCATCACTCTTCGGCATATGTCACCGGACTCGGGGAATGTTCAGAACACTTTAAGGAAAGTTACTGAGATATCTGTGTTGACATGGCTGTCACTTATGGGAGTTGTTTTCATTGGAAATGTGGTACGGATGAACTTGTGGATTCTCAGAAAGTATGGCTATATTAAAGAAAAGGAAAGAGTTGCTACAGCTGAAGAAGATGATGATGATGAGATGTGACTTTACTCTGTATTTAACAAACTGTTCGGCTATATATGGATTTGTATACTTAGGTTAACACTAGTTACACTTCCTCTATTCTTTCTTAAGTTTAATGCACTCAGTTTTCTCATGCTCCGGTGTTTTGATTATGAAACCTTTGTTAAATTTTTAGTTGTCCGATAACGGAACTAAAGATAGAAAGTGGGGAAAAAAGCTCAAACTTGAGAGTAGCTTTTTTTTTTGAGTCAGCTCTCTCTCTTTGTAGCCCATATCTAACACTGAATTGTTCAAACTTCAAACTACAAAAGTTGAAATGAAGTGAACCCATGACCAAATTTCAGATATGTAGAGCTAACTAATCAGTCTTATTCTAAATTTTGATTCGTGGAAGTCAATCTGACCCAAGGTGTAGCTTTATATATAGTGTGAGAATTTGAGGGTTTTTTTTTTTTGGACATATGATAACGGAGCAAAGCAATCCCAAAATAAATGTCCGATATATTTGTTAGCTTTATGCATATGAGATTTGGCTTTAATTATTCGATATAATTGTCGAATTAATTATTACTGTAAATGACGTTAGATAATCGGTTACAAAATTGATTTTCTTTTGCTCATAAATTAGATTGACCTTTCGATTGGGATAATGATCCCTTACATCACAATTTAACAACACTTTTTAAGTCAGTTTTATAAAAGTTAATAAATAAGTAACAAGGATTGAATTGTTCAAACTACGAAAGTAGAAATAAAGTGAACCCATGACCAAATTTCAAATATGCGGAGCTAACTAATTAGTCTTAGATTAGTTTTAAATTTTGGTTTCTAGAAGTCAGGTCGGTCCGACCTAACTAACTTATAAGGGGAGAATTGAGCTCTCCCTTTTTTTTTCTTTTTTTCTTTTTCTTTTTTGTATGCATGTGTGATAAAGGAGATATATATGATAAAGAAGCTATGTAATTACAACGTGACTTAAACGAGCTAATGTGGAATACTCTCTTCAAACTTAAGTTCAAATCACAGCTAACGTGGCTTAAACCCTTTTTAGCATTTTTTAAATTGAACTAGATACTTGGCCCGGGCAGATGCCCGGACGTTCCTTTACTTTAATTTTATGTTAATGGATAAATGAATTCTTGATTTGGAAAAAATAAAATAGCTACACGTTTGTTTTTTTTTATTTTTTAGGCAAAAATAAAAAAATCATCTGCTAAAGGAAAAAAATATTGAAAAGTACAACGATGCAGAAATCATATAAAATAATGTGGAGTAATAAAGGAGATAAGTTTATGGGCAAATTTAAATGCTATTTTAATTTGATTGATAAATGATAAATGTTAGGAGTTAAAATTGTGTAGCTATTTTTGTAAAGTAGTTTTTGTTTCTTCGGGTAAGAATTTTTTTTTTCTTTTAAAAAGGGATGACACGTGGCAGAATAGTTAATGCAATATGGTGCATTTGGAGCAAAAAAAATTTAATAAAAAGTTATCACATCAACATCCTGTATTCTGCTTTAATTGGGTAAAAGGGATTTGCGTTAGCATGTAAATGAGAAATGATGATACAAGAAATAAAGAATTTGGTCGGAGCAGCAGGCAATGTATGGCGCGCGGATCATAGTTACCCGTTCAAAAATTTAACATTTGACCGCCTGTTTTAAAAAAATGCAAAGCTACACTATATTCGTTTAAAATCATTATCCATTTTGGATTTTATTTTTAAAACTCTTTTATTGTTACGTATAGAAAATCGTGTCTAACAATTTGTATAAAAAAAATTAAAAAATAACCATCATTTACGCATTAATAAAAGAAGAGCAAAAAAATAAAAATAAAAAATGAAGATTTAAGTACACTTATTAATGGATTAACCGATTACAGAAAGATAGATTGGCTTCTCCCACCCAAACACCTAAATCCTAAACCCTAAACCATGTTCAAGTTCAAATAAAAAATTAAAAAAAAAAAAGAAAAAAGAAAAAATACACGCAGGATTGGAAATGTTCATACGTGGTTAATAGACACCGCAGGATTAATAGAACGAATGATTTCAAATAATGAATATAAACAAAAATAATACTTGAGTTTAATAAGGTGTTGATTCCGTGTTAAAACCATTCTTACTCTCAAACCGAGATCATGAGTTCAAACCTCCACTCCAACAAGAGTGATAGGTGACTCTAATCTTATTAATGGGAAGCTCTAGAGGCCATAAAACCCCAATTTCGCACTCGAATTTGTCACCTCGAGTTTGCTTAAATTATTTCTCACTATGTACCTGAACTTGTCACCTCGAACTTGCCTAGGTTATTTCTCACTATGGTTTGCAGGTTATTGCAGTGAGTGTGGGTTCACCTATCGCTGGTGGAGTTACCGGCGTTACCAAAATAATAATAATAATAATAATAATAATAATAATAATAATAATAATAATAATAATACCTTGAAGCAATTTTTTTCAATTATCGATACTACATTCTCCATAATATTTCATTCTTTACTAATTTATTATGCTTCTGCACAATTAAATAACTAATCACATTCAACAAACAAAGCCATTAGGTCGTCCGCCCACCTATTTATATTAGTATCAAGAAAAAACCATTTATGTAAAAGACCATTTATGGGGATACTTTTTGTTTTTGTTTCTTTTCCCCGTGGAAACCAGATTCATCACTATTAAAGTCGTATGATTGAAGAATGCACTCTGACATTAATGCAAGTCTCGAGCAGCTTCTAATCCTCTCAGTACAGCTAGTGGTTCAGCCTGCTGAAGGGGTGAATCTGCCAAAAAAAAGTTTACATACTAACCTTAAACATTTTGTATCACCACCAGTTATTAAACAAATGTAAATGGACTCTTAAAGTATTTATTTTACAATCTCAAAACCAAAGCTAAATTTGCCTAGTGAAATCCAATATGAAATACGCTAAAGATATTGCAATGCAAGATCTTCAATCTTAACTGCTAAAGGTACTTCATTCCAAAAATAAACAAGCGTTTCACTCACTGAAGATTCTCAATAACATTTCTCTTGGCGTTGGTAGATTTTTGTATAAACATTCAAAACAAAGTGTAACAAAAGGATATCTTGAAGACTTGAACTAGTCCCACTAAGATTTACAATCTGATTACATCATTTTATACATCCTTATGCAAAACCATGCTGCTAACGTAACCTCATGGTTTCATTCGGGAAGATCACATTAGGGTTCCGGATATGTGTATTTGAAGAGTGACGTTCCTTCCATTTTGGAACCCGAGAAGAGACGCTCCACAAAGACTCACCTGGCTGTGGCTGAGATGTAGTAGACTCCTGGGAGGGCGTGGGTAACGATGATTTACCACCAACTTTGGACTTCAGGAGTGGATGTTTATTCTTCTTCCCCATCCCATTGGCGAGTAACCAACGAGACCCAGATTGCTGTTGAGTCTTAGAACCCCATGGCTTCTTTTTATCAGGCTCAGTTTTCAAGCCTGCAACATGTACTTCAGTTATTTTGAACTGGGGAACCTTCTCATCTTCATGAAGTTCTTCTTCTTTGACCTCCTCATTGCTGAGGTCCTTTTTTGCTGGCTCAGTCTCATCATCTTCTTCAATTCTGTCCTTGACTAAGGAAACTGTGCAGTACATTTTTGGTTTTGGAGGAAGAAATACTCTCTCCACTTGGATGAGTGCAAGCATTGGTGTACCAACAGGTTCATAATTCCGCAATGGGTCACGAAGCTGTACCATCAAAGCAACAGTAAAGTTATTTCCCAACAAACCACAATTTCGACCTTTGCCTTTTCGCTTCTCTCCCTTTGATCTTCCACGGAAAGACTCCAGGGATGTAGCATGATGTGCTGCAAGTAATCGAGATGTTTGCTCACTGATATGATCCCCATCATCAATTTCACCAGAATCCAGCCTCATCCATTCATCAAGGGTCAATGATAAACCCATTAATCCATCGACACCACCGCCGTTATCCTTAATGTCCAGCAATTGTAATCCTCCAGCACCTTCAAGACCAAGGGATCCATCTGACCCGTCCCGCTTCCCTTCAAAAGCTGAAAATTCACCAATTGATTGCAGACTGATGTTGGAGGGAGCATCCTCATCTGACATGCCAGATTGTATTCTTAGCCCTTCCATTGCAAGGGCTTCAATCTTATCCATAGCCAAAGGAGCAAGATCCTCCAGGGGTACATATTCAGAATCAATGCTATTACGGGTTGCGTTCATATCCAACTTACTGTCCCTAGATCGCGATGTTTTTGCCTTATTTCTTTCCTGCTCACCAGATATACTTATTCCAGTGCCAGATTCATGTTGGACGAATTCATGCCTGCAGCAGGGACAAGGAATACAATCAATTTTCTTTCAATAAATACAAGAATAAGATTATGACAGTTTTCTTTGTACATTATTGGAGCATAACAACATCAAAATATTCTTCAAAATAAGACACAAACCTCAGAGGTCCATCCAAACTTGGCGCCGCTTCCCATGCAATTTGCCGCATTGTCATCCCTGTTACATCTTCCAAAGGCATCAATTTGTTTGCCTGCATGGAGAGCTTTTCAATTCCAACAGAGGCCAGATGCTGCAGAATATCCATGACCCCAGATCCCATTTCTGCAGGCATCACTACTGGATTGGACACTTGCATAATCAAGCTTCCCCCACTTTTCGCATTACTGAAGAGTGCAGGATTCATGGAGCGCAAAAATCCTCCATCTTTGGTCTGAACAAAGGGACCTAAGCCTTCTGCAAGGGGCGGAAGAGGGTAGGAAGCTTCAGGTGGCAGATCAATTGGACTCCCGAATCCTGAAGCACTACTAGGTGGAGATTGTTCAAAGGCCTTCTCATTGAGGCCCCACTCATGCATCAGTGCTTCTGTCTCCAAGTCCTCCAACGTAGAGGCTCTTATTTTGTGAGTCATTGATTCTGCTTCGAACTTAGGCCCAACAGCTTCAGAAGAATATGCATAAGAAGAAGAGTCGAAATTTCTGGAGAACGCACGCCACTCTGACTCGGCAGCAGCATCATAATGTAACTCTGGCTCTTCCTCGTCAATACCAAAGTTAAACAAAGAACACCCACTGGCTAGAGTATCCTTCTCAAATTGTCTCAGGAGGCGTTCCCGTGGAGATTCAGGCTCACTTTCGGAACTCAAACCAGCTGGACTATGCTCTATACCTAGCAAGTCCAAGAAATCACTGGCTACAATCTCAGTAACATCGTCCAAACTGAGTGATTTCCCCTTCCTACGTTGTTCAGAACTTGATTGAAGCTCCACGTGATTCAATGAGGTTGAACTTTCACCTTCATCGTCTTGGGAATCTGATTCCTCTTTGACTAAAGCAGAGACATTGCTCAAAGCTGACTCCAAATCTTGCAAAAGTGATTCTTTGGTGGTGACATTAGTCTCTTCAGCTGTGGAGTCACTTCTCAAGCGCTCTTCTCCCTGATCCTCGGCTGTGGAGTGGTAAGTGGTTGCTTCAGTAGACAGAACCTGAGAAACACTGGTATCAATACCTTCTTCTCCACAATCAGGCAAAACCTTTTCGGGGTCCTCTATAGCTTTTTCCTGGACATTAATGGACAACTCTGCCCCCTTATCTGTTATGGTATACTCATTAACTTCAAATTCATTTTCTTCAGTCTCCTGGGCAGCATCAGATGCCAAATGCAAATCTACCTTTACAGGCTCAGGAGGATTGTGAAAAATATCAACCTCTGGTTTGACAGGTGCAGTTGCAGTCTTTAACTTTTCTTCATCAAGTTTTTCATACAGCAAGGATATTGAATCAGAAAGTTCAGTTTTTGGTACAGGTAAAACCTCATGAAGATCTTTTATGTCTTCTGTAGACTTCTGAGAAATTGAAGTCCTTGCAGGGAGACTTCCAGTTCGACGTATAGAGCTCAGCTCATGATTATGATCATTTTGCACCAAAGCTTTCCTCGTACTTGCACTGTACTGCATAAAGCTCTGTGACTCAGACAACTCCTTATTCTTATTATCCCCAATAATTTCATATCCAAAGCTGACATTCATTTGTGCTCCATTAGCCTTACCCGACAATTTAAAACTAGTTGTCCACTTCCCAGAGCTCTTCTCCTCTTCTAGTTCCTCCAACGTCAGGGGGAGCAACCTCGTGAGATCAACCCGATGCCTCCCTAAATCAAGCTCAGGAGTCCCATACACAGAGACATACAAAAGGAAATGTTTTGCCTCATACTTGGCAGAATGATGAGGCCCGCTCCTACTACCATGTATTGAGCACACATGAGTCAACAGTTCCTCAAACTCTGCCATGCCTTGAATAACCGCAGTGGGACGCGTCATCAATTCACCATCGCGCCTCTTCCAGTGCACAATAAGACTAAGGTCATCAAACAGGGGCGGCAAACCTTCAACGGAATGAACTTGGAGAGAAAAACAACAATTGAACCTGCGGTTTCGAACATGTGTCAAAGCCTTCAAACCCTTCCAACTCCAGATAGACTTCTTATCCTTGTCCTTATCCGTTGCATCCTTTTTATCATGTTTGCCCTTAGGCTTGGATTCAGGCATTGGTACTTTTCCAACTGATTTGGAGCGACTACTAACTGTTGAAAGCATACTCCTGGGCAAGTTTTTATCCAAATGTAGGGCTTTACTAATAGTTTCAATATCATTCAATAGCTTCCCAGAACCTGAATCCTCTCCTAGTTTCTTTCTAGAGTCCACTTTGGACAACATCTTCCGCCCAACAAAATCTACATAATTTCACAACATATTTAAGAAATTAACAAACCCCCATTACCAAATCCCAAACAAACGCAGATAGAACATCACAATTTTAGTCAATCCAAGCAACATCCAAACCAAAAAGGGGGAGGAAAACTAAATTCAAAAACAACAATTCACATAATAATTAAGAAATGATAGGCTTCAAATGGGTTTATTACCTGGGATAATATCTGGGGTGACCCAGATAGAGAAACCATTTTAAGACAAGAAAATTCATAGATTTTAACGTCGTTGGAGCCCAAAAGAAATTGAAGCTACCGTTCAAATATGGCTGAAGTTAATATGCAAATAGGTGGTACAGAGGATTGGTCCAATTTGAAAACAAAAAAAAATGGGAAAATAATTGAACAACAAAAAAAAAGGATGAAGAATTAAAGAAGAGAGAATAATTCACTTACAAGTTAGAGTAAACGAAGATGAAGGCGAGGTATTCTACTATTCTCCTTCTGAGAGTTGTTGTCCAAAGCGCTCTGATCTCCTCTCTCTCTCTCTCTCTCTCTCTCTCTCTAGTTTTGGCGTGACCGTACTTTATTTCAAAGTTGAGACCTAAAAAGTAATTTAATAAAATGTTTGTCCTTACGGCCCTTTGCTGTGTGGGTCCTTGTAATTTATTTAAATAGGCATGGTTTTCTCCATTTTTTTTTTATCTTTAAAAATTTTCACTTACGAAATTTATCTATTTGGTTGATTTCCTATATCCATAATAATCCTTTAGTGATAATTTATCAAAAAAAAAAGTTAAAAAAAAGAAATACCAAAAGTATACCGCAACATTCAGACAATGAATATATATATATATAATCGGGGAGTTAAATTAGAAAATTACGTAGTAGATACAACTAAACAACGGAAGTATGTTATCCCTATGACATCGTAGAATATGCTATCGGACAGTAAAAATTTTGTTCATTTATTTTGTGGAGTATGCTTTGGTCAACTTTTAACCTTTGTATATATCATCAATTCCTTTCTTAACTTAGTCTTTTCAAACTGCAGATTGCAAACATGATGATAATTGAAAGAGGTGATACTATAAATAAATCAAACTAAAATTATGGCAAAATCATGTGAGTGCCCGCTAGAAGTGACAAAAGAATATAGATGGAATCTTGGAAGTAAAATATGTAAAGGCCCAAACTATGAATATTAGGTAGGGATTCATAATTTCACATTTGGCATAGTTGGAGAATCGGGGGCTCGAGGATTGCATGGGGATGTCATTGGATAAATTGTTTAATCAATTAATTTGGAATATTTTCCAATTCGATTTCAAGCTGTATGATGAGCCCTCGCGCCAATATTATAATAATATACCAGGAAGGAGGAGCGTGTGTTGGGCCTACAGTACTGGCCCGCATCATTTCAAAACTTCAAAAATGAGCGCCAAGCTCAACTGTCATGGGCTAATACTGAAAGCCTTCGTCTTGCTTCGCCGGATTGTGTTTTTGGGCCTACCTACTACCTACCATCATAAATCATTTATTAGGTCGAATTTAATTTTTGATTGATGTCTTCAATTTGATTTTCTCAATTTTTAACACCCTTGAATTATAAGTTTGCCCTTACTTCACAACTTAGCTCGAAGACGGGTTTGTGAGGATCATTTCTTGCAACCGTGTTAGATTTACATGCATGTGGCATACCGGAACACGTTAATTAACAAGTACTAGTAGATATACATATTTAAATAACAGCGAGAGATTGTCATGTGAACACTGTCTCTTTGTTTTAAACGAACTTATTATGTCTCGAACTAAATAACAGAGAAAAACATCAAAACAGACTTATGCCACTATACTAATTTCCAGCAATCTATAAATTATGCTTTACCATAAGATATGGAAGAGCAAAAACATATTGGAAATCCGCCAGCAACATGGGGTGTGCATTTGTTTCCCACCATTTACTCCAAGAAAGAACCATATTCAAAAGTTTGTACACTTTGAGAAACAAATCTTCATTGAAGGTAATGTAACAATCAAATTCTGAATTTTGTTTTCCATTGGCCAACTTGACATTGGGGGTGCAAAAAAGGGCTTCACACTCATGACTAGCTAATAATAATTGTTAATAAATGCAAGAAAATAAAGAGGGGGGATTGTTCTCCTTGAAAGGCGGGCGACATGAGCCTCTTCTAGAAAACCCAATGCAACATAATTTTTTTTAAAAAAAAAATAAATTTTAAACTGCAACACCCAATCTGATATCAGTAGTCCCAATTAAATTCATATAGCGGTATCTGCAGTTGGATTCAGTGATGAGATTAGGGAGTAGTATTTGACATCGTTGGCAGTTGGCACCTTCTCAATTGTTCTTATAGTGTAGAGTAACAATTAGTTAGCCCATCTCAAAATGAGCATTACCTTAAACATGAAACCGCAACATTAATATTTTAGCAATGTGTGGCCAACGTAGTACGTTATGTAAGACATTTTTGGACTCTATATTTTCTATCCTAAAGAAAACAAGAAAGAAAAAAAGCCGTCATGATTTATGAAATCCATATATGTGTGTATATATATCTTACTATATTAGAAACAAAAACCTCCCTTTCAAACACCTCATATAATTGCCACGTGGCATGTAGAAAATACTAAATTACCCTTTTGTCTAACCATAACTAAATTACTAAATCTCCCTTTGCACTTTACGTGATACGTTTTTTTTTTTTTAAATTTTTTCTTTATGTTTCATTCAGCTAGAGTGGTTTTTTAAATTGAATTGATCAATTAGGTTTTTTGTTACAAAGTGTCAATTTTGTTTTAAGCGTATACCCTTCGGATGAAGCTTATTACAAAGCTATTAAAAATCTCCAAAACTAAGTATTGATTTGGCACGACCAATGGAGAACATCAATAAATCATCTTACTAATATTTAAATTTATTAGGATGCTTTTATATTTTATCTAACATTTACTTCAACACATATATTCGATTAAGCTATTTATATTTAATAAGTAACACTTATAAAACATTTCTAAAACATACATGGCGAAATACAATTTATTTTTTTTTTTTGCGAAATACAAATATTTCTATGATCACACTTATAAAACATTTCTAAATCCTTCAAATATTTCTAAAATATATCGCTCCAAATACAAAATTTTATTTTTTTCAAATATAAACATTTCTAAGATCTACAGATAGACTGGGCCAGGGTCGCGCAGTGCGCGACCAGACATCACTAGTATATATATACACACACATATAATATACAGAAATCCATTATCCATATCAAGCAAGGTTCCGTGATTAGAAGAAACTCCGTTAGGTTTTACAAATTGTATAATATCCAATGGGGCCTGGTAGGTTGCAAGAAACGTGACGGGTTATGTCATCGTCCTCGTTTTGTGCAAATATGTATCAGAAACTTTTCAGAAATAAAATCGGATAAGGCCACTACAAATATTTTAGGGCTCAATATTTTATGAATTCAACCAGCTAGCGTTACAAGTAAATTTTTTTGTTATTAAAAAAAAAAAAACCCCAGCGTTACAGGAGAACAAATTTATCTTTTGCATAGTGGTTTTTATAAATTATCTAATGATTAAATCAACATAATTCAAATTGCTTGATGTATGCTTCTCATCATTCTTAAAAAGTCTCAAATTGCTGATTTTTTTTTTTTTTACTCATCCGGTTGAGAAGTAGATATTCAGGGCTGGTGATTACAACAATTAATAATAAATTAAGAATTATTGTCAGATTCAGTTTTTTACTCGTTTTAGCATGTTTGCATACAGCAAAACAAATTCACGATGGAATTTCATGATTTCATGTTAGGCTAAATGAATTTTTCACAAGTGAGGGTGACATTCGTGTTTAGTTAGTGACTTGGTTTATGTACATGGTCAGTATCAGAATGATCACTTGACCTATTGGAGAGACACAAGTTTAAATTAATTTTAGGTGAATTTATGCATAAAGTCATACTCTTTTTTTTTTTCTTCCTAGTACAAAAATAAGAGGGTGAATCTGAAATGAAACGATTACATTATGGAGATGTGTTATCCTGTGATGTCATATCAAGCCATGATTTATTTTGGGATGACAAACTCTTATAGACTATTGCAAAATTCTCATATCTTGTGCCGTAAGTGAAACCGAATAATCTACAATAAATTTCACCTTTCAATACAAATATCGCTAAATATGTTTTATAAAAAAAAAACCGCTAAATATGTATAAATACACCGAATATCTTACAATGTCACTAAAAACATTGGTATCCGTATGATTAGGAACCAAAACCTGTATTATTTTTTTTTCTCGTCTATACATGTAGACTTACATTTTTGGCTGTATGTAGATTGAAAGAAAATTCTGCAAATTTGCGAGTTGAACAGAAGAAGTAGATGACAATACAGAAATATGTGAATATGTGGAGCACGAACTTTCTAGTATATTCCTTCACTGATAAAGTAAAAATATGCGAATATGCCAAATCCAATTACGAAACAAAAATTGTCAAAAGCCCTAAATAGTAAGTATAGCTTGAGATTATGCAGATCATAGACTTAATTATCTTCTTGTCTAACTAAGTGGAACTATACATTCACAAATTTACAATAGTAACTTATTGCAATGCATTGATATTTCAACCAAGAAAAAAAAAAGATTTTTCTCATAATTAAAAATTCATCGATTCTCCTTACGTATTTTCTTCCCGATGATCATTTTAGAATGGAAAAATATATAGTATATTACCTGATCTCGAGGTAACAATATAAATCCCGAAAATTAGTCAATGATTGCATACAAAAGGTCATGATGAAAAACAAAAAAGGTTCATAATTTGTTACAAGATGTATCATTAAGGAAATAGTTAAGACTTAAGTGTAAGATCAAACTCATCCACATTAATATGGACCCGGCCAAAAGGAAATTATTCTTAGGCCATGAGTCACCACCAATCCACGTAACCTAGTCATATGATTTTCTATCAAAAACCTAATATAAAATATTAATAGCACAAGAGTCTTTCTTCCACAATTAAAAAACTTGTCGTAGCAGATTTCCCAAATCACACAGTTGGAATAAATCCAGAATTTTCCCTTAGATTTAATATTCAATAAAAAAAAAAAAGTATAGTTAATTAAAAAAATTATTCAATAAGAGGAAAAAAGGTTCAAGGTCCCCTCTACGTTGATTTAATGCCATTTATTTATCTGTTCACATTAAAATTTGCAGAATCAGAAAACCCAGAAGAAGAAAGAGCCATAATATAAGCCAAGAAGCGCCACCATCACCACCGTGTATTGTGTGTATTGCGTTCATCATATTCTGAAAGCAGGGAACAACAAAGATGAGTATTGAAGATGAGAAAATGCTGAGCAACGGTGAAATTATGGAGGAATCCAATGGGGAAACAAAAGGGACATTTCGGAAAAAGCTCAAAGATCGATCCAAGGTGGTATTTCTTTCTCTTTTTCGTTTTTTTTTTTTTTGGATTCTTATGTTTTTGATAATGATTCGAATTTCTGTTGCTTCCTTTTGTATGTATGTGATTTGGGGGTTGGTGTTTCTCATGTGGGTTTTCTTTTGTGTGTTCAGAAAGTGGCGGAAACCAAAGAGATGACGAAGCAGATCTTGTCAAAGCATGCAGACAAGATTGCCAAACGGGCTGAAGAACACGAAAGATTCATCAATAAGGTATTGTTTACTTGTGATTGCCCTTTGACTTGAGGGGGCTCTTTTTTTTTTTCCAAAAGCAACACTCTTTATTGAATGAAGTTTTAAACTCATGTATCGATTATAGTTTTTGGTTGGTCTTGCTCCAGTATCAAATTGAGCATTATGGGATCCCTTTAGTTAGTTATATCTTGTATTTTAGTGAGTTGGAACTATGGTTGTCTATGAGACGCTGGCTTCATGGGATTTCCTGGTTCATTTGCAGGTGACTTATTTGTTGAGTGTTCTTGGGTTTGGAACGTTTTGCTTTCTGTTGGGCGCCAGTAAGTGAAACTTCCTTGGATCTTAGAATTCATCTTTATCGTTCTTGCATCCATTCAGTTTGGCGTATTGACAGTCTGTTCTAATTTGCGTCTTTGGTTGCTTAATGTTGCAGGGCCTCAAGATGTACCTTATGTATACTGTCTACTTTATGTTATATTCGTTCCAATGCGGTGGATTTATTACCGATACAAAAAGTGGCATTATTATCTCCTGGTAAATTTCCTTTGCTTTAAGATTAGTCTTTTATGCGTGATCTCTTCTGATGGGCTAATATTGGTACTTGAAGCTAGATCAGTGGTTTTGAAATTTGGTAACTTAAGAAAATCACTATAAGTGGATGCTGTAATGCGAAACATTTTCTACACATTTGCTTTCAATAATCATAGCATCTGCGAGCAATGTGCCAGTAGAAATCTTCACTTGGCAGAGTTATCATGTCTTCTCTGAGTGTCTTGCAATTTTATTTTCTATAGCAGTTGACAATCTAATCTCTGTGTGGCTCCATTGTTCTGTCCTATGGTCAAATTAATGCTGAAGTGACGTACTTCTCTTGTTTCATGCAGGACTTTTGCTACTATGCCAACACAATTTTTGTGATCATGCTTCTCTTTTTCCCTAGAAATGAAAAGTTTTTCATGATTTGTTTCGCGTTTGCTGAGGTGAGCCACTTACCATGGACTATGTTGCGTCACTTTATGATATCGTGTTTCTTTAGTTGTATATTAATTTCTGCAAGATGTGCAGGGACCTCTAGCTTGGGCGCTGATCGTTTGGAGATGCAGCTTAGTCTTTAATTCCTTTGATAAGATTGTAAGCGTCTTCATACATCTTCTGCCTGGTAAGTTGTCCATTGTCTCTCTCTCCTTTTGTAATATGGCTTATTCGAGTACATATTCTTGCAATCATATTCATGTATCTTTGATGATGGTTATTTGCTGCGGTTTTATAGTAAGTCCTGCTTTGTCCAATCTGATTGTCATGTGATTGTGTCCTTTTAGAGCTTCGTGAAGATGAACCTTTCCGTTGTGTACTATTTAGCAGTATCAATTTAGGCGAGCAGATGTGCAGATCTTATTTGTATGACCTCTTTATTCTTGTCATATGCAGTACTCATGGTGATTAAATTGAAAAAAATATAAAAATCAGTGGGTATAAGAAATTTTTGTTGTGTTGAAAATCTTAACAAAGAGCAAGAATTAATTTGATTTATTGATGCCCAGATCAGGGATCTGTTAGAACATTGGAAATGATTGGAGTAGAGACTAATATAGCTCTTTAACTCTTTTTTCTTTTCTTTTTGGTTAAAGCTCTTCAACTTTGGTCGATTATTGTTGTTACTGTAATAATCTTCTATTTTTCGTATAGAGCATTGTGATCTCCTCTGTTGATCTTAACAAGAGCTAGGATCATGATGTAATTTTTTGCAGTATCTGTAAAGATTTTACTCATGCCACTGCCTATGATGCGAATTGTTACATGTTGCTAATGACCTTTCCCATCTGAAGATTTCTGGGATGTTCTTTTAACATGTATTAGTTGATGATCTAGTTTGTTGGTTATTGACCTAGCATAATATTTTCTGGGTTAGGCTTGGTTTACTTCACTATTCGGTGGTGGGATCCTGCATTTTTTGAAGCGATGCATCCTGTTGGAACACCTCGGAGACCTTCATGGCCTTATGTGGAAAGTAAATACAACTTATGGACGTGGCTATTTCTTGTTCCCTTAGTTGCTTACTGCCTTTGGCAAGCTCTTTATTTTCTCATTGTCGATGTCCTTCGGCGACAGAGGATTGTAAAAGATCCTGAAGTTATGACTTCTTACAGGTATTATAATGGTGTTTCTTTACTGACCTTGTGCTCATTTTTCTCCATTGGGTTTCTGCTTTGACTGTTGAACTTCTTCTGTCATTCCTGATTATTTTACTTCATTTTATGTCTTTATTTGTGAATGACTGTTTTTAAAATTTGACAGAGAACTCTCTAAGAAAGCACAGAAAGCGAACAATGTCTGGTGGCGTCTAAGTGGTGTTCTTGGGGATCAAAATCGCCTGCTAATGTATATCGTCCTCCAAGGAATTTTCACAGTGGCAACTATGGCCCTAGCCGTGCCCATTTTTTTGTCCTACAGATTGCATGTTATTTTCCAAATCCTGAAGGTCTCCGCAACCATATGGAATGGGGGAAACTTTTTGCTCGAAGTGATGCCAAGACAGTATGTTATGAAAGAGAAGAAGAGATCAGAGGGGAAGCCGGGGCAGACTCTGGCAGACCAAGCAATTTCCCAGGAGGAGGTCATCCAATCATGTAAATCATCCGACCCTCACATCACGGGGACCAATCAAAACCATTTAACTGAACTTGAAAACTCGATGGAAACAAACAATTCCTCTTAGTGTTGTAAAAACATGTGTGTTTCTTTGAACTCCCATCTTAGAGGGGCAAAGGTGTCTGCCCAAGAAGCCCCAAAAGAAGAAAGAAGAAAAAGCTCCAAAATGATAATCTTTCATCCTTGATTTTTTGTAGGTGTTACTTGTTAGATGTGTTTTACAAATTTTCAGTCAGTTGTGTGATATGCACTGAATGAGTATAGCACAGTTTGTAGTTTAGGGTGAAAGAAGATGCAAGTCAAGGATGGTTCTGGTACAGCTTTTATGTCTGGAAGACTGGAACTCTAAGTTTAGTCAAGAGTCTGATTTCATGTATAGAAATTAGTGTTGAATATTTCAGTTTTCGATTTATCCTTTCCAAACAGGTTCAAGTTTGATATGCACGTTGATCCTTAGCCAATATTTATTGACTACGTTTATCTCTCATCTTACATGACATTTGCACATTTGCAAATTAGTCGATAGCTAATTTGGCTTTGAACTATGAGGGCAATCTTTTTCTGGTTTGTATACAGTTGGATGGCTCGATCAACTTTGCTTCCTTAGCAGCTCTACAAGTGCAAGCTCAAGGGAATTAAATCATCCGATCCAAATTCGAACCATTTTCTATTCCTGGAGAAAGGTAATTGATGATGGTGCTTGGAAGCTGACCAAATTGGTGGCATTAATATCCTTTAGCCCTGATGATGAGATAACTTCTTTGGCTTCATCAATGGCTCAGTGAGGTAATTAAAAAGATTGCTGGAACTTAGAATATAATGTTTATTCAGTTTAGCACTCTGTGCTGGTTTCTCAACAAAAAAAAAAAAAAAAAAGAAGGGTTGAACGAACCAAAACACATAAAAATTGCTGGAGCTTTGAATACTATGCTCATTCAATTTGCATCTGCACCAACTTTGCTTCTAAGTTCTTACCCTGCTGCCAATCTGCACACATTATCCCAATCAAACACCAAGAGAATCTGTGCACTTCTTACCTCATACCACAAACCGAAATCCACATATTGTCCCAGACTCCCAAAAAATACCACCCAAAATCTGTGCAGCTAAAGAAATGATTTCCAAGATGGAGGTCGCTCTGCTTTCCTGGTCCCTTATTGCTGCTTTTTTCACCACTCAGAGAGCCGCAACAGCCTCGATGCGAATTGATTTTTATGATCAAACCTGCCCAAGAGCCGAGAAGATTATTTTCGCGGAGGTGCAGAAAATCCTCCGAAGACTCGCCCAGCTGCTCCGCCTCTTCTTCCCCGATTGCTTTATCGGAGGATGCGACGCTTCCGTCCTGATCGACACCAACAATCCTTCCGATGAAAAACAAGCACCACCAAACCTGACACTAAAAGGGTTTGAAATCATCAATATGATAAAGGATGCGTTGGAGAGAGAATGCCCTGGCGTGTGTCCTGTTCTGATGTACTGGTCCTCGCCGCCCGAGATGCCCTGAGTCTGACCGGTGGTCCGTTCTACCCTCTTTATACTGGGAGAAGGGACAGCAAAGTTTCTTTCAGGCAGAAAGCTACGGATGAGATTCCAAGTCCTACCCATCACATCGACAGAATCCTAACATTATTCGCTCAGAGAGGCTTCACCGCAAGGGAGACCGTGGCGCTTCTGGGAGGACACAGCATTGGCTTCATCAGCTGTGTAGACAATGCAACCGATCCGTACATCCCTCCAGACTTCCATGACGAATTAAGTCAAAGGTGCGAGAACATAAACAACAACGTCAGCATGATGGACCCTGAGCAGCTATTTTCCTCATCTTCTCCGCTGCTGAGATCTCATTCCGGGACTCACTACTAGGAGTCGCTGACCAGAAGAAGGGGACTCCTGTTTTCGGACATGGAGTTAATGGCGAACGAACAAACAGCTGCCGTCGTCGAAGAATATGTGTCCGACGACGGAACCACATTTCGAACAGACTTCATCACAGCCTTGGTTAAAATGTCTAATCTTGTCACTTTGACTGGTTCTGAAGGTGAAGTCAGGGTTAATTGTTCTGTTCCGCTTTAACACTTAAAAATGATGTTATTAGGATTACACACAAGTGTATGATGTAATTACTCCTGAGATTACTATTGGTGCCTCTGGAAGAAAAGTCCCATTATTTGACCAAGAAATTCTAGTTATTAACTTGTTATCCCTATCAGCATCTCTTTTTTAATTACTACTTTCTTGGATTTGGCCTCATGAGAGAGGGTATGGGAACAGCGAGCAAACACACTGGAGTTTGTATAAATGGCACAGAAGTAAAAGGGAAGAAACTTGAGCTTTTGTATTTAAGGTCAATGGTTTCAACCTCTTTCTGATCAGTTTTGTTTGCTATCCTTTTGGTATTGCTTCTTGTAGTTTCTTTTGTGGTCATTAATTGTTTGAGATTGATCTGTCTTTAGGCCAAAAGAATATGTGTGTATATATATATATATATATATATATATATATATATATATATTGCTTCTTGTAGTTTCTTTTGTGGTCATAATTGTTTGAGATTGATCTGTCTTTAGGCCAAAAGAATATGTGTGTGTATATATATATATATATATATATATATATATATATATGTAGAGAAAGGAAAGAAGGAAATAAAGTTTAGATCAAACTACAGTAGATGCAAAATACAGTTTAGATCAAACTAGTATTTGATGTTGAGATGCATGAGCCATGAAGTGTATATGATTGAATTGTGAATATGTTCATCCAATTCGCGTGTTTCACCTGCTGTGGGTCAACGTTTCTGACTCAATAAAATATTACTCCCTCTGTCTTATAATTATTGTCCAATTTGAATTTTCATTTTTAATTCAAACTGTACTAAAAATGAAATCTGAAACTGGACAATAATTTTGGGACAGAGGGGGAGTACTAAACATTCACTCCGCCAGAGTTTCCCTCAAATTTATTGTATTCACATAAACAATTACAAGCTAAACTATCAATACTACAAGAAGAGCTATCCAAAAGTAATGGTTAGTTTTAGATGATAATGTAATTCTAATGTAATTTTAATATGTAGAAGTGCCACCCAAGCAATATGCTCCCAGGCTATCTTCCCAATTCGTCATACTTGGGATAAACAAATCCCTCCATCATCATTTGCTGTATATTTGAAGGAAACTTGCGGAAGTAAAAATTTTTTATGGTTTGGGATGTATATATATACGTAGGAGTTAGATCACCAAAATGCGGTTCCCCCTGATATCTACGTCGGGAAAAAAGGTTTCCGTGAATTATGAGTTTTTTTTTCATAGATATGGATTGAGTTTATGTCTAAAAAAAATTAATAAGAATATCAGTTACCATATTGATTTTCACTTGCAACTTTTAATTTCTGACTGTAAACTGACAAACTATGTAAAGGATTCTACAGTGAATCTTCATTTTGAGAAAAAAAAAAAAAAAGAATATCATTAGTCTACTAGTAGTAATTCATCTCTCCTAGTTTTTGCAATTGTACTTACTTGTTCTGTTAATTCAAGGGGAGAAGATTTTAACAGACACACACCTTATATTCTCGGTTGGGAATAAGTCTATTTTATGAGCTTATTAACATTTCCTTCCGACTAACGACTTTCAATAAGAAATTTATAACTATATTTTGCCATGAAAGAAGGGGTTTTTAAAAGAAAACCCTAGAAAGTTCAAAAACATCTTCTCGATCGAGAATACTATACCGAGCTTGGAAGGTAAGGACAATAACTACATGCAAGTAAGAATTCTTAAACTTCCTAAAGAATGCAAAAATACATAAAGCACAGTCACACATAAATAATTGACTTTAATTATTCGATCATTGATGAGTTTTTTAAAAAAATTAGTTAACATAACAAATAACCTTCAATCACACAAGGATTGAGAAGTATTCTTAGTAGATAAACAAAGTTAACCACACTTTAGCCGAGGAATGATAGAGTTGATCACATAATCAGCCATGTCCTTGTTGGCTTGTTGAGTCAAACTCATTCCATCCCAACCGATATGATTATCTGGATTTGGACAAGGATTAACGCTAGGCATTCCACACAGGCTCCTAAATCAAAGTTAGAAACCGTTACGCTCTCACAACAAGCTGAAAACTTGTCCTCAAATCTAAGATTCTGTGCGTTGGATAACATCGACAAATAAGTATTATAGTAATCAGCATAAACAATCAACACGTCAGAGTATTCCTCCTTCGATTCTTCAATGGCTGCCTTTAGAAGTTGATTATGACGAACAGCGATATTGTTGAATAACTCCATACACTGATTAGAGTCATAAGCTCTCGGATTATATTCCTCACGGTAGAAGAAACTCAGAGAAACAGGAAGACAACCAAGTGTAAGATTTTCAGGAACAATAATTCCTGTCGCACCAAAGTTGATTACTTTTCTAACAGCTTCTGCAATATTACGAACCACCTCTGGGGCAAAAGCATCCCACTCCACATCTCCAAGGTCCCAAAATCCATAACTGTAATCTTTTGTTCCGATGTCTCCGACGAAAAACAAAGAATTTTTTATCAAGTCTTGGCACGCTTCTTTGGTTTGACAAGTTTGGTTCAAATGAGACGACAACTGCTCTAATTGCATGCTGAGCGAATATTGGTGGCGAGGCGAAGATGAAGGCCTCTAGGTGAGAACCAACCCTCAAAGTTTTCACCGTGAGGTGGAAGACCCTTAGATTGTAAGGTTTTAACCGGTAAAGCGGTAGCACCCACAACAGCAAAGCTGGCTCCGTGATCGAAATTCGCCCCCTCAACTCCTCTCTCATACGGACTAAGATACAGTACACCAAATGCCAAAGCTGCATTATCACCAAACAAATGTATTAGATAGGTCCTTCAAATTGTGCATGTTAAAAGGAAAAAAAAAAGAAGCTTTTCATAGCAACTTCAAACATAGAGCACTTGTAGTCTGCAAGTATAATGCTTGAATTAAATAAAAATAGATAACTAATAGAGAAAAATAATTAAAAAAACGTACCAAAATAATCGATCATCAAAAGGCCATTAGAGGCTCGACCAGTTGGTTTCCCAAGGGTGATCCCATAAGGAAACTTGTTGAATAAACTGTTAGGGACTTTGGCAGCTAGGTTTCCGTATCTGATGATGCATCTCCAAGACTGTAGATTCAGTCGAACTTGCAACCATTTTTGGGGCAATGTCAACGTGATCATCACGTAACAACTTTCGGGGGTAGCTAAGATATGGTTGGAGAATAAGCAAAAACACAAACATAACATAACCAAGAGAAAGTTTATTCATTCTACGAGCCATGTTATATAATGAAGGAGAAGTAAGAAACAGAATTACTACTACAACAACGAGAGAATGAGAGCCACTAAAGAGGCTAGAAAATCAAGACCGAGAGAGAAAGAAGAAAATAATAGGTTGTTGAATATGTGATTGTGTAAAAAAAGTTTGGGGGGAGATCATAGAGGTTAAAAAATTGCTGAAAACTGGTTGGAATCGGAAGTAAATGCATAATCCTGTGGTAAGTAAGAAAAGGAAATTAGACGATAACTAAGCTTATTCAAAAATATCAAGTTAACAACGGTTGAAAATCTCAATTAAAATTAGGAATAGGATTAATTTTTGATTAATTTTTCTTTTTCACCGAAAACGTGCCACTAAGTAGTTTTCTAAATCGAAGTTGAAATAGGAATTCTATGGCGGTGTTTTTTTGGTTAGGTTCCATAAACCATTTGCGCTACCACCCACTTCAAGCTTCTTTCTCAGCATTTAATTCTGGAGAGGTGATTTATGGCTAGTGAGGTTGAGGCCATCTGTATCCATCCCTTGGGAAGCCTATCCATCCCTTAGGCTATAAGACATCTATTTTTTCCCATCCCAGGTTTCCAGAAAGTATTAATCTATTTACCTGATGCTTCTTAAACTCATTCGGACTGTCTCCACGCATAAATTGTGCCTCATGATTATTGAGTCTGTCTGATGTAATTTCTTCAGCCGTGATGCAATTCGAACAATTATACAAACAGTACCATCAATATAGTGCTAGTTAATTTTCAATTTCCTGATGATGGTTGTGAATAACTAGGAATCAATGTTGGTTTTTATTTTCTTTTCTTTTTTTTAATCTTTTTTAATGCATATTTACAGGATGTCCACCATCGGCAATAAAAAGCTAAAGAAACGATAAAGATAAAGAAACGTAAGGGACAGTAGAAAGTTGGAAACTAATTTTCAGAATGGCTTGTTCAATTGGGTTTCTTCCGATTTTTTAACAAACCTACTAGAATTTTGTCCCAAACTTCCAATTACGTACAAAAGACAAAGACAATAATGTTGGGATTAATTGAGTCATGTTTTGCTTCAAGCAAGAACGTAAACAATAAATCTGAAGCTGGATTTGATGCAGACTGAACAAACAATATAACCCAGAGGGGAAAAAAAAAAAGAAGAAACGGAAAAGAGGCTTTTAGGTCATTCACAATCAATAAAAGACTTAAATATCTCGATTTGTTTTGCAGCAATACAAACACCAACCTAGCTACAATCTACTTCCACACTAACAAACGAATGAATTACCTAAAGTTTCTTCCAATCTACACCCAAAACCCCATCAACACACCAACTGACCAAAAACCAATCATCACTATCAATCGCTATTTGCCACCACACTAAAAGGCCATGTGGCTTTGTAACTTAATAACCTCTCGTGTTTGGATAGCGCACGAGGGAGAACCAAAAAAATTGACCCCAGACAACATACATTAACCGTTGTCTGAGCTATCGAGGTAAAATATACAACGGGCAACTATCAAATGATAGGAAAAGTAAAGAGAAAAAATAATATATGCACAAGTTTCTACACAACTTAACGTGCAGAAGTCCAATGTTCTGGTGATGAGACAAGGATTTAGCATCTGACTCCGTAATCACCATCCAGAAAATTAATGCAAAAATGCAAAACCTGAGTTCTCCCGGATTAAAGGGGGAGGCTCAATGTCCGCAACATCAACTGGCTGCATTGATTTGGAGATGTCGTCCACAGAGAACGGGATGCTGCATCAAGAAAACAAAGCTAGAGTTAGAGATCCTGCTTTAACTCTTTGGGAGTGGTACAAAATAATTAAGGTGTCACTGCTTTTCAGACATGGTTAAGGGTTACAAAGATGCAACATCGTAAACGGTTACAGATTACACAGTACTTCAAATATTCAGTACAGAATGAAAATTATACTAAAAGCCAACACATCTATCCATCCAACATGTCAAATTTGAGGGTTACCTTGAATCATCATCCAACAAAAATGAACTGCTAACTGCATTGTTGGAATCCTCAGTCATCATAACTCTCATACTTGAAATAACCTAAATTTCAACAAGAACATAAATATACTTGCGATGGTGGCAAAATTCAGTGAATATCTCTTGGCGCATAATAAATCGACATAGAAGAAATAAAACAAAGTGAGGGACTAACTTACATCTGAAGAGACACTATGGGTGCCATATTTATCATCCCAGTACATTGTACTTATCCTGTATAATTGTTGTATGCTTAGCACCTATAGAGAATAACAAGAAAAATGAGGACCCAAAATGAAGAATAAAAGACCCGGAAAAGTAGTCCTTAAGTTTAGAAATAAATCATTTAAATTTAACAAAAAGAAGATAAGTTTGAAGAAGATTAAAAAAAAATTAAAAAAAATAGAGCAATTTCTTACAGGACAAAGATCATTAGTAATTTCATTCAACGTCTTTTTGGGCTTCTGATGAATAACCTGCAGAGATTTTAGACAACAAAATAAATTTACCAACCACACATTACATAACACCCGAATTGATGACTGATGACTGTAGTCAACTTACTAGGAACCCAACAGCCTGTCTGATGTGCTTCAGTTCGTCCCAAGCAGAGCCCACAAACTGAAGAAAAAGGACATAATGAGAGGTTGCAGGAATACTCAAATATGCATCATAATACTGAGTAAAACTTACTTCTTCTGTAGCAGAAATGCACCATTGCTCTAATTCAGCAAGACCTGCTTTCACATACTCCCCATTGCTAAACGAGCAGCACTCTCGTCTTAGAAGAAGACTGAAAAACAAAAAGGAAAAATGAGAATGAGGGTGACCAGCAAATGAGTTCATCATTCTCCTAGCACAATTCATTATCAGTAACCATAAACTTTAATCTGATCTAACTTTACCTGTTAAAAAGTTGGACATTAATAAATGAGAATATCTGAGTAAAGATTTTTCGGACCAAGAATGCGGGCACCTGCAATAGCAAGAACAATAGGAAGAAACAATCATAAAGATAATTAATGAAAAACATCCACAGGACGCTTTGAATAAATGCAAAACACGATACTTCAACTTGATGTGAATTTTTGGACTCACGTAGTTCGCCGTCATCAACTTCAAGTAATTATTCAAGCTTTTTACAATGCTCTGCCAGTGAGCAATCAAAGCTTGCTGAGCAACAGCATTAGCTTGACTGCGCCCTTTAACCAAACTTGCACGAGACGTTCGAGGAGCCTGCACCCATAGCAAGTAGATTATTTCGATTCAGAAGAAAATATTTGCAGAACCACAGGATGGCAAATTAGATTCAACAAGGCATAAGCCCATTTACGAATTACGAAATGAAACAGAAAACTGGAACCAACATTACTAATGCATCAACAAGGGAGGACAAGAAATGAAAAGGGCAAACCACAGCGTTGATTTACTTGTTTATTATTAATTTCAAATTCCTAAACAGAAAGCTGACAAGTTTAACAAAATTGCCAGGCCATAACTTAACTAAAAGCTTTTCAATGTGCCAGGCCATCAATCAGGTTTCTGCGCTCAAAAACTCAAAATTCCAGAACATAACTGACCTCATTGGACAAATAGCAGTGCAGACTACAGCTATTCACAACATTGAAAACAACAAAAGAATACCTGGATGCACAAGCCTAGTAGGGGAGAAATCTCTTTCTTCAGGTTATCTCTTATCATTCCATATATTTTTTCAAGGAAAGCAGTAAGTTGTTGCTTGAACAGTAAAGCAGGATATTTTGCTTCAACTTGACGCAAGTCATCCAGTCTACCAAGCACACGACCATTGAGAAAAGAGAGTCCAGCGCTCTGTGGAGAGGCCCGAAGTCCCTATCACAAGACACACGAAGGCTAAGTATATTAAACAGGTCATAATTTTGAGAGAAAGAGGTCATGCAATTATTAAAAAGAGGCATATACTTGGGACATCCTTCCAAAAAGTGAGGCTGATGATGACCTCCGCCTCTGCGGAGTCAAGCTAGCTGCACCGGTGGCTTTGAGAGTGTGTTGGAGCAGCATCAACAATGTGGACGTGTTACATAACCAGTATGTTAAGACATCATTATTGTCAGGTACCTTCCAATAAAATTTCTTGAGTTAATAAAACTTTATATATTTGACAAAAAATCATTACTGAAAAATGATTCCCTTGGCTTCTGCCCGAAAAACTCAACTGCACATCATGATCTAGTTCAAGCTAGAACAAAAGGCAACTCTTTAAATCTAGTGGAATACCATACCTCAATAGCTGAAGCTATTGTCTGTATGATTCGATCAAACACAGTAGTTCTTTCAACTTCAAAAGATCTCCAATGTAGAAGGCATTTATAGATCACACATGCAGCAATAGGTTTGCCACCAGAAAATCCCAAATCTTGTGAGATACACTTGATTAGCAAGTCTTGGTTCTCCTGCAGTAAAATAAAAGATTGCAAAAATAAGAGTGTGAAACCATCTAAGAATAGAAGAAGATGATGTTTAAACATTAACTAACCTGCTGCTTTTCATTCAGAGACTTCTGTGGTTTTTCCTCAGAATCAAGCTCCTTTGGACTTGCAATAGCAAGAGTCATGTCCTGAAACATCAAATACACAATCAGAAACTACATCTCTAGGTGTATTTCCAGTTATGTATTAATGATGAGATTAATTATTCTTACATGTGCAACCTTGGTTTCCCCGTTTGGAACTCCATTCTCCGGCGTTCTCTGCAAATGACCGTTTAAGCATTGTTCTCTCAAAAGGGGAGTAAAAATCAAAATAAGCTACAAACCCAGTATTACCTGTATAATTGTCATTTTCGGCCGCGAAGATATAGTTTTTCCAGTTGGTGACATGGTCAAAGCTTGTTGGCGGAGGACTTGGTTTTCTGACTCCATATTGGATAGCTTTTCTTCAAGCCTGAATAAAGATGATAGGACAAAAAATTGCGTAACCAATTAAATACGGGCAAAAAGAGATGAATAAGCGGAAATTAAACTTCTGCTCTGGATATAGGAGCATATGTAATTTGATCAATTTGAGGTCTGGTGGTGCTCCACAATTGAAATTTGTCACACACCTTTGAACAGACTCCTGAAGCTGATCAACTTTGTGTTCAGCATCTTCAAGTTTTTTAATCAATTCTGCATTTCGGGCCTCGGCATCAACAGAAGCCTTTTGTGCCTCTTCTGTTGTCTGCTTTTCCAACTTCAGTGAAGTCTGCAAAACCCAAGGGTAAGTCAGTTAGCCTTATCTGATGGAACAAACTCTCCAATGCCACTAAAGAAGAAGCCTAACATCGGGTGACGCTCATTAGACAGCCATTACTCAGACAAGCAAGGAGGATGCGCAAAAGCATAACTATATAGATTACACAATATTATCTGATCCTGCAGATCAATTCATTCTTGCTTCAGAAATCAAGAAACATTCCTGCTGAATACTATGATAAAAAATGCTCAGCATGAAGCCTTATGCTCGTGATTCGATATTGAGAAAGCTCCAAACATATGTTACAGCATTTTGCAAGTCTAAAATCCTCCATCACAACAGGCCATCAGTGTAAGTAAGAACACTACTTGCCTATCTATAAAAAAATATATATAATTAAACAATCAAACAATTTTATCACTCAAAATGAAATCAAATCACCGAATTCTAGGAAAAAGTTTAAGCAAAAGCCTTTTATATCTACTAAGAAATTACTCCGATTCGGCCAGATTAATTGAAGGTGCGGACGAAGATGTGGACATCGAAGTATTTACTCACTTTGTTTTGACAACTCCAGATAAAAATTTCAATTCAGAGATCTTTTTACACCCAAAAACGTAGCAGCAGGGCATGGCTAGATGATAAAAATTTTGAACAATCCAATAATGAATGAATAGGAAGAATGAGAAAAAGAAAAAAGAAAAAATGAGATCCCAGCTGTTTTGCTATCTTCCCCAACTCCCAACTTCTCTCTTCATTTTTTTTATTTTTTTATTTTTTCTAAAAAAAAGTTTAAACATACAAAAAGTCAATGTGAACACTGACATGGCAAAAATTGATCACACAACAGGCACGTGAAGGCAATTGACAGAATTATCAAGAGAGTGGACCGAAAAGGACCGGGTAACAAGATCATTTTTGTATGTGACGACACAAAAAGATTATTTGGATAAATATGGTGGACCAATTTGGAATTTTTGGTGTGTTTCCCTGGGACACTACAATCATGAAGACAACTGAAGGGCCTGCATTATTTGGATAAATATGGTGGACCAATTTGGAATTTTTGGTGTGTTTCCCTGGGACACTACAATCATGAAGACAACTGAAGGGCCTGTAATTTTGCAGTACGTAAATATGGACTTTGGTCATCATGCACAATGCAGAGAATGATCAACAAAGTCCTCATTTATCTAAATGCAAATGTCCACCCTTTTTTTTCCCGTACCTTCAAACTTTCAATCTCAGCAGTTAATGCTTCAACTTTGGCTGTGTCTTGAACTATAACAGGGGTCTCCTTAATAACTGGTGGAGCTTCTTCAATGGCTTTTCTTGCTGCTTCTCTCTCTTTAATTACCTTGGCATTTGCTTCCTCTACTTGGGCCTGCATTGCATGCAAAGCCTCCTGCAATTTTGCAACTTCCTGGGCTTTCGTCTCTTCCAGTTCAGTCTGTAAGAAAATTGGCCATGAGGGACCCATTCAACGGCTATTCAAATAGCCGGACCTAAAAAGATTTCTAAATACAAACCCGTAGTCTCTTCTCAAATTGCAAGCGCCATGTCAGTTCTTCCACCTTCTTTTCCAGCTTGTCCTTTGCTTCTTTGAGGGCCCCTGTTTCCCTTGCAGCCTGCATTGATGGACACATTAGAAGCAACCAAAAGGGAACTTGTTATACCTAAATATGCTACTTTGAAACGCATTCATAGAGTGTAAGAATGACCAACCATTTTAAGCTTGCGAAGCTCTCTTCGAGCAACCCGTGCTCTCCATCCACATTGAGTGACAAGGGCAGCCTTTTGAAGACTTCTGTAGTATGCGTAGGCCCTGTGCGAACGTACATGAGCCTGCAAGAGGGAAAGGATCCATCAGAATTTCCCTTCACAAAAATTAGAAGTCTTTCCAGACTACTTGCCAGAATTTAGGCAAGACCTGAATTTTAATAGCAGCCTTGGTTTGTTTCCGGTATCTGAACTCATTTCGGGCAGTTAAAGCTCTCATGCCCGTCTGCAAAGTGATAGCGGAAAGTCGCAATGTAGAGTAGGACTTGAAAGCAACATAACATCTGAAGTTCTTCTGTATCTTCAGAGCAGCTGCTTCGCGCTGTAATTGTTCAAATAGTTTGCAGGCCAACATACCTAGTAATCCATCAACAAACATTCAGGAACACAACGTCTCATAAAAATTTTAAATGTTCAAAGCTTTGATTATCTTATTCCATGTAGCAGATCCTGACTAGATAAATAACACGAAGCACATAACTTGCATCACAGAAAACCAATGGTAAAGATTACCTCGCCAACAAGATTGCAGTTGAATTGCTGCCTGGCGTATTGTGATGAACTCTTTCCTAGCAATATAAGTTCGAATTTGTCTTTGGATGATTCTGGCTGCATTTCCAAGAACCTCTGCTCTCCTTGCATCTAGCTCAGCCATCTGGCCAGCTCTAAGGAAGACTTTCGTTTTGCCCATCTGCAAAATAAAAAACGCAATCGCAAAGAAGCCACATGGATTAGCAAAGAAAATGTTTTCATGGCTGGAAAAAGAAAAAAGTACACAATGTGAAGCAAATAAAAACCAAATTTACTGAAAGTACGACCGAGCAGCTGTACTATACACAATCAACTGCAGTCATGTTTACAGAATTCAATCTCAAGCGAGAACTACATGCACATTACCTGATAGCCTTTGAGTCCCATTTTGTCAAGAATAATTTGGCATGCCAGCTTGTCATCGTATCTGCATAGTGGAAGATATTGCTTCAACAGGAGACTAGGAAATAGACTAGCCTATAAAGGCAGGGGTAAATAAGAGGTTTACACAACAAAAGATACAAGCGCCACATGCAAACTTCATCTTAACCATCCCTGGAGGTGAGATCTGTAAAAGGGGAATAAGTGATAATTCACCTTCCATCCAATGCTTCTGGAGCAAGGACACCAAAGCGAAGAAGAAACTCATCAAAAGTTCGCCTAGTAGGATACCCAGCACAGCTGATTCTTATAGCTTCCAGAACACCCTGAATAAACCAAGAAAAAATCCTTCAACATGTGAAGCAAAGAGTCAAGAAAGTAAACAAGATGCAAGTGAAGATACAACTTTTACTTACACCACAGCGCAATTGTTGAATGACATTCTGATTCTCAAAAATAGCAGGTTTCAGGACATTATTAGGCTTCACGCAACGAATGTAGTGAGGCTCTGTTGAGTTTAACGTCTCCATCAAAGATTGCAGTTGTAGCTGCAAGCATCATTACAGAACAGAATGGTTAGAAGAAGACAAATTAATGCCTCAGGTAAGCAAAACGAGAGGTACCTTAAACCGGGAACCAATGGAAGAAAATTTAGAGGACTTTGATGATTCTTCTGGTAATGGAGGGAATAAACCAGCTACAAAGTGGCACTTTGAAGCTGTTAAAAGGTCTTGATGTTCTGCCACCACATAATCTTTGTTTTTATCCAAAAATAGGTCTGCCAGATATGTCACCTTCAAAGAAGAGTAGGCAACAGAACATAAGATAGGAAACATACTTCTACATGCAAATACACTAGATATAAATCATCAATACCTCTCCAGCATAGTGAGATATCGTGAAATTGGTGCGTGAAAGCTTAGGTTTGATGAAGCGCTTGTTTTTTGCAAATGTTTGATACAACTTCTGAGCAAATGTTTCATGAGTTGATTTTGGAAACATACTGCATCAAGCAAACATTATAATAACTGGATGTGAAGGATAAAAAAAGTATGGGACTTAGTGTTATTGCTGATAATAAGTTATCGATCATAATATGACAGTGAATGTTGAATGCTAGCTATGGTTTTTTTTAAAGTGTTGTTGCTGAATACCGAATACTAGCTATAATTTTTCATCCGATACAAAATAGAATAACCTTCAATATGATCAACTTTCTCTAGCTGGAAAAGGAAATGTAACAACTATCTACGTACCATGCTTCATCTAGAAGTGCAATTATTCCTCCAGGTTTCTGCAAATAGTTCCAATTGTATTAGCTAAAGAAAAATCCAAGGTATGACGAGATGCATAAAGAGGTGTCTTTGATTACGGCTTATTCAAGTTAAACTCACATAGAACCTAGAAAATCATACACCGCCACCAACAAATAGGGGATGTGTGACGATGCAGTAAGCTGGGTTGCATACCTTTTCAATCAAATCAAGAACATCTTGGTTATCAACAAACTCAATATAGCTCCAGTTAATCTGCTCCTTTTCATATTCTTCTTGTTCCATTTTGAACACATGCTGTGATGAAGAAATTTAGGTAATTATTAGTTCCAGTTGAAAGTCAGGAATTCGGGTTAAAGCGGTGATATAGTCGAGAAATGGGTGTCTCACCTGGTTGAAATGCTGCTGCAGCTTTTCATTGGTAAAATTGATACAGAACTGTTCAAAACTGTTTTGTTTTACAAACAAATGTCAGATTTACTTCCTCTTAACTGCATCAAAAAGTTCAACTCCAATGCCTCAATATTACTTACCTATTCTGCTTAAAACTCTCAAACCCGTAGATATCAAGAACTCCTATTATTGATTTTGAGTTGGGATCCTGCCCAATCGATCTGTTTATTTTCTCCACAATCCTGAGAGAAAATGGAGAAGGTGGTGAAACAACCAAGTAGATAGGTTCCAAACTTTTGAGTAGATGATACAAGTCACATAACTGCTCACCAATCAAATAGACGAGAATATACAGTTTTGGCCAAGGCATCCCTGCTACCTGTGGCAGCTTCTGGATCAAGAGTCCTAGTAATAACTTCCTCAGGAGTCACCATCACACGTTTAATGAGCGCATCCTCCAAACTTTTGACATCGCACCTATTCCAACAATTTTTGGACTTTCAAACCTCTCATTCCAAAACAAAAGAGAGACTCGCTATTGAAAGGCAAATATGCAAACCTAAACAATTCCGCAGTCGTATTAAGATGGAACCAAGATTTATCATCCTTAATCACAGAGGAATCGATCTCTTTCCCCTTTGCAAACTCAACATTTCCAAGATGAAGAATTGCAGCCACAACTCTGAAAATTGCTTCCTGAAAAAACACAACATGATAAATCCGAGGGATACAAAAAAGCGGAATCACAGTTCTGTAAACTCTGAGGGAAGACCTACCTGCTCTTCCTCACTGATTCCAACTATATCCATGGCCCTTCTCGTGGCAAGATATTCTTCAGCATCATTTACTCCATCAAGTTCATAACAGTTTGACTGGTTTAGATAGTGAAATGATTTTGGATCTTGCAATCTATATCTCTCCCTCTCCTGCAAAATTGAGGCAAAATTCTCACTTTCCTTCTTGCAGGCAGCTTGTTAAATCACCACTCAATAACATAGCTAAAACATAGTCATTCAGCTGTTATCTATAAAGGAAACATTACCTCAGGTGGTGCTGAACAAAGAAGATAAAAGCAGTGGTAATTCCTTTCAGGAGATGAAATTTGGCAGACCCGAGACCTCTCCAGCAAGTAAGTTCGTACAGCTGCCCCCGATATTCTACCGCTTTTATCGAATTGTATCTCAACAAATTTACCGAAGCGACTACATTAACGCATAACAAACCAAGTCAATAGCAAGTTTTACGACATAGTAACGAAACATGAAAAATGCCGAAACCGAGAGAAGTATAATTGTCCCAATCAAAAATCAAGTCGATAAACCCATGACAAATGGGATCAGAAGAACTCGTTACCTTGAGTTGTTGTTCCTAACAGTTTTAGCATTTCCAAAAGCTTCAAGAACTGGATTGGACTGTAAAATATTGGTTGAACGGCAATGTTTAAGCAAATGAGAGCTCAAACCACTACACGAGAAACAGAATATGATTTTAGAAAAGAAGAAAATGTCTTACTTCTAAAACTTGTTGTTCAACAGTCCGTCCTTCAACGCCTGAACGACCCCCCAGATATGCAAGATATCTCATTAACATCTTTGTTGTTTCAGTTTTTCCAGCACCACTTTCCCCACTAACGAGGATTGAATTGCTCTTGCCTTCATTAATCATTTGCCTGACAGAAAACATATAAAGATATGAATAAATACAACATGTATCTGTTAGAAGTTAAGAAAGCTCATGTAGTTCTGACTGCTTACCTGTATGAAACATCAGCAATGGCAAAAACATGAGGACTAAGCTCCCCAAACCCAGCTCCTTTATATTGTTCCATCATGTGGGAATCATATAGGTGAGGTATTTTTTGGAAAGGATTTACTGCTATTAATATATTTCCAGTGTATGTCTGTCAAATTAATTAGACAGACATCAACAATTTGTTTATTCGATCAAATGAGTCGCAATTAAGGATTTTGTCAAGAGTGCAAAGTGATTATCTTACATATATCTCATTGAGTTCATATCTTGCAGCTAAGTTTTGCAGCACTCCTGGTTCGTGCAAGTATGACAGCTTAGTCATGTCGTCCACACCTCCAGGAGGCGCTTCAGTATCTTTTGGAAACACTTTGGAGATGTTAGCAACAACCTGAACATTATCCAATTTAGAAAATCATCAAATTCAAGAAGGGCTGCCTTTTTCAAGCAATACAAGAAGCAGGTTCTAAACCAAAAAGATGCAAGCTAAATATCAAAAGATAGGTAACCAAGTTCGGTTGATCATCCAAAAAAGCTAAGCGAAGTACATAAAAATTACGAAATTTATATGTGCGGGTCTGGGAGGGGGCTCAAACACATAATGAACACCCCTCTTAATAAGTTAAAACCGAATGAAGTGACTCGGAGAATCTCCTCTGAAAGTTAGCATTAGTTAGCACTATTTAAATTCATGAATATCAAATGCACTTGACATACTGATAGCATAGAAATTGTTCCAACATGCACACACATTCACACACCCCAAAAAAGGACTATCATCAAACAGGACCAAAACAGATTGCTCATACTTGGTTTTACAATTCGAAACATCAGCTTCCATTACACTGATATAGCAAAACCATAACAACGAATGAAGTGCATATTGAACTGAGAAGTATGGATGAAACACTCACTTTTTTCCCATTTGTTGTGGAAACATGAACATCTTGACCACTAATTTGAGTTACTTCTCCATCAATCCATGCCAAGGTCGGGTCCTCAACCCATACATGAGAACCAACAATAATATTGACTGGCGACGCCTGCAAGTTCCAAGACATTAAAGAGTAGAAGTCAAGTGACTAATAACTACGCAATTCTCGAGGAGAATTGCAATCAACTACTTTAGTAACAAAATACATACATTTGCCAGAGAATTGTAATCAATAAACAAGTCGGTAGAACCAATTCAGAATATAAAGTTAAATTTGATTACACTAAACTCGACGTTTACTTTAAGATATAAATTCTTCTCATTTCCCAAATCTACATTACTTCATTGCAAGCTTTCTTACGATTTCAAATAGCGAACAAGTCATCTTCGAATTGTTTTTGTTCAGATTATTGTCGAAAGTGGGGGAAAAAATCATTCTAGCAATGCTGTTAGGCTACGAAATTGATGCAAAACACAAACACGAACTGTTCCGTTCTTTTAGGGATTCGAAAACACAAAACCAATTAAAAATTAGACGGACCAACGCTATTCCTATTTGTATTCAGAAAAAAAGCTCAATTTACAACTCTGTATGTCGATGAACAAATGGATATACAGTATTGTATGTATGTTTAGCCAATATTTAGTTCCTAAGTTCAAAAAAATAACGAAGTTTACTGTAAATAAATAACGAAAATCATGGAAGCGAAGAATAATAGTAAAAAAGAAAAACACTAGCTTAGATAGAAACTAAGTTGAAGAGATTTGACTTGAGCTAAGAATAAGGTAACCGAAAAAAGAAAAAACATAATCTAAAATTATCCAAACTATTAAACCCAAAAAGGAATCAAAAACCGTACCATGGATGAGCTTCCACTAGAATCGATCTCTTCGTCCTCGTCTTCTCCAGCTCATCAAACAAGAAAGAAACCGACCAGACGAAGCTCTGACTCGCCGAGTTCAGATCGGAATCAAACTCGGAACTAAGAACTCCGGCCACCGGCGATGGACAATAATCCGGAACCAAAAAAACAACAACAACGAAGCTCCTTTTTCCTCCAATGATAATAAATATGAGTAATTCCAGTTGTTATTCACAATCCAAAAAAAAATAAAACACCAAAAAGGCTCTCAACCTTTTTTTCAAACTTTCTCTCTCTAAAACAGAGCAAAATTCAATTAGCAATAGTTCGAAGTAATTATATATATTTTCTACAAATAATCCGCAATAAATGAAGAAAGAAAGTAAAAGTGGGAAATGGGAAAAAAAGAAATGATGCGTCTATATTTTGAGTTTCTTCTTTTCTCACTCTAAAACTTTGCGTACTGTACGTTGCTTGCTTGCTTTCTCACTCTAAAATCTTTCCTCTTCTCTTTTTGAAAATTTTTAAAAAATTGTTTGGAGTTATTTTTTTAATATAAAAAATAATTTAGTTGTGGTAGGATGGTAAGCTGGTGGGAGGTGAGAGTGGGACCCTCTCAATTCCAACACACACAAATGAGGAACGAGGTTGTAATAGAGAGAGAGAGAGAGAGGGAGAGAAAAGCAAAAGGGCGCTTAACACAAAAAACCGACATTAAGGGCGGACGAAAGGAGGAAAAACTGGGGGTAGTACTATATTTAAGTGTATAGTTTTATTACGGCTGATCAAACTCCAAACTGATGATGTTTTTTCTTGTACTACTTACTGATAATGTCTGTTTTCCTTCCGTTTGATTTACCCAAATTAACCCTGCCTCAAATGAGGTTGGACTTGTGGGGGGTTGGATCTGTTTGAAAATTCCCAGATTGTGCCGTCATGTTTGTCGTACGTTGCTCCTTCCATGTTGCTGTTTTTGGAAAAAGATGCTTTTATTGTTCTTCTTGTTACAGTTTCTTTGTCACCGTGCCACGCTGCCACCAATTTTTTTGGATTACTTCTTTCTTTTCTTTTTTTTGTTATTTCTATAAACATGGTATAAATGAAATTCAACTGTTATAACGTATGGAGAGAATGTTACAGATTTACACTTACACATTCGAGAAGGATATAAAATTATATTTCTTATGTCTTAAAATGATTGTTTATTTTAGATTTTTGTTTTTAGTACAAATTGTACTAAAAATGAAATTTTAAATTAGACAATAATTTTGAGACGAAGAAAATTTATTACTTAACAGAGAGCAATTAAAAAACAAAAATTACGATAAAAAGAAGAGAAAAATGCATGTCAAATTTACTAAAAACAGTTGAAAAAGAATACACCGATAAAGTTATCATTGGAGCTAGAAAGAGAAATGTGAATGATGAAATGTAACGCTAGTAAACGATCCAACGCCGAAGGTGGTGTTAAAAATTTACACTTTGCATCCTGCTCTTCTATATAAGGTATGAAATGAAATTAATACTTATAAACATGAAAATCATTAATTTTTGTATGATAAACATGATAATTATTTTAAGATTTAAAAAATCCAACTTCCAATATTTAATAATAATACGTTCTCATGTAGATCTTGGACCAGAATAAAAGTATACTTTCCCATTTGGACCTAAAGGAGTCAGGGCTCATAGTAAGACAATTTTACTGGACATATACTACTCCTTGTAGTAATTAGTAAATGAAATCTGACAAAAGAATAAAACAGACGTCACAAAACAAAGGAACAAGGACCCGCCAAGGCTGCTAGGGTCGGCGGGCTCAGGCCCAGCCGCATCTCTGAGTCTGTATTTTTCTTTCTTTACCATAAATTTTGTTTTCGCCAAGTGAAACCCAAATTACATTTTCCCTTCTGTAGATTGCATTAATATTTTAATACGGAGTACTTGTTGGTGAAAGGTTTTCATGCCAAAATAAAATAAAAGAGAAAATAAATATTCTAGCGTGAATCCAACAAATGGGAGCTGGCCACTAAGGAAATATGGTTGCTCCTCCAGAATGAGCAGCCACACAAAAAACAAAAAATAGAAAGAAAAAAAAGCTGCCATTTCTTATATCAGAAAAGCAAATAGAGCTGGCGCCGGCCTACGTGGCATCGAGAAGCCGGCCGTGGTCAATGTTCTTGGACGGTGAACTATTTTGTCTGTCGAATGAGAGAGACAAAATTTCACTTATAAATCCTAGCTAGTAGTAAATTTAACAAATAATTAATAAAAAAATAACCGCATGACCGTAACTTTCTTGGCCTATGATGATATTTTCATTTTGTTCTATATTAGATTGATTTGTTGAATACACTTTGTTTGCCTAATATTGTCAGTTCAATTTTTTTAACATTTTGATAGGTTTAAATTGTTTCAAACTAATACAAGTTCCTAAAAAAAGAAAAAAAAAAAAAAGACATCATATGTAAATAATTTCATCGAAATATACCAAAATGAAGCTTGTGTTTGGAACTGTTAACGTACGTAGAGTATGTACTCCCTCCGTTCCATTTTAAGTGTCGTTCTTCCAATTTTACAGAGTTTAAGGAAGACTTAATTATGTTAATAAAATTACTAAACTATCCCTAATCTTGAACATTTACTCAGACTTTTACATGGAGTAAAATTCTTGGGTATTATAAGTCCACAGCAATCCCAAAAAGGCTATTTGCTTCTCCAGTTTACTCACGTCAGAAACAACACAACCACATTCCTGCAAGACTAATAATGCTTAATAGTAAAGTAACAAGGAACATAAATTCTCAGTATTTTAATCACTCCTTGAATCCCAATTTTATGAAAATTGAGTGCTTCTTTGTCTTCCTCTGGAGATGTGTTCAAATCAATTGTTGGTCTAAGCAAATTTATTGATAGTTGCCTCTTAACTTTTTCAACTTTGACTCTATCTTCTACTTCTCCATCTTTTCCTTCTTTATCTTCATCCGATTTCTCGTTCAAATCGAAACTCAAATCCGCTGGTAAATTCAAGTCGAAATTAGAGTTTTTCTTCTTCTTTTTCATAGAATCCATCAATCTTCCTCTTGCTCTTGATCTTTTTTCCTCTCAATTTATTTAAGTTGGAGAATTCCATTAGAGATTAGAGAAAATAAATGGTTTTGGCTTCCCTGTAATCCACCCGACAAAGAATTAACCCAGCCAGCCGTCCGTCGACTCATCGGAAAGAGGGAGTCTATTTACTTCTATTGATCTATTCAATGGAAGGGTAATTTGGGCAGAATCTGACTAAATGTTTATTGATAACTGAAAACGACACTTGTTTTGGAATATTCTTTTTTTTTTCTAAAACGACACTTAAAATGGAATGGAGGGAGTATAACAGCACTATAAGTTTTGCAGCCAACTAATGAACTTGTGTGTGGAACAGTTACCGATAAATATGAATTTTTATGTTTTGCAGCCAACTAATGACAGAGGGAGTATTTCTTTTTAAAAAAAAAAAAATTACTGAGAAAGCACAATATACTTAGAAGATACAACGAAATTCCTAATCGGAACAAATTGGTAACACGTACAAAAATAAATTCCTACGAAGCGATTAACAAAAGATACCTAGAATTAAACCACTCTACTAAATAGAGTCATGCCTAATTTCCAAATGAACCAGCTAAATGACCACTTGATCCTTGTTAGATAGTAAATAAGTGAAAGAGTTGCTACAAAGGGAGTATTTCTGAAAAGAAAACTAAGGGTATGTTTGTTTTGTTTTTTTAGTGTGTGTTTTTAGGTATTTTTTGTATCGAGCATGTAAAAATGTGTATTGAAAATATAAAAAAGTATGTTGGAATGGGACAGTTATTAATATATTAATTTAAAAATATCATTAAAAAAATGAAATAAACAAAGCCTCTAAAATTGCAGTAGTAATTTGGAAATTGTAGGGCATTGCCAATTAACGTACCAAGAAAGATGAGCCCAAAATTATAAGGCTTGTAAAAGCCCAAATTAATTGTTGGTTTGAAAATTGAAGAGCCGAACTAGTTTTGAAAATTCAAGCATCAAATGAACAACAAAACCAATGCAATAGCAAAAATTGGATAGTTGAAGTCTCTTTCATTAAGAGAGATGGGAACGAAATAGCGGATCAACTAGCCAAAATGGGCCTTTCAGCCCTCATGGGGTTGCATATTTTGTCCTCACCCCGTCCAAAGTTCTAGATAGGCTAGATTTTGAGAAAATAGCACACTCTCGTCGTGTGTAAATGTAACTAAGCGTTAAGTTTCCCTAGTATAAAAAAAAAAAAGAAAAAAAAAGCAATACAATAGTAGACCGACGAAAATTCAGAGCAATGACATCAAATTACACTACGGAAGTCAGTTTCATCTTTGTCTTCTTCAAGGGTAGCTACCATCTCCTTCATTTTTTTTTTTTTAATTTAAAGTTTAATGAGGTCGAATTGTGGTGATAACACATAGTAATAAATATATAGTACTAATAAAAGATGTAGTTTATTTATTATCAGAAGAATGTAATAACGAGTGGAAAAGATTAGTTGGAATCATATATTTCGAAAGTGTATTCAATAAATACTTGTCCAATGAAGAATTTTGAAAAGTGTCATCCCATTTAGTCTATATTTATAAATATTATGGAATTCAGTTTAATATTCATCATTATATAAAACATTTAAAATTCTATAAATTGTAAACCTTCGGAATCTATATTTATTGGAACTCAATCATGTTACTCATCCCATCCATCACATATAATTTTATATTTTTCTTCACATTCTCCCCCTCAATACTAATATCCAACCAATAAAATAAGCGAGCCTTTAAGGATATATAATTAGGCCTATCAAACATTTTTTAATATCTAATCGTAAAAGATCAGTTTAGGGAAATTTTAGTTGCTCTGTATGTGAGATTAGGTGTCAATTAATAAAACTGATGAAACTTTTAAAAAATATATCTTAAGTGGAATGAATGAATTGAATGCGTGACAAAGAGGGATGAGAAATTATTCCATGCACCTGTTGTACCACGTCAGCATTCATGATGTAGAGTAGCAACTCAATCTTATAATGACATGTGTAAGTTTTAAGAAAAAACATAAAAACTTTTTAAATAATATTTTATTTTAAACTTGTTGCCTAAAATAAAAAAATACTAATTTTTAAACAAAATTTAAAATTATCAAATCCCACTGTATATTTTTATGAAGATTGGACCTGTCATTGCTCCAACCATCAACACCGGAATACTAATAGAAAAATGTATCTGGTAAAAAGAGACTGAAACTTGCAAGGTAGATGAAAAAGACAAAGGGAACAAAACTAATAATATTTCAAAATTATTGAAAAATTGATAATCTATTATTTAGAGGAAGTCAAGCCGAGAAAATGCAGATGAAGATGATGAAAAAAGAACAAAGGAGAAGAATATACTCTTTGAGGTAAGGGTGGCTAAATTTTTTCAAGCTTATAATGTGATTAAGAGGAAAAACAAAAATTGCTGGGGTGCCTAAGAAATTTTGTTGAAGAACAAAAATTCCAGATAGCAAATTCCGAGGAAAGAAATTGATTTTAGAGCATATTGAACCTCCATCCATTAGATCTGAAAATGCCATCCAAAATAAAATAACTCATGGATCGAAAAATCTTAAAAAAGTAGCTATATTAGAGAAGGGACAATTGTTCATCCAAGATAAAATTGGTGAATTTATTTCTCCTTATTTTTGGATTGGTTGCTATTGAAATTACATCACTTCTGGGTTTCCGGCGTCAATGGAAGTTAGAAGCAGCGGTCGCGTGAATCTTGGAGATATATACGGAATTGATAGTTTTGGGGCAAAAGTTAAATGAAAATAAAAATTAAAAGAATTATTGTAAGTATTAGAAATTACACATGTCTTTAAGGGATTGAGTTGCTGCACCACATCATGAGTATTGATGTAGTACACCTTGTGTATGGTAATTTCTCAAGCAGGATGATCTCATTCCTCACAAACGTTTTTTTCATTTAAAATAACATTAAGTGAGTGTATTAAATTCGGATTAAATGTACAAAACTACATATGTAGTACTAGTGTTTGTTAATTTGGTCAAGTTGTTTAAGAGATTCACCAAAATAGCCTAAAATAGACATGATTTTCTTAGTGGTGACACAAAAGTACCGCCCACGTTCAATGAACCGTAAAATAAATCAGATACCATGTTCGAATACAAGAAAGAATCAGCTTCGTTTTGACTATTACAATAGTAGTCAAAGTCAGTTCTTACTACTCTCTGTTGTTTTAGGTTTAAAGAAATTTTTTAAAATATAGATCGTTTTACAAATTCATTAATGAGTATTTTTCTAACTTTACCCTTAATAAATGATGTTAATATATTTTTATTTAGTCTTGTTTATAGTTTCAATGTAATTAATGAAGGATAAAAAAGATATTTAACACATAAATTAATTGTTGGATGATTGTTTACGTGCCAAGTCTAAAAGACTTACATTTTGAAATGGAGTGAGTATATAAATTGAGGTAATAACGCGTGAATATGAAGAGAAGCACCTTGTCCTCTGCAACTCCGAAGTCCTAAATCTAAATACCGTTTCATCTTTCCAAACGCCGCCGTCAACTCACCGCCGCCAAAGGCCACCGCCGTTCTTCCGCCATACTGTTTGTTGGTATAAAGTTTAGAAAGTCCCTATCTTTGTTAAAATAAAACTCCGGGGATGGCTTCTTCTTCTTTGCAACTTTTCAGTCTGCCACCACCATCTCCGGTGCAAAAACACCGACCTTCTTCTTCTGTTATAAAATGTATCTCTACAAGCCCTTCACCGTCTTCGGCGTTGAGCACAAACGGGAGCACCCCTTTGCCTAATTCAATCCTATCATCACCGCCGATCAATTTCTCAGCCAAGTACGTCCCTTTCACCTCCATAGCCACCGGGTCTCCCACCTCGGAGTGTTACTCTTTGGACGAAATTGTTTACCGGAGCCGTTCAGGCGGGCTTCTCGACGTCCAACATGATATGGAAGCTTTAAAGCAGTTTGATGGGGAATATTGGAAGGCTCTGTTCGATTCCCGGGTCGGGAAAACCACTTGGCCGTACGGTTCCGGAGTTTGGTCCAAGAAAGAATGGGTCTTGCCCGAAATTGATGATGATGATATCGTCAGCGCCTTTGAAGGGAATTCCAATCTTTTCTGGGCTGAGCGTTTTGGGAAGAAATTCGTGGGGATGAATGACTTGTGGGTGAAACATTGTGGGATTAGTCACACGGGGAGTTTTAAGGATTTGGGTATGACTGTTTTGGTTAGCCAGGTGAACCGGCTGAGGAAAATGAACCGCCCCTTGGTCGGAGTTGGCTGTGCTTCCACCGGAGACACTTCCGCCGCCTTGTCGGCCTACTGCGCCGCCGCTAATATACCTTCAATTGTGTTCCTTCCGGCCAACAAAATCTCCATGGCCCAATTGGTTCAGCCAATAGCTAATGGTGCATTTGTGCTTAGTATCGATACAGATTTCGATGGCTGCATGAAATTGATCCGGGAAGTCACTTCAGAGCTGCCTATTTACTTGGCAAATTCTTTGAACAGTTTGAGGCTTGAAGGACAAAAGACAGCTGCAATAGAAATTCTACAGCAATTCGATTGGGAGGTTCCTGATTGGGTCATCATCCCTGGTGGGAATTTAGGCAATATTTATGCATTTTACAAAGGATTCAAGATGTGTCAGGAACTGGGTTTGGTTGATCGAATTCCAAGGCTTGTCTGTGCCCAAGCTGCAAATGCGAATCCATTGTATTTGTACTACAAATCAGGGTGGAATCAATACCAGCCAATAAAAGCCGATGCAACTTTTGCTTCCGCTATACAGATTGGCGACCCTGTCTCGATTGACAGAGCTGTTTATGCTTTGAAGAATTCAGATGGCATTGTTGAGGAGGCGACAGAAGAGGAATTGATGGATGCTATGGCTATGGCTGATTCGACCGGGATGTTTATTTGTCCGCATACGGGTGTGGCCTTAACAGCTCTGATTAAGCTTAGGGAACGTGGGATAATTGGTCCCAATGAAAGGACTGTTGTTGTTAGTACTGCTCATGGGTTAAAATTCACTCAGGCCAAGATTGATTATCATTCCAAAAACATCCCAGGTTTGGCTTGCGGGTTGGCGAATCCTCCGGTGGAAGTGAAAGATGATCTCGGAAAGGTTATGGATGTCCTGAAGAATTACTTGGATAGAAGATCTTCTTAGCGGTACATTTGTTTTTTGCAGTGGTACATTTGTTTTTGCAAGTGTTATTGTATACTTTAAACTTTACACGGTTAAGAATGGAGGTTTATATAAATACAATAATGGAGGGTACATCACCAGGGGAAAATCTCAATTTTCTTCTCTCTGTTTCCTTAGTCCTTTAGTACTTAGTTTATACAGTTTTCTGATTGAAGTATTGAGTTCTTGTTCAGTAGAACGCGTTGTTTATCTTTACTGGCTTATTCGTTTTTTTCCCTCTTGTAATAATAAGAAGAATATGACTCGGGAACCAAAGACTTGTTAATAATAAAAGACTCGTGTGTTTTTTTTCCCCTTATATTCTTCCCAATTGGGGCTGACAGAGAGTTTTGATGGCGACATTGAAGTTTTAATTTGGACGTGATACGGTGTAATGTTCGTCTAGATGTGGCAAATAGTTACAACCAAAATGTGGTGCTCGCAAGTCTCAATCCGTTTTGCAATTTTTTCCCCAGGCCACAACTAAAGGATAAGAAATCCAGGGGCCAAACTCGCAGATTGACCGATACTGACAAGTAACAACATTTCTAATTCAGCAATTGGGACAGTTTCAGGATATTCTTCTCACTGAAAAAGAAAGATCCAACATGATAATAAAAATCCTCTAAGTTAATATACTAGTATTATTTCTGCTGAAGGAATTGGGATGAAAATAATCTAAATTACCATCAGCTAATTACTATTTACAAAGGAATATCAGTTCATGTCCATGAATAATAAAAGCTTTACACAGCCAGCTGAAATATGAACCTTTAGGGCTATTCATGTTCTCGACTTGTGTTTCCCTTCTGTGAGTATATTATGAACAGGCTCACCTGGGAAAAAATCAGGACATGAAAGCCAGCCCTGAACATCACAGTGAATTAGCTGATCGCACGTGCTAGCTTTCCCTGCTTTCCATTCAAATCGTCATCCATACATGATCAAGTTTTCTTCCCTTGTAGCTGCTAATAAGGTCTTGAGATTGTAATTTATCAAGGTTTTGAAGCAAGGTTAAACCAGCTCATACATGTTTTTCATACAGATCCGGCCCCAACTCCATCCCTTTGACTTCCTCAGCAACATCAGGCTCAAAACCCAGCAACCTCTCTTCACATGTCTCTGCGCCGTCTTTTTTCTTCCATTACTCATTCCCACCTGCACTTGCATGACTTCTGTCCTTGCTGGAGAGATTGCAGAATTCAGAAAAGCCGGATGTTAGACTGACGTAGGCAGGCTTAGCATTCTCATCAAAGAGCACATTGGAGAACTCAACAGCGACATCTTTCTGCTGCTCAACAAGTCCCGTCTCCATCCAATCTAAGCCATTCCTGCCACAAATACAACTTTCCGGAAACATTTCTGGTGTTGCTCCATCAAATCATTTGCGCGGCCATCTGTTTCAAGCCTTTTCCTTTTCGGCATTTTGTCAGTAGATCCTGACCTGGGAACCTCATTGTTTTCTGGAGCTGATCTATCAGTCAGCTGTTGGTTTGAGAATGGCTGTCTCTGTCTAAATCTCTGTTCAATTTTCCGCGAGCATTTCTGCTGTGGCTCCATCGGATCATTTGCACCATTACCCGCTTCAAGCCTTTTCCTTTTCAGCGTTTTTCCATTAGATCCTGACCTATGAACATCATCGTTTTCTTGAGCCGATCTATCAGTCAGCTGTTGGCTAGAGAGTCCGAGAGGTTGTCTGTGTCTGAATCCTTCAGGAAAGACATAAGATGGTATCTGATTTTGGCGAATATGGGAGACATATATTTCCATTCCCGGTTTCCAGAAAGTATACATGTATACATTATGCTTAAACTCATCTACCGTTCCACGCATATCAAATTGCTGACCATCTTCAATCAACTCTCCAGCTTTCCTCTGTAATCCCATAAAAAAGGCACAATGGGCAGCACACTGATTTGAAGGATCCACATACTCATGTGGATATGGATGACATTGTAGCTTCCCGAAACTGTCTCTTTCAATCATCGGAGTCAACTGTCTGAGCCGGGATTCAACCCAGCCTTTCCATATCCGAAGGTCATCAGCATCCGTTGCAAGAATATCAACTTGTAAATAGTTTTTATACCTTTCAAAGAACATGAACGGCTCAAAAAATGCACTCCACTGGGTCTTATTCAGTTCGATTTCCTCACAGATCTTGTTCCCGAAATGAAACTGTTCCATCATTACCCTTAAAGTACTTGCAGAAACATTGTAGCTCGAATTCATGCACGGATAAGCAGGCGTTATAATCGGCATAAGATGGCCGCGATCCCAGTGATTCTTCCTCGGATCCCAAACAGAAAATCCAAGTTCTTCGTTGTCCTCTATTTCGCAAAGCATCACAGGATTCGGCCAACGCCATTGGGTATAAACTCGGAAAAACCGAGAAACCAACATGCTCGGGTTTGCATTCGGATAAAGCTGGCATACACGAGCAACAAGCAGAGCCCAGTTCACCCCACCAAGAAAACCAGTCACATTGGAATAAATACCGCGCTGTTTAGCCCAAAACTTCAAGCATCGAAGCGCTATCTGGAAATTGTTCACATCCGGAAGAAGCTGAAGTATCTGATCAGCAACTCTGCAACCATTGAGACTCCTCCCAGTTGCCTCATCATCAACATTGTACAAGATCGAATCATCTGAAATGTCCAAATCGTCTGGGACGACTAAAAGAGATACACTAGCAAAAACTAAATCGATTGAAATCCCATCAAACTTGAATTTCATAACGGGTACATGAGCTTCAGGAACCGGTTGCAATTCAGTAATTCCTTCAACGTCGGCTAGAATATAGTGCAATAAGCAAAAGAAATCGTCCCTGGTCACATAACAAGGGCCAACGCATAAAGTATCAATGTCAGCTCCCGGAGAATGGACCCCAAGCCGGTAAGAACCAAAGGTAAGAATCAAAGCGTTGGCTTCCTCCACCATCTGGCCGGAATATCCCTTCCCGCGAGTGATTCCTTTGACCCAGTCCTTCACAATTTCCGTCAGCCGGGACAGAACGTCTCCTCTTTTGGCGGACTCTTCTGGACTCTCGTACAGTCCAGAATCCTTCAAAAACTTCTCCAAATCCTTCGTCCTCAGAATATCGACCTCTGACGGCCCCGCACGAGATATCGGTTTTGTCACACCGAATTGCTTCGGTGCCGCCGACTTAAGCGGCGGAGACTCGCCGGAATTATCCGGACCCGCCATCTTGATCTAAGCCAATTTAATCCTAAAACTGCGTAAAAAGACAACCAAAACAGAACTAGGGTTCAAAAGCGGCCAAATATACCTCCGATTCACACACTTAACGTCAAGCCGCCAATTTAAAACCAGGCAAACATCTGTATTTAGTAATAATAAAATCGACAATTCAACAGTGGATCGAATAAAAATCGACAAACCCGACGGGATACACCAACTTAAATACCTAATGGCAGAGAATCAGACTCGGAAAAGGAAAAAGGAAAAACAAAAAGAATAGAAAGGAGAAGAAAAAGACTATCCAAAGATTAGTTAATAGGTCTCTTCAATTTAATTAGAGATTTTTTATTATTTTCTTTTAAAAACAAAGGATTTTTTTATTATATTGGAATGCAGAGACCTAGAATTCAAACCCTAGCGCTTAAGAGATTAATTAATAGTAATTTATTTGGAAAAAGAGATTAATTATAGTCAATTGTGCCCCCAAAAAGTTATTGATTCAACAAATCTATCATAAATTTGGAATAGTTCTTTTCTCTGAAAAGAAATTACTTACACCTAAAGGATTAAGGATTAATTGTGCCCAAGAAAATCATTAAACAGAATATATATGCCCCTCTTTTCCAAAAAATAAAAAATAGTCTAAATCTCTAAACTCCATGGAGTTTTTTTTTTTTTTTATAGAAAATAATACTCTTAGTGAAATAATATAGTGAGAAAACATAGTGACTGATGTCTATCCCTTATTTTGTGGCTACTTTGCCGCTGAAATTTTTTTTCCCTCCAAAATTACCTTTTTACCCTTAATTACTATAGACACATCAGTCACTACGTATTTTCACTATTTTTTCTCACTATCTATATCAATGCTTTTTTTTTGGTACAAAAACTCGATGGAGTTATAATTCATAATAATTTGGTAAAAGTCCTTTTCTCTCGAAATACAATAATAATTCATAATAATATTTTTTTTTTTTGGAAATACAAAAAGAATTGTTGATTTTCACTACTAGGGTTGTTACTTGGAAGTTGTAACATGATAAATGCGGAACTCTAAAATTGAAGGAATTCTAGGTTAAAATTTCGTTTGAAACGGATTTGAGTATCAAAAGTTCATACAGGACTCATGAGCTTATTTTTGTTATTCAAAGAATAAAAAAATCAGCCACGAGATCTTCAGCACATTATGTTGACAAGTCGACCTCAAAGTCAAGTACTCCCTCTATCTCAAAATTATTGTCCAGTTTGAGATTTCATTTTTAGTACAATTTGAACTAGAAATGAAAACTCAATCTGGACAATAATTATGGGACGGAGGGAGTATATGAAATCAATGGTTTTGTTTCCAACTTGAATAAAAAGACAATGACAATGAAGACTAGCTAGCATTTTGCATTCTTCTCAATCAAGTGATCATCATCAACTGCGGGAATGTTCATCGTATTCTCCGTAATTAATTTTTAAGCCTTCTACAAATATCAAAAAACATTTTCATAGAACTGCATTTCAACAAAGATCTGTACGATCTTGAAGTCAATTTACCAATGTTAAGTTAAGCCAGAAAGTTACACATGTCGATGGACTCGTTGAAAGACTAATCTAAAACTCGATACAACAAGAAACCATCAAGAGTACTGATAAAGTGAGATGCTTTTGTCATCAGACACGCTTGCAAGCGAACAGGACCGAACATCCGTCCTTCCTGGTGGTCCAAATGCCACTGTCCAAACCATATCAGTGTGGTTGGAGAATATCTGGGTGGCTGCTCTCATCTTCAAGTCCCACAATCTAACAGTCTTGTCACTTGAGCCCGATACAATTGCAGCACCATCCGGGGAAGCGTCCACACTTAAAACCCAACTTGCATGACCTGACATGGCAGCAATCATGGTTTTCCCCTCAGCATCATACACGTGTACATGGCCATCATCCGAACCAGAAAAAAGAATTCTGGAGTCAAGAGGTGCCGATGAGTATACAAGAGTGCGAACTGGCATACAATGCCCTTCCAGGTGATGCAGAAATTTGGCCCGTGCAACATCAAAAACAGAGATAGTGCCATCCATGGAACCACAAGCAATGTGTCTTCCATCGGCACTCCAAGCGACTGAAAGGACAAACTTCTTGTTGCTACTTTTATCACCTGGTTTTGAACCTTCAGGGCGAGGGATTGACAATGTTGTAATCGGTTGCCATTTCGCAGTATCCCATAGCTTGATTGAGGCACTGCCACCTCCAGCTGCAGCTAGGATTTTACCCTGAAAAGGAAGGAAGACAGATGGTTGAAAGTTCAGCAATCGGGAATCATAAAAAATATGGATGCTATGTAAAATTCTAAGGATAGCTACTGAGTTAATTCGTAAATTTTGAGTATGCTATGGCGGAAGCAATAGAGCCTGGAGGAGCAAAGAGCCTGAATATAAAAAGAGAACTTTTAATGGCTTTAGAAAGTTAACACTAAAATGAAACTCATATGCATGCTCAATTAACCAAAACAAAAGCACTTGTTCTGAACATGTGATATGTTAGCACTTGAATATGGTACGAAATTGGTGAATGAAACTGCAGAGAAAAAAACCCATGCAAAGTCTTACGAAAAGGAATGCATCAACAAGGATTTTGAACTGACACAAACAATAGTCCCCAAGAAATCAATAAGCAACAGATAACAGGGCTATAGAGTTGTTTCTCACAAACTACCAGAGAAACATCTACAATTCATTGGTTCAGCACTCTTTCGCTTTTCCTGCATGGTTTCAAAACTTTCATCTACTTAGATCCCCTAACAGAAACAAGCTTTGGCAGCTAAGTTATAAGAAGGAGGTGAGAAAAGGGGGCATGTTAACCCATAAATTAGCCAGGACAACAATAAGAGAAGAAAACAAACGTCAATTCCAACCGTTCTATGCTGAAGCTATTTAAGCCGTTTTACTTTAAGAAAATTTCGTGCAGAAAACTCTAGATCTAGAAACCGACTATAGAATTAAATTTCATCATCTTAATTTTTTTTCTATAAAATGCCAGAGATTGTATACGATTAAAACATTCCAAAAATAACTTCTTCCATGATATGAAATGATGCACCATGTTTCCGGTTCAACATTTATGTTTATTCACCTAATTATAAAATTGCCCCAATGGAAAATGCATCAGCTCTATCTTCATTATTGTACCCAACTCTAGACAATTTGTATCTCGCATTATATCACTGAAATTACAATAGGAAACCAATAACATTGAATAGCAGATTACATAAACAGACCATCTTTTGGAAACCAAATTAGTTGACTACTGAAAAAATCCACATACTGCAGCACACGCCGCAAATAAAAACCACAATACAACCCAAGTTTAGGTTTACCAACTAATTAAGCAATTCAGAAAACTGCATCAACACAAAAAGGATATTAAAAATTTACACTCGCAAAACTACAATTAGCCATTGTAGGGTAAAAAGCACCAAGTGCAAGAAAACTTTACCTCAGGATTAAATTTCAATTGCCAAATTTCGGATGGAGGAGCTTCGAGGGTGGCAATGGTGTTATTGGTGACGACATCAAATACCCGGATAAAGCTATCGATCGAGGCGGACGCCGCAATCCGACCAGAAGGATGAGCAGCGACAGAGACGACCCCTAGGCTGTGACCAGTGTTTTTGAGGATGCAATTCTTACTCTCGGGGTCCCAAAGCCGGACGGTTTCGTCCAGGGATCCGGTGAGGAGGAGCGGGGGAGAATCTTCTGTTGCCGGTATCCACGAGGCTGTCCATATTGAGTCCTCGTGAGCGTCTGGGATCGTCTCCGGTGAGGTTAATTTCATTTTAATGGCGGTGAATTCGTGGTGGAGTTTGATCGGAGTAGACCTTAACCCTAAAAAGAGGAGGTAGTTAGTGCAGAGCTTACCGGACTGTGTCGCTGATACAGAACGACTAGGAGGAGGACTATGTAAAATTAGAGTATCTATATTCAAATAGACCCCTTAAAAGTTTTATACTTGCACATCAACCTCATATTTTCTTTTAATGTGAATTTTCCGCCATGCTAGTTTAACACATGAAGCCTGATTGAAAGGGTATTACTTTCGATTTGTTTTATGTTATACTAACACTTGTATTAACTTTGTATTTATGCATAGAAAAAGAATAATCTATGGCTATTCTATGTGGAACCCCTAGTCACGTCACATTGTTTTGAATGACCATGTGCAACCTCAATACATTTAGCGAATCAGGCTAGTGTTCAATTTTGATAAGTATACGTGTTTTATCTAAGCACGATTTATACCACGAATTGTATGTAGTGGGATAACGAATTAAAATATTTCAAGTTATTCAATTATAAAGATTTAATTACCGCTTACAACTAAAATGTGAATTGTACATGAAATGGTTTGAATGAAGCACAATATCATCACATCCTGTGGTTATTAAATTTTTTTTTTCTCTTTTGCTGATGAATGGAACAACAATCCCATCCCAAGGTACCACACAAAGGGAAGCCAATGGAATTCTCCAACAAACTAATACAAAGTCATTTTGACTTTCGTTGTAACTTTTTGAATGTCCAAACAAAACGCATAAAGTATGATGGAACCGTGAGTCTGAGTATTCAATTAGCATGTTTCACCTACTCTACTAGGCTTCGAAGTTCCAACTCCATATATATATATATACTGAACCCAAACACTAAAAAATATGCGCTGTTCAAGAAATGATTTCCCTATGAATTGAGGATTCCTCTGTTTTTTTCTGGCCACTTCTTACTGGTCTGATTACAACTCTGGAGAACCCATAGCCGCGCCATCAATGCGACTTGCGGTAATTCTGCATCTGAGTGAATATGATTTTCTCCGATCTGATAAAAAATTTGAGGCAACTACGTTTTTTTACAAACAGGGTTTGCTTGCTTCAAAAACAGAGAATCGATTCACTCAGGGGCAGAATGTCCCCAACTCGTATTCACTTCTCACCAGTTTTTCTATGATCATGCGTCAAGGTGGATTGACATTCATTAGTGTCGTACGGTGATGCAATTATGAGGGAGAATTTTGAACAACATAGATTTGCCACCAAAGTTTCTATAATTAATGTATTCCATTCCTTTCTGTCCCAAAATATACTGGGCGCTATCAGTTTAGGACAAGAGGAGGAGATGTTTTGCGTATAACCTTGGAGTGATACTGAAGAGGGTTTATGGTATTATGTTTACAGTGAATATCCACAGATCTAACTAGAAATACGAAATTACAAATTAAAGTTTGGTTGAACCCAAATTTTAGGTGCATTAGAGATATAGAGGCGTCATATTTCTGGAAGGTGTTTGTTTATAGTTTATACGTATTGCAAAATGACTCGATGTATACTGCTCATTGATCTCCATGCTACAAAATAAACTAATACTCCCTCCGCCCCAAAATTATTGTTCAGTTTGATATTTTAGTTTTAGTACAATTTGAACTAAAAATGAAAATCTAAACTGGACAATAATTATGGGATGGAGGGAGTAAATAAAACTCAGATTGAACCCACTGCTGTTTTATATCTTTACTTATCTTTATTCACAAAAACCATTTGGATTTGTTGACTATTCAATGGAGATTTTTGATGGAAGGTTTTATTCTTTTTGGTGGAAATTATTATCCAATTTTAAATTTTCATTTTTAGGTGCTTTTGCCGACGCAATGCTAGCCTGAAATTACAGTTTAACCCCTCGGGCTCCTTTCTGTTCCTCCTCGCTAAAATCTCAAAACCCCATAGCTAGAGAAAGGAATGGAACCACCACCAGCAGCGGCGGTGATGGACTGTAGAAACTGGAACGAAGATGCGTATCGCGAATCCATTTTAGAGCAGCGAGAAACGCTTTCCCGAACCATTTTCCGAACCGCATATCCATCATCAGGCCCTAATTCTACCGGCTCAAAGCAGCTCCCCGACCTCATAGTTACTGCCGGCAGCGACGGTTCTATCGCTTCCTACTCCATTTCTTCCTGCATCGTAATCTCCATTTTTCTCTTCCCCTATATGCTCTTGCAAGAATCTGATTTTTTTTTTTAATTTTTTTTTTTAAAGTATGATGTAGAATTTTTTTTTCTAGTGGAAGTTTGATTTCGTGTTCCTTCTTCAATGATATGCTAGGACATCGGGTATGGAGATGCTGTTAGTGCTAACAAGTAAGTGTAATGATCAATGTGCATGTTAATTTGATTTGTTTGATGGATTTTTGTTAGTATTTTGTTTGATTTGATATTCTTGCAGTTCGTCAGTGGCTGAACCTAATTGTTTATTTCAAGGGCATGCTGGACCTGCTTATGATGTGAAATTTTATGGCCATGGCGAGGATGCATTGTTACTCAGGTAATTCCACGCATATTGTAGATGCTCTTTCTTTAGATCAACGACTTTTGCTGCTCTGCATAGGCTTTTCTTTTTCGTTTGTTGGTTCTTATTTGAGTTTGCTGAAGTTTCAATATTGCTGGGTGCTGAATATCTTGTTTCTAATTTGCAATGTGCAGCTGTGGAGATGATGGTCGGATTCGAGGATGGAAATGGAATGAAATTTCAGATTTTGAGTTTCTTAGGCAAGGTGATGTGGTGTTTTGAGGAATTTATGTTACTTCCAAGATATTTGAATGGCAAAACATTTTTTCTTATATCTCCGAAATTACCTTAGGATCTTATTATGTACTTGGTTTTCTGGATTTGCAGGGGGAAACATGAAGCCTGTTCTTGACCTGGTTAATCCTCAACACAAGTTAGTCACTCTAAACCTCTGAATGTGGAACTTAATTGCATGATGATATGTTGAGGATTTCATGTTTCCAAATGATATCATCAAAATTTTGGAGCATTTAACCCTTTCTCAGTTTTCTTGTGCGATTTGTATCACTTTCCGAGATTGTTATACCGATTATCGATAGACTAATTTAAGCGTTTAGTACCTTCCTTTTGCATTGAACTTGTCTTAGTTCCTTCATGACTGATTGTTGTCTTGCAGAGGACCCTGGGGTGCCCTTTCTCCAATACCTGAGAACAATGCCATTGCTGTCCATACACAGGTCTGTGGGTCTTACATCCTTTCTTCAAATTGTTAGCTGTTATTTGCTTCTCCTTTTTTTTTTTTTTTTTTTTTTTTCTGAAAGATGCTTTCTGTCTATCTGCTGTGCACCCTTGTCTCTCAGAGATGCTTTCTGAAAGATGCTTTTTGCTTCTAGTATAGGCATAAAAAAATTCACATTTTTGAATGATTTTAAAGTCTAGACGTCCACTTGAATGTTCTCGTCAAGTTTGCTGGTTTAATGTGAATTTAAGTATATCTTTTGCCATCTGGTTCTTGGACAAGTTTCAATTGAAAACCTTGCTTGTTTTGAAACATATACTCAGCATCTTCATGTTGATGATTAAGAAAATGACAAAATTCTTCTTTTCTTACGCTTAATTAGAGATGAATTGAGTAATTGTTCTGATGTTATTGCTAGTAACATGCATTAATCATGGTTATGTTTTTGTATCCTCAATCCATGCCAATCACCAAGGATCACAGCTGCTAGGTTCATTGTAAAGGGAGAGATGTTAATGTCCTGAAGGTCCAACAGTTTTTGTTCCTTTTTTCTGATTCAGGTTCCTACTTTTTGGGGTCTCTATAAGTTTAATTAAGGCTTCTAAGGATTTGTATTTACTAGAACTCGTGCATATGTGTATTTTCCGGATATGAGTATGACCTCTTCCTGTCTCCCTCTCTCCGGCGCTCCCTCCCTCACGGAGGATCTCATTTGTTTGTATCTAATTTGTTGAAATTTCTGTGACTCTGTGAAAGTTTGACCGATGGATGTTGTTTTTCATCTCTCTTTTGTAGGATGGATCTGTTTTTGCTGCAGCTGGCGACTCTTGTGCCTATTGCTGGGATTTGGTATCTATGTTTTACAGTTGGTTGATCTATTTGTATTTCGTGTTTGGGTAGTTGTCATCCTTTCGGTGTACCTACCCTCTTTCCTTTAATTTTCGATGACTCTATTTATGCGTGTAAACTTTATTTAATTCCTTCTATTCATGCTACCTTGTTTCAGGAGACGTGTAAAATCAAAATGGTTTTCAAGGGCCACTCGGATTATCTACACTCAGTTGTTGCTCGACCCTCTCGTAGCCAGGTCTATACTTACATTTTGCTTGTTATTCCATTTCTGTGTCTACTTTGTTCTTCATCATTAATGGGTACATGGCTCACCTCATTAAGCCCTGTATCACTCTTCAGCCTTTAATGTACATCTTTTGATGATATACTTTTGGTTTTTCTCCCTATTTCTCTTCTAATAATTGTTCTTTCCCCTAGATATTCTCTGTTTGGGGCTATGTGCTTTTTCTGGTTACTGAATTGAGCACCTTTAATCTTCCTCCATTAATAACTATTTTTGTTCTTTGTGGTAAATCTATATATGTAATTCAGTCCAACTCCTTTCCTTGCAAAGTTACTGATTTTGCCACTGGTTTTGGCATCTTCTTCGTATTGGAGTCAAGCTTTAGAATTTGATGTATGTTTTTGGTTTTTCTATGCTGCATTAGATGGCTACCTCATTGGTAAATAAGTATTGATTTTCCTGTTTATTCCAGTTTTCATTGAATATAGTTTGTCCCTTGCTGAACCATCTCTTTCACTTTCCTGTGTGTGTTCAGGTAATCACTGGCTCAGAGGACGGGAAAGTTCGAATATGGGGTATATTTAGCTTTTGATTCTTTGTATATTTCTTATTTGCTCAGCTATTATATCAGTTTGTGACTTTCCTTCGAATTGTTTCATGAAAGTAGATTGCAAAAGTGGAAAGTGTACGCAAGTACTTGATCCAACGAAGTACGAGAATTTGAAAGAACCTTATATCAGTTGCATAGCACTAGATGAAAGTGAGAGCTGGTTGGTAAGGTTTTCCTGTTGATATTTTTCCCCTTTTTCTTTAGTAGCACGATTTCGTGCTTTATGTTTATGCACTGTTATGTCTGGTTGTATCGTTTTTATTGCTGCAATTGATGTCAATTTTATGATTGAAAAAATTTAATTGAGTGGAATTACTCGAATTCCTGCAGTGGAAAGTGTGGATTATTAATTGTTCTCATGAGAAATTACGTCTTGTAGGTGTCTGGAAGTGGTAGATCATTATCGCTTTGGAACCTTCCTGCTTGTGAATGTGTCTCAAGGATCACCACGAGGGCTTCCATTCAGGATGTTGTTTTTGAGAAAAACGAAGTGAGTCATATTAATTTTAGTTTGTGCACCTTAGAGAAGTTGTTTTTGGCCTCCGTTTCTCAAAACTTGGACGTTAAGAGCCTATCTTGCCACGGTTTAATTCTCTCTGTTCTGTTTTCTTGCTGCTCAACTCCTTTTTTCTCAATTAGGAGGAACTTCGTATTTCATTGACCTCTAACCTCTAGAAAACAGCTGTTTGTGATATGTACGTGACTTGTCAGTTCCATGGCCCTATCACTTGCAGCTGATGGCACTCTTGGCCTCTTCCGCAAAATGTTTTCTGAACCTTTTATCATTGGACGATTTGTTCGATCAGTAATTCAATTTGTCTTAGCATCTTCTGATTGTTTCAATTTGTCTTGGTGTCTTCTGATTGTTTCAATTTGTCTTCTGTTTTCTGGTAGTTCCATATTCTTACTGCTAATATTTTACCCTTTTATCGTATGTATCTGCACTTGATAATTTGGATTTCCAGTCCTGCTTCTGTTCCTGAGGCATTTATGTGAAAGTTCTATCACCCTAACAAATGGCGCAAAGTTCTTTGTTTGACATTGATGGATGGAGGGGGGTTAATTGTTTTATTGTACTTCACGCCGAGCTTAATTTAATTGCCATATTCTCATTCAAGTGGTTTGACGGCAATTTTTTGAACCTCTTCAGATTTTAGCTGTTGGAGTGGAAGCTTTACTGAGCCGATATAACATGAACGGAGATATTGTTTCGCAGATACAGTGTGCTCCCCAGTCATTGTTCTCTGTCTCCTTACACTCTTCTGGGGTAAGTTCTGCTGTGGCATTTGTATGTTTGAAGATCCCACAGGAAAGAAAGAATATCTTAAAACTAAGAGTAAGGATGGTGAATGAACATGGTTTTAACATCATTTAAAACCAAATTTTTAGGTGCATCAGATATAAACGAGGCACATTCCTGTAAGCTGTTTGTTTACACGTATTGCACGCAATAGATATTCAACTCATTGTTCTCCCTTTCCCCCCCTGTTTCTAATAGCACGCAATAGAGTTAGAATTCTCTTAATCCCTGTTTTACCCAAAAAAAAAGAAAAAAAAAAAAGAAAAAAGAAAAAAACAGGTTGTTTTGATGCATTGAGTGGTTACTTTCTGTCAACTTAAAGAGAATTTCTTTTAACCTCAGGTGGTAGCTGTGGCTGGTTATGGAGCATTGGTGGATATTATCTCACAGTTTGGAAGCCACTTATGCACATTCCGGTGCAAAGGACTGTAGGGTGTCCTCGAGCTACATAATTTTTGCTGATGGCTTCTTTTCTCCCAGAGTGAGATATCCAATGACATGGTAGCTGACCTAGGTCCAAGATGTGTCTGAGGATCCAGTGGAAACGTCAAAAGTACATCTGGCGATGTAGCTTACAAGTGAACCTGGGAAGCGGAAAGTTCTTGTTGCAGATAAAGAAGCATATGTAGCTCCCTTAATTCATGCTTAGGTCCTTGATTAGTAATTCAAAACTTACATGTATGGGATGTAAAGTCCGAAAAAGGAAACAGAATAGGGAAGAAGGAACAACCCCCCTTTCCCTTGTGTTCTGCCTCTTCTAACCCTAGAATTAGATATTATGTTAAAGTTGGGGTTACTGAGATTTTCACGTTGAACATCAGCATCCAGCGCCTTTAGGTAAGACGTCTGCGCATAAGTTGTGGTTCCTACTTGTATGCACAAAGCACACGTTCTAATTGAAGTCAAAAGGTTATATATACTTCTCAAATCTGGTCGAGGGGTATTCGTTACTTCCCAAAAAGCTCTGTACATAGTCCATAGCAATTTGGAAGTCTGGTTGCACCATCAGTCTGGTGATTCTTTGAGATTTCGCCAGCTCCATTACTAGCAAAATTGCTTTAACTTCTGCACCTTGAGGCTATTTTAAAAATATGGTGATTGTAATTCTTTTTGTTCGTTCCTTTTGGCCTAAAAGGATAAAAAGAAATTTGTTTATTCTTTTTTATGTGTAGAAGTAAAAATTTCAAGACCAGCGGGCAGCGGCTCCTTTCTTACTTTATTATGGAGTCTTTTGTTTTTGAGAATCCTTTTGTTTAAGTATGCATTCTTAGACAAAACACAAAACATCTCCGAAGGATCAACTGGAAAACAACATCAGATCGCTCCCCTCTTTATCATGTTTGAAGCATTTCCATACTTATCAACAAAATCCCTCTTATCACACCAATCACTAAACAACCCAAAAACAAGGTGAAAAATAACTAAATTCCTCTACTTCTTCTGTACCTGTCCACTCATCAACCACGTTTTTATTAATTCAAGCAAACTATGTTTTCCCCCTTCTTTTTATTTGGAATTAGGAGCAAAAACTTTTAGTTTGTATGATTGGCCAGAAATTAATTTGAACAGAAAAGAACAAAAAATAATGCTCGGTCAAAAAATTATTCGAACATGTGTATATGGACAATTCGAACGTCAATAGTCATCCATAATACCCACTTGATTATATGTATTCTTCAAAGCAGTTTGCCGCCAATATAATTGTGCCCCTTCCACCATGGGATTTGCAAAGAAAACCCGGAGAGGTGATTGGAGAGGGTCAGCAATTTGATATGCTTGGAGACGGCCGGTCCGAATGAGTTTAAGCATCAATATCAGGTATAGATGAATACTTTGTGGGAACCTGGGAAAAAATAGATGTCTTCCTGGGGAATGGATACAGATGACTAGAGCTGGCAAGAAAACCCAGAGCTTATTACCCATCTAAATTCATTGGACTTTTATCTATAAAAGCCTATCCATTTAAAATATAGGAATTGGGTGGATTTGGATAAAAAGTTATTTGGACGGGTATGGGTAGTCCAATGGTTACCCATCGGGTAGTCTATTGGATTTTTAACTATACAATCATCATTTATTTATTTTTTTATAGGGGATGAATAAGAAAAAATAAAGTCATCGATATAAGTTAGTGAGTAGGTATGCTAAGACCCAACCCAACGCATTTCAGGAAATGTCATATACAGGTTGGGTCATGACGGGTTGGCATGGGTTGTGGGTCAACTGGTTTAAAATAAAATTTTTACTTGCAGGTATACTCATACATAAAATTATTTTTTAACAACATCATATTTTTTTAACTTAATAGACTTCAAAATTTTCATTTTTACGTCAATTTTAACTGGGTCGGCATATGGATTGAGCTAGGTCCGCCCATGGATCGAGTTGGATCGACCCAGTAATCGGGTCACGATAAGTGGGTCAAATTTTTTTTTTCAAATAAACTTTACACTTATATTTTTTAACTCATTGAAGTTTATGTTTCGAACCATATTAAACTGGGTCGATCCGTGGGTTGTGTTGGGCAGACCTAGTAACCGAATCACGGTACATGGATCGAATTTTAATTTTTTTTAAAATAAAATTTAACCATAGATTTTAACTTATGAGACTAATAATTTTTATGTTTTCTACAAAGATTTACCGGGTCGACCCATGAACCGAATTGGGTCAACCCAGTAACTGGGTCACGATAAGCGAGTCAATTTTTTTTTTCAAATAAACCTTTACACTTGTATTTTCTAACTCATTGAAATTTAATTTTCATGTTTCTAGCCATAATAAATTGGGTCGATCCAGGTCGTGTTGGGTCAACCCAGTAATCGAACCACGGTACATGTATCGAATTATGATTTATTAAAAAAATAAAGTACAACCATGAATTTTAACTTAGGAAATTAATAATTTCTTTTTGTTTTCTACCAAGTTTTAACGGGTCGACCCATGGACAAAACTGGATCGACCCATGAATCGAGCTGAATCGATCCAATAATTGGGTCATAATAAGCGGGTCGATTTTATTTTTTTTAAAATAAATTTTATACTTGTATTTATTAAATTGGTAATTTGGATTTATGTTAAAAAGTCCAATAAATGTAATTATGGATATCCATAGGTATATATTCACGGATATTCGTAGGTACATATAATACCCATCCATTTAAGTCCATCAAATTTAATAGATATCGATGGGTATTTATCTATTAATCTAATAACCATTAAAAACCAATCTCAAGTAGTTTAAATCTGCCCATTTGCCACCTTGACAGATGACAAGGAAGGCTAGGTGGCGCAATCGGTTTATGTAAGCTAACAAAAAACACCGCCATAGAATTCCTATTTCCATTAAGATTAGGAACAATAATTATTGAGTGGCACGTTTTTTAGGGAACACTAACTAAATAATCAAAAATATATCCCATTACTAATTTGAATTGAGATCTTCAGCTGGTAACTTATAATTTTTTAATAAAGCTTAATTATCATTATGATTTTCCTTTCTTACTTACCACGGGATTATCCATTTACTTCTGATTCCAACCTGTTTTCAACGTTTTTAATCCTCCTCTATAAATATGATTCCCCCGGTTTTTACAACATAACAATCACAAACAATCTATTCTCTTCTTCTTTGTCTCTTGGTCTTGATTTTTTTATCCTCTTTAGTGACTCCTTTTCTCTCATTGCTGTAGTAGTAATTTTGTTTATTGCTTCTCATCCACTACATTAATATGGCTCATAGAAAGAATAAGCTTTCCCTTGGTTCTGTTATGTTGGTGTTTGTGCTTATCCTTCAACCATATCTTAGCTGCAGCCAAAAGTTGCTACGTGATGATCATGTTGACAATGCCCCCAAGAATAGTTGCAAGTTCGACCGAATCTACAGCCTTGGAGATGCTACGGCTAATACGGGAAACCTAGCTGCCAAAGTCCCTGACAATTTATTCAACAAATTTCCTTATGGGATCACTCTTGGAAAACCAACCGGTCGAGCCTCTAATGGTCTTCTTATGATTGATTATTTTGGTACGTTTTTTTTTTCTTTTCTTTTTTATTCTTGGTAAAATTTTCCTCCTCTATTATTATCTCCTTTTATTTAATTTAAGCAATATAGTAGTCGACTATTAGTGTGGGTCGGAATTTGTTTTTTTTTTTTAACATGCACAATTTGAACGATCTGACTATGAGGACTAAAAAATTTGTTTGGTGATAATGAAGCGTCGACATTTGGCGTACCATATCTTAATCCATACGAGGGAGGAGTTGAGGGGGCAAATTTCGATCATGGAGCCACTTTTGCTGTCGCAGGTGCTACTGCTTTACCAGTTGAGACCTTACAAGCTAAGGGTCTTCCACCTCACGATGAAACCTTTGACGGTTGGCTCGCGACCAAAGGCCTTCATCTTCACTTCGCCACTAATAGTTCGCTCAACGTGCAATTGGAGTGGCTGGCATCTCATTTGAACCAAACTTGTCAAAGCAAAGAAGCATGCCAGGATTTGTTGAAAAACTCATTGTTTTTCGTAAGAGATATTGGAACAAAGGATTACAGTTATGGACTCCTTTGGCTTGAAGGTGCAGAGTGGGATGCTCTTTACCCTATAGTGCAAAATATTGCACAAGCTGTTTGAAAAGTAATCGGGTTTGGCGCAACAAGAGTCATTGTTCCTGGAAATCTTCCACTCGGTTGTCTTCCTGTTTCTCTTAGCCTTCTTCCACACCGAGGAAAGCAGTACAACAAATTACGATTCCAACCATTGTAAGGTGGGATTGAATGATATGGCAGCTCGTCACAATCAATTTTGAAAAAAGCCATTGAAGAATTGAAGAAGGAATATCCCGATGAGTTGATTGTTTATGCTAATTACTACAATGCATACTTGTCAGTTTTATCGAATGCACAGAATCTTGGATTTGAGGACAAGTTTTCAGCTCGTTGTGGGAGTGGAATGGTTTCCAACTTTGATTTTGGGAGTCTGTGTGGGATGCCCGGCGTTAACCCTTGCCCGAATCCGGACAATCATATTATGCTGGGATGGAATGAGTTTGACTCAACAAGAGAACAAATACATAACTGATTATTTGATCAACTATATCACTCCTCAATTGAGATGTAGTTAAATTTTGTTTAGCTACTAGTAATACCTCTCAATACATAGTCTAGTTGAAGGTTATTTGTTTAAGTAATTAATTATTTATTTTCTTATAGGTCATCAATGATCAGATAGTTAAAGTCAATTATTTATATTTGAACTCTGTTTGCCCTTTTTTTTGTATGTGTTTAGGAAGTTAAAAAATTCTTACTTGCATGTTGTTATTGTCTGTTTTTTTTTCCCTTCCAAGCTCCGTATGGTATTCTTGAGATGAGATGTTTTGAAATGAGATGTTTTGGACTTTCTGGAACGTATCATTTGAAAACATTTTCTTTCATGGCAAACAAATTTCCTATTGAAAGTCAGTTACTAGGAAGGAAATGTATGCCTTCACCTGTTTACTAAGATCATAGAATAGATTACGACCCTCTGCACCCAAGAATATAAGGTGTCTATTAAAATCTTCTCCCTTCTGCTTGAATTAACAGAACAAAAAAGCACAGTTGTAAAAACTAGAAAAAGAGATGAACAAACACTAACAGAAGAAAAAAGAGTAGCCATTTCCTAAGTACTGTATTCATGTTTTTGGATTGGATCAAAATAATCTGTCGTTATACCAGAAAATTTAAACATATTAATTCATCGTTATGGAGACTTATAGTTTTATTTATTTATTTATTTTGGTTTGTTTCAAAATGAAGATTCACTATCGAATCCTTTATATAGTTTGTCGGTTTACGGTAAAAATGTGATGAATTGTACATAGTGTATAGATGCTGGATTGTACTTGTGTATAGTGGTTAGTTAGTTTTCCGGATTAGAGGACTAGATTGTAAATATCTAAATTCGACATATTATACGTGTAAATAGCAGAGACTTAGATAGTCTATATAAATAGTCCACTCTATAGAATTCAAGAGATAGATTCATTTTAATACAAACACACAGTTTATACAGTTACATTTTTTCTCTCTCTAAATGTCAGTTATCGTAACCCTAAATCCCGGATTCTACTTGGTGTGAAAATGTAACCTAATTTCGAACATATTTTCACTTCCAGCGCGTTGTAGTCTTCCACACGTTTTTGTTTTCAAATTTACAGCAAACAAATTAAGCATCAAAGACAGAGATCATGGCAAAACCCAGGGATTTGTTGATCACAGGTATGATGAAATGGGCAGATAGCCTGGGGGCATACTGCTTGGTTGGCACTTGTACATATTATTATTCTATGGATTATTCCGCCGCCGGCGACAATGAAGACCTGCACGAGCTCGCCAAAGAGAAGAAATCCGACAACAGGTACCGGAGAAGCAACAACTGTTACCTTAACAACAAGACGAGTTTCGACGTTCCGATTCATTTTCTGGTACAAGGAATTAGGAGCTTCGTAGTTCCTATTTGATGATATATAGAATTACTGTTAACATCTTAAAACTAGCTAGCCAGTACTTTCGGCTAAGTCTTGTTGTAGTTTTAACATATTAGCTTGTCATTCTCGTATATTTCCGTTGTCCAGTGTTTACGTTTGATTGGAGTAGTATTCATGAAAACTTGTAGACATTGAAATCTTTTAGCTACCAATTTAAATTGCAAATTCGCATGGTGCTAGTACTCCTTAAATATTTTTGCAATCTTTATTCTTCGTTTTAGTTTTACCCCCTTGAATTTTTCACTTAGAATTCCTGTGAAGGTTTTCCATGAGCTGGTTATAAATGCCTATCCATGTAGTTTACCCTAGATGCAGTTACAGAAGATCAATTATTACTCTAGTAAATGGAGAACTATTGAAAGAAGATGGCGAGAATTGTAACAATTGTATGGATTTGCTGTCTCACCGTGACCTTACTTACCTTTGGCTTAGTTCTAAAAGAATTTGTACTATTAACCTAAACAGAACAACTGATCCAAACTCCACCCTGATAACAGGATTACTCGGCACTTTGATCACGGCATGGGAGAACTCTGGCCTAAATGTTGATCCACCATCTAAAGTACATTATTCTATAAGCCGTTGATGCCTAACACAGAAGCAACAACTCTAGTAGAAGAATATGCTTCAGATGATGGATCCATATTTAGACGAGAGTTCTTATCGATTGATGCCTCATCAACTCTGTAGTGAGGAGTGAATATGATAAGATTTGGGGGAAACTCTAGTCTGGGTGAATAGTATTATTATTCTCTGCTTAACTTGGAGAGTAGTGTGTAGATTAAGTCATTTTATTATTGACTCAGAAACCCCTTCACACATCCTATACACTTCATCCATCTGGATATCTAATACTAGTTTGATGATCTAAACTCTACTTTGCATTTTCTTTCTATCTTTATTTCCTTCTTTCCTTTCTGTATATTTGATTTTATTTTTTCATCTGGCCTAAATACAGATCAAACCCATTAATGACCACGAAAGAAACTACTACTACAAGAAGCAATAACAAAGGAAAGGCAAACCGAGGAAAACCATTGAACTTTACATGCAAAATGTGTTTCCTCCCCTTTTTACTTACTTCTGTGACATTTATACAAACTCAAATGTGTTTGCTCGCTATTCCCATAACCTCTCTAATGAGGCCAAATCCAAAAAGTACTAATTGAAAAAGAAACGCTGATAGGGATAACAAGTTAATAACTAGTATTTCTTGGGCAAATAATGGGGCTTTTTTCCGGAGGCGCCACAGTAATCTCAGAAGTAATTACGTCATACACTGAAGTAGTACTATAAAAGATTGTATAATCCTGATAACATCATTTAACTATTAAGTGGAACTGAACAGTTGAGCCTTACTTCACCCTGGGAACCAGTCAAAGTGACTAGATTCGACATCTTAACCAAGGCTGTGATGAAGTCTCTTCGGAATGTGGATCCATCATCGTCGGACGCATATTCTTCGACGACGGCAGCTGTTTGTTCGTGAGCCATTAACTCCATGTCCGAAAAGAGGAGTCCCCTTCTTCTTGTCAGCGACTCATAGTAGTGAGTTCCGAAACGAGAGCGCAGCGGAGAAGATGATGAGGACAGTTGCTCAGGGTCCATCATGCTGACGTTGTTGTTTCTGTTCTGACACCTTCGACTTAATTCGTCATGGAAGTCTTGAGGGATGTACGGATCGGTTGCATTGTCTACCTTATCAATTCTGTCCCGGATAAAAGCACAGCTGATGAAGCCGATGCTGTGTCCTCCCAGAAGGGCGACGGTTTCCCTTGCGGTGAAGCCTCGCTGAGCAAATAACCTTAGGATTTTGTCGATGTGATCGGTCGGTCTTGGAATCTCAAAGGTAGCTTTCTGCCAGAAAGAAACTTTGCTGTCCCTTCTGCCAGTATAAAGAGGGTAGAAAGGCCCACCTGACAGACTCATCGCATCTCTGGTGGCGAGTACCAGTATATCAGAACAGGACACTATCCCAGGGCACTCTCTCTCCAACGCCTCCTTTATCACATCGATGATTTCAAACCCTTTCAGGGTCTGGTTTGGTGCTGCTTCTTTTTCGTCAGAAGCTCTGTGGGTATCGATCAGGACGGAAGCGTCGCATCCGCCGATAAAGCAATCGTGGAAAAAGAGCCGGAGCAGCTGAGCAGGGACGTTCTTGAATTCGGGTCTTCGGAGGATTTTCTGAACCTCGGCGAATATGATTTTCTCAGCATTTGGGCAGGTTTGATCATAAAAATCGATCCGCATCGAGGGTGTTGCGGATCTCTGAGTTGTGGCGATGAAAGCAGCAATCAGTGGCCAGAAAACTATAACAGCCATCATCAATTGGATATTCATCCGGGCAAAAATCATTTTTTTGAATGTGGTGGTATTTTGGGACAAAGGTGTGGATTTCAGTTGAGCTATGATGAGGTAGGAAAAGCTCAGATTTTTTATGGTTAATTGGGAATTAGAGCTGAGTTTTGTGATATAGGTCTCCAAAAAAGAACTTGGAAGAAAAATTGAGGAAGAAGATGCAAATCCAATGAACAGTTATTACAAGTTTCCGCAATTGTAAGGAATTGAGCTGCTATTTGTGTTTTCGCTCCTTCAAATGCTGTTCTTTTTCTTGTATATGTAAGAGTTTCTTTGTCACCCCCAGAGGAAGCCTAAAGGGGAAATTAGGAGCTGATTCAATTGGCATGCTCTCACCTACTTTGCTTCTAACTCAATATCATAACTTAAGCACCAACTCAATTTCCTACCTGAAATCTTTTCACACCATCACCAACGCCACAAAAAAACTGTGTTGTTCAACAAATGAATTTTCCCCAATGAAATGTATAGTATAGGATTTTTCCTATTTTTCTGGCTACAATTCATTCTGCTTCTCAATTTTGAGTCCTGAAGCACAGTAGAAGAAGAACACTCCCCCTGAATGCATAGTTGAGGCAGTTTCAATGACCACCTGTTCTTGACCGGGTGAGCGAATCCTTAACACTAATTAGGCATTCTAAAACCTTTTAAAATGTGGAGCATAACTGCATGATGATGATGATGTGTCAAGGATCTCATATCTTCAAAGTTTTGGAATTTTGAACTGTTTTTATCATTGGACAAGACTGTAAAATGCTTCAATGTTTCTTAGTGATGGTGATAATGACTTGTGAGTGGTGCTGTTACATTTGTGGTGACCTGTTGAAATTTACTCTTTGATCATATGTTCCAAATGGGCTGATGGGTGTAATATAAGTGATTCAGTTTCCATGCAAATCATGTGTAAGATTAATAAAAATCAAAAAATTCGGTTCACACAGACAAAAAGAAAAAGGAAACAATTAACTCCAAACTAACTACACCCTAAAGAATCATAAAATCTTCGAGAAAGATAAGGTAACATTATACCAACCGTCCTAATCTCGTTTCCAATCATCATCTCTTAAAAACAAGGAACAGACAGATTTTTGTCACTATATATAATACTCCCTCTGTCCCAAAAATATTGTCCAGTTTGAGATTTCACTTTCAGTACAATTTGAACTAAAAATGAAAATCCAAACTGGACAATAATTATGGAACGGAGGGAGTAATTGTTTGTGTTTTGGTTCGTTCAACCCTTCTTTTTAATGTTGAAAAACAGAATAAGTCGTTGACAGATCAATCTCAATCTCAAATATTGAATCAGGTTCATATTAGCAGATCGATTGAAATGGAGACAGTAAATTACCAAGTCTGAAACTTAAAACGCCAGATGTGAGTGAAAGGGGAAAAGAACTTGAGTTTGTTGTATATTAGGCTCAATGCTGCTGATCTTCAACCTCTTCCCTCAATTTTGCTTTCCTTTAGTATGATTGATATACGTAATGAGGGCATTGAGGTTGGAATTCGGAACGCTAAATTAGCTCTAGCAAAAGCTGCAGAAACTGAAACGTAAATTAATGATTTAATTTGAAAAAGTTACATAAAGAGCTTAAAGCAAAATTTTTGAAGTACACTATATAAATTGTTCTGGTGCTTCGACTTTTCAGATTTTTAATTAATTTGACAAAGACTTGATATTGGAGTTGCATGTATGGCGGCAAAAGATTGTCCACCAGTTCACAAAAACAAATTAATGGTACAAACATCATAAACACACGCTCCATCCAGATTGATGATGATTGGGAGCGTATGATAACAGTGTAGGTGTAGCCCATGTAGGAGTATTTCCTTTTTCGCTGTAGTGAAAAGCAAAAAATTGTATTTTTTTCATTTCAAAATGATTATTCTTGGGACAAAAGACTGTATAATTATAAATATTAATTTATGTCACAAAATATAAATTTTATATTTCTCTAACAAATTACATTCCTATGTAATAGGGTATTTTTAAAAAATAAATAAAAAATGAAGGTACTAGTGGAAGAAAAGTTAATAAAATTGTGCACTTAAAGGTAACTTTTATTTTGATAGGGAGATTACAACTTTGAAGATGTGATGAAGAGCACAAAAATAAAGCAAATCATCACTTGTTTTCACAATAATAATTATTAATCAACAAAAACTAAATAAATAAGGTGACGAGGAAGAACAAACTATATGGCACTATTTTTCTTTTTTTTTTCTAAAGAAAAAAATAATACTCCCTCTGTCCCATAAAAATATTTCACATTGAGTTTTGGGGTTTGTTCTATTCTTAGTACAAATTAGAAAACTTAATGTGAACTATTTTTGTAGGACAGAGGTAGTATTCCCTCCGGTCCTTATTATAAAACATTTTGATTTTGTCTTAGAGTTCACCTAGGATGTCTTTTTAATTGTAAAAAAATTTTAAAAATATATTTTAACATTCATTGTTTTCTCCTAATTAATAAAAAAAATTAAAAATTTTTATTTCAATTAAAAAAGTATCGTAAGTAAAACTTAAGATGAAATTAAAATATCTTAAAATAAGAATCGGAAGGAATAGTAATTTTTCTCGATGAAAAGAAGAAGATGACACTGGCACTAATGTAACACGACCGGGCTTCGGTCAACAAGCGCCGGACCAAGGTACTCAAACAATTATTTTTATTTTAAAATGATTATCTTATTTAAGTTTTTAGTAAAAATTTAAATCGGATAAATATCTTAAGACGGATGGAATAATCTCTATTTCAAATATCATGTTTGTTAACATCCAACTATTTCAAGTCTCTGGAGTTAAATTTTGTTGCGTTTTTTTTTTTAATGTGATGTTATAAGTCTAATATTAATTCAAAACCACTAACAGATTAATTCTATAGTCAGAGAGTGCCTTCAAGCTATTTTAAAAGTATAGTGGGTGCAATTCTTTTTTGTTCTTCCCTTTTTTTAAAGAAAAGAAATATTGAAGGCCTAAAAGAGGCTCAAAAAATCCATTTTTTTATGCGTGTAGATTGTAGAAGTAAAAATTTCAATACCAGCGGTCCTTTTCTTACTTTAGGTGTACCTTATTTCGAAGTCTTTCTTTTGTCCCAAAAAAAAAAAATCTTTCTTTTGTCCCACAGTGCAATAGCCAGGAAATTACGCAGCCAAAAACAACACCAGCAATAGTGTACTGTTGCCCTGCCCATACATCATGAATCAACCTCAAAAGCTTAAACCTCAGCTTCAAAACTCCTGAATGGCTGTTTATCGCTTTAATGTTAAGCCTGATGCCAGCAGAAAGGTCAACCTTCAATAGATCGTCCTATAAGCCACCCTTCGCTTCGGAATTTTTAACCTGTAATCTATTAAAATAAGACCAACGTTTTATCTCAACTTTGTGACAATGTGTCTCGTCGTCTTTTTGTTATTAACTAAATGAGACTACTGACTTGTACTTGACAAACTCCTGATTCCTGAAGCTAAAAAAATAATACTCCATTCCTCCCCGAGATGATTATCCATTTTGAGATTTTATTTTTAGTACAAATTATATTTAAAATAAAATTTAAACTGAATAATAATTTTGGGACAGAAAGAGTAATAGTCAAATTTAATCATGTAACATCTTAGAACCCCAAAATTGCTTCTACGGCAAGTATGCATTTTTGGACAAAACACAAAACATCTCTCAAGGATCAACTGGATCCCTCTTTATCATGTTTGAAGCATTTCCATACTTATCAACAAATCCATCTTATCACCCAATCATTAAACAACCCAAAAACAACATAAGCCACCTGTCTATCCTCCTGAGTTTGATCCAATTGAGGGAAAAAAAAAAAAAAAAAAAAAGCAATCAGAGTAGCAAATATATCCCTTTCAAATCCTCTACTTCTTCTGTACATATCCACTCATCAACCACATTTTCTACTACTTCTAGCATATCTTTTTTTTTCCTTTTTTTTTTTTGGAATTGGGAGCAAAAATTTAGTATGATTGTCCAAAAATTAATTTGAACAAAAAAAAAAAGGGAAAAATAATGCTCAGTCAAGATTTGGGCGTGGAGAATGGAGTGATGACGTGTCCCTCTCCCTCATCGAGTTCATCTTGTCGAGCTTCCATTCACCCTTCAGCCGAGCAATGAAAGAGTCGGCTTTCAAGTTCACATCCGGGCTTGGGCAAAACACCGACGGCCCGTTTGAATCTGGGCCGTCCATTGTCTCTGATGATGATTTGACTGACATCACCTCCACGTCTTCTAATTCCGCCCTTTCCGGAGAGCTACACCTTGAGCTGTGGGCGCTCAATATCCGAACAAAATCTCCCCTAGCCACGAATTTGAATTCCGGCATTTTGAACGGCGGCGGAGGTGGTGGAGGGAGTGGCACCAACGGCGATTGTGCGCCGCTGTTCAGGTATTCCTCGTAATAGGTGTTTGGTTTTGCTGGCAATGGTGGCTTCCAGGCGGTGCACGGCAAGCGTCTGGATGATTCTGATCGCGTAATTGGAGGCTGTCGTCTGGATGACACCTGATTCTGAGGAGGTGGCGGCGGCGGCGGTGGCGGCGGCGGCGGCGGAGGAGTTTTGTTATCTAATTTGAACCTCCTGCTTTTATTTCCTGGCTTGAAAAGAGTATTGAGGATTGAGGACGGTGGCAGGGGAGGTGGTGGTGGAGGCAGAGCGGCCGACGAAGATGAATCGAAACGCTTGCTCCCGGTTTTGAAAATGTTGTTGAAAATTGAGTTTGGAGGAGGCGGCGGCGGTGGAGGAGGGGGCACATTTGCCGGAACAGAGTGTACGCGTTTGTTTTTGCTGCTTTTCTTGAAGAGGTTCTGAAAAACCTTCGATGGTGGCGGCGGCGGAGGTGGTGGTGGAGGCGGCGGCGTTGCTGGTGGAATAGTTGAATGTACACTAGTCGGAGAATTTTCGCTGGAACTTTCTGAACTGTTTCTCTGCTTTGATTTTTTCTTTCTTTTCCGATCACTATATAAGGAAACAATAGCAGTGGCTATTTCCTTGGCCCCGCTCTTTTTCCTCTGCAGTCTCCGCTCCGAAAATCGATCAATATCAACAGTTGACAGTGGAATTGGCGGTGGTGGAGGCGGAGGAGGGGGAGGCGTCGGTGGCGGCGGTGGTGCTTGTGGTGGCGGTAAAACTTCTTCCGACTCGGCCTCCGCAACCTTAGCTTGAACGCGTGGTTTTCCTTCCCTTCGTTTACGCTGACGTGTTTGTCTCGGCTTTAAGCTTTCCGGCGGTGGCGGCGGCGGCGGAGCTGCTGTTCTCGGTGATCGGCTTTCTTCCAACTCAGCCTCAGCAACCTTGACTTCAAACCTAACCTTATGTTTTCGTGGTACACTCTGGAGTGTTCGCCTCGGCTTTGAATTAATCGGCGGTGGGGGAGGCGGAGGCGGAGGTGCCGGTGGCTTCGGTGGTTGCGGTTCAGGGGAAGGCGGCCGATCCGAGTGAATTTCAAAAGTGTCCACTGGAATCACTTTAATTCCATTATTAGTATCCTCCTTATTCCGCGCATCACTCCTGCGTGCGCGGTGGTTTAGGTGATCGGAAGGAGTGGCCTGCTGCCTGTACACGTCGATATCATCAAAATATCGGTACCGTGATTCTCCGGTTTCCCACAGTAATCCTTGTCTCAAATCAGGATACGAACTGCTGCTTCTCCTCAAACGGTTAACACCGCCGCTCTCCGGCGGCAATCCGACCGGAGCGTCAAACCACCGCGCCACTCGAGTGGTTTCATTAAGCTGATCAGCTGCTGTACTAGCAAAACCGGAATCAGAAGTACTAACAGCATTTTGATGATCCGAAGAAGCTTCCTCGGCGGCGGAAACGTCGTCGTTCCACCTAGCAAAAACACCGCAAAGAATTGCAAACACGACCAAAAGGATATTCAAAGAATCCCAACTCTTTTTGACTGAATAAGTGGGGCGAAGAATCTGAGTCGTGTGAGAGAGAAATGGAGGAAGCAAGAAAAATATGATCAGTAATGCTATGATCGGTAGGAGAAGAATGAGTGAAACGGGGCTGAAGATCGGAGAAGGTTGACGCCGGCGACGGCGTTGGTGGTGGAGGATGGTGGCGGTTGAGGCAGACCAGAAAGGTGGAGGGTCACCATCTGGTTCCATCGGATTCGTGTTTAATGAGTTGGTTTTCGCTTTAGGTGGAAGGAGGGGGAGATTTTTAAAGCTATCTCTAGGGAAAGAAAAAGGCAGGTCTGTTGGCCTTTGGCCTAAATAAAGTAGATCATCAGAAATCATGAAATATTCAAGCCACCAAATGACCCTATTTATATGCTAAAGAATTTTCAAGTGTAGAAGTGGAGGAGTTAAGGGACATACTATTGTTCGGGACAGTCTTCATTGATGTTTTTCACAAATGTTTTCCAGCATCAATCATTATTAGGTCAGTGTTCTTTTGGATAATTTTGAATTAGTTTTGAGAGGTGCATATTGCTGTAACCTATGACACATAGATAGATAACTTGGAATAATACTAGTTCCTCTGGTTCAAAATTACTGTTAATTTAGATTTTAATTTTTAATTCAATTTGTACTAAAATTAAAAAATCCAAACTGTATAATAATTTAGAGACGGAAGAAATACTATAAAACAGTAACTAGTCAGAACGGGACGGAAGGAATACTATAAAACAGTAACTAGTCAGAACACAATGTTAATCGTAATGATACACCCTAAAAATGTTGTTTTTTTAATCACTAAATTTTACGTCTCTTTTATTATACCAAAACAAGAGAAAATTATAATACGAGATAATTCTAAACAAGCAGGTAATACGTTCAGTTAATTCTGATAAAAAATATTATCGTCGAAAGTAAAAACTTCAAATAATTATTTATCTGTACACACATCCAGCTAATTCTGATCAGAAATATTATTCTCGAAAGTAAAAACTTCAAATCCCTTTTACCCTATTAAAGCAGAAGACACGAAGCTTATGTGGCAACCATATATGCATCTGTTTTGGCTCCAATGCACCATATTTCAGATTTCAGAAATCTTTTTGCCACGTGTAAGTCTCTTTTAATTAGAAGCTATATAATTTTTTTTTAAAAAAAAAAAATACATGTTTTACTACAAATAAGGATCAGTTACATTTCAAACGAATGGGTATATTAATTCAAATTCAAATATCCAATCGTATAGTTTTGCAGGCTTAATATAAACAAAAAATAAAAATACCTAAATCCAGCAATTAAGAATAATGCCATATAAACTAATTATTTATTATTCCCTTATACCCTCAGATTTACAGGTATATTTTTTTAAGCCCCAAACCATAGCATAAATGATATATACGCCAAATTAATTCCTCAAAAAATAGTAATTCAATTAGATTTTAATAAAATAGTAATTTAGAGGGGGCGTCCGGGCATCTGTCCGGGCCAAGCATCTAGTAATTATTTATATGTACATACATTCAAACTCGAATAAATGTGAATGATGTATTTGACATATTGTGTATCAAGCTGTCAAAAGTCATCTTGGGCTCTCATTTCAAAACCAATTGACAATGAGTGAATGATGTTTTTGACATATTGTGTACCAAGTTGTCAAAAGTCATCTTGGGTCCCATCTCAAAACTAATTGGCAATGAGTGAATGATGTTTTTGACATATTGTGTACCAAGCTATCAAAAGTCACATTGGGCTCCCATCTTAAAACCAATTGGCAATGAGAGGGGTGGAGATCCTTCACGATACCGATGTGAGATTCTTTGTCCCAATACCCTCCTTTAAGCCTAATCGGGTATTTGGCCCATTGGGGTTGCACAACACAACATAATTCGTCGGATATACTACCGGGTCAGTCCACAAGCCCGTACACACGGCTCCATAACTCTGGATGTACTGTCGGGTTAGTACACGAGCCCAGATATACTGCTGAGTCAATCAACAAGCCCGCACACACGGGTCCATAGTTATCACAGGTCCACATATCGTGGGCTCTGATACCATGTCAAAAGTCACCTTAAACTCCTATCTCAAAACTAATTGGCAATGACTGGGGTGGTCTTTTGACACTTATAAATAGGTGACAGATCTTTCACGACACCAATGTGGTATTCTTTGTTCCAATACAAGTAAGTACAACTTAATTATAAACTACTGTTTACCCTGCACGTTGTGCGGGTTGTCTAAGATATATATAAATTTAATGATTTAACGATTATATGACATTTTCAACAGAGTGATATACGTAAAAGAATAATTTTAATTGAAATTTAGTAATTTTTAATGACACGTGATTTGTTATCTTAAGTACTTTGAAAAATTTTCAATGTTCGAAATCATTCAATGTAACTTGTTGTTCATCTTTTTCGTTTCTTTGATTTATGGATTTATATTTTTTAAAAGTATTCTCTTAAGTATTTCTCTAAAAGTATTTCTACCCGTGTCATAAAACTTATATTTATGTTCCATCTTTCTATATATCTTTTGCAACTTTTTTAAAATTTTGTTCGTATATTTTCCTATAATATAGTGTTTGCTTAATTTTTTTTTACCTGGTTGCATAATCTTGGCCCTATTTTTTGCTAAATTTGATGACCTCCTTTGAATGCTTCATTTCTTGAAAAAATTGTAATACTTAATTTATTTTTTACTATTATATCGATTTCTTTTTTTATATTTTCTTTTTTTCTACATAAATTTTTTCTTCAATATAATTATTTAAAATTCTCAAAATGCTTTTCTTCTACTGTTTGTCTCCCACAAATATTTTTATTCCTTTTCTTATTTTCAAAAATTTTCTCCCTATTGACCTCTACATTTTATTTTATCTTCATAATGTCAACAGTTTCTACTATTATAATATATGAAAAAAATATAATGAATATATTATATTATTATATTAATTTATAATTTTACATTAAGAAATTTCTATTAATTGATGGAGTGATGTGGTTACGACATGTGTACTAGGCTATATAATTTTTGGCCATATTAATTACTATATCTAATTTTATACAATGTGTCCGATTGAAAATTATCGTTTAATTATGTTTAAATTAATACTTATTCTTTCGTATAACAAAAATAGAACTGAATTTATTAATGATTAGCAATTCATAATAATGATTGTAATCATAATAACAAAAGCTCAAGGAAAGAAATTAATTTTCATAGTTCAAAGTGGGCTTTTTCTACAATCGAATTAATATATATTAAAGTTTTTGTACATGGTGAAAAATCAACCATGTTGGGCACGTTATTATGTTCATCTTTTTTCTTGCTTGGTTAATCAACAATTCAACGTGAATGTTATAATTTTTCCCTTTTTTGGTTGATGATTAATGACAAGTTTTTTCTTAAACGTAATACTAATTCAATTTGACGGAGGATGGAAATCTAGAAACAAAAAGAGTACATTGAATTAATGCGGACAACTCCACTACTAAACTTTAATATTGTTTCTAAATCATTTAAGTTATAATCTCAAAAAAAAATGTCGAGAAATGTCGAATACTATTTCTAGTCCGATAATTTGAAGGGTTGTTGAATGTTTAGCTTAATGAGTTTTTTCCCCGTGCCGCCGCCTTCATTAATTTTGGTTCTCAATGATGAACATTGACAATGGTGGCTGAAATTTATCACGGTAGTAATATGTATACTTAGCTATCTAATTAGAGTTTTTTAATAGAGATATAAAGAGAGAATTTTCTATTAGGATTTTTAAATTTATAGAATGACCAGTTGTGAATAAATTACTTACAATGAAATCACTAAGTACTACTAACCTAATAAATTCCTCGATTTAACCCATCCTAGTCATCATAAAATTAGACACATCCTAGTCATTGCATTCGTCCGGGGATTTATAATGTTTGTCTAATATTTGGGGTAAATTAGTTTTAATAAAATCTGATTTTTTTAAAATCATATATTAGTTGTCATTAATTTTACTGTTTTTTCAATTACATTAAATGATGGAGCGACGTGGTTGCGATATGTGGACTTGGGTATCCAATATTTTGACACGTGAATTAGTTTATCTAACTTTGCAACATGTATCATATTGAAAACTCTCCTTTAATATATATAATAATAATATAATATAATAATATATAGAGATATAATAAAGTATGTAATCTAAACACTATACGGTATTGAGGTGTCAAGTAACTACTGTATTATTCTTTCGTGGCCATTTCACATGTTTATCTCAGATGAGTAAGGTTTGTATTAAGTACCATGAATATTCTGATTTTGGTATGTTTTTAATTACATTTATTTAATCCACGACTCTGACAAAGATGATGAATTATTGTTAGATGTGGGTCTTGACTTTTAAAGTTTCCGACCTTTCTTATATTGCTCTCTTTTGCTGGCTGACATGGTTCTGTTAGGTTCGGATGAAAATGTTTGATTTGTTGCACTTAATCACATAATTAATAAAAAAAAATTAATTAAACACCTAATGTATTGATAGCCTATGCGTTAAAACTCATATTAGATTAACTAATCAACGTCATTCAGTGTTGTTACTTCTTATTAAAATGTGCTTTCGATATATTCCTTCCGATCCAATCTTCTTTTCCTTTTTTTTTTTTTTTTTTACAAAAAAAACTGCAAATACAAATATTTTTGGAGAAAATATTACTTAACATTTTTCTTGTTGTTTCATTTCCTTAATAGTATCCGTAGACCGTAGGCCTGCCTTGAAGTTGCACATATTTATCTATTTATTTTTTTGAAGTTGCACATAGCTGGAAGCTAAAAGGATACTCTTAAATCTTAATCCTTACTTAGCATTAGGTACCATTTGGATTCGTCTTTTTTTTCTTTTTTTTTTCTTTTTTTTTTTGGTTGGGTCGTTTTGGGTCGGAGGGTGACAATACTAACAACTAGCAAGCAAGAAATTAAAAGGACAGATGTGGTCGTTAAGAGTCATGCGGGATCAAGCGGGGATGTCATTTTGTTAAGTGATACTCCCTTTATCCTAAAATTATTGTCCAGTTTGAGATTTCACTTTTAGTATAATTTGAACTAAAAATGAAAACTCAAATTGGACAATAATTATGGGACGGAAGAAGTACAAAATTAATTTTTAAAATTTGTCCCCCAAAAAAAATAATTTTTAGAATCCAATATGAACATATACGTTATATATTCTATTTTCAAGTAGTATACGATGAGAACTATTAGTCTATTACCAAAATCAAATACAAGTATTAGTTATATTGATTCAAGTCTTGTTGCATTCGTTTTCAAACAACAAAATACAGTCCGATTGTGGATTAAACTATTTTGCTGAAGAATGCGAAGCTTAGTCAATTGTTATCAGTGAGCATTCGTTGAAATTTCATTCCAAAAAAAAAACTTTTCCTTTCTTTTTTGGTTAAAATTATTTTCTTTTTCTTTTCCTTGAGCAGTATAACCCTTTAACTTTGGGAGGGTATGGGGGCCGGGAATCATCCATTTAAAGTCACGTTTCAACTTTATAGGA